TACGAATGGGAGCTAGGCGGGCACAAGGGGAATCGCCTAAAAAGCACTGGCCCAGATACAAAACGATATCCCAGGAAGAATGCAATAGTGTGACCATACTACCAGGACAAGATGTGACGCGAGGCAGACTCGCACTTTCAAGTAATCCGATTCCTATATCTTGATCTCTCTCTTTTACTTCATGGCTCTGGCTCCACACGGATGAACTTGGACACCCATATAGGTGCATGATCCCCGATTGCATCCAATTGTGTACCCGGAAATATCATGTGCGCCGTCAGGTAGAAGGGGTTCATCAAGAAGGTAAGAAGCGGAAGTGTTTTTAGTCAGTCTGAGTTAGGAGTTCGGAGGTCCGAGCGCCCGGGAGAGTGATGTTAAAAACCATTTACACCGCCATATTCATACAAAACAAGGTTATTTTTGTCTCCGGAAGTTTCTTGGCTACAGTGGGAATTTATGCAAAAGGATTCTGGGGGGGGGGGGGGGGAAAGAAGAAATAAATTACAAAGGTTGATATAGATAAAGGGACATCGGTTTCTGATCATAAAGAAGCCAGTTGTCCATTCTCTCACTGCTATTGCTTGATTGCAAATAGCATGAAAGAAGTCGCGGTGTATCAACCCGCCTATTATTGAATCGCGAACGTCACAATCGAGCTAGAGAATTTATGGGAGAGGCTTGCGTGCCGATGACCTCGGGAGTCTCTTGAAATGATGTGATGGGCACAAACTAGCGTGGGAGTCGACTCTTTAAGACGTTCGTGTGATAATTATCACCCCAACGACAACATACCCAACTGCTAATAATATCTATGAATATGCCAATCAATATCCCCGTCGTCCGCACGCACAGCCGTTTTGATGACTGCGAAGCGATGATGTATTTTCCGTCCTCCCCCCGTCAAATCGGGTTTTTCCCGCCTCAGCCTTAATAGGCCCTGTCCATCTTGTGCTGTCACCTCGCACTCTGGCTCGGTTTATAATTTTTGGGGATCAGCCGTTCCAAGCAGGGATTTTTTGAATTACAAACAGGGTGTGTTCTTTCCACGCGCAGTTTGTTTGTTTTCTTTGGCCCAATATTATTTGCTAGACGGAAAAGAAAAGCGCCAGCTGTCATGTTATGGGACGCCCGCATGCTGTGTCACAATTTTTATACTTCAAGCTAATAGCTAACTACCGCTGGGGTTTATGGAGGAGGTTGAGGTGGGGGGTTGGTGAGGCGAGGATCATTGCCAACAAGTGCCCCATGGATTGCATCAAGTATGCAAAAATGCAGTTGAAATATCTTATATTCGTCCTCCTCGTGGGGTAAAAGGATGTTCATGCCTATGGCCATATAAATCCATAATAGCTCTTCCCATCCAACCAACTCTGCACGATACGGGCCTTTGTTTGATATGCAGTTTAGAAAAGCTCTTTGTTGAAGAATGGATAGCGCTTTATATATATATCTATATATATATATATCCAGGTATGATATCAAGCCTACCGTACAAGATAAATGTTGATATTATTCTACGGTAGTACGGTGCTTGTTTCCTTGCATACTATACTACCCCAACCAGTCCACTTGGCATGCTTGCGTTTTACATGAATGTCTCAGTTCTCTCGTTCACCCTGTAGTGATTTGCCGTGCATCGCATACACCCAAACAAAAGCAACCAAAAGAAAAAAGTTGATTTAAGTGATGACGGAGCTATGATCCCATCGCGGGGTGCACGTCGAAGCTCTTTGAGCTACTAAACTTAGATACAACCTCTCGGCACACTGGCACCTAAAGGTTGGAGGGTTTTTTTTTCGTTTTTTTGGAGGGCCGCACTTGCAGGCAGGCAGGTAGGGTATAATGTGGTGATCGTTTGGCAGAATGGGCCTGAGGCCAGAGGCCAATGCGAGTCTGCGGGTGTGTTTCTCCGTTTATTTATCTACCTACGACGATTTGAGGGGGTGTGGGGAGGAACGCAGTGATATTCTGCCTGACAGAGGTCCGGACTGCCTTTTATTATATTCGATTCATTCATATTCCGCCGACTTTTGAACGATTGAGCGCGGTGAGATAGTGGATGGATATCAATCAAACCCTGCTAGGCTTTGGCGATATGGGAGTTCGTAATGAGTAGGGCATAGGGCAGAAAGTTAACCGCGTATGGATATATATATATTTATGGAATTTCCAAAATCCTGGCAGCCGATTATGATGACAATCCTCATCTCGATAAACGACAAGACAACCAAGGCCTGACGAAGGAGGGAAACAAGTTTCTCTGGCGCTGATGTTCTTTGTTTAACTATTAACTTCTTTTGTTTTTTATGTATTTTCACGTGCAACACAACCTCATCCAAAATCTACAAAGTTACAAAAAGTTGAAGTCTCGAACTTTTCTAGAAGAACTTTCTTGAGGAGACTTCAAACTAAGAAAGGCTATATAACTATTTCTTTCAATCAGGTTTTTTTTTTTTTTTTTTTTTTTTTTTTATTCCTGAACATAAAATAAAAAAAAAGGGTTACATTAAAGCTCAACTTTTAATTTTATTTAGCAACGAGGCCCGTTTTGGGCGATGAATAGTTTAGTTTACTGGCGTAGATAGGAGATAATTTGAATGATACATAATAAAAACGTTAAGTTAATCTCAAGAACAAAGATCCGTACGTAAGCTGTCTTAGATCCATGGTCAAACCTGGCGGAAAGTCAAACGGAATAATATATGGGGCTCCCCTCCGTCCCAGTGGAAAGTGGTGGAGCACTTCTGAACCCAAGGTTTAAGTAACTCCATTAAGCGCCATCATTAAGGTATGTTTTTTTTTTTTTTTTTTTTTTTTTTTTTTTCGTTTCGCTTTTAAAAACTTTCGACTTTTTTATGGAGCTTATGTAGCTACATAACTACCCTCCGTTCTTCAGATAACAAACTAACTAAAAGGTGTTAAGACGACGAAGGGGTAGTATGTACTGTACATACATCATAACATCATCGTCACCTAGTTCCACCACTTCATTAACAACAATTGACTGATATACGCCCTTGCTGCCCGCACCGTCCTTTCTCTCCCTCTCGTTGTTTCCCACATGTTTATGTACAACCTCCCTCCATTTTTGCAGGGAATATATTTTCGTGTTCCGCTGGACATTCAGTCCGCTTAGTTTCGGATGTAGGTCATAGTTGGGCAGTTGTTTTCTTTCCTTCATCCTGGCTTCCGAAAAAAAAAAAAAAAAAAAAAAAAAAAAAAAAAAAACAAGAAAAGGAAAGAGAAGAGTTAATGGAAAAGACACGAAATCTTGGAACTTGTTGTACATACGTGATGGATTGGGGGGGGGGGAGGGGAAAAGGGAGCAGCCGGCTGGGTGATGAAGGTGGTGGTGGAGTTGAAACCATCAAATGGCATGTTCCCATAATAATAATAGGAAGATAATCGATGATCAAATCAGGAAGAAGTTCCCTTTGGTTTTTATTTTGTTATTTTCGTTCTCAGCAAAAATTTAGACATGAGGAGGGAGGGATCAGGGATCTTGCGCGCAGAATGCCCAACATCAATGAAAACGGGGATTTGGGGGGTTCTTTTGGAGTTCATGTTTCTGGATATCCAGGAGATGAGATACCTTCCAATGTTTCTTTCCCCCTCTCCCTTTTTTTTTTTTTTCTTTCGTTGAGGCTTGTTGCGGCGAATAGTTATCGATGGGAGGGATTCTTCTCCTGCCAAATTGATTGACGTGACGTGCAATTGAGAGACCAAAGGCCATGTGTGTTGAAATAGTTATTATTATTGTATGTAGCTATCGGTAACTAATGTAGATAGAATACATAGGTATTAGTCAAATAGGTAAGGTTGTGAGAAGATTATCGATTAGCCATGCATCCCATCCATCAAAAATAGGAAAATCCTGTCAAGCTCTCACGAGGGAATGGTAATTAATTGCTCCTTCACATGCGGGCATAGATTCCGGTTGCATCGCCATCATATCATACCATATCATAGCATATCCCCTCCCCTTCACGTCTTTTATTTGTCGGTTGAAGTGATACACATACAAACTGTCCACCATTTTGATTTTTCCCTTTTTTTTTAAAAATTTTTTTCCAGTAGCTCTTTCTTCGTTTTCGGGCCAGCTTTAGGCAATCATGCATGTATGGATGGATGGATGTTCTGTATGTCGTGAGATGAAGATCCTGGGCTGAATTAACACCCTGGTATCTGAAAATCGGATCCGCTCTCTCTCCTAGAACAACTCTTCGAGGTTTTGTGCGACGATGGTGATAATATCAAGGGAGTTTTATATAAAGCAGAAGAAGGAAAATCAAGCAGGGCAACGAGAAGTGCGTTTTGCTTGGAGCTTGTCATTGGCTGCGTATGTGGCTTTCTCCCTCTCTCTCTGCATTATTTTTCTGTTCCCGGTTCTTACCTGGGGTTATTTATTTATCTTTTATTATTTATTAATTTGTTTTACTTTACTTTAATTTAATTTAATTTTTTTGTTTGCGGGGAGAGAAGAAGGGGGGATTTTTGTCCCAGGATTTCCCCAGGAGTTTCATTCGCAAGTCAGAACTACTATGTAGTGACGACATTACGCTTTCAAGCGTATGTTACCCCAGACTGTGACGGGAAAAAACCGTAAGCTGTCCCATGGACGCGGGTTCTCTAGCTAAAGTTTAGTTGAACTCGGAACTAACCTGGTACGGTACAGGCTGGCAGCCCTGGAGCAGAGTAATCCCTCCCCAACAAGCGTGCATTTTTTGACCAAAGACTGGCCAGCGACCGAGAGATTCTTAGAGGACTAGTAAATATTTGGTCTTAAAGCGAAGAATAAAAAAATTATTGAATACTCATAGCCGACGAATTGAATGATTGATTGGTATGGAGGGCAACCTATCATGAATCGATGGTGATGATGGTGCATGACGATGACGATGACGGTGATTGCAGAGATGAGATTTACCCCCCCAGCAAATATGCTGTTGGCGTACTCTGCATGCTTGCCTGCAGCTGTCCAATAACAGAATTTAACGGAGGATTACTACGTATGGGTAACCGTCAGCGGACAGAGTCGTAAGAAGAATTGACATCCCTCGCGCACGCGTGCATCGGTAGTTTGAACTGACAGGAAATGAATGAGGTTGGTTGCGTTGCGAGAATGTCACCACTGCCATAGTTTGTTTCAAGATAGGAGCAAAAAAATAAAAATAAAAGTAAAAATAAAAGTAAAAATAAAAATAAAAATAAAAATAAAAAGATGAACAAGCAGGATTTGGAGCATGGTTTCGGAATTTTTTTCTTTTCCCTTTCTTTTCTTTTTCTCCTTATCTGATTTTGTCTTTACTTATGGCTCCTGTTTTCCCCTTTCATTTCCAAAACGCCTCACCACTGAGTCAGGCGGAGCAGCGAAGACGAGGAAAGAGGAAAGGGAAGGGCAATAATTTTGAAAAAAAAAAAAAAAAAAAATGGTAGTGCGATTTTATGGTTTTTTTTTTTTTTTTTTTTTTTTTTTTTGACAAGGAGGGCAGCGATCGGATTTTGGGTGCAACAGGTGAGATCCACACAACGTGGTTAACCCAATTTGTGGGATGCGAATGCAACCATCGCAGCCCAAACCCCAAGCCTGAACGGATTGGGCGCCGGGGGGAGTGGTCAGACTCGTATCTTTTCTGACACAAGGCATTGTGATGATGGCCGCCAAAAGGAGATCTGTGTGTGAGAACGGAGTAGTTACAGAGGACTGGAGGGAGCATTGGATACTAGCAGTGGAGTATCTTTGCGGAAGAGAACTCAACTCGCTAACTCAATCAACGAATTACGCGGTAGTTACTGACTCTGGGAGCATTAATATTAATTTCGTTAGCATGTCGGGCTGTGATGGAAGAAGACATCAGGCATGGAAATTTCCGATGATGGGCTCGGGAGACTGGGCTGCGTGAGTGGAGCAGGAGCGGCGTGGAACTTCCAAGGTTGAAAAACTTGAAGCGACGCTGCAGCGATGATTTGAGCATGGCGGTAAGGTAAGCACGATATCGCGCCCCCCCCAGCTGTTCTTGTTGGCCCTAGGCTGCCCATCACGGACTAGCGCACCGCACATATATGCCTCAGCTGCCGACATGCTAATACAACCACTTAGACGTCCCACAGGTTATGACCCGGATTGCTTGTTTTTTTTATTAAACCTTCCACTGCCCATCTAACGTCTCGCGAGCTGCTACGCTGATCAGCAGAAGGGATCCTGACGAAGGCTAGAAGAGCTTTGATCGCGGGAAATGATTAAAAATTGATTGATATAGGGGGGAGAATGCCTCCTAGAACTCGAGCTACCATGGGGATGGATACCCCAGCTAGCAATGATGAATACGAACCTACCACTACCCCTGGGCCACCAGGCCCAACACCAACGACCGATACCTTGATACAGATGATGATGGGATATTTGAAAAAGCAAGATGAATATTTGAAAAAGCAAGATGAATGTCTGAAGAGAATGAATGAATATTGGGACAGAAGGATGGGAAAATCCTTACAAAAATCAGCTGAAAACTCTGATTCTCTGTCAAGAGATCAAGAGGATATCAAACAAGGGGAGGATGAGATGAAACTGGCTACACAAGCCACTGTCACTGCTCCTCCATCTACTGAAGAACCCTCTGAAGAACCAACCATCAAAGAACCCCCTGCAAGAACCACCAAAGAACTCTCTGTGAGAACCATCTCTATCACCATAAGAATCACCACCAGAGCCACCACAAAGATGACCATGATGAGATCCATCATTAAGAATACCACCACCACCACTACTGCCATCAGAGAACCTCTCAAACATCGACACTACCACGAACCGAAGCCTCACAGATGCCGAAAGGGTGAAGGATAGAAGGATAGATAGATTTGATTTGATTTGATTTGATTTGATTTGATTTGTTTGATTTCATGTATAATAGAATTTCTAGATAGATAGATATCTGTACGGCTGCTAGTCCGAGGGGAGGTGTTGGCCCTAGGCTGCCCATCACGGACTAGCGCACCGCACATATATGCCTCAGCTGCCGACATGCTAATACAACCACTTAGACGTCCCACAGTTCTTTGGACGCAGGCTGTCATCTGGGGGAAGACTGAGTTAGTCAAGTCGACTAACCAACCAACGAACTAACTCAACTCGTTATGGACCTTATGGTTGACATCATCATCGCTGCTGATCAAGCAGGCAAGTCACACTGGGCCAAAAAGCGTCGCGCAAGCAACGGCCGCCCTACCTGCCGCCTGGCTGCAGTTGGCTGCAGTGGGCTTGCAGTGGGCTGAGGTCCGGGGCGTCGATGCTATTGGCCGCTGCCCGCGAGTGTCGGTGGCTGCATATTCTGTCTGCTCTTCTGTCGGCTTCTTCTGTGTCGTGGAAATAAAAAAAAAAAAAATCAGCGCCCAAATCGCTGTTCGCTGGCCTGATCGGGGTTTTTTTCATTTTTATTTTCTTAGTGGTTTTATTGGAGTTCAACGGGTGTTTTTGGCCTGGGTTACGTAAGTATTATTCGGGATTCGATCTTTGGGCTCATTCAACTTCGGGGAATGGCTGCTCTGTTGCTTGTCTGAGAAAAATAAACGAGAGTTAGATAAATACAAACACTTCAGTCACAGCGTATTCTCGAGAAATCCCGGATAGGTGCACGTGTGGAAAGAGTACCACCTAGGTATCTACTATGTAAGTTCCGGCCGTCACGGGGTTTGGCGAGTCATCATGGATGGATGTGGATGTGGATGTGGATGTTCCCATCGACAGTTTTCGATGGGGGATTGTCTGTGCTGGCTGACCAGTGACCACAGACTGACGGGCAGGACAGCACAGGGACAAACAGCCGGACGGACCTACCCAGGTATTCGTATTATTGTTATTATTAATTAAATTAATCCACTAGTCACTTAATGAATCTACTATGTATGTCTCGCTTTATCCCCAGACCGACTTTTGAATGAATCCATGGATGATGCCCTCTGGTGATCGGATCATAAATGGGAATACCAGTACCCACGATGTGTCGACAGCGTGTCGACAGCAAAACTGTCGACACAAGAATAAAATCAAATAATATTGGTAATTATATCGTGTAGTCAGTTACTCGCTCCTCCAGTCGTATACATGGATAGAACCTATCCGAGTTATATCCTTTTTGAATCCTGTATCCCCGATCCATGGGCCGTTCGTTGCTTTTTCTTCCCTTTTTGCCTTTTTGCCTTTACTGTGGTGCAGCTCCTCCTACGTCATTGCTGCCAAGGCCCAGGAACACGGTGCACGCCCTTGTTGCTTGTTCTTTCATTCCTCCGCCGATTTTTCCTCCCTCGTACGGCCCTCGCTGCTGGGACTGCTGGGACTGCTGGTGCTGCTGATTGCTGCTGCTCTTGTTGCCGGCCAACCCACCCAAGCAGCCGCTAACTACCCACCACCCACCACCCACTCCCTCCCTCACTCCCTCACTCCCTCCCCCATCCACGCCTACCAGAATCGGCATCTCCACCACGACCACCTCATCTCTTCCCCATTCCCCCATCCACTCCCATATCACACCACCCTCCACCCACCACCACCACCCACCACCCACGCCATCACCTGTCAATCCTCGTCCCCGTTCTTCATCCTCCCGAGTATTGCACTGCCCATTTAATACTCCCGATCTCTCGCTGTTCAAAGGGTCAAGGGGCAGACCTTGCGTGTGCATCGCGGTTCGAACGGGAAGAGATATGTAAATGCCAATGCCAGCCCTTGTCCCAGCCGATATAGTCTCCAATATCACGACGAAGTTTAATTCTCCGCTGGCGGAGGAGGATCAAATGTGCCCGGCATTATGAGGACCCCCCCGCCTCCCTCCCCAGTTGATGCCGCTTCGTCCACTGCCTCCTCCAAATGCTCTCATCGCCTTTCCTCAAGATCTCGCCTCTCCGCTGCGTGCCCTTTTGTCTCTTACGACCCTGACCCTTCAGCGTTCTCGATGCGCCAGTATGATTTTTCTGCAGATGATGCGCCTGTCCATTCTCTAAAATCTTCTTCTTCTGTTGTTGCCGCTGCCGCCGCCGTCACCTCCATGCGCGAGTCCTTTGCAGAGCCCACTCCACCCCCCGAACATTCACATCATCATCGAAGACCGGGCCTACCGCCTCGTGGCCAGCGGCAGAGCATGCACACCTTGGAGGAACTGCGGAATCAAATGGAAGGAGTCTCTGTCTTTCACTCCCGCTCCAGTTCTCACACTTTCTCCACCAAGCCTCCTCCGATTTCAAGCCATGAGATGAAGTCGCCTCGCAAGGCCAAGAGAAGCATCCGTTCCACCCCTTCATCGCCCTCCAACATCCCAGTTCCTCCGGCTTCGTTGAAGCCCAGCGGCCACCCTGATTCCTCCTCCTCGTCGTGCACTGTCAAATCGCCCAAGCGGACCGATCATTCTGAACTGTTGCCTTTCCATTCCCACCCCCTTCATCCTTGGTCGCGTCCGTAGACCAATCTCTCGACTCATTGGTTGATGCGCGACCCATCGTGAAGCGGCTGTCGATACGTAGAACCAGGGATCGAAGAAATAAGTCGCCGTCTGCCGCGTCTGAGTCTGCCGAATTGAATGGCTCGACATGGCAGGACCCCTTCATGTCCTATGATTCTGACACTGCGGCGGATGACCCGAGGTATCCCACCCCGAACCTTTACGATATCACTTTGGCGCTGAATTCTGAGGCCGGTTTGGATGCCTGGTGGTCGAATACTGTGCGGGTTCTCCATACCCATTTTGGTGCTGAAAGGGCGGCCCTAGCAGTACCCGGCGATAGTACCGACTTGGAGAACGTTCCATGGGGTCAGAAGGCAACGTATAGTCTCTATGGCTATAGGTCTTCTTCGCCGTCAGCTGGGACTACACAAGGTAGTTGTGGTGTAGAAGCGCCATTGAAGGATTCTCCTGATCAAGAAACCGCCGATATGGACAGGGGACAAAATAACAGTATATCCACGAAACCAAACGGACATGTTCTCACGCCGTCTGAGAAGCGCCCCCCTGTTGTTGCACGTCATTCCTTTGCTGGCTTCGGGGGCCCCGGAAATGTAGGTAGCCGTGATAAGAATGTACGGCCAGATGTACTCAAGCGGACGAAAAGCTCATTGGGCTCTGCCATGTTGCAACATGGAACAAAAGGAGATAAAGATTCGACAGTGTTGGCAGATCATGCTCTCGCCTCATCGTCTGACCAACGGCCCTCACAGACCTCGGTGGATTCGAGAGAACGCACCCCTTGCCCATCAGTGGCCGTTTTCCCCGTTCCACGTGCTTTAGAAGTTGAATCAGACCCTCTAATTCGGCGAACAGGTGTGGTGAAGCTCTTTGGGAGAACCAAGCCTGCCGTTTTAACGAGGCAATATTCTCACGATCCGATGGCGTCACCTATATACGACTCTGTCATGAAGCAGGTATCAAAGGATGACACGCATCAGACAGCATCAGATGTTCCAGTTCTTAGTGAACCTGCAACTTGTGATGTATCCATAGGTCGAGTGAGCATATACTCTGCGTCAAGTACAAGTACGACTACACAGACCATAATGGAGTTACCGAGAACTTCTGCCGCTGACTGTAGTCGCAACGGGGCTTCTCCTCCTAGCTCCTCTTGTTCGGATTCATACGAAGAATATGAACAAATTCCTCAGTCACCATGGTCGCAATCGCCTGCTCCATCTCCTGCTCCCATCTCAGATCCAGAGAAAAACCCCTTTTTCAATACCAACAAGGTAGATGAGGATGCCTTTGCTTCGAGTCCACCGTTGCGTGATTATTCCACAAACCAACCTATCGAAGCCATTGGCGTTGATCGTGCTAAAACAATCATACACATACCCTTGGTGCATTCTTCATCTTCGAAACAATCCATCTCAAACACATTGAGATTTCCCGTTGCTATCATTTCGGTTCTCACCTCAACCATTCCTTACCCGGCAAACCTGAGAAAGTCTCTCGAGTACCTCCTTCCGCACCTTACCACTTCCTTTTGCCTGGCCCAGCAGTACAGCCAGCTTGAGCGGCAGCTATCGACTTCGCGGACCCAGCGATTCGGCCATATCCTTGGGCTTGGCGGGACCTTTTCCGATGCCAGCAGCGAAATGGAATTGGTGGCAGGACTCAGCAACCACGTTAATTACCCATTGGGAGAGAACGTTTCATTGCAGGCCCACTCAACCATATCGAGCCCGCTCCAGCGATCGGATACTAGCAGATCCAATTCCGCAATTTCAGGGGTCAATACTCCTGGGATGGAAATTGGGGTGGGCATGCCCCGTGACATTTACCTTACCCCGGGTTTACTGTCCAAACAAACTTCAGAATACTCGGACAGTTATTTCAATCTCAAACAACAACCAGGCGGTATCAGTAAGATGAACCAACAAAGAATGAGACAATCAAAACAGTTGCGAGACCCTTCTACTTCACTTTCACCTCCCCTTGGGTCATTGCGGGGTTCATCTACAGAGTTCGATGAATTAACCTCTAGAGATCCTGGTTTAGTACCCACTCCTCCATCCAGGACTCCGAGCATGTCTGCGTTACCGCAAGGGTTCTCGCGATTTGCCTCACCAGTTTCGATTGCTACACAGCTACATCGAGAACTCCCACCACGACCGTTCCCCGATACTATAGCACAGTTGATGCTTAATTCAGTGCCACTACACCTATTTCTGGCAAAGCCCCACACTGGAGAAGTCATTTGGACGAATGATAAATTCGATTCTTACCGAACCAGTCAACCGCATGAGCAACGTGCCAGAGACCCGTGGCTTGATGTGCATGACAGTGAACGCGAGAATCTACTAAAACAGTGGGAAAAGGCCCTTCGATCGGGGTCGCAGTTCACAGAGCGAGTTCGTGTTAAACGATACAATGACGAGTCGGCATATCGCTGGTTTATTTTCCGTGCGAATCCATTACTGTCGCAGGCGGGAGAGCTACTCTATTGGATTGGATCATTTCTCGATGTTCACGAGCAGCGCATTGCTGAGATGAAGGCAGCGCAGGAGAGGGAGGTATTTGCTACGAACGCGAAATACAAAGCGTTAGCAAATTCAATACCCCAGGTAGTGTTCGAGGCTGCTGAGTATCATGGGCTTATCTCGGCCAACGAACAGTGGCAGCTGTACACGGGTCAATCCCTGGAGGATGCCCTTAACCTAGGCTTTGCGAAACATATACATCGAGACGACCTTGAGAAATGCGGTATCTTACTCCCGCCAAACATCATCCCGGAGTCCGACAATCCGATCGAGTTTGGACGTATCATCAATTCCCTGCGGGGTTCGGAACCCTTTAATGGAACCCCTGAGTCGGATTCAAGCGAGCTACGAAATAAACGTCCATTTTCTCGAACCAATTCATTCCATGATAAAAATGGACGTTCAAAATACCAAGGGCTAACGCATGCGCTCCATGAGCTTGTGGAAAAAGGTGTGGTCACCATACAGAAAGATGAAAACGAGAGGTATTCGTATACAACCGAAATCCGGTTGCGATCGAGAGGCGGTGACTTCCGATGGCATCTCGTGCGTCTTGTGAAAGTTGAAACGACAAGTTTTGGCGATGGCGAGGCTTCCTGGTATGGTACCTGCACCGATATCAATGATCGAAAACTTCTAGAACGGAAGTTGAATAGGGAGATGGAGTCGAAAACGAAATTTTTCAGTAATATGTCCCACGAGATCAGAACGCCGCTTAATGGGATCCTGGGGACGATTCCTTTTATTTTGGATACGCAGTTAGATAACGATCAAAGACGTATGCTCGATACTATCCAGAACAGTTCTACCAACCTACGTGAACTTGTCGACAATATTTTGGATGTATCCAAAGTAGAAGCAGGGAAGATGAACATGGTGCGGCAATGGTTCCATGTTCGCTCTGTCGTGGAAGATGTGATTGATACGATCGGGTCGAGGGCGATAGATAAGGGACTTGAACTGAATTATCTCGTCGAGCCAGATGTCCCTGCAATGGTGATTGGGGATAGGTTCCGAATACGCCAGATCCTTATTAACCTGATGGGAAATGCAGTCAAGTTCACGTCACAGGGAGAAATATACACACGCTGTTCAATCCATCGCGACCCTTCCGTTCCTGTAAACGGAACAGAGATCCTTTTGAATTTTGAGGTCGTTGATACCGGCAAAGGATTTAGCTCTACAGATGCCGAGCGTCTAATGCAAAGATTCAGCCAGATTGAGGGGAGCGGCTCGCAGCAGCATTCAGGAAGTGGGCTTGGCCTCTTCTTGTCCAAACAGCTCGTGGAGATGCATGGTGGGCGCTTGACCCCGACAAGCAAGGAAGGCCAAGGCGCCAAATTCTCGTTTTTTGTTAAGGTTGATGCACCTCCACCGCCACCGCCCCAGGATGCATCCAATTTAAACCTTGAGGATCGATACCTTCAACCCATAGACGATATTTCTTCATTTAAGAGCCCAAACAAACAGGAATTTCATCTCACTCAAGATATACTAAGCTTGCATTCATCGACAAATTCGGATGTCATGAGTCTACCCAGCAAGCAACTCTCTGGATCGTCTTGGGGATCAAATCAAATCAACACGCCACCATCCTCTCGGAGTGGAGGAACTCCTTCGAAGCCTGATCAGCCTAGCCAAATCATTCCCCTTGGTATATCAAGTCCCAGCATGGCAGCGACTGAGGTTCTGGTTAGCAGTTCTTCCTCTCAAAATATCGCACCTGCGCTTCCTTCGTCATATGATGTATTGATAATATGCCCCTTCGATTATGCCCGCGAGGCTCTAAAGCAACACATCGAGCAAGTTATTCCTCTCGAGGTCACCTGCAAAGAAACTGCGATTCTCGATGTCGAAGACTGGAAGGATCTTGTTACTGGCGGTGAATGTCCCAAGTTCTCTCACCTGGTAGTCTGCCTCCCAGATGCCAACGACGTCAAGGAAACTATGCAAATCATTATCCAATTTGGTTGGGATAATAACAACATCAAACACATGCCGGCCTTGATCATCGTCTCGGACATCTATCAGAAACGGGAGATCAGCGAGGCCTACGACCGATTCTGTGCCGCTGGAGGTAAAGGATTCTTAGTTCCGAAGCCCGTGAAGCCCTCATCGTTCTCGAGGATTTTTGACCCGAGTAATCAGCGAGATCTTAGCAATGACCGAAACCAGGATATGGCGCGGGAAATTAATAATAGTTTCAAGACCATGTCGAAGATTGTTAAGGAGGTTATTGGGAATAAAGGATATCGGATTTTACTTGTGGAGGATGATGAAACTAACCGGACGGTATGTGTGGTTCATCTCAAGTTTTCTATTCCTCATATCTGGAATCTTTAATGTTTCCATTTCATTATTAATTTATCAATAGGTCATGTTGAAATACCTGGACAAAGTTAAATTGGCCTCCGAAACAGCCGGCAACGGCCAGGAATGCATCGACATGGTCTTTTCCAAAGAGCCCGGCTATTACTCCTTGATTATCGTAAGACCATGCCCCCCACCTATTTTTTCCCCCTTTCTTTTGCCTAGGGCCATGACTGACCCGCATCTCTGTGTTAAAGTGTGACATCCAAATGCCTATTAAAAACGGCTACGAAACCTGCCAAGAAATCCGCTCCTGGGAACAGAGGAACCACTTCCCGCAAATCCCCATCATGGCGCTCTCCGCAAACGCAATGATGGACCAAATCGACGACGCTTCGCGCGCTGGCTTCAATGACTATGTCACAAAACCTATCAAGCACAATGAACTTGGGAAGATGATGATGGAGTTGCTTGATCCCAGTGTTCCCCAGGTCCTGCTTAGGGATCGAAATAAATAATGGTGTTCGTCGCCGTCTTCACCCGTTGCAGCAGCAGTAGCATTGAGGGAGGTGTTCTTGAAACGATGGAAGTTCTAGAGAGGTGGGCGTCAGGACGCCTACCAATCCAAACTTCTATACTTACATACTTTCCTTCCTTTTTTGTATCAATCTTGTGTGCTTTTCTTGCAAAAAAAGGGGATAGGGGGGAATACACGCTGCAGAATTGAAGATGAGGTTTTCTACTGCTACTATTCACTCGCCGCTCGTGGGTCATCATCCTCCATGGCGACAGACTGACTCCCTTCCAGCCCTTCCTGCTCTCCTTTGTTTCCCACATTGTTCTAGACAAAAAGACATTTTCCTTGCTTTTTTACTCATTTCATCTCGTGGTTACAGGTTGATTTTTTCTACTCTCTTTTCGTCAGGTTTATTTGTTCTTTCCGGTTCTTTGAGTCTACACACCCACACACACCCGCATAGCTATATATACTGTTTACACTGCATTGTTCATTTTGGTGGTGGGAATCAGGAAAAACCGGAATCATATGCTTTTTGGGGTTTCCACCCCATCCTTTTTTTTTTTTTTTTTTTTTTTTTTCATTTCTCATTTTCTTTGGATCAAATCAAATTGCTTGTGTTTCTTACTTTCCCTTCTGGTTTGGTTTATTATACAGAATACTGTTGATGTTTTCTCTTTCCCTATCATTGCAATAACTCGGTGCAAGCGGATATGGTTTTCTCTCCTTGGCACTTCTTTCTACATCCATTTATATCTCTATATGTATTTCCCTCCCCTCAAATGTTTACTCTCTATCCTTCTCTGATACTCCTTCTTCTGACTTTCGATCTTCTTCCACTTCATGTGTCTGTTTTTTCCCATTCTATCTCTGACTATTACTAGTACAATTATTACATTCCTGTTGAGTCTTGTTCGTTCCTTCTCACTATCTTGATTGCTGTGGCATTCCTCTTCACTTGTCAGCTTCATCATTCAATTTTTTTAAAAATAGTTGATATGATATGGTCAATCAAACAAACAAGCTGCGCTGGAAGAAAAGTATCGATTCATTCTGATACATATGGCAATTTACGTAGCTCCTTCTATACATACATCTATATATCTATCTATCTATGAAAGATATCAGCGACAGGTATACAGATGCATCCATGCGCACTGGCGGGGTGGAGGAAACGTTAAGACAAAGAGGAAAGGGAAAAGATGAAGCGGTAACTTAACTATTCTAGTAACTTAGTTAAATAATAAATAAGGGGCTTAATGGGCAAATTCTCAATTCTCTTCGGAATAAAAAACAAAACAGATTGGTATTTATCATATTTCACATTCGTACAGCACCCTCCACCCCCCGCCTTCCTTTTTTTTTTTGCTATGGGGTTTTTGTTGGGGTGGTTGTGTTGTCGGCGGCTTAGCTATATAAACTCCCCACATGGACAGGACAACAGACCATGACGTCAGTAAACTTGGTCTTGATCTTGTTGAAAGGGTGGGTTGGTTAGTTGGTTGGTTAGTTGGTTAGTTACCCTATGGATGCACACACAACCCAGACAGGGCCAGAAGTGGATGCGCAGCTCAATGAGTTCAATGAGCTGAGTCTTCTCAAGAGTTGCCACCTGGATCCTGTTTCTCTCCCTCCATGTATATAGAAATCTCTCCAGCGTAGCACGTCCCCATGCCCTTCGGGAGGCTTCTGAAGCACGGGCGCTGCCCGTGCTTCTCTGGGACGCTAAATCTATACATACATACATACATACATACATACATACATACATACATACATACATACACAACCCAGACACCTGTATGTTATGATAGTTCGTTATTATTATTATTATTATTATTATTATTATTATTATTATTATTATTATCATTATTATTATTACTATTATTATTACCATTACAAACATTGAATAAAGCAGCATTCTGCGCTAACAATTTATCCAGAGAATACGGCAATGTGAACATCATCGAACATATTCTCAAATAACTGCACGTTGCCCCTCCGCCTAATCATGCAAGTTGGATTGCACTATAGATACTTCCGCTCAACAACCGGGGCCCCCTTCTCTCATTTCTTGACTGCAAAGCGTGTCATCCGCAGAACTATTATCCTAGTGCAAACTACCAGCTCAGTGGGCAAGTTCAGCAGATGAAGGGAACAACAGGGTTCAAGTAAAGATGTTGGATCCAGGACATTGAGACGTAACCTGATGGGACTGCTGCAAGTTTCGAAGTAGTAGGAACTTTGGCGGTGACAATTAGGGCTCCTTAGCTTGCGCAGCGTGACACCGTTTCAGTGCCATGAGATAGCGCTGGATAGCAGTGCGCTTATGGCCCCTCTGGACCACTGACGCCATTTTGCGCCAGTCCATGACAAAAGACTTTCCCCGAAGCTCCGGTACGTTCGGCAAGTAGGTTTCGAAATCAATCTTCAGCTCGGGAGACTCGATCTTGACTGAAGAGTCGCTGTCATAGAAATCCTGAAAAATTTTCCACTGATGAGCCATCGCAAAGAGTCATACCAGTGATATTTAGCAACATGCACTTACTATACGTTTGCCTCGAAGCTCGGCCTTTCCCGTATCTGGATTTCGCACCCAGAGCTCACAGAATCCTGTGATTCTATGGGCAAAGACTTTTCCATGAATCAAAACTCTCCCTGATTCCTCCACCAACTTAGGCTGCTTGGTCTCTTCAATTGGAAGCTTCGCATCCTCTTGAAACTGAATAGGAGGGTGGCGGACATTAATAGGTGTCCTGTATTGCGGCTTCTCTGTAAATTTGACCAGAAAGACTGCTTGGACATCTTTATCTCCCTCTAGCCACAAGTCCATGGAGCTCTTCAAAGAAGAGTACTGCTCACGAAATCCAATCTGAAAAATGAAAATGTTCTGCAAATATACACCTTGAGGGTCGTCGAAATATTGGAGCGAAGCGTCGGGGACTTTGATTATGCTTTCACTCTTATCCTTCGAGTCGAATCCTGCCTGACTGGCTTCGATTCGGAACATGAAGCAGTCTCTCACCGTCGACGGGAACGTCTTTTCGATACTGCCGTTCATTTGGCGTCCAAGTTCCGCTATCGCAAAGCTGTGGACTTCTGTCGATGGAGCTTTGAGTGCGGAAGCGGTGGAAAACTTGGCGTTGTACGTGACATAGCTCCGGATAGGTTCCTCCCTGCCGTAGAGTACGGATGATTAGCAAGAAACGCCCTAGAAACCAAATAGCATTTGCAACGTAGAATAGAGCAAGCTACTAACGCTTCAGCGCGAGCTTCAAACGCCGCTCGTATTCGACGAAAATTATCCAGCGAAATTTTTCCTAGCCGTATCTCTTCACCTTCGCAGTTAGCGGGAAACTGGCCATGACAGAGTTGTTCAAGATCATGGTCGTCCAAAATCGACTGTGATTGCACAGTAACAGTCTCTCCGCCAATGTGGGCTTCGCCAAGATACCAGTTGCCAGGACTGGCCACTAGTGGCTTTGTGATGCGGGATCGGAGGGGCGCGAGACTTGTATAATACCGAAGACGGTACCTCGATCCAATCTTGCAGCAGGTCTGCTTCCAAAACTTGAATGCATTCATGGTCCCTGAAAACAGAACTTACTGGGAAGAAATTTGGCCTGGAAAACCCGAGGTCTGCTCAACAAGAAAAGCATGTCGGTGTCAACGATGATGGCGTATGCAGGTGACTTTATAGAGTTTCTGTTACCCTGGAGTGGCGCGACAGCTTGGTGCTTTGATCCGCCTGTGGGGTTTGTGGGGGCGTACAGTTGAGCAGGGTTCAAATCTCGGCTAGCAAACCTTCCAAGGTTGAGTGTAGGGCCTATTATATCACATGACTGTTGACTTTGCACTCTCTAGCTTCCTATTACAGATTGGAATAGACACACTACACGAACTCTTGAATTTTTACTTGGAAAGTTGAGACTGAACAGGTCACTTCCAGTGTGCTATTTACATGGAATTGCTGAACAAATGTCAGAGACGGTTTGAATGAATAAAAATGAATACTCCAATGTCCTTACAAGTGCGCACCGAGACAAAAACCCAAATGACGCAAAATGGCAGAGGGTCAAACTTGACCTTCAAGACCTCCGGGACACTTCAAAGCCAGTAGTAGTTGTTACTGTACTGCGCAGATATAAGATCACACGATATGGCTCTCACCTTTCTTGCTCTTACCAGCCGTGATTTGTTGCCTAATACGGAGCCATCGTTCCCAACACGTCGCCCAGCACCGCTTCAGAACCACGAAGTCCCATAAATAAAAGATGTACGCAAACAGGGTGACGGGGACACACAAGACAAAAAACCACCAAAATTTCACGGAGTTCTGTCCCAGGAGGTCCACGTTCATGCCCAAGAGGCTGGAGCAAAAGGTAAGAGGTATGAAGAGCGTTGCAAGCAGAGTCAATTTTTTGAGTCGCTCAGACTGCTCGATAGCTTTGCGGGATTCCTCTATTGTTGCTTTGTTCATTGCCAAGGTTATGCCTCGAGTGCAAGTTTTTGACAAACTGATGCAACGATCGTGGAGCTGTTCATAGTCATGTAGGAGGCCTTGCGCTGTAAAAGAGCCTCGACTTCCAGTGTGTCTGACAGATCCGAACTCTGGGGTGTTCCACCGTGTACCTACCCCGGGCCGTGGAGGTGAGATACGGATCTGGGTTTGTCCATTTAGCACTTCAGGGCTCCATTCGGCTAACTTGGAAAGTGCGTGAGAACTATCCTTTAGCTGTTGGGAGTGTCGGTTTAGAATGCTGGAAAAGTATTGGAGAGATCCCAATAATTCAGCTGGAACTCCTTCGGCTATTTGATTTACCCATTCTTGGATCTTGCATTCCATGAGATTCAGGAATTGAACTTCGGAAAAGGCCGCGTGCGCGAACAACGGTATGCACATCGAAAGCGGGTCGTGAGGTGCGAGACGAGCCAGATCGACAAGCGCAATCAACGAATCATACTGCAGGGGAAGGACGGCCGTGCTCTGGAAAACCTCTGCAGAAGCATTCGCATTCGGATCTAAGCGATTCGTGGTAGTTCTAAAAGCCATCTTGGGATGATGTTGGAGCACTGGCATTGGCGTAGCCATGGATTTGATGTGGCTTATCCATGGCCCCGGAGGCGATTTTTCCAATGGCCTACCTTGGTCCATCCAGGCAATGACTGGGGACGCATATCAGTAAACTGTTTTTCGTAGTTTAGGTATTGTGGCATTATCTCTTACCAGCCCACCCCTGATCTGTTCTTGTGACACAAAATGAGATCCATTGTTCGACTACAGAAAAGCGCGAACAAACAGTGGAGTACTCGCGCACCAGGGAGTCGCCACAGCAGACTCGGCTAGATCCCAGCTGTACTCGCCTGTATATTTTGAGCTCGCTAGATTGATCTGACCGCTGTGACTGGAGGTCCTGCCCGCCGAAATCGTCTCGATGAAGGAGGGTACTTACACAAAGCCGAAATATATTGTTGGAAGTGCTGGCAAGCGATGGGAGACTGTACGAATGCCTAATAATGCCTACAGAAAGAAAATCCATGTGTCGCCTAAAAAATTCCGGGTCAATTCTGTATTTGCTCCCAATGGCCGACACCCACAATGGCGACAGAAAACCTCGAATGAAAACTATTTGTCCTGCCCCTGCTGGAACAGAGGTGGCCACCGAAAAGTCTTCATGTTGCTCTTGGCTATAGTGTTGCACATCCCACTTGCCTTCGCGGCTATTATACACCACAACTAGATCGTGAGGCTGTTCCGCCTTGGATGCAAAAAGCCGAGCATTTTCCAGCTTTTCCGGGTTGAAAATGCTGCGGTCTTGCAACATCCATTCAGCAATAGCAACATAATTGTTTCCGGGGAAGGCAGACGTGTTCGAATATCTTCTTGAGAGTGAGATAACCGCTCGAGCATAGTTTTCAGGTGTAACTGTCAACCCACGATTAGTCAGGTAATGAATTGTGGATGGATAATACAGAAATTCGTACGTGTGGACTTTCTGCGCTCCATCAGCCATTAACTTATTATGTCTGTATGCTGTACTCGTTAACTGTCTGATGGGTAGAGGAAGAAGACTTGAGCTTCACTGACCAAAAACCACTGCATTGGTCATTCTTCCCCAGTTTCTGACCAGACGAGGCTGGCGTCCGCATCCAATGCCAAAATATGTGGCTCCTGACATGAACGCCTCCACCAATGCATGAAGCCGCAGAAGTGCTCGGCGCTAACAACCACTTTCAAGGGCAGATACAGAACTCCATCATACTTTTCACCCCCTAGGGTGTTCTGAGCCCGCGCTCATGCAGTACCAGGATCAAGTGAATGCGCAAGCCAGACACACAGCACCATGTAAGGATCCAATTATAGGCCGTGGCGGCGGGAGACTTCAACTATTCCGTATTAATTCAGGAATCAGCGCACATCATTGTTGACTGCAGCACATACAATGCCCGGCCATAAGTATTGGCAACCCAACAACATTCATGGTGCCCTTTTGTGGCACATAAGTAGTGGGGGTTGCCAATACTTATGGCCTGGCACTGTAAGTACGAGTAACGTAAGACACATGACCCCGCTTCTGCAAATCAACGACTGAACCTGGGAGACTAGGCGCCCTTGACAACTTTTTTCTCCACTGCAAGTCTATTTATCTCTCTCATTTACCCCAGAGGGGTTCACCTTTTGTTAGTCCGCATCCACTCATCATGGCAAGTTTTGCCCCTAGCGGCTGCCTTCGGGTGCTGCGGTATCCGCTTGATGCTTCTCAGGAAGGCGTCGAGTAAGGGAAAACTACCTCCAAGTCTAAATTCAGTGTTTATACTTACCCTTAAATCCAACATTGTTCTCGTACCTGGAATTGGAACTGCCTTACCAGAGAGCTGGCCGTTTGCTAACGAAGAATGGCTTTCCACATTGCCTGGTTCTGGTGTTGGAGCATGCATTTTCGCATACGAATATGCTTCCCCATTTGCAGGCGCCAATTATTCGTGGGAGTCGGTGTTGATGCTAGGCTACGACCTTCTCCAGCATTTAAGTGATGCGCGATCACAACCAGATCCAGATATGGTATGCGAATTAGAATGGATTCGTTCTGCTTGAATTGCCAGTATGCGTGCTGAGTAGCTACTCTAGACCACCAGCAAGCCAATATTGATAGTGTGTCACAGCTTGGGCGGCATCATAGTCAAACAGGCCCTGTGCATTGCTAACAAGCAGTTTTTTCGTTACGGGTTGATTGTCAACACTATAGCGGGCGTTATTTTTCTCAGTACCCCGCATCGCTATGCTGACAAGGGATTACTACGATTTCAAGACGTGTTGGAAGCAACCATTGGTAGAGCCTTGAAGCTTTCAAACACAAATAGCAATCAAGAAGACGGGATTTTGCTCGACCTCGCGGATAGATTTGATGGAATCTCATTCCATACCCCGATACTATCCGTATATGAACTAAAGGAATCAAAAATCACTTCAACACCATTGCGCCAGAAATACCAACAAGTCAGTGTTTTTCCCTTGACTTAGCTATGAATTCTAACTTCGACTTTAGCTAGTCGGCCGTGAAACTTGTTCGACTCGTTCCCCAATGGAAACAGTCATTGGCCTCAACCTCAATCATCACGATACTTGTCTTTTTACCCAGAGCGTTGGCGGTGAAGGATTACGCGAGTTCAAAATTTTTATTCACGAGAGCCTGCATAATGCGGTGCATCTTGTTGCGCTTCGACTCGAGGACCGTAGGTTATGAAGGTATAAGAAACAATAGAATTGCGCTAATGAATCTAGAGGAATATCAATACGCGACAATGAGCGCATACTCGCCCACAGTGAGCGTACTCCCACTCAAAGGTGAGCCCAACATTCCATATCCAGCAAAGAAACAATGGTGATATCGATTAGTCGAGCAACTGGAACCTACCGAATGGTGGCCATCAAACAACGCGACTCAATGGCCTTCGAACAGAGCAACAGAAGGAACGTCACTTTCGGGATTTGAATTGGTGTACCCTGCAACATTGGACACTGAGGTTAAGAAAATTCTTCACTTACCATGCTTCCTTCTTAGCACTCAATCAACAAATGAAGATTTTTGTGGCCGTGAGGATATCTTGGAGACACTTGCGGCAGCACTTTTGCCTCCGAAGAACCTAGTGGCTGCGTCAGGCACCGCCCTGCGACAATTTGCACTCTGTGGATTCGGGGGCATTGGAAAAACGGAAATTGCCCGCGAGTTCTCCCAGCGTTACAAAACATCCTTTGATGCCGTTTTCTGGGTCGTGGCAGATGAGATTGCAAAACTCGACCATCATTACCAGCAAATTTCGTTGGAACTAGGACTTGAAGATCCGTCCGAGTGCAAGAGCCAAGTTGTCAGTAGAGAAATTGTGAAAGGGTGGCTCTCTAACCCCCGAAAACAATTTTCGGACTCAGATGAATTTACCCAAACCGGTTCATCCAAATCAGAAGCGACCTGGCTGTTGATCTTCGACAACGCAGACGATCCAATGATCTTGGCAGAATACTGGCCCCAAGGCAGCGGATCAGTCCTTGTCACGAGTCGTGACCCATTGGCTAAAAGAATTTTTACGAGAAACCCTTCAGGTCTGGATCTCGGTCCACTCTCACAGCAAGATAGTTTATCTCTCTTCCATCATCTCACCACCATTCCAAATGGCTCAGACAGTAAAACAGCAGAACAAATTTCTGATGCACTTGGTGGCGTTCCTCTGGCAATCTCCCAAATGGCAGGTATTATTCGCAGGCAGGACCTCACTTTATCAGAGTTCTTCGAGCTGTATATGGATCATGAGGAACACGCCAGTCTTTACGAAACAAAATTCGATGTCAATTTGGCCTCGTACCGTCATTCCCTATCCACTGTTTGGGCATTTGAAAAACTGAAGCCACAGGCTCGACATTTGTTGGAGCTTATTTCATTTCTTGACCCAGATGTCATTGGCGAAGACCTGCTGATGGAAGCGTCAGCGGAACTGCTTTCTGAGGGCACAAAGTTTAAAAGGAGCAACTACATCGACGCAAGAACTGATCTCTTGCAGTCATCTCTGATTCAAAGAGATAAACAAAAGCAACAAATATCGGTCCATCGTGTCGTGCAAGATGTTATTTTGGCATCAATGTGTGATAATAAAAAAAAGTGCATGTTTGACAGAATCGTGCGGATTCTCTGGGCGGAATGGCCGTCGGCTATGCCCCAGCCATCAAAAAAGCCTGAGCTTCCCCAGCCTAAATCGACTGACGGCAGACTCCATGTTGGAAGATGGCCTATCTGTGCAGCGATCTATCCGCACGTTCTCAGAATACATCAGTTCTGGTCAACCATTTTAGATGTCCCCGAATCCACAAGATTGCTCTTTGCAAAGCTATTAACTGAGGCTGCATGGTAGGTCTAAAATACTAGAATTAATTTTTTTCTTTCAATACTGTCTAACAATTACCAGGTACCAAAAAGAGCGTGGAAGAACGAAGCAATTTGACGGTTTCTTCGAAACTGCTCGCGGTATATGCGAGTCCTCAACGCACACCGACCGGGATTCCTTGCTTGCAGATATCTACTTTTGCTTAGGAGCTATCGCGATGGATGCGAGTGACTTTGATACAAGCCGCGTCCACAAGGAGCGCTCGTTCGAGTTAGTTTCCAAAATCTGCAATGAGTTGGGGACTTCAGGAGAGCGATTATACCTCGCCTATGCAGAGCGAGGGATCTCGCAAATACAGGATAGACGGTACGAGGAAGGGGAAGCTGATCTCAAAGAGGCGTTGCGGGTGCGCAGAGCGCTCGGCAACTATATTCCCCGGTCGGGCGAAGCTAATCTCAGCTGGGCCCTTCTTGCCCAGGGTAAACTTGAGGAATGCAATACACTTCTACTAGATAGTTTGGCTGCCAGAGAACAGGCTTTGGGTAAGAACGATAAGGAATCCGTGCGGACCGGTTTGATCCTTTATGCACTCGGAAACCTCCGCGCTACACAGAACCAATGGGATGAAAGTTTTGAATACCACAAGAGAGCGTGGCACCACATGCATGCTACCGTGGGGGAGAGAGATTTCTACACTGCAAACGTTGCCCATAAGCTTGCCGAGCACCTGATGCGCTTAGGTCGTAGCGAAGAAGCAGTGTAAGTGGTCCTATTTTTGCCCAGCTAGTTCGTCATTATCTCTGACTTAGTGAAGGGCATTGATCAACAACGCTCTGGAAATCTGGACCATTGATTCAAGTGCGCACAAGAATGAGATTGCCCGCACCACCTTCCTCAAAGGCAAAGTATTCGAATCGACAGGAAAGATGCAAAAAGCTTCTATTGCCTTTAGAGTTGCCTGTCGCTTGAGGAAAGAGATTACTAATGAAGACCGAGATGTGAAGAGCTTGACAAAGGAAGATTTTGACGAGATTGTTGCCTTTTGGGCTCGTTGATGCGCCGGGTCTCTTTCTGTGTTGTCGTATGCTAATAGCAAGCAGATTATAATGCAGCCGGTTTCTTTTAACCCAATGTTAAAGTCAATTGAGTCCGAGCAAAGAGAGCGTTTATGGGTGATGACATCTTTTATGAATATTATGAGGTATTGGCAGCTAATCAATAGGGAGTTGGGACGCTAACTGCCCAGTATTTCGGTCTAAGAAGATACGGCGTTGCAATTTTATTTTCGAATTAATTCTTCAAATTACACCTTCAAGTTGGAAATACCCGAGATAGTCACATCAGAAATGGGTGAAAAACTTTTTCTGGCTGACAGCCTGGGGTTATTTCTGTCTGACATTCGAAGAACGCAGGGAGAGGTAAATTCAAAAACGGCACTAGCTTTGCGTGACCGATGTAGAAGCGCCGAGTGTTTGCAATTATTGCTAGGTAAAACTCCGATCTCCCCTAGAAAAGCAGAGGATTTAACAGGCATTTTAAACCTGTTAGGTCAACTTCAATACTGATACATGCAAAATTGATGGTAATGATCGACTGTACGCTAATGATAATATCTTGCTTATTTCATGAGTGGCATTTCTAGTGGTGGATTTGACGGAGCACTTTTAGTCGATCCAAGTGCTTCTATTGATTGAATTTCCAGCATTTAGATCGATTTGTTATACTTTCAACATTTCTATGCTTTTGTCATTCCATTAAATCATTGTCTTGATTTTCGCTCATTCAATCGGTATGCAGCTGTGGACTGGAATTATATCCTGTTTAAAAATTCAGTCCTGATCCCCCGCAAGGGTTGACGATACTATGGAGTAGTTAGTTAACAATCTCCATTCTAATAACTAGAAATCCAGTGGATTTCCTGTAGGCACCACGAATAAGTTAAGCACCAGGACTGCCTACATTCATTTGTGCTAAACCTGATCCGGGCATAAGCAGCAATGGAGAGCTGTTTACTCGAGGTCAAACCTCATCCTTTGTTTCACCTCCCAGAAGATATGGTTATGGACCAAAGTTGACCCTGCATTGATCCAGAACCCATGGCTTCTCTTACGAAAGAGTAAGTGATTGCCATTTATTGATTCAACGGACGCGACTGATATTTCGACGCTCAAATGGGGGTTGAGTAGTTGTCCTTAGCAAGTCTGCAGCTGACACTGACAGCCATCAGCTTCCCCGCCATCCGAGCATGCATTTTTGACATGGACGGTCTCCTCATCGACTCCGAAGACATAATCACGATGTCCATAAACCAGCTTCTTGAAAAGCACGGGAGGCCTACTTTAAGCCGGTCCATCCGGGCCAAACTCATGGGTGTTCCAAACTCGACTAACAGTGACGTTTTCCACGACTGGGCTCAACTGCGTATCCCTCGCGATCAATTCGCCCACGAAGCGACTGAGCAGATGAAAATGCATTTTCCTAGTTGCAGGCCGCTGCCTGGCGCGCAGGAGCTACTCTCAAACCTCAGCCGAGCACGCTGTGCTGCCACCGGAGATAAAATCGAGCTGGCATTGGCATCCGGCACCAAGGCCCCTAGCTACGCATTGAAAACGTCGAGCCTAGAAACGAAAAGGCTGCTCGATTTCTTCCAGTCTGATAGGCGAATCCTGGGCGATGATCCCCGGTTGCGTCCGGGCAGGGGGAAGCCAGCTCCTGACATCTACCTGGCCGCCTTGCAGTCACTAAACTCGACGACAACAAGCTGTGACAGGAAGGCGATCCTTCCTAATGAATGCTTAATCTTCGAAGACAGTGTCGCTGGAGTAGAGGCAGGAAGAAGGGCCGGGATGAGAGTTGTTTGGGTACCACATCCTGATCTGGTGGTCGAGTATCAGGCAAAACAGAAAAATGAGTTGTTTGAGATGACGGATCGTATTGATATTGAAGAAGATTGCCAGAAAAACCAGATTGATGACAGCTACATTGAAATTATATCAAATCTGAACCAATTTGATTGTGAGAAATATGGGATCAGCATATCTTGCTAAGTACAGAGTGCTTAGACGGAGAAAAGTGAACTCTCGGAGAATCAAACGGGGTTTTGAGGGCTCCAAATCCGCTTCATTTTAGGGTTGAGATAATTGGATATTGATGATCTAATTGATGTAGATGTTAGATGCCCCCTGAATGTATTATCTGGATCTCAATCCGAATAGGGATCTCTAGCTAGCTGTGCTTTGCTCTGTCCTGCTTCGGCTGCATGTTCATTAAGGTTTTTGTTATAAGTGTTCTAATTCTATTCCATTCAGTCATGACTATAGTACAGATTATTTGAAGGTGTATTTGGCTCTTGAATATAGAGGATCACTGGCCCACCCTCCAATAAGGATGCTAGGGGCAGACTGCGTTTAGTAATTTATAGCCCTGTAATAAAGAATACGCAGCTCTTATACTTAAAAGAGTGAGCTAAGAATTCTCAAAGAGATAAAGAATATAACTCCTCTTTATATTAATATTATTCACTCTACTGACTATTTTCTTTTTTTTTTAACAAAAATATATAAAAACCCTTTCAGCGCTAGAATCTCCACTGTTAAGGATTTTTCAATGTAATTAATTTACAGAGGGAAAATCTAGTAGTCAATTATTTCACTTTATAAACAGAATGAGAAAATGTTTACTGATTTTAGCATTCTCCGTTCTACTTGTATGGAAGTTGTAGCATCTCACTATTTTTAACATGATCAGTAAGATTTTATCTCAGTATAAAGGCTGAGTAAAAATTCTTTTTAATTAATTCACTGACTAACTTTGGAAAAAAAATAGAATAACGAAATAGTTTATTAAGATGAATATAATCTAATGAGAATTCTAGAGCTCTTACGTGATTTGATACGAAGTATATGCATCAAACCATCATCAGTTCAGAATCTCAGCCATTTAAAATCGTACTATGCTGGATTAGTGAATATAAGATGGAGCCTGAGATCAAAGATAGACTTGTTCAACATCTCTTGGAAAATAGTGGGCATCTATCTCTCCTTCCAATTGCTATGTGCAGGTAGCCCATTGATCTTAATTAAATCTTATGCAGATTCAGGGGTGGAATGGAGACATATTTTACGTTACAGCCCAATCCCCCTTCCTCGGTTACATGGTATTTATCATACAAAGCGTGGGGGTGCGTTTTCTATGCACTTACTAACCCTTGAATACTCTTCCTCCTACTGTTATCGCTATCATTTACATGTACTCTCCGTCAACAATTGCGGCAGCACAGCCTGGGCTACATGGATACAGACGTCCTGTATATACCGTACCAATTATAATACAAAATCTACTGTACCAATAGCCGAAAGACTCCCTGTCGCCGGATCTGGGCCTTGCAGATCATAGCGGCATAGTTTACGACTAACGCCCATGTACCTGGCGGGTGGGTGGATCATGGTGGGCCGCCCGCGCTTAGAAATGCCAGGGGCAGCCAGGGGAGAAGGCTTAGGGAAACGGGGACCCAAAAGCGGCAAGGGAGTTGGACAAAAACGTAGGGTGGAGCGGGGAATTGGATAGTGGGCGGGATCGCCACCCTTCTCAGCGGAGGGTCGGCAACATGGATCCTCCATTACGGGGAATGCGGGGATAGCGGGATAGCCCCAATAACGGCAATTGGTCCTGGGTATGTGCCTGGAGAACGTTTCTCTGCGGGTTTATGGAGGATGGGGGAGTTCGCGGTGGCGTCCCCGTGATGCTCATGTGACGTGGTGTCCGTTCCAGAATGTTTTGGAGAGCAATACAGCTGCAGGGCGCAACCGGGCGCTGCTGTCAAGGCCCCAGACTCATATGCGACAGTCCAGATCGCAACTGTCATCGTAATAAATGGCAGGGTTTCTAGCTGCCCGCCCCCTGCGGTCCCGTTGGCTGGTCCGAAAATGGATTTTTCGTAAGTAGAAAAAGCAAAGAAAATCGGCTGCTCAGGGGCTGAAAAAGGTGTATAAATTTAGATTTCCTCGTTCGAAAACAGGGGTGCAAATGACCAATACAGATCCCAACCACCAAGAAAAGAAACGAGAATGAAGCCAAAATCAGAATACATATCCGGAGAGCCCAAATTTCCCTCTTTGAAAAAGTTACATGCGGCTGCGTCTTGAAACAAGAAAGAAATAATGTCAAGCAGCCTAACCGAATTCCAAAATAACGAAAACCGTGAGAAAAAACTTTTTCCTGGTTGCCAAAAGGTACAAAAGTCGCCACCGTCGTGAGTCGTGAATCATTAAAATAAAGGGGTATCAAAATTTACGGCAAAGTTCAGTAGCCATTTTCATAGGCATACTTGTTTGTGGCGACGCGGTATTCATCTGGGAGAGCCCGTTCGGCTTTCGCTCTCATATTGCTGTAATACCAGTGGCAATTAGACACAGGAACATAAAATAACGAGAAAGAATTTTTGAGATGGGGAGAGCAAGGAAATGCCAAGACTCAATGAGAATGGCGGAGAGTGGCGGGGAATGAATTTCCGCTGGGCGGAGCGGAGCCCACATGATGCGCGGAATGATTGAGGGAGAAGGAACAAAAATGGTAAAATTGGCGACTGTTTACCTGACCCGTTTTTGGGACCACTCGAGATCCTGCTTAGTCTCCTTGGCGGCTTTAATACCATCAGCAAAATTGGCACGCGCATTTTTGAGACGCCGCTGAGCAAGCGCTTGGAGTTCCAGAAGTTCTTGTTGCTTGGCGTTGAGATGGCCGGAGCTATTGCGGGAATTAGTTTGGAGAGATCGGGAATTGCAATATATAACCTCCCCAGGGAACCCAGCAATACTAGCACTTTACAGCTTTGCCAGTGCTCACTCTTGATTTAGGGGAAGACTCACAGTTTCGCCTGTTTAGCTACCCCTTTGTCCAAACGGCTAGGATCGAAAACGTTTGACATACGGTCATTCAGCATGTCCATCAAATCGATGCCGGAATAGCCTCCGGAGGAGGTATCGAACGTCTCCCCGCTCGCGCTGCCCGTCGTAGTGCTCGCATCAGAGATTTCAGGTGGCGAACCAGCTACACGGGAGATGGGGTAGAGGTTTGCACTCGCGGGGGCCTTTGAAGGCATGGCGATCGGGAGGGAGGAGGCGGGTTGATAGTAGTTGCCTCTGATGGAATCCATTTTGGTCACTGTTGTGGAAAACGGGGAATTTCCTTAGGGTTTTTCTTTGAGCTACTCGAATGCACTGGAAGGCTGATATTGGTGCTCGCGAGTAGTAGGGAGCAGAAGCAGTTTCCTCGGAAAGAAGCGGAATGGGCAAATGGTAGCAAAATAGCAGATTGCAGCACCGGACACTGTGACAAGATGCTTTCTCTTCTCAACGGCGTGGAGGTATCACGATAAGCAGTAACAGACGATCAAGTCAGGAGGAAAATCTAAAAGACGGGGAGTGGGGGTATAACAAGCAGCAGGCAGTATGTGATAAGTGTTACAGAAGGGGCTGACTCTCACTGAGAGAGTTGTTGAAGACCGTGAAGACAAATATAAGGTGTTGATATGAGGTATGGTCAATTGGACGGAAGGTTAGGGGCCAGCAGGAAAAGTCAGTGAGGATGCTGAAGCTGATGGTGAAGCTGAACAGAAGAACGAGAAAATAAGGAAGAGGAAGAGGAAGACGAGGAGGAAGAAAAGGAGGAGCCTTTTATAGCCACGCCGGGGAGCCATCATGCCTATTCAGGAAGACGAAGCGAGACGATAACCCCGGGGTGAGAGGAGGGAATGCGCGGGAGAAAGAGGGAGGAGCAAAAAGGAGATAAGAGGAGAAAAGAGGAGAAACGCCAGACGGGAAGGCGAAACGCAAAACGCATCCAATGGCAGCCGTCCGCCGTCCCCATCCCCTCGTCGCATCCCTTCCCATCCCGACCGCCACTCGCTCTCCGTCGCAGCCCCTATCCAATGCCCCCCTCCCGCCCTTTGCCCCTTTCGGAAGTGTGTGGGACGCTCACCCAGCCCGTTCTATCTACTTAGTCGGTCTGCTGCCGCTCCAGCCCAATCCGCATCCACAGTCCACCCCCCTGCTACACTCCCCTCGCCTTCCTGTGCCCGATCCCCGATTGGCCGCTGTCGGGGTTCACTGACCCCGCTCGCCAGTCCACGAAGGAGACACCAAGCTCCAGCTGCCAGCCCGTTCTAGTTCCATCTCGGCTGGGTAGAGTCAAAGAATGCTACCGTCTACGCGCCCCCCGGCTGCAGTTGGGCTCCCTATTTTCATTTTTCCTTGGGCGAGGATCCTCTGTGGAACGGCGGCAGAGGCCCTCCACCGCCTTCCTGGGCGGCCAGTTATAACGCGGCGGTTAGGATATGGGTGGTGGGAGCAGATGGCAAGGCAAGGTTAGCAATTGAGGATAAGCAAGCTAAGGGCTAAAGGCGGCGAGGGATTCTTGGGATCGGGCTGCGGCTGGTTGGCTGGAAACGAAGTTAGGCGCAAAGGTAGAGTTGAGAGTGAGGATTGTTATTATGGAATGGTCAAAAGCTGATCCATGGGTATTTATTGGGTATTGGGTATCGGAGTACTGTATTATTTCCGGGTGTGGGGGTTGTTCTGCAGGCGGGTGTATCGTATAGTTTGACATCACATATAAATATTGGACCCAGATATGGCATCGATAATAGCTCGGAATAAATCCATGGATTTACATGCTATTGTTGGGAAATGATCGCGGCATCGATCAGGCATGCATGACTAAGGGAGCTTGACGTTACAGGGCTGCGGCAGAAGTGATTCTTGCAGAATAAATAATTACGCTTCATAACACTATCTGTTTTCCCTTTCTCCTGCAAGTAAACTTAACTAAGTTGACGGTTCATAGTTACTAAAACTAACTATTTAACTTCTAACTACGGAGGAGTTAACCAGGTTTATCGATCCTGTTTGTTCCTTGGTTCTGCTCTCAATTGACATCATAGTTTTGACACCATTTCCCCTCCTTAAATTCTTTGTGTTCCGCGCACTTTCATTGACGTTTAACGTCTAGCCATATAATCATATACTCTTCCGCAGGTTCAGTCGCTCCCATTCAAGAGAATACTCCTCTTCCTTTCCTTGTCTGGACATTCAAACCGAGCGCAAGAAACCCATCTTCACAGACCATACAGCCGAGTCAAGCGGCTCTCCAAATACCAAAGACGCTGCTTTGAACAATAACACGAGACTATCAAAAGGAAGTCGAACCCACTAATGCACCTAGTAATATGGTTGGGAAGAAAAGAATGAAAATCGAAGAACCGGGAAAGGAAAAATACCCTGTGCTGGAGTTGGACATCTTTGCATGAAGAAGGGCAGCAAAGCGGAGGCCAGACGGAGGAAGAGAGTTTCTTGTCTCGCCCAATCCCAAACGACGCAGCGAATCGATCGAATCGATCGAATCAATCCACGACACCACCTTGGCACCTCTTTTCAAACACTTCGTTTAGTGTGTGAGGGGAGGGGACGGACGCTTGTGGTTCAATAATCGATTTGACTCTCTCCGCAGAACCGTTGAAAACATAACCGAAATTTTTGCTTCATTTCTACAATACACTCTGGATTAAAAATAGAAAGGAAGGACGGAAGAGAAAAACGAAAAAATAAAGAAGAAAACCTGTCAACTCATGGAGTAGTTATAGTTCAATTGTTTGGATAACTTGCACTCTCCAATGTTAAAAACTGACTATTAACTTACAATTTAGCAAAACTGAATCAACAGAAGTTCCGTTTCTCCAATTTCAGCCAGTCTAGATTGGCAGTTTTAGCAATGTTCATTTCATACAATCAGTCAATCAGTCTACTCCAGTGCAACAGCAGCCAACCTCAATATAGAATATCCACATTTCGTATAAAATCTTAGAGCAAATGCCGATGGATTAAACAAACCTTTGGTCATTATCAATTTATCATGAAATATCACAATCTATCATCACTTTCTTCACAATGCACAAGAACAACTCATCTGAGACGGCTGAAAATCAGCTGATCTAGCTCTTTGGTAAACGAAAAAAAGATCAATTGAAATATGCACCCAGCTGAGTTTTTCCACTCTTATACATAACAGTACATACTGGTGAGATAGTGTAAATAGAATTATAAGAGTTCTACTGATAAGATTGCTAGTGGTGTGGAGTACATTAGATTGACGACAATGTAGCAACCGCTCTTATTACAAAGATATCTTCTCTAGATAGTAGAGGTGAAAACCGCAGGCGTTATATACAACTATTATCTATTCACCACGCAGTGGAATTTAAGCAAAACTGGCGTTTGTATGAGACGTTTCCTGATCAAGATTTTGATCACCTTCCTTTCGAAGATGCGTCGATGTGCTTGTTGAGAGAAAGGAGAGTGCCGAAGGTCACTTTCAACACGCGGGTGTAACAGCTGAAGAGCATAGTGAAGAGATATATGAGTTGAGAGCGCCTTTACATTTATCTTTAATGCACTCCATAATGCACTCAATGTACTATCTAGGTATGAGCGAATCATCTCATTATTCTGTTTCTGGCTGAAGACGGTCTGTGGATGATTCCTAGCGATAAACCCTTCTTCTCAAAGGGGGGGGAAAGGTTTGAAGTAATGTAGGCTGTAGCTCTGGAAGAGTCTATATGGTTCATCGACCCAGCACTCGATATCCCACAAAAGAACAGTAAAGTTTCTTCCTCGTCCTTGTCTAAAGACCTGATAGCGGAGCAGGTACTCCCGTCCCGCCTTATTCAAGTAGTCATATACCATCCGCTGTAGATATAGGGGGTTTTGATACCTTTGAACCCGACCAGTCTGAAATGAAAGGGGTATAGACAGTCAGGATGGGCTTGACCGGAAAGCACCAATGCAGCTGCTATTGTCACAAGCCGCTGTAGTTTGAAACCACAGACCTCGACATAGTTGTATGATACTTGATCGTAATGACCACTGATTGGATTGAAAAGCTGGCAATTAAAAAGGAGTTTGTGGAATCCGCGTTGTAACAGTTGTGCTTGAATCGTCCATTGCTGTATTGTCGATGGCGAGCCTTCCCAGGCATCTGTTACAACACCAAGTTGGTCTTGGCAAGTCGGGCTTGGCTTGTTCCTCTTAGCCTTCACGAATCAGGTTAGTTCGGTTCGGCCCGATACCTTACCGACTGAGTTTCCAACTTACAACATCGTTTTTTGATGCCACACATGAAAAAAGCTCCGGGCGAACGCGCCACTATCGATGTTGTTTTACCCATGCAAGACCCCTACATGACCCAGATTGCTGACGGAAGGAAGAATTATGAGTTCAGGAAATAGTGTGAAGAAAATCTGCTTCTATCGGACTTGCTCCGCACTCCAGCATCACACATGTCTGCGAAACGATGTCCGCTCGGACTCGGAAACCCGGCGATGGTTCCCTGGACGAAGACGGCCTGGGGAGTGCTGAATTCAATGGTAAACGCAAGAATTGGGATGGCTGTGACTTCGCGTATGAGATGGTCACTGTCTATGGGCTCAAGAGGCCGATAATCCTCAAGGAGATGAAAGACAAACACGGTTTGTGTACCTGCTCAAGTCAATCAGTATTATTGTTAACTGGAAGCAACAGAAGCTGGTAAGAGATCTAGCTCCTAGCTTTCACTTGACCTTAGCTAATTAAGGTAGTTCATCAACTGAAGAAAGTAATTCTTGAGAGAATTAACATAGCTATGGGAGCTCAGATGGGTCTGATGCAAGACATTGTCAGGGTTGGAAATGACGCGGCCGGTTTATTTACCCAGTAATAAAAAGATGATGAATGAAAAGGAGTATTGAGGGAGCAAATCTCAGAGCCTCGAACGATAATTACGAACGCAACTCCCTCCCAGTAATTTGATTCGTAGAGCATTCTTATACTAGTGTGCCACTGACAAAAATACCAGGAGACACCTACAAAGCGTTAATCTCCAAGCACTGTGTCGGAAGGTAGCTAACTTCTACTTCAATTACTGCTAACTAGCTATGTCTCTGGTCTTCCATTCAACAGCCAGAGAAATTACCAGGCATTCTATATTTGTGGGTCAGCTTCCAATCTAATACGACGACATACAAATTTGATGGTAGTAGTTGATTGTGCAATAATATCTCAACTAACCCCCATAACTAAGCCGCTCTTGACACTTCCTTTATAATAAGTTGGCTGGGACAGATCCGTGCAACATTGTCTCTCATTGGCCATACTTCCTGCATTTATCGCCTTCTTGAAAGTTTGTCAAGCTGGTTGGCCATTATTAGTGGTATCCTTAGGAACCTTTTCCTACCGCCTATCTCCATTCTCATCTCCTACTACTTCCATGGCTCGATAGTCCTCCTAAGCTCGCTATCCCAACCTTAGGACTCTGTCATCCTTGACTTTTCGCAGACTACATGGAACAATAGAGCGTGCTGATGTCAATAGAAGCAGTGCACAAATTATGAAATTTGAAGCACGGGATGGCCTGCTGCTCTTACCAGGTATATTCGTCCACTCGTCACAAACTAAGAAAAAGAATCGTGCTTTTTCCTTTTTATTTTCCTTTTTATTTTTATTTTTTTTTTTTAGCAAAATATACATTCTACCAGTGATCTGTCTCTTTATAGTCAATATCCAGAGTAACATGAGTCCGAATTGAGTAGTAATACTCCATATATAGATATAAGGAAATCTTATAATTGACCTCTAGTATAGAAAATCCCATAGCAGTGCGTGACCTACAAAAATTATAATATATATTAACCCGCCAAAATCCCATCATTTACCATCAAGCATAATTCTGCTCCTCCATCGCCCTCGCAATAACGGAAGCAAACCTGCCTGCCCTATCAGTATCCTGCTTAGCCGTGCCAATCCCAAGAAGCACTCTCTTAATCCCAACCCCAATCTGCTCACTCTGTGTCAGCCCGCGCAGCTCTGCCATTGCACCGTCTATCTCCTGCGAAGAGAACGCCTGTGCTTCCTTCAAGATGTAGGACAGTTCAGAGAAGGTGTTCACATTTGGCACACGGATATCAGAATTAAAGGAGCTGAAAACATCAAGCTGCTTCAGGATGGAGCGCTCCGTGGTTGTTGCGAGGATAAGCAGGCGGCGGTCCCCGGGCGGTTTCTTTCTTAACAACACCATCACCGTCTGCAGTACTGTGTTGCTAAAACGGGGCCCAATGGGGACCCAGTCGATGATTCGCTCGATGTTATCCATCACGACAACGCTGGTGGGACTCTTGTATGCATCCATGAATACCTTGTTCATGTGGGAGACTTTAGCGGCTTCACTATAACCCACCATATCCTCCGGGGATATGAGTTTGACAAATGGAAAGTCTGAATCGATGGCAATCTTGGCAGCTAGGGCTGTTTTACCACTGCCTGGCGGCCCGTGGAGGAGGACCGAGAAGAGAGAAGTCGTTGACTGAGGATCGCGCACTTGGTTGACGAATAATTTGCCTTCACCTAGGATGCTGTTAATCTCAGGGGAATAATTGATGATCCCGCCGTGCAGGCAGCTTTCGAGTTCTTCTTCGGAAACGCCGAAGGCTGGTTTCACCTCGTCAAGAGCATTGTGAAAATCTTGGCGATTGACTTTCATGTTGACAATATCGTCACTAATACCAGCCATCGTGCCGACTTTCACATGTCGGTTAAACGCAAACGACGATGCCGACTTCACCAAACCACTTATTTCAGCTCCAGAGAAGTTCTTAGTCAGCTGAGCCAACTCAAGAAGATCGACATCTTTATCCATCACGTCGTTTTCTCTCATCTTTTGTGTATGAATTTTCAAGATTTGAGCCCGTCCATGCTCGTCTGGCAACGAAATTTCCATATGTACTTCTAGTCGTCCCGGCCGCAGTAAAGCGTCATCAATCATGTCCATACGATTCGTCATTCCAATCAAGAGGATGTTGTTCAGTTGATCAACACCGTCTAGCTTTGACAAAAGTTGGTTGACGACACTGTCACCAACACCAGTTCCGCCGCCGGCGCCGCTACCACGCTGCTTGCAAACAGCATCTAATTCGTCGAAAATAATGATGTGGAGACCACTTTCTTCTCCCTTTTCCTTGTACTCTTTCTCCGCATCCGCAAATAATTTTCGAATGTTCTCTTCAGACTGTCCAACATATTTGTTTAGAACTTCGGGTCCGTTAATAACCTTTGGCTCCCTAGCGTTGAGCATTTTGCCGATTTGTCTAGCAATCAGAGTCTTTCCCGTTCCAGGCGGTCCATAGAGCAAAATCCCTTTGACATGCTGAATCCCGAGTTTCTCTACGAGTCCAGGGGGGAAAATCCGGGAAGCAAAAGCTCTCCGAAATATAGTACTGAACTCCATATCCAGACCGCCGATTCCCATGTTTTCGAATTTAAAATCAGGTTGGATAATTGAGTTTGCCGCGGGCCTTCGATTGGAAGGTTTCACATTGATTCCTGTTTTTGCATCTTTAAAAAAGTTGATCAGAGTAAAAGATGTTAGAATTCCTCTAGCGTGAGGATCAGATGTCGTCGGGGCCGAGGACGATTTTGCTTTTTCTGAAGCTAAATCTCCGAGTTGAACCGTTTTGACTGTTAACAGTAAAGGGATACTCTTATCATCCATCAAAATCTTTTGGCCGGGGGCCAGGATTTGGTTTTCGAAGTTCTATGCATTGAGAGTCAGCCATGATAACTTTTCCTGTTTTGTCAGTAGAAATATAATCTGTACTAACCCGAGTAACGACTCGCGCAAGTTGATCTTGATCATAAGGCATTTCTGTCCTCTTCTTGCCGGCGAACCCAATTTCCATATCCATCGATGCAAGGTATGATTGCCCACCTTGGCTAAAAATGTCATACAGCCGAACGGTGACCATATCCGTTAGTGCGACTTGGGCCCACGTCCTCTGTGGATCAGACATGCTAATGTGTCCCGGAGGGAACCCCTCGAGAGGACGCGCAGAGAAGACAAACATATCGTTTACAAGAACCAGGACATCGGAACCGTCGCGGGAAGGGGGGATATCATGCGGTGATACTGCGACACTTTAAAAAGGGAGATCGGATTGTCAGCATCTCATATTATATTTGTTATATTTGGGTGGTTCATTGAGACCAAGAAGGAGAAACCCGTTTCTCCCCAACACAACCCTCAAAAGAAAAGAAGAACGTACAGATTTCCATATGTATATGAATTATCTGGACTCTTCGCTGGGCGCAGAGTCCAGACTTGATCACCCATGCCACCCCCACCTCCTCCTCCTCTCGGCGGCATCCTGCCGGGTCCCCGCCCAGAAGGCATGTGTTGCTGTGGCTGGCCACGGGCCATGGGCGATCGGTCGTAGTTCCTTTTATCATCATAACCATCAGTCATCACAGTATCAAAATCAGAATCAGGACGACGGAGTGGAGTCGCATACCCTCCACCCAGTCGAGGATCCGGGCCATGACCAGATGACTGTGGACTAGGACTATTGTAACGGTCTCGCGGTGCGCCCATTCTGTCCCCGCTGGGGGTAGAGCTGCCGCTGCTCGGGCTAAAAGGATTGACGGAAGGGAAGTTGTTGCGATTAAACATAGTTTCCAGTGGCTGGTAAGTTAGGTGTAGTTGAAAGAATGAGAAATATGGACTCCTTCAGATTATTTATAGCCCTCAGTTTGCCGTAGAAAAGAACACGGTGTTCTCAGATATCGAGTTTCAGCGTCCAGCATATGTTTTCTAGGTAGGTGGGGAGCGAGAGGGGTTTGGAGGCAGCTACATAAAGTACAAGAACAGGCATCAATCAAAGTTGCAATGCGTAAAAATATATGTAGTCACCAGCGTCAAGCCAAATCATGGGCATAGGAACTGCGTATCTATAGGGAACAATAATCTAGCTGCTTCTTGTGGGCCTGAAACTGACGTCGAGTCAAGATAATCAATCTGACGATGCGATGGTCAGGGAAGATCCAGCCACGTCCCGCGCCACCTTACTAACAGCTCCTGTGGCGCACTAAGAACTTCCTGCCCTTTGGCGTCATCGGTGATTTTGGCAACTGTCTCTACTTTTATTAACTCAACAAGTGTTAGAAATTTTTATATTCAATTTTCAGAGGATGGTATTGTAAGTCATAATTGCTTATATCACTTCTATCTCCTCTGCCGGTTATATACCATTAAATACTAACCAATTTTCCTCTCCAGGCATCTTCTCGGCAAGAAGTCATGGAATGTCTACAACAGAGATAACATCGCCCGCGTCCGGCGCGATGAAGCCGAAGCGAAAGCGCGTGAAGAAGAAGAACGACGGCACTTACAGCAAGTCGACGCCGAAAAACGTTTAGAAATCCTGCGAGGACTCCGCTCCCCGTCGAAATCCTCTCCACCACCTGACCCCGAAGAGTCACCAGCCAACAAACGAAGAGATCAGGAACGAGAACGAGGGCCTCCTCACCGGAAACGACGGCGTATAGCTGGCGAAAACGATACAGATCGCGATATCCGATTTGCTAGAGAAGATGCACAACGCGCGGAAGCAAGGCGTGAAAAGGATGTCGTCGTCGTCGGCAAACTGCCCAAGGATGATGCGCCCCTGATGGATGATTCAGGCCATATCAGCCTATTCCCTGAGCCTGCAGCGGCAGATTCCGTCATTAACGATTTGAGGAAAAATCCCGAGGCGGAGGCTGAGGCTACGAGAAAGAAGCGTGAATATGAAGACCAGTATACCATGCGCTTCTCGAATGCGGCTGGGTTCAAGACGAGCTTAGATAAGGGGCCTTGGTATTCGTCGTCGACCACTGACATAGCGGCTCAGACTGTTGAAGATATGTTGCCAAATAAAGATGTGTGGGGAAATGAAGATCCGCGGAGGCAGGAGAGGGAGAGAGCGAGGATTAGTATGGGTGACCCTTTGATGGCGATGAAAAGGGGCGTTCGTCAGTTGCGGGATGTGGAGAGAGAGCGGAACAAGTGGGCGGAGGAGAAGAAAAGGGAGTTGAAGGTTTTCAAGGAGGAGGAGAGGAGGGAGAGAAGGGATTCAAGCCGACATCGTCGAGAAATGCGAAGAAGGCGGGGATCGAATGCTTCACATAATAGTCTGGACGGTTTTAGTTTGGATGCGGGGACACAGCCGCTAGAAAACAGTCGCGGTCGTAACCGCGAGCGCTCAAAGAAACACCGTCGGGAAGGGAGGGAGCGGAATCAGGAACGTTCCTCAAAACATATGAGGTCCTACGTCGATAGCCAGTCTCATAAAACCTCCAGAAACCACGAAACAAACCGGTCCAAGTGTCCGTCCGCTGACAAATGACTGCCTAGTTGGGTTACAGCACTTACAAAATGTTATAATGCCGATGTTTAAGTTGTTAATTTGGACTATGCCCACTTTCTATGACTGTCATGTTTCACGACCCGATTTTAATCAACTCAAAGATTCTATTTTGGTATACATGAACGTGACGTGCAAAGTCATCAACCCAAGCGTGGCTATCTCTCTTATTTTGAAAATATAAGTAAAACCTCATTGTAGAGACCACTCCTGCCGTCCGCGTTCAACACCCTCTATGTCCCAGTCAATCCTAATATCCAAGAGCCGAGATTTATCATCCTTTTTTCTATACTCCACATGTCCCTTGATAACCTGTCCCTTCATTAGTGGCATTGCTGGTGTTTTCCCACGGTTTATCAAAAACACCCCTTGTTGCCAATGGGTCTCAGGGTCGAACGGACCCGTCGAGAACGCGACAAATCCTTCCTTCTTCATATCGCGCGGCACCGCATTATCAGCCACCTTCGACGTCCTCGACGGCATAAAAAAGGTATCAAACCACACAGCCCAGCCATCCAATGCATCGATATCCGTGCGGAGCGTTACTTCAAATTCCTTGATGAACGTGAGCTCCTGGACAGTTATTGTGTGTAACGGCAGTTGTAGGAATGGCGATGCTTTCGCAACGATGGTTTCTTCTGGCTTCTCGATACATCGGACAAGGGCCTCATCGTATATATTGAGAAGCATGCTGGACATTTTAAACCCGTAGACTGAGTTCCAGAAGGTTATGTGTGAATCTACGAGGTCTGGATTAGCCAAGGGTGCGATTTGGAGCGTGGTATGTGAAGGAACCATAAGCCCATCTGGTGCGAGGTAGCGATCTCGGGCCCAGATAACAGAGTCGAACATCGCTTCGAAAAGGAGACAGTATCCCATCCATTCGGACACGATAATATCGACTTGTGGTACTGGTAGCTCTACTTCTTCAATTTTGCCACGGATGCATCTAGTGTTTTTTTAAAGTTAATGTTGTTATTGTAGCTCTTGATGTTTAGCAACAATAGAGTATAAAATACATACTTAATCACATCCCCAAATCCGTTGTCATATACGATTTCGCGTGCCCGGTCAATGATATCTGAATTGTCAACCGCAACGACCATTTTCGCGCCGGCTTTTGCGCAGAACATGGACAAGATACCTAGGTACAGTAAGACACGATAATATGGATATGAATGGATTCAAAAATCATACCCGTTCCGCATCCGACATCAAGTACGATTTTGTCCTTGAACAGACTTTTGTTATCATATATAAAATCCCGATAGGCATCTGTGCGGACAGAGTCCTTGAGCATGGACTCGTGTATACCTAGACAATGAGAAGTTAGTGATTGCGACCCTTATTCCCCTTTTCATAAAGGTTTGAAGATATAATCCGCACCATTATACGAATAGGATTTGAAATATTCTGACTCAGCTTCGTGGAATTTACTAGAGCCTGAAGCTTCAGTCTTTGCAGCTGTGCTTGAAAGTGCGCCGTTTAGTTCCTTGTCCAAAGACCGCTTAACAATCGTCTTGTACTCCTCGAAATCGCTGCGCATACGGTCCAGTTCATCTTCGAGTTCTCTAATCCGAGATATTGGATCTGTTTCTGCCTCCTTTGATCCAGGAGAGCCCTTTCCTACGTCCTTTCGGTCACGCTCATATTCCTCAGACAAGTCATCCAAGTTATATAGAAGCGCATCATCCTCCAGCACAGGTCTCAAGTATTGCTCGTCATCGAACAGGGCCGCAGAGGATACGTCAGGGGTCAAATTCCCAGTCTTGACCTCTGAGCGAATGTAGTTGACAAGTCTAATAGTGCCTAGGAAATCGAGGCCTGAACCGAACGAAGGCGGGAAAGTAAAAAGGAACGCATCATAAGTCAGCTCGAGGTCACCCACCATCGAAATCGAATGGCAAAATATTTTCCGCCACAACCTTGCGCAATTGAAGTTTTATTGGACCGGTTTTGTATCTACACACCAAGATCTTTCTGAACCCTCACAAGGTCGAAGTGGAAATTTTCCTTGCAATCATTGAGCATTGCCCGGGCATCTGGGAAGACCTTGTCGCTAAACAAACTTATGACAGGCTCACACTCTTCATCCAATTCGACATCTTCCCATCCTTCATCTTTGGATAGGTCTAGAGGGTCAGACGTTGACGAGCTGCTGTCGCTATCGGAATGTGCATCCTCCAGGACGGCATGAGGGAGTGGTGGGGAGGAAGCCATTGCCTCGTAATCAACAGATAAAAGAAACGTATCTGAAATGAGACATATGTATCCAATAAATAAAAAGGAGAATGATGTGTTACGTATTTTTTATACCTTTTTTTTATCTCTTCCCCAAATTCCAGCGTTGTTAGTGGGGCACTACTGGTGGGGAAACCGAGACCTGTGATTATTGCACAGATCTGCATACCTGAGTTCTTTAAAATGCACCCACGATTTGGGGTATGATAACTCAACCAACCACGCATATATGAAGCAGATGGTGATCAGAAACCGATGGTTATGTACCGCACATATACAGCACATGCCCGTATTTTCAATTCCAGCATTGCGCTGCATGGTGAGTGGTACAACGCTATCAACATCAAAATATTGTTGTGTGCGTAAGGAAACTAAGGATCACGGTCCCTAATTTCCAAGGGCTGCTCTATTCTCCATTCTATTCAAGGCTGCCTCAAAATCAATTAATGTCGACGAATTTTGTAAGTTCATTGGCAATCAATTTCCACTCAGTCACTGACACATGCGAATTGCCCAACACGAACGCAGGTTTTTAAAGTAGATATACATGTTACAAAACTTGTTCCAGCACTAAGAAAATCAATTCACGAACCAAGGGCTGGGGCGGGAGACACACATAATGTAAAGGGAGGATCGGGCTGCCCGCTCTTCTTTGCAAAATATTTTACAATGCTGAATCCACGGAATGACCGCGATCGGCTGTGTCGGTCAAGGGCAATCGTTCCATTACCTTGAAATTATCTCCTCACAAGCTTTCTCGTCGGAATCTAGAGTCAAGTGAGCTGGGTACGAAGCGAAGTAGTTTTTATATGAGGTGACTCCTCGTCCAATAACATCGGATCAACGCAGATGCCATGGCCCTTCGGCAATTCCAGGTTTTCAACTTGAACTTCGCACCTATAAGATCCTTTGCCCAGTGCTATATGCCTCAAAACATGCCGCATTTCAGGGTTTCTGCAGTCTCCACGGAACGCCAGGAATGGTGAACAACTTGATATGCAACTATGGGCGAAATTGAACATGAGTCGTATCTGAATCAATCAGCGGGGGAAATGCTTGTATTTTTGTCTTATGGCAAGGGGAGTGAGTCGCGCTGCAAGGTAGGGTTGAAATGAAAAGGTAGATATCAATTGTTTTGCTCAGGGAGCCGCATGGACCACGTACGGGCCACGCAGAAAAGCTTTCTTCTTTTACCCGATAAATGTTCATCAACGTGCTGCAGCAGGCAACATCCGCTTGGAATAGCGGATTCAACTTGCTCCTCCTGAGACGGCTGGAAACATCATCCAGGCAACAGGAGGTAAAAGTGGGGGTCAAATAAATGCCAGAGATGATTTTACCACCTGAATTCATTTGACAGAAGAGCCCGCGCTTGTGACCAGCAATGGCACTCTGTGAAGTTAGAGTCAATTTTCGGGCCATCATCGTCAGTGCTGAGAACTAGTTTGCCTACTCTGGAGGCCAATGAGAGAGGTTGGTTTGTGCAATCGTGCGACGCAAAGTTCTAAGTGCAAATATCTTGCTGTGTAATGATGCTTTCTTGGCGCGTAAAGCGCGTGCCCCACTTGTTTGGATCAAGCCTCCGCTTTCAACATCGCTTTCTCACCGCAAGACACCAAGTCAACATTTTTTGAGGATCTTCCAAAATTCAGCTGCCTATACTTATGCTTGGAGCATTGGCTGCCATTGCCCAACATCCTATCAATTGGCGCTCATTTCTTTTGTTTGATTCCCAATAATTGTCTTGGCACAAGTCTCCCATTTGAGGGCTGTTTCTATGGTTCTCTTTCCGCGAAGCTCTCCGTCATTCAGATCAGCCTTGTTGTGTGATCGATGGCATTCCTATTTAACCGCGCCAGGTCACGGCAACCTGCTGAGGTCGCGCGGTCAATAAAGGACCTTCTATCACGCCTGTGGGAAAACCCGAATGGCGGCTCAAAGGTTTGTTACATTTCACCGTAAAACTTGCTGGATATCCCGCTAACCGGAGCGGATATATTAGGTGGAGGAAGATCTAGCCAAGCAATTGGCTCATATGAAATTGATTGTTCAGGGGACACAGGGTTGGTAAATTTTGATAACAAATCGCTGTCGCCTAAGACTCTATGTAATAAAAAAAAACAAAGAAAAAACTCTTGCTCATGATCCCGTGGTGAAGAAGCCGATACGCTCCCCGAACAGGTACAGCAATTGGTACAAGCAGTCATCCAAGATGACCTGCTCTACGAACTAGCCCAAAGTATCCGCCATCTGCCATTCGAGGCAAGAAAAGATACGCAAACCATATTCTCTCACATCCTCCGATTCAGACCCGCCGATGCGAGCTCTGCGGATCCCCCCGTCATATCCTATATCGTCCACAACCGGCCAGAGATTATTGCAGAGCTGTGCTGGGGTTATGAAAATCATCGAAGTGCCATGCCCTGTGGATCTATACTGCGAGAAGCCTTAAAGTTCGAGGTCATTGCTGCCATTGTCCTCTACGACGAATCAGCCAGAGAGGAGCCTGCCATCCGGATTAACGAGGTCGACCCGGGCGCGAAGCAAACGGGAGAAGGGCTCTTTTGGCAGTTTTTCCAATGGATCAACCGTGGCAGCTTTGAAGTCAGTGCCGATGCATTTACTACATTTCGGGTGGGTTATTCCGTTTATAATCCCCCGCTCGCCGTTTATTTCTCCAAGCTTTTCATTCACAATATGGCTTTAGGATATCCTTACGAAACATAAAGGCCTGGTGTCGCAATACTTATTATCCAATTTCGAGCTTTTCTTCAGCAAATACAATAGCATCCTTGTCCAGTCAGACTCATACGTGACGAAGCGACAAAGTATTAAGCTGCTAGGGGAGATCCTTCTAGATCGAGCGAATTATAATGTCATGACGAAATATGTTGACCGCGGAGATCACCTCAAGATGTGCATGAACCTGTTGAGAGATGATCGCAAAATGGTTCAATATGAAGGTTTCCATATTTTCAAGGTCCGATGGCCCTACCAACTGACTCAATCCTCATTCCCCCTTTCCCAGTTTTTCTGACCATATCATCCGGAAAAAAATTTCTAACAAATTCTTCTTTCTAGGTCTTTGTTGCAAACCCTAACAAGTCTGTCGCCGTCCAGAGAATCCTAATCAACAACCGGGACCGGCTGTTAAAATTCCTCCCCAAGTTCTTGGAGGACAGGACTGATGATGATCAGTTTACGGATGAGAAGAGTTTCCTCGTTCGACAGATTGAAATTCTGCCGCCGGAGCCCACTGATCCGAGGCAGGGACAAGGCGATAATAGCAATAATAATGCTTTGAATGGATCCGGTTCGGGATCTGGAGCAGGCACAGCTGCAGCAGCTTAAAAAGAAAAAGAAAAAGAAAAAGAAAAAAACTCAATCTCCATTGAATTAATATCTTGTGCTGTTTTGCTGCGGTGCTGTGGTATTACTGTGCACGGCTTTGCCTCTTATCCCCTTCCCCTTCTAACGGCTTTCATATATTTTCTTTTCTTTGTTCCCATCGCGTTGGGCCGACAGAACCATGGTAGCCTCTAAAATCCCCCGCCCCGCACCCCATCCACGGCAGCTTCTCCACGCGCGTGGGCACCCCTTCTATTCCTTCTATATTAGCAACTTGCTTTTTCTTCCCTGGATTATCCATTTTCTGATAGTTATTAAGCAGGAGAGGGCGGAGGAAACAGGGAAACGACGAATAACGGAGTTTTTAAGGAGGAAATCGATTTTTTGAATATCAGGGAATAAATGGCGTTTTTAGCCCACTTGATTCATGGGAGCAGATGGACACCAAGGATTATTAGTTAGTCGCGATGTATAATTCATTTTTAACAACCCCCACTTCTCTTTAGCGGCCATTAGCTCCCAGCAAGCGACAAATACTAATAATAACATGCACAGAGAATCTTATTGTACATGTACAAGGTACAGATCTGTACACTGTGCTGCTAATTCGTGATAATTCGCTGTGACGGCGTCAAACAATGCCTAGGGCCAATGTACTGATGTTGCAGTACTGGCTGTATGTAAGTACAGGTTCCAGCCTCCAGGGTCGAGATCAACATACAGCCCTGGCTGTTCACCTACACGGATCGGGTTTAGTGCATCGTGGAGGCTTGGATCACGTGGCAGTGTGGGGATACTGACGATGCTGCGTGGTTGGATGCGGCTGGCGCCCGCTTGTTTCTGGTGGAGGTCCAACCGTCGCCCCTTTTTTTGGCTGCTTTGACTCCGACTACACAGCACACTAACGCCCTCGCGCCGTTCACGGGAGAGGCCAACGCCTGTTGATCAATGGCACCAGCTGCTGTTTTTTTTTATCTTCTGCTGCTAGCTCAACAAAACGTTTCTCCAAACTTTTAATTTCTACTTCGAGGGACACCGCCGCCAACTCCTTGCTGTGCTTCCTCCCCATCGCATGCCTGTATGTCTGACGGAGGAACCATTGTACCACCGCAGCTGCTACCTCGACGGTTGGTTCAACTCCTCCCTCGTCCCTTATATCGCGGCAGGCGTGACTCGAATGAATATTGCCGCTCTGCTTCCTCACGTATTCCAAAGCTGAAACCTCTGCTTCAACATCACGGGAGATCTCGCGACTGTCATGGTCTCCCCCGCAAGACCCCTCACCAGCTCCAGTGCGCGGTGCAAAGCACCTGACTCAATTGACGACAATGCTACCGCTATTGCTGAACCCCTGTCTCCGCCACCACCGATCCCATCTCCCTGCTCTCCCTCCCTTCCGCCTTCTCGGGGCTCTAGTCTACGAATCGAATCGCAGAATGGAGACTCCAAGGAGCCATCAGTTCCCTCTCCAGAGCCCCCTTCGTCGTCTATCAAGCCAATTCATCGTGTGGAGTACGAGGGCAGGAAGGATTCTGGTCTAGCTCCATCAAGGAGAGATAGTAGAACAACTCTAGCTTCAGACGAACTCTCTGCCCCGAGCCTAAAATCACCTCCCAGTATCCCAAGCATCATAATCGATGAAAAACACGCCCGTCCGAGTTCACGACGATCAGAGCGGAAATGGAGCCCCCTCAAAAAACGGAAACCTGATCCTCTTCCGGCTGTCCCACCCCTTCCACCCCTCGAGCCCGTGCCGTTTCGTGGAATTACGCTGGATATCCCAACTGGTTCCTTTGGAGACCTGACTACAGATTCCTTAGAATCAATTGCTGAAAGCCCAAATAATAATACCGAAAATCCTTCTGGAGCAGAGGTTGACGGGAGTCAGTCGAAGGAAAATCAGGATAGCAAAGCGAGTCCCACGAGCGGTGGAGGAAATAATAGCAACACTACACTAGGCGTTCACGGCAAAGTCAGGACCGCTACGTCTCTAAGTTCGAGGCATGTCACATCAAACAATTCTCTACGTCCTCGTCCAGTCAGCTCTGCAGCTCGAGCATTGTCGGTCGATGAGGAAGTACTATCACAAAAGGTGCGGCTGATGTATGAGATAGGAGATGACGATGTCGACGATGCAAAGGTTAATGAACTGTTAGGCTTGGATAATGAGGAGGCTATACTACATGAGCCATGCGCTCTTCCAGCCTCAGGTGACGGCGGTGAAAAAGAACGAGCAAAATCACCTACTCCCTCAGTTTCCGGGCGGGGTTCGAGAAGAGGAAGTTTTATCACAAGAGAGCCATTTGAGCTTGCTGGCGGGTTAGAGGACTGGGAAAATATTCAAGTTGGCGACGTTGACCGATATGGTTTCATCATTCCCCGACAAAAGGGCGAGGATACTCCAGACGCACCCCCTCCGGTTCTTCAACGAGTCTCAACGAGCTTACTGCTCGCATCCACAACTCCGCGCCGGAAGCGTACGCTGCGGAGGGAACCTTCTGCTGCGCCTAGCTCCCGGTCCTTTGCCGGCCGGTCTCCGCCTAGGAAATCGACAGAGCAATCCCGCCCCACATCTTCCCAGAGCTCCTATCAAATAAGCATTCACAGATCATCCTCGAGAATGCGATATGCGGCAAACAGGCTACCACATAACAAAAATCGCAAATTCGTTGATGAAGCTAGTGACATGTTAACTCTCCCAGGTCAAATTGTCGAGGATGATAACAGCCCACATGCCCTTGCAATGAAGAAAAAGGAATGGGAGAGAGAAGATAAGTGGAGAAAGATGGCCAAGGTCGTGTCTAAGCCTCAGGACGGTGCTGGTATGACATTCGAATTCGACGTAAAGAGCTCAAAACTTATCGAACGGACTTGGAAAGGAATACCCGACAGGTGGCGATCAACTGCCTGGTATGCGTTTCTAAATGCCAGTGCGAAGAAACAGAAGGATAGCCCAACAGATACAGAGCTCATCCGGACGTTCAATGAGCTCCAAGAGCTGGGCTCCCCCGACGACGTGCAGATTGATATTGATGTTCCACGGACGATTAGTAGCCATATTATGTTCCGTCGTCGCTATCGAGGGGGCCAGAGGCTTCTCTTCCGCGTCCTTCATGCGATGTCCCTCTACTTCCCAGACACGGGGTACGTTCAGGGAATGGCTGCGCTTGCCGCAACTCTTCTTGCCTATTACGATGAAGAGCATACCTTTGTTATGCTCGTGAGGCTATGGCAACTTAGGGGTTTAGATCGTCTCTATCGATCGGGATTTTCGGGATTGATGGAAGCACTTGGTAATTTTGAGAAGGAATGGCTTGAAGGGGGTGAAGTTGCTGAGAAACTGGTATGTTACGCCTTCTCCTTCTCTCCTTCTAGTATCCAGTACTAACGCCCTTCCCATCCAGACCGAACTTGGAATTCCCCCAACGGCGTACGGCACCCGATGGTACCTGACCCTATTCAACTACTCAATCCCTTTCCCTGCGCAGCTCCGCGTCTGGGACGTTTTCATGCTCTTAGGAGACTCAGAGGAACCGATATCCACATCCGCCTCCGCAACCAGATCCCCAACAAGCTCCCGTATTGGCACTGGCACTGTAAATGGGAACGCTGAACCAAACCCACTAGCATCGTCATCGGAGCTACCGACGCAACCTCTCGCTAGCCCCTTCGGGAAAAGCCTCGATGTCCTTCATGCCACCTCTGCTGCCCTTATCGATGGGATGCGCGATATCATCCTAGAATCCGATTTCGAGAACGCCATGAAGGTGCTTACGAGCTGGATTCCCATTAAAGATGTGGAGGTCTTCATGCGCGTTGCGAGGGCCGAGTATAAGGTTCATCGTCGGAAGAAGGGTTGACACATCTTTACCTACACATGAGATCCCCTCCTGCTGTGGGGGAATTTTGGCTCTCACCGGATCTCTAGATGAAGGCAACACACGGCCTTATTCTAACTTCAATTTTATCTATGCTCGCTAGATGCCCTTTTTTCACCTGCTCAACTCCCAAATTTTTTTTTCGTCGATTCCTTATCTTATCGCCTCCCTCACAACGTCAAGGGAAAAAGAACTAATCCAAAACACTTACAAAGTCGTTCTCACCCTTTTTTTCTTTTTTTTTTTTTCCCTCAGTATCTGCAACCATGGACTCTTCTAATTATTTCACTCTCCCCCTCTCCATTTATCTAAGCATTCCATTCTTCGCGCACCCACGTATTCTGTTCACCTATTTATCCTATTTCTTGTAATAATACCCCCTTCGTCCCATCCTTCACCTTTCATTATAGATGGCATTATGTTCTTTCTCTCTTTCCTCATTAATCTTAATTGCTCATTTATGAGAGGAAAATTAGAGAAAAGGGTTTTTGTTATTGTTTCATGTTGTATTTGAACTTGAATTTCTGTCTCTAACCCGTCCTCCATTTTTCCTTTATTTTATTCCATTGTCCTCTCCTTCTCTTCCTCTCCTTCCCCTTTTGATATGAGAGTATCTAGATACCCCTCTGTTTTCTGTGTGTGGGTGCGCATGCGTGCATGCGTAGTCTTGTTCTACTTTTCAGGATATGTCGACTTTTGTCTCCTATCTCCCTCCCTTGCTTACTATTATAATTGTTATTATACCTTTCTTTTTAACTCCCTCACAGGAACACTTTCATCTGTTTTCATTTTTAAATTTATGATAGTCTTTGAATAATAATACATCTCTATTTCATCTGTCATGAACTTCCACTTTGTCAAGTTTCTTATCTTCCTTCTCCCTTCCTTCCATTTTGTTGTCGTAACTGAAGGGGAGTTAAAAAAAAGATACACATTGAATATGGCCGCCAATAACACCCTATATATGTACTCCATTGCTTTTCATTCTATTCAACTTGATTTTTGGAGTCAATTATTTTATACTCGATTACCTTGCTATGATCATAAATCTCGATTGTACTGAACGGCTTTCTAACTGGCATGTACTTTACATATTTTATCCGCGCTGGCAATATTATATTGCCCAGGTATCGTTTAAAAGAATAATATCAAGCGATAAAAATAAAACTCCTATTCCCCCTCCATATTAAACACATATCGGGTATCTAACTTATCCGAAACAAGGCCAACCCCCCAACAGTAAAGATCAAGGGTATAAACAACTAAAGTCACAAATTGGTATAGAGGGAGCAAAAAAGTACAACGCTTAAGAAGAAGGAGAAAACAGCGGGAGGGTACGGTCGCGTCCCTGCAGCGATAAAAGTCATAACATTCGCACGGGAGGTATTGACAACGAGACGCTGGGATGAATTGCGCAAATCGTAACGGCCGTTGAACGTGATAGCAAATTCCGTTTCGGTATATATGATATTTGTCACGGTTGCGTTGGTCCGGGTATCCTCGCCCTCCAGGATTTTCGACTCCCACGACCCAGCCAGCCGCAGGAGAATGGTGTCGTTGGTGAGTATCCCATTCACGGACGTCCCCGGTCGAATGGTACCATCCCCGTAGGAGAGGAACTCAAAATCACCCCCTGAGCCGGCGGAGCTGGTACAGTTGAGGTCCTCGGTGAAGGCGAGCTCTCCCAAATACACCGCCGCCTTTCCAAGGTACTCCTCGGATTCCTTGACGCCGTTGTAGGTGCCGTTGAAAAATAGCTGCCCAGACGGACCGGGTGCAGCAGATGCTTCATTTCCCGGCGGGGGTGCAACCAGGTTCAACCCCAGTGTAGTGTCGTCGGGGGGCTCGGTTGAATTGTCGTAGTGGGCAAGCCCCTTGAGTAGAAACGCCCGGTCCCTACCTGCTGCCTCCAAGCACGGGCGATAAACATGCCACGCATCGGCTTTGTCGGTGTCATTTGTCTCCCAGGTGATCATGCCCAGACCAACTTTGTTGTCCTCGCCCTCGCTGCCCTGGGTAGACGGCCCGAGCCAAAAAACAGTAGGCATGCGATACACTCCGCTGCAGACCGTGTCTAGTCCATTTGACCCGTTGGTTTCCCGGGTAGGTCGCCGAGTGATATCGAAGACGGTTTCCCCAGTCCACAGCGTGCCGTCATCCTCGCCGGCTCTTTTCGGATTTCTGGGTAAAACGACCTCGCTGTCACGGGTCTGGCAGCCATATCCGCTTGAGCCTTTCACCTCCGATCTATCGCTATGGCCCGGGAGATCAGGATGTGAGGGGCGGCCACTGTATATGTAGGCTTCTGCTGCCAGCCACTGGAGCCCGAATATGCAAGCCACAAGGCGCATAACGGACGACCGGACGAACATTTCCACACCGCTCGCTCGTGCGGAACGGAATGGAATGGTGGGAGATCCGGCAGGGCAAGATTGCAGGATTCATCAAAATTTCGAAGCGAGGAATCGAGATTGGAACCTGTTCAACGGGGGCGCCTGGAAAAAAAAATAAGGGAACATGCATGGAGCTGAAGTTTTTTGCCCTTCAGTCCTCCGATCACCTCGCTAGCAGCCCATCTTTTATGATCGACCAGCCAGCCTAGCCAGGCATTTTGAAGGCGCAGTTCGTATTTCCCTTTGACTAAGACAGACAGACAGCCTTCTACGAAGAACTAGAAAAATGACCCAACCATCTGCAGGCATCAGTTGGGAAATATCTCTCTCAGAAAAAGAATGGGATGAGGATCCGATCCATCCAGCTCTGCTGCTCCGATTATCGACAGGGGAGGGTACTAATAAATATTTTGCAATCCATGCCAAAAAGCGGCCAATTACTTCGTTGCATAGACATAAATGCAAAACTCAACAGGGTCGAATAACAACCAGGGAAAAAAAAAAAAAAAAAAAACCCCCAGAAACGAAAAATATACAACAGAGACGCTCGAGGTTTCGCCAACCGAACAATCAAGCTAGCATCAAACTTGGATATGAGTATCAATTCCGCGGACAGGACTCGGGCCATGACCCGACCCTCCTATCTATCGATCATAGGCTATCGACACCTTACTTGATGGTGTGGCATCTCCCCTAGCAAAACTCGCTGTGACCTGTTCAAGCTATTTTCCGTTCAAAAGGTGTCATATGGAGATAGGATGAAAAAACACAGGGAACAAGACTAACTCACCGGGCATAACAATACCTGATCCCCGCTTGTTTCCATCAAGCAATTGCCTCTGTGGTGTAGTTGGTTATCACGTGAGTCTCATATTCATGTCCTCATCACAATATGATAGGTAGCACAAAACTACTTAGCGATCTCAAGGTCGCCAGTTCGATCCTGGCCGGGGGCATTTCTTTTTGCACTTTTCTATTGTTTTTTTTTTTTTTTTTTTTTTTTTTTTTTCAATTTTGTCTCTTCGTATTCAATTTCATCTTTCTTTAACTCAATACCCTATCAGTTTCAATTTAAACGTATTTCAGCGCCCACTCAATCACATCACAAATTTCGTATCAAAATGACATGAAATGTACCTTCCCATAATAAATTAATGTAATGGTACAAAGTAAGTTTCATCAATATCTCCACCAAAAAAAAGAAAGCAATCTATATTTGAGTGTCAGGGGTCAAAAAAAGGGGGGGAGAGGGGACAAAATTTAGCTCCCCCTTTTCTCTTCTATCTGCGCAAGCGAGGGCTCATTAAGGCTTTCGAAGGTGGGGGGAAGAGAGAGAATAGAAGGTGAAAATTACGAGTAAAGGGCGGTTAGAGACATGACTTTTTCCTTTATGAGTATTAAAAATGAAATAAAAGGCAAATATAAGGAATATACAACACTAGGCCAAAAGTATTGGCAATCCCCACTAACTTTTCTGCCACAAAAAGGCACCATGATTGTGGAGGGCTTTGCCAATGATAATGGCCCGGCACTTATATATACATATATAACATGAAAATTTTTATTATACAAAGGAAAAGAATAGTTTTTTGGATGAGAAAACAAACCCTTCTTCATCCGTGGACTTGTTAAAACAAACAAGACAAAAGGAAAAAAAGCCCACACCCGCAAAAGGAATGATGGTGAGGACAACGGAGACAATGAAAAATGAAAATGAGATCCTGAAAGGTGAAGTTGGAAAAATATGAGACGCAAGGTGGCGGCGGAAAGATGGCAAATTTCGGTTCTGATGCAGTAACCCACAATATGACAATTTCTAGTAAAACATCCTAACATGTAGAGATTTCGACCAAAACAAATAATAAGAAATTGCTCTAAGATCCGATGTGATATATGAAAACGACAAGAAACGAAATCCCTGCTTAAATTATAGGCGTTCAAATAAGACAGTGTAGTTATAAACCAAAGGCAACTAGGAGGATGATAAATAAAACTAGCAGTGAACGCTATGTTCCCGTGGATTGTTGTGGGCGGTCCTCCCGAGCGCGAATAGGTGATCGAGCCGCAGGGGATTGATAGTTATTAGTGTCGGTTCCGGGCCCTGAATTAGATGGTCCGGCGCTCTCATGAGAATGTCCATAATTCGGACCATATACGTTGAAGCTAGAGGGCCTGCTGTTGTAGGAAGCTGAGAGTTCATGTCCTCCGCCTCCGCCTCCGCCTCCCCCCTCCCCACGCCCGCCTTGAGAGTCATCCCGTGAGCCGGCGCCAGGGTAATTACCATGGCTTCTGCCATTGTGGTCCCCAGCAAATTGCGCGTTGTTGTTGTTGCTGCTGCTCTGTCCACGTTTTCTTTCCCGATCCGAATTTGATCGTCCCCTCGATGTCGACTGGACATCCCCCTGGTCCGTGCTGCTGCTCAACGAAGTCATATGCATTTGCCCCCCAGGCCTTCCTGATTCTGGTAGATCTCCATGCCTCGGTTCTTGGTCCTGCTGTTGTCTGTCATGTCGTAATTGGCCCCCGCTCCGTCCGGTACCTTTTGGAGAAACCCGACCTGGTAAAAATTGTGATGTTACTGTGTCAGAACGTGGTGGGGGTGGAGCTGGTTGGTGGACAAATTGCGCCTTTCGTTTCTTTGGGGAAATTTGATGTTCAGAATGAAGATGAGAACTCGGGTTTCCTGAGTACGGGGAATTATTCGGAGTTTTGGTTGACGGTGTGTTCGGCTGCGATTGACCAGGTGGAACCCAATGGTGAAAGTAGATGGACGGAGATGACTGAGGCTGCCGTTGCGATTGAGAAGGGGTTCCCGCATCACATTTGGCTAATGAGGATGCCTGCTGCAGGGGCACCGACGTCGATGAAGAAGTTGTGGTATAGGAGATGTTGGATGGCTGTTGGATATGAAGCACTGACGTATTAATGCGCGATAATATGCCAGCATCAGGAGCTGTTTGGCTTGTGGGCTGATTCCGCAGGCGCAACGATGACGCACGCCCATACGAGGCAGTGGATGATGGTGATAGGGGTTCTGGTTGGGAGGAGTGGCCCACTTTAATATTGGGCGGAAGTTGTGAAGCATACGGATTCGGGGGAATCATGCGGCTCTGGCAAGGGTTTTCAGGAGCCACACTTTGAGCAGCTGCTGGCATCTGAGATGGGGGTGGCATAGATTGAGATTGCGCGTATTGAGGACGATGATGGTGAGCGCCTGGTGAGGACGTAGGTTGAGACGGGAGAGGAGCAGGTTTCTGTTCCTGTTTCTGCTGGTGCTGCTGGTTCAGGGGTTGCTGCTGGGGTGGTAGATACTGTTGAGGTTGAGGTTGAGGTTGAGGTTGAGGTTGAGATTGCGGCAGTGTATGGGATGCCTGCTGAGGAAGAATATGCGTTTGAGAGGAGCATCCGTGCAATTGGGACATATGCTGCTGAATCCATTGGAGATTACATCCACCACCCATACTGGCAAATATCAGAGGCACCATGCAGGGAGGAACGCCAGCCTTGAGGGACTCTCGAAGCATTGACTGCTCAACTCTTCTCTGGTCCAGCCGGTAACTTTCTTGGCGCGTGCGTTCCTCCTCTTGTTCCCGCCGATACTCCTCCGCTTTTGTTTGCAGCCATTGGCGCATTGATTCATTTTGCCATTGAGGGGGTGGTGCCGGTAAATTTGACATGGAGGTATTCATAGGGGCCGCCATCGCGGGGACATCTCGTTCCCGAGGGGCAGGAGTGGCAGGCATCGATGGGAGGGATCGGTTAGCTGAGTCCATAGCCGCGTCTGACCGTGGAGAGTACGCAGAGAGCGTGGGAGGAGAAACTGGAGCGATAGGAGAATTCGGAGACGAAACACGAGGGGCGTAAAGCGCGGTAAGAGTCAACGCGTGGCGTTGATGGCGATGGTCGAGACGGCCGTGAGGGAGAGGCGACGACGGAAGTGCAGCGTACTCATGAGGTAAGATTCCGTTGTGCGGGTGAGGTTTCACGGTGAGCAACATGGATGGATTCTAAGCTGCGATCCTGAAAAACATAGATAGAATGATATTATATATATATACATATGGATATATATATGGATATATGCGTATAGGGACGGTGTTGGCAGCTCGTCTAATGTTCCCTTGCGAATAGAGTTGCGAACAGGGCGTCCGAAGCTCTCATGCTCTGAAACCTGTCAAACACAGGGAGTGCAAGTGGTTTTTGGCAGCACTAGAAGAGGATTGACGCTACAAAGACTGACTAGCGTATGAAAGCCTGATTTCGCACCATAATGGCATGCGCTTATTATTTCTGCGCCGTGGAGCGGAGTATTTATTGTGTTAGTGGTCGCAGTACATAAGTTTGATTCCGGGAAACTGTTACAGATTTGTAGTATGGGGGCGGGATAACGGGACAAGGGGATAACTACCGAAAGCGCAATGGGCATAGAAGACGGCAAAAGGGAATGACTACCTCGGTAAAAAGTAGGAGGTAGAGAGAAAGGGGAAATATGTGAAGTCGGCCAATTAACCCAAAGAGGCAAGAGGATGGAGAGGAACTCGATGCTGAATCCTGTGGTGCACGACAACAAGGAAAATTCGCGGAGGGGATATTGAAAAAATAAATAAATAAATAAATAAAAAGAAGAGGGGAGACAGACGATGGTTTCAACTCACCAAAGCGGTTTATCCTTTCAATGCCTTTTGTTTCATTCTTGGCTCTATTGGGCGTGTCCTGATGCGAATGCTGGTGCTGGTGCTGATGCTGATGCAGATAACGCTGATGCTCTTGCGAAGGGTCGACCTGGTGAGGCTGAGAGGACCATACAGCTCCTCAGGGGCCCGAAAACAGTTGGAGTCCGTGGTTTCTTTACCGGACTCGCAGCAACCCGCACGCGTCATGCCGCAGCTAGTCGATTGCCAGGAGGGAGAGAACTGGAACTGGATGAAGCTATCCACGCCGACTCCTTTGGAGGCTGATGGCTGAACACTTCCAAGGTTGTTGATTTGGGGCCAACGGGGGGGATTTTGGCCTGTCCTGAAAAGGGCAAGAGTGTAATCTTCGTACGGGATGTGACGCCCTTTAATTACAGCGCTAAGTGGGGCCCGAACCCCCCGCCGGCCAGGCCACAGCCGTGGGTCGGGCCCGGCGCCAGCCCCAGCGCTGGGCGGTTGGACAGTGGGGGCAGTGGGCGCCGTGGGCAAGCAGCAGCCGCGGCGGGTCCACGGCCCACATGCCGTGTGGACAGGTCCCTCGTCCTGGAGGAGAGAGATAGCTACGGTCGCATGGTGGCTTGCCTGCCTAGGGGCCACTGGGGGAAAGCCGACAAGCGGCACCTGGCGCTGGGATGGCGCTGGGATGGCCGACCCCTGGCTGTTGTATGCGCGTCAGGAAATTCATGCGCTAGATTCCATTGGGAATCTCAGCTACTCATGCGCTGCGTTAGCTTTCAAGCAAAACCGTTATAGTTCTGGAGTGTGAGGACTATTTCCCCTTCATGTTCCAAACTTCAAATATGTACCCATGAATGTGGTCTGTCTGGACCTTCGAACTCCTCGCATCCGTTCACTCTAACTTTGGAGGCGGTGTCACCTCAAGCGGTCCGGTCAAACCCACGCTGCTCCCGCCCGATGTGAAAAAGGCAGTCTGATCCGTGTGCCATCCCGAGACTTGGTTCTGCATTGCCATACCAAACCAAGGAAGGAGATGATTGTCCAGGATACCCTGAGAAAGGTCAACTGGCGGGATTCCTCTCAGCAAATGAAGTTCTGACAGTCACGGAGATATCCTTACTGAGAAAGATGGTCTTCATGAAAAGCAACAGGCTATTTATGGCGGATGAGGAGCTAGCTTCTGGCGCGCCTCAATATGTTAATTCCTAAGCGAACGATCTAAGTTACGATTGACATCAACTTGAGTCATAGCCAAACACAACTACTATGATACCTTTCCTCTTGCAAGGAAACTGATGAAATTCAAAATGAAATACATAGATAAATAAAATAATATATGAAATAATTAAACTTCCTCTCTACTATTACTGCTGCTGCTGCTGCTACTCCTGCCACCACCGATACATAATGGGATAATCATGTGACTTTGCAGAGTGAGGTCCAAGCAGTCAACTGTCTATGGAGGGATCTATAGTTAACAAAAGAGCGGGTTTTCAGCTTGATTTATCAACAGTGGTATTCTTTTCAAGAAGCCTGCAAGTACAGAATTGCTTTCCATTTCTCAAAAACCGTAGATTTCATCATTCCACCTCCATTCAAAACGGCGCCCACAGGAAGAAGACCATGAGAAATACAATATAACAATGTAACAATAAATAATATGACAATGACATGACCCCTTTATAACTGACCGCTATGTCTTCGCTTCTCTTCGTTTCGTTTCGTTTCGTTTCGTTCCGTTCAATCGCGACAAAGATGCCCCCAGTGGTCTTAGGAACAGGTCGTCCGTACTATATATATATCACCACTTTGTGGGAAACGTAGATTGGGCTATGCAGACGGATCACGAGCATCGTCCACCTGCCGCTGAAGCTCAAGAAGCCGGCTTACCCTCACGACTGGCCCGTGTGTCGGGTACGGTATGGTGAAGACTACAGTACATAAACAAGGGGTGTGTGTCTTAAATTAAGCAATGTTTGTTTTTGACGGAGGGGGTTTCTGTTGTGGAAAGAAGGGGCGGGACGGTGGAGGTCTCAAAAGAAGTTATGATGGAGGCGGGCTGGCTTCACTTCGATGCATTATGGCGTCATCAATCGTCTGTCTTGTAACTCTTCTTGCGTTCTTGTTGCGGTCCACGATCCACGGTGTTGAGACCTACACGTAGATTACACATATATGGAGTTTATGCGTCTTAGTTAGGTTTTCGGATATTTTCGTTGTTCTTTTGTCTATCGATAGCAGAAAGAAAGGAGGAGGAAGGGGGGCCCCAGGCTTATATCTCATAACGAGCCTTTGGGACATCGAAAAACTCTAGTGTTCCTCCCAACACCACCGTTTCCAACGTCCGTCCCGATTCACCTATATCTTCTTCCGCACCTTGTCCACGCCAAATGGGCGGTATGACCTGCCACGGCGTGCTGGGGAGGCCGTGGTACAGATAGGTAAAAAGGAGATGCCCCCCCCCTCCCGATTTCATGAAAAAAGACGTTCACAAATTGGAATTGAAAGCGCCGAAATATATGCTGCGATCCGGCTGCGTCGACCATGTCTTCGACAAGCTAATGATTGTAATTATTGTTGGGCTAAGGTAAAACAAAACATTCTATTAGGCTCTCTCTCTCAGGAGAGTAACTCACCTCCTTGGTTAGGAGTATTTTATGCGCCAGCGGATTGAAATTCCCCATCCATATTTAGCGATGATGACAGGCTGGATTTCCTGGATCTGTCAGGTTTCCATCAATGATAATCAGTGGTGTCTGTATCTGCATTATATTTATGAACCTATCGATGGAGCGGGCTATTCCTGCATCCGAGATATCGCGGAAAAGCTGTAGATGACTGGGTAAGTATTCATCAAACAGGCGAGTGATCCTTGCCATTGCGTCCTTTGCAGCTCGCGAGGAAAGGAGGCCAACGGCTGCATCTAGTGCTAAAGCGACATAGATGTATTCCGCAGTCGCGGGGCTTTGTCGGCATAGCTTCCGGGACCCGAAAGCCCGTTTGGCTATACAATGTCTTGCTGGGGTGGCGGAGGATGCGTTTGACATTGCAGGAAGAAGTATGCGAACAACAAACCGACAAAACAGTTTGATGATAGGAGCAGAGGTTCGATCAAGCGGCACTGATTCGTATTTAGCGGTGGTTATGATAGGATACCGGAAGTGTAATTGAACATAGGAAGAAGTTTGTGGGAGAAGAAATAGAATCCAGTAGCCCTTTTTATACACTCGTGGAGTAACGGGATATTTCCGATGTGGATAGCTCTTATCACTAATAAGAGCAGGAGACTCTCCTAGATTCCCTGGCAATAGTTTTGCGGAACAGAACATCAGCTGCCATATTTTCAATTGTGAATATACGCCGTTGGATATAGACATGCAATTTGACTATAGCCATCGGTAATGTAGCCTGCGCACAATTCAGATGGGCCTTAAACCTCGCTTTCAACGCACAAAAATCCCAGCTATACCTAGGCTATGTAGAATATCTTGTGCGACAGAGTCAATGACATACAGTCCTTGAAGGGCTAGATCATATATCTGCAGCATTCATGAAGTGGAATCAGCAACTACCGGCCTAACCCCATAATAAATATGTGTTAAATCAGATATATTCGGAAGGCTCATCTGTCTATGGGTGTGTGAAGGAATATATCTGGCCCATCAGGTATTTGTCAATTTCTCATGATATATGGAAGCATGTTTGGAGATTTCGTCGTCTCGCATGATCCGGGAGAATATCACGTGATCGTTATCGAACATGCTTGTTTACTTTTTTTCCAATTTCTATTGCTTGATATTAGAGGTGGACTAATAAATAGCTAACTAACAAGTCGACCGCAGCAATGCCGAACCAAAGCCAAGACTCTTTCAAAGTACTCGGCTTTCTTGATCATCAAAACATCAAGACTCACCACGATCAAACTTATTCAGAAACTCCGTCGGCACAGTGGGTATATACTTTCTCGCTCTCTCTCGATTGACACCTCCAAACCCCGCACCATAGCTCACAAGCATATCTGTGTTTGTCGGCAGTGAAAAAGGCAGAGTGCTTGTCGGGTTTAGTAGAATCGTTCCTGGGTCTGGTTTCAGTGAATACACTGAAGGAGGGCCAGGCGGCGATGATGATGGAGGTGATTGGGTGATGGCATTGGCGGATTGGTGGTTATTTGTTGGGTATTGTGTTGGTGGATCGGCTGCGGAACCTCCATCAGCGGAGATGGTTCTGAGAGGTTTATCATCGGAAGGGTGGGTGTTTGTAGTGGTTTGTGGCGTAGATTTCGAATCTGCAGCGGGAGGGAGACGAGGAAGCACTTTCTCTTCCCGTTGTGTTCTTGGAGATTGTGGGTGGTGGATCTGGGCGAGGAGGGATGGCTCCTTTCGTACCTCAAGGAGATATTTCATCGCCGCCTTTGGGAGGCCCTTCTCACCCACCTCGGGGCGATAGTGTCTCACGGCATGCAGGAGCTGGCTCGGGGTAAGTTGTTGGAGTTGTTGAAGGGTCATGGTGAGGGAATCGGTGTCATCACCCAGTGAGGAGAAACACTGGAGCCACTGAAGCAGTTGGATGACTGGGGCTAGGTATTTTCGAGCGGAATCTACGGTGGTTTCACCAGAGCATAATGTAGAACCGTTCTCGTAGTGCTCTGGTTGTCGATTGTTGTTACGTGCCCAATCTTCCAGTGCAGACACGTTCATCCGAATTTGCATAGCCTTTGTTCGGGCAAGATATCGTCTTGTGGTCATAATGCGGTTGAAGAGTTCCACTCCTAACCAGTATAGAAGCTGTGCTAAAATCTGTGTTGTAATGATAGAATGTACGTCGTATAAATCCAACACAAATAGCGTTGATGAAAGTAACGATGTAATATTCCGAGGTGACACCTGCGCCCTACGCTTCGGTGATGGTGGCCGAAGGCTCTTTTCAAGCGGCTCTGGCTTTACCTTCGTTCGTGAGCGAAACAGATTCCATTCGTTCTGGAAATGGACATCTTCAAACCCGGGAATGGTTTCATGGTCAAGCATGGCTGTATCCAGAACTTTGTCCATCCGCCGCTCTGCATCCCGGATGATGAGTATAAAAATTTCGTGAATTAGTTCAGCAAGATGACGCTGAAATCCTGCTGTAGCTTCTACTAAGCCGCCATCTTTCTTTAGGTAATGTAGGAGGAGAGTTGCATTCGATATCCAAAAGGCCAAAATCGTCATATCCCATTGATGTTTCTCCACCACCTCGTTGATCCGGCCCATTGCGGAAATTAATAATTTGGCTAACAGCTCAGGGCCCGCGTGGTAATGGGCGTATCGGGCGCTTAGAAATAGAAGGTTTGCTGGGACGGGTTTCTGCGACGGAGATCGCTGAGGCGTCATATTTGTAATAACAATGTCCAAAATCCTTTCAAGCTCATTCTCCTGAAAAACAAACATCTGATCATTAAGACATCGGTCCCATACGAATTCCTGTTGGTCTTCGAAATCGTCTGGCAACTACATATTATTATTAAAACATGGCAGAGTCAGTAAAAACATGTCCTCAACCACCTGTACACCAAAAATGGTGAACTCCCAAAGCTTACCTCGAGCTTCTCATCAAGGCCCAGGCTCGACAAGTCGACTTCCAGATTAATTGCACTCTCCTCCATCATCATTCGCCTCTTCATTTCATTCTCAGCCATTTCCTCTTCAAATCTGTTATGCGAGAACCCAAAGTCATAATAGTCGCCCGCCGCCACCGATGCGCCAAAGTGATACCCATTCTCTTGTAGATATTTCGAAATATCCGTCCCCGGCTGTGCAAAATCGAAGGCCGTCCCACCAGAGGACGACTTGATATCCGGCGATGCACCATAATCAAGGAGGATCTTCGCAATAGTCTTGTGCCGGTTCGTCATCGCCCACATGAGCGCGCTCCACCGGTTTCGGTCTTGTTTGTCGACATTCGCACCAGCCTCGAGCAGTGCGGAAACCACTTCTTGATGTCCCTGTTATTATTTAAAGGGGATAAAAGTATCATTCCCTTCGTCAGCCTCGAAAGTACTAACACGCTGCGGGCTGAAACTAGGAGTTCTCGCATGCGTTCCATTGCCCGCGGAACAAAAAGCAACAAGGGGTTTCCACGTACGAAGCAACTCGCATATATCAGGGGCACCGTCCCCTCCTCGTCGGGAGTATTGACATCTACATATTGTCTCGCTTTCCCCCCAACAAGCTTCCGTACCCGCTCCACATCGCCATTGCTGGCTGCCATATTCAAACTCCTTTGTAACACATCCCGCTTTTCCTCGTACGACATCTTATCGTCCGTCGCGATATCATCCTCATCTACACCGACAGACTCTACTTCCCTATGTGCCGCCTGTGCGGCCAGCATTTCCATCAATCTCGCGTCGGAGTCTTTTGCCTCTGCCCTCGTCGTTGAGTCGCCGTCATCGAGGTAATAGTTGTGGGTGTATCGGGAGTGGACACCATACTCTTCATCATGGCTTCCATCATCAAGCGCGAGGTTAAAGGAGAGAGGCTTTGCCGGAATAGGGTTTGTGAGAAAATGGGATTGACCTGATATGGAACCCAGCGTGTTTTGGTCAGTAGATTTCATCCTGCTTAATTAAAAAGGACACAAATGAAACCCAGCGTCGTCGTAAGCATCCTATAACCCTCAATTCAAATCGGGAAGGCGGAATACAAAGCGTTCGTAAACTCAAGAGGACCTCCTCATAAGAAAAATCAACTGCATATTAAGCCCCAGTTCCAGACGCGCATTACCAAAACCTCGCTTTCCATCCCTCAAACAGAGCCGAAACAAAGGGAGGTCAAGCACACCCACCTTGCCAGGCATCATATATCTCCGTCTCCGGCCCAAACGTCGGCACAGACCGTCTATCATCCAGTGACGTAGGTAAGTCGTCAGGCAGCTGCCTCGGTTTGGGCGCGGTATCGTTCTCGCCCTCTCCATCATCGCCATCATCATGATAATCAAGCTTGCCCGCACCCTCCGTGATCCTGCCGTTGAAACCGAGCCTCTCCTCTGCCAGCCGGGGTTCACTGGCGTCCATGATTTGAAAACGTATAATATAAGGCAAACTGGCGGTGGAGGTCGATAACGTATGTGATTTGTCGAAAAGGTGGAGTTTATATTTATTCGACCAAACTCACAACGGGAGAGTAGAGGGGAACCCAAGCTGACTGGTTTGCGGCCATGGGGCCCGCTAGGACTTGTGGAATGAGGGGAAACGGTGAGTTAGGCGAGATTGTTCAAGGGGTTAATTCTTGAGGAGGAGCGAGGAGATAATGGGCGGTTGAGCGGCTGGTTATATATTATTGTAGGTGGAAGAAACGAAAAGGGTAAGCTTGGGGATCGGTAGAGAGAAGTTGAGATCGGTGGGCGATGTGGGTGGGTAACTTCAAGGCCGGACGGAGCCAACCAAGAAAAAATGACGAAGCCACAATAAAACATCACGCTCTGAAAAGATGGAAACGGCACAACAGCAGTAGTATAAGCTGTATACAACTGAATTTTAATATCTTTAAACACGTAGTCGCCTGATTATGTTCTATCATGGATATTATCATCATCATTAAATTATTACTTTGTTGACTGGAAGTTTGAAGCTGCAATGGAGGCTGAGACCAAAGAAGTGGGAACTTCCTTTGCCTTCAATATCCGTAATATATGCCTCGATAGTAGGCGAAAATAACAGTTCAATGCAAGAGAAAAGACACATGTAATAGGCACCCAAATCAATCTATGATAGCCAAACGAAAAACAGGCACTTGAAACGAAATGCTATCTATCAAGCGAACAGATGAAGCAAGGGAAACACAACGTTGATTAAAAACAAAACTCCCACAATAATACTGATACAACGCTAATTAATAATATGTCATGATCCGCTCCTAGATATGACGTAGATAGAAGGAAATTCGTTCAGCAAAACAAAAAAATAAACAGAGGAGGAACAAAGGAGGCAAATGCATTAAAAACCGAATATATAAATGCGGGGATATTCATGAATTCCATGTAGGCAAGGTGGAAAGGCACTAGGCTGTTTGTTCACTGCGCAAGGTCATTGCTCAGAGCCACAATTTTCTCGTCAGGTAGCGCGGAGATCCAGAGACAGCGTTCGATGATCCCATAGACGGGTTCGAAAGTATATTTCGTACTAGCATCGATAAGGCGAAGCAGGCTTTTCACAATCGTTGCAGCAGTGCGATACCGCTCGAAGTTCACGAGAGGTTCGCCATCCCGCGTACTCGCTATCTGAGCAGGCTTCTGGGAGTTGTAGGTCAGGTCTTGGACATAGAGGCCTAATGTCACGTCAAACCTATGGTTAGCCAATTTTCCTGCTAATTTGAAATATTACGAGGGTGTAAAGGAGGGACTGGGAAATAGCTAGCTACTCACCGACAAACGGGACACATCCGTCTTGCAGGTTGGTGGTTTCCATCTCCAATCGCAATTTTTGGAAATTACGAATGGGCTGCGCTAGTGTCTCCATATCCTTAAGCAGCCGCTTCTCGCCGTCCGCGACTAGCTCCCAAGTCTTCGTCAGTCTCGTGCAATCAACTGAGCAGAGCGCTATGGTGATCTGCAGCATGGTCGAGTAATTCCGGAGCCTCCTCGAGTGCACGGCCACGTGGATAAGTTTGGTGATAGTTCGCGCTCTTTCAGTTATATTCTTCGTCAGAACAACCTCTGAGACTGCCCATTTCACCATGAGGTTGAAGCGAGCAACAACAATATCAATTCCCCTACGATCATGCTGCGAAAGATAGCTCGCCCAGTTAAGTGTTGACTGCGAGGACTGACTCCACCGCATGTCCACCAAATCCTTCCAGTCAACCTCGTTCAGTGCAGCCTTTTCAACGAGGGTGAACTGCTGAGCAAGCACGAGGGATTCGCAGGCCAGAATGAAAGGCAAATGGCAATTGTTAGATGATAGCATAGCTGGGGTTTCTTTGACATATGTTTGCGTCTCTGAGCTAAACAAGATATTACTTGAAAGATTTTTCAAGTCTAGCGTTCGGTTTGTAGAAGTGCTGGGCAGGTTTTTACCACTGGGCGACAAGTCAGGTGTTATAGGCTGCCGCTGGAGGGTGATGGTGTCCACAGGAGCAGCATAAGACGATGTCGAACCAGGGTATCGTGCGGTCATTGGTGGAGACGGCGGGTGCCTCAAAGGATGTGAAAGCATGTCTAGGCTCGGTAGTGCTTCATCTATGCTGGCAATTGCGCTGGTCTTTCGATACTTGTCGACCGCTTCATCCTTATCAATGACTGATATTTCCGAGGAGAGCTCGGAGCCGTAGCCGTCATCATCATCACCCTCATGAGCATTTGGTTTGGGTAGCGAGGAGGATAATGTAGGGGGCCTTGGGACAGTTGACCCTTGCGGAATCCGTTTTAAACTCTCTGTTTCTTCAACCATATCAATCGATGGATGAGACGACTCAAGTCTACCAGTTGCTGGATCGTCATCCTGGTTGAATGTTTGTAGTGGGGATTGGGTTGGTGGACTGAAAATGGGACTTTTCATAGACTCGTCGCTCAAACCACGTTCAAGGAGCGGGATCGAGCAATATGAATCCTCGGAACCTATGAACGATTCTGTATCGGGCGCAGTAATCGTAGACAACTTTCGATCATTATCTGATTTGAAAGTAGGTGCAACGGCAGGTTCTGTGAGGTATCGTTGACGATAGAATTGTTCTTTACGGTCGTTGTGTTTATCCGTGAGTGTATCACCAGAGTTAGGTTGTTCTTTACAGTCTCGAGGCGTAGCTGGCGACGGCTTCTCCCATTTGCCCTCCAATTTAAGAAGAGTCGATTCGATTCCTCCATCTTCATCATCAGGGATCCTGGAGAATCCTGCAACTGCAGCCTCAAAAGAGGCTCGCATCCGATGGGAGTGACGTGCTCCAGTGGCGGAATGATGTTGCATTGGAAGGAGTGCTTCTTCACGCTCGCACCATTCGTTCGGTGGAGCTCCTGCCGTGCCATCCTTGTTCAAGTATAGGAGAGATTCTGCCATTGATGCTGTGTACGATGTCCCAGAGGCAAAGGATCGTACCCTGGGCCCTGCTTGAAGATCATGAACATTTTGGATCTTCCTTAGATCCCCGCCAGGACGACGGCGAAGCATACGAGCAAAAGGCTTCTCTCGCGATTCGCGGAACGATCCACTGCGTGACACAGTCTCATTCGCAAAGCCAATGCTTGACTGCTTCCCAAACTTTACCATCCCGCTATGATAAGACGCGTATCGTCGTAGCCTACTACCCGAACTGGATCGTACCGGGGTTTTCGAACCATTTCGAACCACAGAGGAAGATCGCTTCTCTGGAAACCTAACGTAGTCTTCCGAAGTTCGCGAATCTCGAGTTTCCGATATGGAGTTCGTATCATACCGTTCTAATGAGGGGCCGGGAGCACCAACCAAAGTATCACGATGGGATATAGGAGACGACGCATCGATCGCCTCTTCGAAATCGTGCAATGGTGATTCTTGGAATTGGCGGTGAACATTTTGGATAGTCTGTAATGCTCCAGATATTAGCGGAATAGCTGGGCGGGTGTCATCCACTATAACAATCGATTTGCTTCCAGCCGTTAGCTGGCTCGGTATTCTCTCAAGCCCAAGGCCATATTTAAAGTCAGTTCCCGGGTTCAATTTATCGGTCGACTCCGGTAAAAATAACCTATCTTTTTCTAGCTCCCTGGTAGGTACGATCTCAGACACAGGTTCTGATTTCAGTGACTCCCGCAGAACAAGTTGGCGATAGCACTGGAGAGCATTGTCACACAGTACGTCAATCCGCAGATTGACTCTAGCATCTGGCCCTGACCGTCTTTCCCTGTATGTATCGCATCCCACCCCGACGTTTAGAGGGAGTGCAGAAGTTTTACCCTTTAGTGATGGTAATGGACTGGAATTTGAAGGCTGCGGGGTTGACGAATGGCCACTTTGTCTATTATGTAGAGCTCGACGAATTGTACCAATGAAGGTTTTGACACCTGGTGTAGATTTAATCAAGTTATCTCCTTTTGTCACCGGCGTTGGTTGTACAAAAAACTGAGTGGCTTCAAGTGTAGGTGACGCAGGTGCGATTATTGGCACAGATGGATCCACTGGGCCGTAGGCATTACCTCGAATTATACTTTCAGCATGGGGCAAGGCTTGGAGGAGAGATTGTCTCTGAGTGTCGAGATTTAAAGCTGGTAGCGGTGCTCGATCATCCCGTACAGAATCCGAAAAACTTCCACTTCGTTTGTGGGAATGAGTGGGCCGACGCCATAGTTGAATCATGGGTGCCGTTGCCGGGGGGTCAGTGGATGTTGGCGAACTACGCGGTGAAGAGGTCACTAATATGGGATGTGGGCCTTTTGGACGGGTCGACTGTGTGGACCCACGTTTCTGTCCCTTGGAGGGCAAGGAACATGAAGCTGCTTGGATACTTTTTACACTATCCGATGATGGTGGTAAATCCCGAGCAGACATTGCAGAAAAGTTGTGAGTATGAGAAGGTGAACGGTGAACGTCTCTCTCTTTTTGATGAGTGGTCTTCAAAGGAGATGCGGTTAACTGTGGTACTACATCCACAGCTTGTGATTCGATAGTATGAGACGAGGCCCGGATACCGCTTAAGCGACTTAGGTGAACATCCCTTGATCCGGCAACACCCCCGGGCATAACTTTATCATCAGGTTGAGCGTCATTGACAAAATCTGGTGAGTCCCAATACAGAGCGCATCTGCCATTCCAGCACCGCTTCAAGTCAAGAAGGATTTTGAGATCACTTGCGCTGTTGTTGCTGCTGCTTCTGACATTCTCATATATCTGATTCAGTCTCTGGCAGAATTGAACCCGAAGGTCACGATTGATAACGAAATCGTCGACAAAATAGTTAAGAATCCAATGCCTTAAAGCTGCGAAAGTGCGAATCCGGATTATCCTTCCATCATCCTCCAGTCGACTGATCGCCCATTGGAGCCTTGCCAACAAAAGTGAAAGGAGGTTACCGGGCGAAAGATAAGACCGAAACGTGAGGAAGAAGTCAGATACTAATTCGTAATCCATAAACGAATCCGATGAAATCTGTGCAACTATTCGAGCGGGAGTAGCAGCAGATATCTCGTTTGAACCTTTGACATAGCGGACAACTGACGGGTCATCCATTTTATGAAGTAGGAAGTCAAAGATAGAAGGTTCTATTGGTTCTCTCAATTTGTAAAACACGGATGACTGGGCTGATGTCAAATTCGGTAATTCGTTGAATTCCTGATTCCCAGTACGTACGGATCGCAAGATTGAATTTGTTCCGGGGGTCCTTGAGTCCTGGTGTACCAATCGAGACGGACGGGGTGCTATGGCCGAATCATTCTCAGTTCCCATAGAAGATCGAAAGTGCTCCGATGCAGATGTTCTGGTGCACGCAGAGCTACGCAGAGTAGGGTTGCCTTCTGATGTAAACCGAAACCCTCCAAGTCTGAAGTGGGGAATTGGGACTTCAATGGCTGGGACTGGAGGCTGGTCAGCCGATTTAGGACGCTCACTTTCAGGACGCTCAATCACGATCCGCAATTCTCTGCGATTTCTCGGATCTGAGGACGGAATATTGTCGAGTGAATGTCGCCTTGACTCTTGGTCGTCTGTAGTCGTCGATACGTCATGCTTGCTTTCGTTGCTATCCTCGCGAACCATTTGGGGTCGTAACTCTGACAGCTGGGAATTAGACCACATACTATGTCTAGCCAATCTGGTGTTGTCCTGTTGGTGGGTTTCTGGATGTAGGTATTGCTTGTTCAAAGATGGGGGAGGAGCTTTTATAACAGGCAGGGGTTGTAGTCTGGTCTGGTTCGTTGGTCTGGAACGACGGAGTCAAATAATTAGTTCATATTGCGCCTTCACACCAAATATCCATGAGTTAATCGTATCACCGTACCTGAGGTACATTTTCCCGTTGTGGCCAACATTCCCAACCGTGAAGTGTCTCGCTTCTCTACCTCCTAGCCCTGAAATTCCAATGCCTTCAGGCGGAACATCAATCGTGTTCGAACGTTTTAAAGCCCTCTGCCTCAATACTTCACTACTATTCTTAGCACGGCGAAGTGAATTGGTTCTCTGTTTTGCTTTTGCTGGAGAGGTATTATTTCGTGCTTGCCCATCCTGTAATCTCGTATGGGGCTGCCCAAAAGAATGGTTCTCCGATCGGGAGGCATGGTTAGGAACGCGTTTCGACCGCGGCTCATTGACCGCCTGCTTTGTGAAAATCCCAGATGTCTTCCCTTCTGACTGAATGGGGGTCAGTGGTGTTCGTTCCACATGCCGGAATTCGGATTCCATCTCCACGAAAACCGCAATCCGTATGACCTCCGCTCTCGGAAGGTCGAATATATTTACCACCGCTGGAGGAGAAGAAGGAGGCGGCAGCGGCAGCGGCGGAGAGCGTAGAAATAGGAAATCATTCGTGTCGCATCACTCAACAAAACGAAGGGTAGAATTCATCGACGTTTTGGAAATTGAAAGTCACGGACAACAAGCATCGGGGTTTCAAGGTTGTCAACAACCGCAACAAAAAAAAAAAAAAACAAGCAACAAACTGTAACAACTGCAACAACAACAACCTAAACAAACAACAGGAAATAATTGACCGTTAAGATTAGTGGGACACGGGGAAATAGTAATGAAAAAACTAAAAGAATAACATAAAAAGGTAAATAAAATAAAAAGGTAAACAAAGATAGAAGTACAAAACAAAAGGTCAACTACCACCCTCCAACCCCCAGCAAATCATTGTACCCAATCCGTAGAAGCAGGTTAACCTGAAGCCGTCTGTTTGCGTGACCCGGAATAACCAAGGCTGGTCTTCGGGCAAGAAACCTGACACGAACAAAGGCACACGTAACCACTGGTATGCGACCCTGATTCCTTGATTAATTGGCGAGGTTCCCGGGAACGGCGCCTGCAATGGACAGGAATATCAAGAAATGGATGTGTAAACGCGAGAGAAGGACACCAATGCGGAGGGGAGGTCGAAAGACATTGGACGACGACAAATGCTGGAAGAAGAACAAGAGAGCGGACAAGAAAAACGTCAGATGAGCAATTCAGCCTTAATAATAGCGTCGTGGAGGTGGAAGGAGAGTCTGGGCCAAAAGCATGAAGGAAGTCCGGGTTGCGATGGCGCCCTTTTGTCGTGTTCTGGTAACTTATGACTGTAACAGCCCAAACAGGATGGCCATAAATAAAATACAGCCCGCTGCCTGCGCTACACAACGCTTGTTATCTGTTAGCGCACAGACAACCAGACCAACCGACGGTCAGACGACGCGAATGAGAACTGGGAGTTGGGATTCATGGGCTGCGAATGGGAGAGTACAGTCCGTACATATCTTGTGTTGACAAATATGACAAATATGACAAATATGACAAAACAGACAGGCATGGTATGATGGCATGGGCCCAACGACCAGATCCATGCCTGCTATTGCTGGTGTTCAGCTCACCGAAACCATGCGTAATTGTTCCTTTCGTCCATGGATGCATTCTTGGAGTCTGTACTCTGTACGCAGTGTACACATTCAGAACGTGTTTTTGACCATGTCCGAAAACAGTGCAGCCAGCCATGTCCGTCCCATGTCAGATTTCGCGATCGCCATGCTGCCGACGATGGGTGGAAATTACAGATGAAACCCCGATCCAACTAAAGAGATCCTAACAGAATACATTTCCTCCAAGCTATCCGGGAAGGTATTCCCGTCATCAAGTCATTATCGTCTAGCCTTATTAAAACCGGTGCCACAATCGCCTCCATGCTATTATTGGGGAGAATGGGGACCCTTCCTTGTGCTCCGTGCATCCCCTCGATGTTTTGAGGCGGCGTTTATTTGGCATTCATTCCTTCTGATCCATCGTTGTCCATCATATCACTGGTGACTTGGTGGCGTCAGAAGAATTCCTTGTCGATTCGTCGGGGACTCGGGGTGTTGCGGGCCTATCGATTACTCTATATTCCCATGTGGCGGCATTCGACGCCTCGTAGTGGGATCGTGGAACGAGAAAAATGATACGAACACAGCCAATCGAAGAGTGTTTCTCTTGGGAATATTTGTCCCGCTTTCATCAGGTTAGAATTGGTTCGTCCCCGCTACTAAGCTCCTTTTATCCCAGTCGCCAAGTTTTAACTAGTGGGCCGGAGCGTAAAATTGTCCTCAATCTAACAGGGTACAAGTCGTCTGTTTGGAGAGTTGGTGGTAAAATGTTACCGTAAAACATAAATAAACAATAAAAGGATTTCCTCCGCCATGACGAGCAGTGTTATTCGAACGCCCACATTGTGGTGAAAGTTTCTCTGGCTAGGATTTCAGCTGTAAGTTGCGGCTTGACGATAACTCAAGGTTTGATCCATTCCGGTGGTTTGGTTATGCTAAAATAAAATAATAAGCCCCCACTCAGGAGGCCAATAAAACCATCGATCTCCAATAGACCATGCTATCCATGCTCCTGGCCCCATAATAGCGAGTTGACGGGGGAGTTTTTTCATAACGTAGGCAATCGTGCGCTCGACAACTTGAACGTATGTTCACACTGTTATTTTGTGGATTTTTGGGATTTGGACAGGTTGTAATCCATTACATTCTTGCTTCAAATCCTCCTGACTGTGGTTTTGGCCGCGGCATCGGGATGTTGGCTTCCGAAATCAAAAACGTTCCGCACACTTTTGAGGCATGTTAGCGCTGTTGGATCCGTAATGATCATTGGAGCAGGCTGCTATCCAAACCTCACAGACTCCATATGGACCGTACATCAACGGGTGATGTCAAAAATAAACGGGCTTAGGAATGATCAACAAACAGTCGGAACCAGAACCGTGGGTTTTTCGAATTCTGGAAGTGACAGCCATAACCAACCCAAATCGTCGAACGGAGTGCGGAAGTGTGGAACACCAGCCGATACGCCTATCGATCCACCCCCAAAAATGGGGCTAGTTTAGGGGCTGTACGCTTAAAACTTAGCTTCCAAAATAGGGTGTCAAGCCTCGTAACTTCTGGCAGCAGCGGTCCTGTAATGAGAATTCCATGTAAATTTCTAGTGTGCAATATTTTTTGGGTTCCACCCTTCGGGAGTTATACTCGTATGAGAAAAACACCATCCAAAAACCTTGTCCCTACCATTGACATCAAAGAAGGGAGTATTCAACTACTTTCTCTCGGTATTGGACCGGTGAGATGGCACTTCAATTTCCAGATCAATCGCTAGAACTAGGCTCAAAAGCAGGGGCCCAGATGTCATCTCTTTGTCTCATGAAGCAAGTTTAGCTCGAAAGAATCCCCGTGATTGTTCGGAGCATCCCCGGAGCTATGTACAGTACATATAATGCTAGTACATATACTATATACGATCCCACCAAGCCCAACTTAAGATGAGAACGCCTACTGTGTATATGATTCCCAAAGGCTTTAACGCTGAAGGCAGGAGTCATTACTATGAGGTAGCCTTACGCCCATACTCCTCCAAATATTCATTCCGTGGAACTCGCTCAGAAACCCAAGCTTGTTGTCTCACCTCCCCAACCCAAGGTGTACAGTTTCATAAAAGACAAATTTTTGGAGGGCTTTTGCTCTAGCTTGCATTCAGAAAGCTGAGTGGGGCATACGCGCGGAATTACAAATTATAGTTTATTCATCTTGATATTTTTTTAAGCGCTCCTTTGAAGTATGGACAATTTATACAAAGTCAATTAATCAATGTGGTGGACCTTGACCGCTGCTTCACCCTTGGATATACTAATACTAATATACCCTGGTTGAAATCTAGTACCCGCTGTCCGGAATCATTCCAAGCAGCAGCCGATTCGTCCGGTCATGATGAGAATGCTCCACGGCAAATTTACCAGCGTAACGCAAAAGCTTCTTCAAGTCTGAGTCGCACACTTGATTCCCCTGTTCATTTTTTTTAGGATACAGGTTGTTGAAGGTAGGGCGAAGCAAAGGAGGGAGAGAATGGCATTTCGGGTTAAATAATGCAAGATGAGTGGGTTGAATTATCTCCGAAAGTTCATACAGCCGTCGTGGACTTGAAATGAGATAGGCAGGAAGGAAATGATTATTCTTTTGATTATCTCACTGTCATATGTTATCTATACAAGAACTGTTGAACTCTTTTCAATGGAAATAAATCGCTGATTTGAAGATTTTCAAGTTATATGGATCAGCAGCTGGCCCAGTAAAACAAGAAGAAAGAATATACTACTATGCTTGAAGTTAAGTTATTGGCCTCTTGCGAATAATAGAGTAGAACCACTCAAAAGTGTTTTGTAATCCTCTTGCACGTAACTTTTATAGTTCATTTGCATACACACATTTCTCTTCTGTCGGAGTATGAATCAAAATATAAGCAAAACAGAGTCATTTAGACATCCTTACCGTTAAAGAAATATATAGAGACATATCATAAAGCAGATTTGTTTATAGCGGGGAACAGGAAGAGTCAGGTTGCTATATAGACTGAACCAAGGAAACGCAACCCACAACCAGCTTCTTTCTGGTCGTCCTCTTCCCGCCAACGCCTCTTCCCAGTAATCTAAGTCAGATCTCGGGGAGTGCCCACGGAGAAGGATATGTTCGGACCGCCAGTACCAACTTGTGTCCGCCATCCATTTCGTGCAGAGCAGATTTGTCCACGCATACGCAGACAGTTTTGAAGGACTGAGGCCGAAAATGATCTCCGAATCCATTGCACAGAGGTAGCTGAGCCTAACCGGCTCGGTGTTCATAGACATGGATATGAAAGTGGTTGTGAACCCATGCTAATTGAAACTCGTTTTGCCCTTCGAGTTTCTTCTCCTTGACATCTCGACCGATAGTGTCCGGACGCGGGGATTGGAAGCTAACGTGTTGGCCCCCAGCAATGTTTTTTATGTTTTTGGGGGCTTCGTTTTTCCGCCTCACTTCATTTCCTTCGCTTCCCCACATCATTCCCTTCTTTCTGATTGTTGATTTTTATGAGCGATTGGGTTTGTGGCCTCGATCAATGTGTCGGTTGGAATGGTAGCCAGCCAGTATGTTGGACAGCTTTGGTTAATTGCAAGCAAACTCTTCAATGCCTCCCTTAGCGCCGATGTCGATTACCTACCGAAATGCAAACAAGCTTGATTTTATCCCACGACGCCTGGACACCCGCGAGTGCAGCCGTGGTCGATTTAGAATGCTGACAGTCGCAGGCTATGGAAGCCGACGCTAGGGCCCTATTGGAAGCGGTGCGGGGAGACCGTAGTCCCGTGATCTTGGCGCAAAGATTGGTGGGGCATATCTGATTTCATATTTTTTTTTTCCTGCTCCATCCAAATCCTCAACCCCAATTGTCCTCCCCCAACGCGCTGAGACCGTACCACTTCGCACACAGAGAACCATGCCTGCCAAACAGAAGGTCTGTCTGGCATATTCCGGTGGCCTCGACACCAGCTGCATCCTTGCCTGGCTTATCGAGCAAGGATATGACGTCGTCTGCTTCCTCGCGGATGTCGGCCAGGCAGAGGACTTCAAAGAAGCTGAGCGCAAGGCTCTATCGATAGGTGCGCTGAAACTGGTTGTTGCTGATCTGAAGCGCGAATTTGTTGAAGAGCTATGCTATCGCGCCATTCAATGCAATGTGAGTCATGCAATTGCATATGAGGCTTCTGCCCCTCCATTGACGGGGAACTATACAACGGGGTCGGATTGCCACCTATGAATGCATTCAGGGGGGGACAATTGATGCTAACAATGTGCATATAGGCCATATGGGAGGACAGATATCTTCTCGGGTAAGCTACATCAACCTGTGGCGAGAGTAACATCTGATTCTCGTTTGGTTTTGCCGACCACCCACTGACCGCTGATCTAGAACGAGTCTGTATGCAAGCCCTTTCACCTACTCTAATTGGCTGCGATACTCATGTGTATAAAGTGCCCGCCCTGTAATTGCGCGTGCGATGATGCGGTGCGCGAAAGAGGAGGGTTGTATCGCTGTCAGTCACGGTACGTCAGCATATTTTGCGGGGTTTTGTCAGATCGTACTTCCATACTAACATTGGATGTTTTAGGTTGCACTGGAAAGGGGTAAGGACAATTCCTCCGCCTACATCTTGTTTGGATGAAAACTCATTGAACATTAGCAACGACCAAGTCCGATTCGAGCTTGCTTTTTATGCTATCCAGGTATGCATGGCCTGTTATTTTCACAATTAGATCAGCTCACCCAACTTCTACTTTATGTTACAATACAATAGCCATCCATCCAAGTGATCGCACCATGGCGTCTTCCTGAATTCTACAACCGATTCGCCGGCCGCAATGACCTCCTCAATTATGCTGAACAACACAATATCCCCGTTACATCCACAAAGGCTAAGCCATGGTGCGTCTGATTCAATTGAATGTGTGACATCCACCATCCATTTTACAAGATTAATGCTTACATACGATGTGGCAATCAGGTCTATGGACGAGAAGTAAGTGTTCTCGCCACTTTTGCCAGCGGTGGGGGGGTATACCCTCTGTTTATTTTGATTGCCGATACTTATTTTGCTGAACGTAGCTTCGCCCACTGCTCCTACGAAGCCGGTATACTTGAAGACGCCGACGTCACACCCCCCGATGACATGTGGAAATTGACGGATGACCCTCGCAATGCTCCCGATGCCCCTGAGGATTTCACTCTCGCTTTTGAGAAGGGCATCCCAAGTCTATTAACCCTTGGGGGAAAGAAGATCTCCGATTCGGTCGAGATTTTCACCGCACTCAACGAGCTTGGCCGCAAGCACGGTAATTTTTTGATCCCACGATAGAGCAGAAACATACGGTGCCAGGCCATAAGTATTGGCAACCCCCACTACTTTTCTGCCACAAAACTGCACCATGATCGGAGTGGGGGTTGCCAATACTTACGACCTAGTACAGTACATGAAATGAAGGAGCTAATTGAAATTTTTCCTAGGTATCGGACGAATCGACATCGTCGAGAATCGTTACATTGGTCTCAAATCTGTAAGTCTGCCGAATCGTAATTCAATTTGCGAAAGAGAGTTACTAACTCCTGTTCAGCGCGGCTGCTAGTAAATTCCCCCCCGGCCTCCTTAGTCACTTGCCTTTTATCACTCCAAGCAAACCACCAGAAAAGGAATTCCCAAACTAACCAAACCGCGCAGCGACTCACCTGCCATGACCATCCTCCGCCTCGCCCATCTCGACCTAGAAGGCCTCGTCCTAGACCGCGAAGTCCGCCTACTTCGCGATCAATTTGTAACTGTAACATGGTCCAAGCTCCTCTACAACGGCCTTTACTTCTCTCCCGAGCGCGAATTTATCGAGAAGAGCATCCTAGCCAGCCAGGACGATGTCAACGGCCAGGTGCGCCTGCGCTGCTACAAGGGCCTAACCAGCGTGTTAGGTCGCAGCTCACAGACGAGTAAATTGTATAGCCCTGAGCAGAGCAGTATGGATTCGCTGGACGATTTCCAGCCCACCGATACGACCGGATTCATTGCTACGCAGGCTATTCGGTTGAAAGCGTATGGGCATGCACAGGCGGATAAGGGGGTTGATTTGAGCCAGGGATAAGTTGTACATACAAAGCAGTAAAATTTTAAAATGCTACCTAATTTGCATTTTGCGGGGTATGGATCAGGAAGGGGGAAAATTAAGTAACTAAAGAAAATAAACGAAGGAGGAGCCAAAAAAGGACTAGTCTAGATAAGTCTATGCACGACTATATAAAATGTGCATATTGCACCATCTTTAAACCAAGAAGATGGAGTGAACCGCAGAAAAACGCTTATGTCTTCTTTAGAACCGCATGAAGATGAGAGATGATGAAATGGACAATACTGTATGAAATTGAGCCTTCTCGACATGGCTCCTCAAAGAATTACCATAAGTCGCACGTCGGCTCCTTAACAGGGCAGTTGAACGCTTCTCTGAACTGTGGAGAGTTCGCCACGGTTCCCTATATTGTCATGATCGTGTCAATAGAAGGTAGAATTGAGTTGTCTTCTTGTTCTCTGACAAGCATGTTTGAAAACGCGCAGGTTGAAAACGGGTTTGGGGGAAATTGTGGTCAATTATTTGGGTTATGCTTTTAAAAGACTCATGGGGAGAAGCACTTAGGGAGTGGAGTGGGGATGAAATATTTGTCAACGTACCAAAATCCTAGCAAATTGGGGTGAATGCACATCCGTCTGCACTCGTATTGCCGCTGCCTGCGGGGTCATCTTTGCACACCAGACCGAGCCAAACGATATGAAAAAAAGTTGTTCATGCGTATAATTTCCAAGCCCAGGGAGAGACTGCGATGGGGAGGCAGCCTCGCGTTTCTGCCATGCACGGTAGGCGGCCTTCAAGCCGCCTGCGTCTGCAATGTTTTCACCTAGGGTCTGCATGCCGTTGACTTTCAATATTTTCTGGTCTGGGCCCTCAATCGTGAAATTTGAGTATTGTTTAACAAAGCACTCAGCGCGACTTGTGAATTCTTCCATCGTCCTGTTATCCCACCAATTCGTCTTGTTTCCATGCTCATCATAACGTCTGCCCGAGTTATCAAAAGCTAATTTATCCGTTAGTAAGGACACTTGGTCAATTAATCATAATGGATGGAGGTCCTGGACTGAATAACTTACCATGCGTAAGCTCGTGACCGCCCACCGACCCAAAAGCGCCGTAAGTAAGGTATTTAGGTATAAATGGATGATAGAACATAGGGTTTTGCATAATGCCGGCAGGGAAAACGATATCATTGCCTGTTGGGTTGTAGTACGCATTAACAGTGGGCATCGTGGTTTCCCATGCATCCCGATTAGTTGGCTTTCCTAGCTTGGACCAGTATTTTGTGGCGAGGAATTTTTGTGCACGGACACGATTATCGAAAAAGGCGTCCGTAACGGTCAGATCTTTATACAAGTTCTTCAGAGCCTCCGCGTTGCGGACATCTGGGCTCTTACTTGAATATCCGACTTTCGGTACAATGTTTCCAACTTTTTCAATTGCCTCCTTTCTGACGTGGTCGGATAGCCACGTGGTTTCCTCAAGAGTTTCCACAAACACTTCCTTGATGTCCGATATAATTTGGTCGCCAAACTTTTTTGCTTCCTCAGAAAAAGCCTTTTCAATGAAGAACTTGCTCAGAATCCATCCTAGGTCAGTATCTACGGCAGAAACGCATTTCCTCCACCGCTCTCCAACGGAGTCAGGGTCTCGGCCAGAAAGAGCATTGTGAAATCGTCGGTATGGCTTGATAATGGGATCTTCAATATCTGTAGCATAGTTCTGGATCACTTTCCATTTGAGGAACGAGTTGAGGATAGGTGTTGGAGTATCAGCAAGGAGTTTAGAGAGCTGTTTAAAAGATTCTGGCTGATAGATTGCGATTTGCTCAGCCTTATAGCCGATGGGTGCCTTGGCAGATATTATTCGTTCGAGGGATATTTGCGGCAACAGTGCTTGGGCATCAGCCAATGAGTACTTAACTGTAGACCCCCGAGCGTTAATATGTATCTCCGCTAGTTTCTTCTCGAAGTCTACGACAGAAGCCGCATCTGACCCCCCAAAATCCCCCAATACCAGTTCCATAACTTTCGCGTACAGCTCAATAACATTCGTGACGTTGTAAAGTTGCGGCGACGGTAACCCAACGTGTGTTGTGAGAGCTACGAATACGATAACCGCATCGGGATTTGTTGAATCAGCCTATATATTGTCAGAACTAGAGCAAACACAGGATGTTAATAAGGAAACACACATCGACGCCAAAATCGATAGGATAACTAGTTCCTATATCAATTAGAGAGATAATGGCATCGGCGAGGCTATTTTGATTATCGGCGTCGAGTTTGACACTGTCCACCAGCTTCTGTAATGGTGCTGCCCCGATTTCCTCCAGCCGTGTTTTATTCATACAAGCGTTATATGAAGTCTCAAGTGTGATGAAATTTTCACTCATATTAGTGCGGGGATTTTCCAGAATATGGCGTAACGCGGTTTGGACTCGATCCTCCACCTGCGACAGCGTGGAAACGGAGCTCTGGCCATATGGAATGTCCTCCTCATAAAAACCCCCGCAAACAAGTTGATCGAAATTCGTACAAGGATCAATCGAATCGGGATTGGGGTGCATGTTGCGAAGAAATGAAGAAGATGCATGAATGCACTCGGGAGACAGACATAAGTCTGACTCCGATGAATAATAGTGTTTTCCCTTCGAATCTGTAACATCGAGTCAGTACATGTCCAGCAAACACACGATTTGATTCATTTGCTCCAAATTTCAATACGAGTGTGCCACAAACAGAAATTAACGAATCATGAGGATAAGGTCGTAAGCAAGCTCACATTTGGCCACAAACACAGTTTGTAGGAAGCAACAAACAATGAGAATAAAAGCCCACAGAATAACTAGTGAACGTCCACGTTTAGGTTTCCCGACATATTTAAGGCCCAGCTCCTCATCATCGAGCACTTCGCTACTCGTCTCTGGGTGATCGAGGAAGCGCTGCTGGGGGTTGAGTTGCTCTAGGGAATCGCTACAGCCGCCAATTGCGCAAGTTAGCCTGTATTCTTCATTATTCTAACTATTGTCCAAATGGAGAATGTGGCTTACCGCTCTCCATCACTGTTCAAGTCTGCCATTATCCTACGTCTGGATTATAGCCATAGGGCCCAAACGAACACAGCCGAAAGGCAAGCAAGGCATGTCAAAAAAAGAGGGCCCTAGGGGCTCGCATGTATGGCTGGAGGTTGGTATATAAAACCTAGATATGAACTGTATCGGATACCTCGGAAGAACATCTTTGAACATCTGGCCGCATGGTGTGGGGGGATCAATCAACTTGGTAATTTGACCCCAGAGGGAAGCTCTTCACATGGCCTCCAGAAAGAAGGTTTGTTGTGGTGGAAGATATGAATTTGGCATCATCGATCAGTGGCCATGGTCTGGCTGGTTCTAATGTATGATGTGGCTCTGCATCTGTATCCTGTTTCGGTAATGATCCGCCAATCCGAGCGGCTGTTTCAGGGGTCGGTTCTGGCTCCCATTCTGCCATTGATACAACCGGGCAGCTTTTGATTGAGGATCCGGGCTGGATGCGCGGCGCACGGCACCGCGCCTAGATCAAGATCGATAATGATTCAGTGGATGATAATGCATTTTCTGGGTTATTTTCTGGGCCCCTGAAAGGGCGTTGCTAATAATCTCCATTAGTTATTGATTGCAAACGGATATCGGGCTGCGCTTCTCAAACGCTCTGGATTCGGTGTTTCCATGGTATTTGTTTTGGTGAAGTTCGCACTTTGGCCACCAGGGTAAACGGCCCGTCTTTAAGGCCATGTGTTCTCAGTTCCATTTTAACACGGTGTAGTCTTAACAGTTTCTGCTCCGGACCAAGGGTACCAGTGACCCGTGGAGAGAAGGTTGGAATAAGATGGCGGAGCCGCGGTGGAGTGTTCCGCCCCAACCAAGCCTGAGTTGGATGACATAAGCAGCTGTGGCTGGTGAAGAGTTTGGAGTTTGTATTCTTTGCGCGATGATTTCACGACTCATCGAAGGAGCAGGGGATCCATTTTGATGGCGAACTGAGGGCAGCTATCCAACTTCTTTGGATATGCTGGCTTGACGATCAAGGTAAGAGACTACTTTTAATGTATTCCAGACCTCTGATATTCCCCGTCGTGATTCATGTGCGAGACCTGATCAGATGTTCCTGTCTCACCCACCGAATACGTCGCGGCATATAATGTCAAAATAAACAAAATGTGTTCTCATTCTTCGTCGCTCGGAAAGAAATTAAGCTGACCAAAGTCAAACTAACTACTCCAGATGAATACTAGCAGGTTCAATATCACCCAGACGTCGTACGATTTTATAGCCGGAGCTTCGTCGCCGTCTCTGTCCTCCGCCAGCGGTGGTGGTGGTGGTAGTGGAAATGCGTCATTCAGACAGAGTATCCTCTCTGGGAAGCCACCAAAACCAGGTCAGTTTCACCTCTTGCGATATTCCTGTATATTGAAATTGAACAAGTCGTTGATAAGCGAGTGGTAGATGCCGGAAACGAGGAGCTACGCGTGCAAATAAGCACTTTGCGATATGAGCTAGACAATTTGAAACAGGAGCGTGATCTTACAGCTCTTCACCATGAGAAGGGACTTCGCGAATTACAAATTAGAGCGGATGCTGACTTTAGAAGGGCACAGGTTGGATATTCTTTTCTTCTCTTTTCTTTCGACAGCGAGCAATCTGAATTCTTTCGGTTTCAACACAAGTCTAACAACACGCGGCCTCAAATTAGGCAGCAGAGAGCACTAGTAACAAAGCCCAGCATAAAATCGAGGCGCTCGCGGCCGAGCTAAAAACGGTACAGGAATCTACGATCAATGAGAAAGCAGCTTTTGATAAACAAATACGAAGTTTGGAGGATCATAACCGGTCGCTCCAGGAAGAGATCGCTGATGCCCAATCCCAGCTGTCGGACCAGGAACGGCAATTTAAGCATCAGATTAATGAATTGGACGCAATTCGATCATCGCTTCAGAAAACACTTGACGAAGTTCAGACCGACCTTCACCGGACGAAAGAAAGCCTGCAGATCGTTCAGGATAAATTAACTCAAAGGGAAGCCGATGCTGGGGCTCTCGAAAGTGAGAATATAAGGTTGAAATCGGAAGGCGCTGATTCGGAGACTCTCAATGTTCTAAAACGCGAACTTTCGGAGCAATTAGCCTATGTCAAGCGTTTGGAAGCCGAATTACGGCCACTACGGAAATCACAGAAAAATGTTGAGGTAGTGGAGGAACAGAAAAAAGCACTTGAGAACCGGTTGCATCTAATGGAAGAGGTGGAGGTGGAGCTTAGGAACGTGCAAATCCAAAATCAAGTTTTGGAGGATGAACGGAGGTCTTGGACCAATTTGCTACAGCCGGACGGCCAAGATCCTGAATTCGAGTCCCCGGAAGAGGTTGCACGAGCTCTTGTCCAAGCGCGCATTGAGAATGCATCGCTGCTTAATAAAGTGGGCACTATTCAAACCGAGGTAGCCGAAAAGGCTGAGTTGGTACAAAACCTGGAAACGGAGAAATCGAATCTTCAAAAAGAGATCGCAAAACTACGTGCAGGCGGCTCCGTTGGAAATAACTTTGATTCTCGTGCGAAGACACGATTAGAACGCCAACGCACACTAGCAATGAGAGAAGTGGAATATCTCCGTGCACAGCTAAAAACTTTCGACACAGAAGAAACCGCGATGAACCCGGACGAGTCCAACTTGGATCAGCAAAAGTCTGACCACATAGCTCACCTTGAAAACCTCCTCAGTGAGCATCGTGAAGAACTTCATAAGCTCCATGAAGAGCTATCAAAACAAGAAAAGCCACCCGCAGAGGATCCCAATGCTCCACGCGGAACTAAACGCCCTCTGTCGCCAGCGGATAGTGACGCAGAAAATGAGAGGCTCGCTGTACTCACCCGGAAAAACCGCACTCTGCAAGACAGCCTTTCAAAAGCCGAACAATCAATAGAATTACGCACACGCGAACTCGAGGCTGTGAAATCCCACCTATCCACTCTCCAAGCCCAATCCCGAACACGCATCCTTGAACTCCGCTCCAACCCCACTGCAGAAGCTGAGAAAGTCAAACTGTCCACTCTTGCGGTCCTCCGCGCGGAGAATCGCGACCTCCTGGCTCAGCTACGCAACGAGCGCTCGAACGTCAAAGTGGTACCCGTCTCCACCCTCGAGAGCAAAGAGCTGGAGCTCTGCGAGATGGAGAAGACCGTTGCGGAAAAGGAGAAACGCATGCGACGCTTAAAGGAGATATGGACTGCAAAATCGTCCGAATTCCGGGAAGCCGTGGCGTCAGTTCTTGGGTACAAGCTTGACTTTTTGCCCAATGGCCGCGTCCGTGTGACATCTATGTTCCATCTGTCTCCAGCCTACAGACACGGAGATCGCGATGCATCTCCCGATGCGCGGGGCCCTGGGAGCATGGGTGATGGGGAGGAGAATTCCATAATCTTTGATGGCGAAAATGGCACGATGAAGATCTCGGGTGGTCCGAACAGTCTATTTGCTATGGAGATTCGGAGTCTGATCAAGTTTTGGGTGGAGGAGCGGAAGGATATCCCTTGTTTCCTGGCGGCCATGACGCTTGACTTTTATGACAAGACGACGAGGGCTGCGAGAGTGTGAGATTTCGGGATGTATAATAATCAGTGACCATCTTTTTACTCTTCTTTTTTGTGTCTCTTGATTCCCACGCGGTTTATTGCTATGACCTGAATTACATTGTTCTTTGATTTAGCGGATAGCCCGGTTTTTGATCCCGCCCGCAACGTTTTCACCATTCAGATAGAGATTGCTGTGTTTTTTTTATCCAACAGCCAGTCAATAGTCCCAATAGTCCCTTTAACCCTAGCCCTTCTTGGCTTCCATAAAGTTAATATTTAAGATTTATGGAAAGTTTTGTTCGGGATGCTTTTAGCCCCATGGTCCCTGAATATGTCAGCTAGTTAACTATCTTTATCTTTGCACTAACTATACAAGTTATGACGAACGCCACGGCGTTCAAGCACAATTTAATCTCTTCTAAATCAACGGTTCATGTTCACACGCATTTGAAACCATGTAGAAAATATCAGGACCGTGGCCTGTTTTGTGTTTTTCCCTATATAGGTAGGCGTATTAATTTTTATTACATAGACGTCGGACTACAAAAGAAACAAAAAGGAGAGACATGCGAGGAGAGAAAGCGATGGATGTGGAAGAACAAACAAAAAAAAAAAAAGAGGATTAGCGAATACCTACAAGAATGGTGGAGGGAAAAGAGGGGATGGTGAGAAATGGCCCAAGAAAGTGGCAGTTCAAGATTAATTTTACTCAAATTAAATCTTCATGCTTTAGCAAGTTCAAAAGTGACAAGCCGAAAATCAAAAAGGAAAGGAAAGGAAAGGAAAGGAGAGAAAAACCAGGGAATAAAAAGCCAAAGAATAAAAGTATAACCAGAGGATAATATCGTGGCTCAAATGCGTGATGATGTGCATTAAACAAAAACAGGGGTATGAGGGGAATTCTTTATTGTTCCGTCCAATATGCTTTCCGTTAAACCCGATTCTCTCCCGAAGGATGCAAAATTTCCTACATCACTCGGTGGTTTTACGATTAGGATTTGTATCCTCGATCAAAGGAGATTTTTCCGGACAAAAAATAGTTTTGCTGCAACGATGTGCACATGATAGTGGGAAGGACGGTTTCGTACGGCGAAACATGTTGAAGACGATCATGTCGCTCATTCTGAATCTCGGCATTGGCGAAACGGAACAAATAGCTTTGATACAGAAAAAAATAACAAAGAAAAGAAAAGAATGTAGGATTTTTTTTAATCAACAGAGGTATATCGCCCAGCTGCCAGTTTTCGTCGTGTGGACACTTCTTCCCATGTCTTCGAGGTGGGCAAGTGTTCAGGTGAAGTCGCCCCATTACTCGTCACCAGAGACTCATCGGCAAAGGGGTCGTCAGCCTTCTTCTCCTTCTGCTCGCTGGTAGAATTTTGAACACTGATACCCAATCTTTCCCCACTGTTGGCATTCATGACATCGAATTTGGCATCGACTTTCCCCTTTCGGGGCCCACTTACTGTGGTTGAAAATCGAGCGAGGAATCGTTGGTCGCCTTCGCCGCCTATTTCCAACTCTGGTAGTTTCCATGTTACGGCTGATATCTTGCGGCGGAATGTAGCGCCGGTATTTGGATACATAACTGCTCCCGTAGCCCGAGCAACTTCTCGAGGCTGTTTGGTAGTTTCGTCTTCTTGCGGGGATAGATCCAGGTTGACAGTGAGAACAAGATTCTGAAGTGTGATACGTGTGGATGGCATTGCAGAAACGAAGTTGGGGTTGATTGAGTAAGTAATGATAACGCTGGCTTGGAATTCTTCCAAATTCCAAACAGGGTTAAATATGACTGGGGAATAGGCGGATAAATTAGAAGGATCGAGATGTACTTGATATTTAAAAGCAACCGTAGGAGTCGGACGTGCGATAGTTGGAAGCGATATCAGATACTCTCCTTTCCTTTCCTCGTCGCCGAGCTCCTTTTCCTTCTCCTTGCCTTTTAAGGAATTTCCGGCTTCTGTAGCGAGGACAGGGTTTGCCGCAACCTTTTCTAAAATGTGGAAATTATTTAGGCGGACAAGCGTAGGATCAGAAGGGGCGTTGACGGTCGAGTTATACGTCAGAGCCAATTCTCCCACGACGAAGGAACGGGTCACTACGCCGTCAGAAAACCAAGCGCTGACCGTTTCCACGATGGATGCGTTGAGGCCAGGTTCGGGCATATCAGGATGTGAAACGGGCCCAGAGAGACTATGGAGAGTTTGTGATGAATTGATTGATGTTGTATCGGACAAGGTATGGTCATCGTGACTTCCAGGAGATGTCACAGTCCTAGGAGTATACGATGGCGTGACAGGAGCTGGTCCAGCAACTAGGCCAGGAACTGGGCCCAAGCCTGAATCTTCGCCGGGTTGGTTTGGGACAAAAATGGTGTTTCTAACGTCTCGACGCCCACGCAATGTTCCAAGCCCACGAGATAGGCCTGATTGCTGTGCTTTCTATAACATTAAGTCAGCTTCGTAGTGTCTAAATAGCGAGCAACGACTCGACTCACCAATCGCAAGGTATTCGCCACCTCGTTCAGAGCCATTTTCGCTTCGCTTTCGTCCTCCTCGATAGGTTGATCACGGATGGTGAGGTTAAGACCGGGCTCTTCGGTGCTAATCGTCTGTAAGTCAGTTGAAAACCCCTCGAAAAGTAGAGAGGAAACATACGCTGCAGCTTCTCTTTGAATTCGAGATATTTCGTCAAGACTATCTGGCCGTTCGGAATATCCCTCAACGTCTATCTTAGGGGGCTGTAGAAAGTCAGCAAAACAGAACGCGAAATTTGAGAAAGTAATCATCATACTTGGGCTGGGGTTGACGCTTGGTCCGTGGAGTTGACCTCCTTCGAGGGAATCTCTTGTTCGGTTTTCTCATCGGGAGAGACAGCACCGTTGGGGGTCGCTGGTCGCTGATGCGACGCTGAAATCGACTCGCTGCGAGCCGTCCCTCGAGGCGAGGAAGCAGGACGGCGCAGTGACGGATCATCCCTCGAAGAAATAGGCGCTAGATAATCGCCAGCGTTAGGCTGCATATCGACTGGGTGAAAATTTCGAGTCGCTTCCGGTTTTCGGAACGCCGTGAATGGAGACCGGAATTTCCTCTCTGGAGAACTTGCGCTCCCAGTTGAATGATGTACAACGCTCTTTCTTCGGCCCATGACAGTACCCAATCGCTTCAGGCCACCAAGCCTCATATGACCAACTGGCTCTGGTGCTATTTGCTGGTTAGATTTTTTTCTTTTCCACAACGATCTCACTGCCGAAAAGTGACTACTCACCAGGGCCAAGTCTATCTTGATTCGACCGACCGGAACGCTCGCTAGACGCATCGTCATGAATTCTAGGAGGCGGAGGTAAAGGCCCTGCGGCTGTTGATGCTGCTACTGCCACTGGATCCGGCCTAGATGATGGGGGTGAAGTAGTCGCAGGAGCATTCGATGTTCTCGATACAAGGGCCCTTCCACCCGTTACCTTTGTCATAAACGCCCTGATCTCTTCGTCGGTCTGAACGTTTAATAGCGCGTTAAGGCAACTCTCAGTGGATCGTCTTGTTCTTTCGATATGATCTGACTCATGAGTCTCGTACTGGGTGAGAAGGTCTCTGAGGTGGTTCAGGCGGTGTTCGTCAACAGCCTGGAGCTGTTCAAAGACAAAAGGCGCTCTCGATTCCCATTGTTGCGCCATCTCCTGCGCAGCGGAAACGGCACTCGAGTTTTTCGCAGCAGCCTTCGGACCCTTGTCCTTTAATTTGTCGGCCTTCTTCTTCGCAGATTCAACTTCCTTGGCCAGATTCGATAGTTCCTGCTGCATGGTTGAGAGGGATTTCATATCACTATTCCTGCTAGCATATTCCTTCAAAGGTCGCTCAACGTCCACCTCGATTGCATGCGAAAGGGTCTCATGGGATTCGGCTAAAATTTCAGTAGCAGCAAGGATGCGTTGCCAGGGAGTTTGAAAAACTCTAAAGAGGAACAAAAATCCCGATTAACAACCTATTTAATGACCAACGTCGCACCGCTGGGCTAAATGCTTACCCCAACGCTGCGGAACCATCTTGCAGTGGCCGTCGCGCGAGCCTCCGAAGACCCAAAACATATGCATCTTCCACTCGTCGCCGTTCCTAGGTTAAGTTGTAAGTTTGCGCTCGGTATAAGTTCCGCTCAATAGCGCTCCATTGAGATCCGACAAAAAAATTAAAAATAAAAAATAAAAGGCGAGGGGGCAACAGTACCGAAAGCCAGTCCGCAATATCTGAATTTATCTTGTTAATTAATCGTATGCGTTCGGTAAGGACGGATGAAGCATGGGTAGGGCTTAACGAGGGCTATTAACCAAAGCATTGTTCATTAGCAACGTCCAACCGACAAGACACACAAGTAAACCAAACATATCTCGTTCCCAGAGGCGTGTTTACTCACCACAATCGCCGGATACTCTTGTCGCGACAATTCCATGATCAATACACGGTATCAATCCGATGACGAATCCCGCGAAGCCGGTACAATCTATAAAAACATATCTGACAAATTTATGCGAGCGTAGCGGCGCACAGCAAGGATATGCAAATGCAAATGCAATCGCGTAGAGCAAAAGGAAAAGAAAAGAACGGGGGAAGATAGCAGGAGGGCCGCTCCGAATTGTGGTCGGAGGATGATGGTGATGGAGAGGAAGTTGCAGGAAGAAGTTCTCCTTTGCCCGATCGGGAAACATCGCTGAGCGCCAAGACAAGGAAATGACGTTATCACGTGATATTTATATTTATGTCCCCTTTTTGTCTGGTCCATCAAAATGAAAATGGGATAGACCTTTGTTTATTCATCGGACTGGCGTACGATTGCAATTCTCAAATACCACATCGATGTTCGTCAAAGAAGAAGCCCCATGGTCTTACAGATGTCACAGCTCATGATTCTAATGGCAATTATACTTTCATGATTCGCGCTACGCGACTAACACTCCCCCGCACCCGAAGCCATCCCGCTAGACATCTCACGCTACAAAAGCAAAATTGAAGCAAAATTGAAGAGCGAAACACAAAAATGACATCCAATTCTGGCTGGAAGTCGGATATCGGGTTTGCAGATCGCTTATCGAATCTAAGATTAATGTAAGTTCTTGGAACCTTCACTCGATGTCTCTGACGGGGTAGCAGCCGTGCTCAACTACAGGCTATCAACTATCCACGGTGAAAAGAATTGCGGCGTACCAACGCGCGGTGCCGTCCGCCAATTTCTCGGAAGCTCATGCAGAGGCAACGAAGCTAGAAAATAATGCTTTCAGCCAGGCGCCAAGTAAAGTACGTTTTTCTCCTCCTGATCCGAAACATAGAAAGGCGGGGGGGGGGGAAAAGAGAGAGAGGGAGAGGGAGAAACTTGAAAATAATGATATCATCCACAGGAACAGTATCAATCCGAATGCCAAAAGGCCATTGACGACCTGGATAATCGAGAGCAGCCCGCCTTCCCTATCAATGTGCCCGACGCCATTGACGATGAAAATGTAAACGAAGCGCCAGACACACACTCTTCCCCGGCCTCTAGTGGGAAAAAGATCGGCCCCTACGAGAACGCAATATACCACCAAGAAGGCATATTCTCCGTGGTATACAAAGCGAAAACAAGCGCGGGAGCAACCGTGGCGCTTAAGCTGACCACGCCGCATATGATGTCACCGCCACACGACTCGAAACGCGAAGCGCGGATCCTCAGCGCCCTCTCAGACCCCAACGTCATCCCACTGCTCGACACCTTCACCGAACCAGGCGGCCACTTCATCCTCGTCTTCCCATTCATGCCCTTACACTTCGATGAGCTGCTGCACCGCAACGTGCTCTCGGCGCATCAAATCCGGCTGCACCTGCGAGATCTCTTCCGCGCGCTCGCCTACGTCCATTCCCAGGGGATCATCCATCGGGACGTCAAGCCGTCGAACATCCTCCTGCGCGACCCGAACGGGCCGGCGTATTTGGCCGACTTTGGAATCGCCTGGTCGCCCGCCGACGAGGGCTCTGAAGACGCGGAGAAGAAAATCTCCGATGTGGGCACGACGTGCTACCGGCCTCCTGAGATCCTGTTTGGGGATAAGAAGTACGACACTAGCCTTGATATGTGGGCGGCTGGCTGCGTGGTTGCGGAGGCGATGGATATCAACCACTGTCCACTTTTTGATGCGGGGGAGTTGGGGAGTGAACTGGCGTTGTTGCAGTCGATTTTTGTGAAGCTGGGGACGCCGAATGGAGAGTCATGGCCTGTGAGTTTGCTTCCTTTTTTTGATACTGGGTAGATTTGTCGTTTGCCCCTCCTCTCTCTCCTTGTTCTTCTTCTCCTTCCCTATTTCACTTCCATTATTCTTCCTTTTTGAAAACGGGAAGCTAACAACAGCCCAACTGTGAAACACAACACACGCAAAAAATAAAAAAGTCAAACAAAACCCTTCCCGATTGGGGAAAGATACAGTTCAAGGAGTATCCACCGAAACCATGGACGGAAATACTAAGCGGCGCATCGTCCAACGGGCGCGATCTGGTCAGTAAACTGGTGCAGTATGAGAGCAGCGAGAGGCTGTCAGCTGCTGAGGTACGTGGACAACCATAAGAAAGGAAAAGAAGAAAAAGAGAGCATTCCCATCTTATCCATGTTGGGATATTGGATTGGGAGATGCAATATACATATATACAGTGCCAGCAATAAGTATTGACAAACCTCACTCCAATCATGGTGCCTTTTTGTGGCAAAAAAACCGTGAGGGTTGCCAATACTTATAACCTGGCACAGCACATATATATGCTCAATTGCTTAGGATATACCGTAAGCGTCAAGAACGTAGCTAACAAGGCAAAAATAAAAAAATGATAATCATATCATAGGCTTTGGAACATCCGTACTTGAGCCTCGAGACGAGTGTGAAGCAATAACAGATTATCCAGACGGATAGATAATCCGACCTGATAATGTCGAGGTTTATCAGCCATGGCAGGGAGCTGTTTTTTTTTTTTTTCCTTTTTTCTTTTTCCTCCTCGGCAAACGATGGAATCGTACCGCGGAGATATACTCATTTACATCATAAGTTCTGAAGATTCATTTCTGCCATTATCATTCATCTCTTCTTCTCACCCGCTGCTGCTTCCTGCTGGCCGTGCATCCCATCTCTCCCACCGTATCTCATCCGGCGAATGGACTGGCACTTGAGAATCATCAAAAAAAAAAAAGAATGTATCTCAACTCCCATAGTTTTTTTTAGATGGTTGTTTATTTAACTTTCGCAGGATATGATCGCGAACATTTCTCGAGGAAAGTGGAGCTGAAACCCGCCCAATAACAGGCCACACGGGGGATTTTTACCTTTTTTGTTTTGTTTTTGTTTTTATTTCGCGGTTTTGTTTGGCGCCTGTGGATATTAGGGATGGATAAATTACGAAATTACACACGGCCAGGAGCCACTAGGTTTGTATAGATTTATTTAGTGATATTACATTGCATTATTGCATGACATGACATACGGATATGCACTTCAAAAGTGCTTTCTCATGGTAATCATTTTACAAGTGGCTGTTACATAGGTATGCTCATTGATGCCTACTTCTTCAGGGGGTTCAGTAGGTGATTTACTCGCCATCGATAACTAAACCTTACACATTGTTCCAAGGCAGGAAGCCTATTAGCTTTCCACGCTGTGAAATATAAATTCAAGGTAATTTACTAGGGCGGGAATGAACTTTTGTAATACGCCTCCGCACCGAGGACAAAACCCTCTCTCTATATAGATTGTTAACTGCCCTAGAGAATGCCAGGCCCCGGAGCCCCGCGGCATCAGATGTTCATGATCGCAGCAGCATCCAGGTTGATGCACCCTGTCCTGGTGTCAGCACGCGTCGATCCTTTGCTCGACTGGGCCCTGGTTGGCGAGATGTTCATGCAACCATACATTCGTGTGGTTACATGCATTCGTCCATACTTGCAGAACGTAAAAAAAAATGACGACGGGTGGCGGTGCAACATCGATAAAAAGAAGAGGAAGAAGCAGAGGGAGAAGAATGATAGTTTCCTCTGTCCTTATCCTGAGATGGACCGAGGGTGCAGGGCTTGCCGTCCAATATTGTCATCATCCTCGTCGTCAGCAAGGAACAGATCTCGTCAGCCTGTCCCATCACGGGTTCTTCATACTTCCAACCTCGAACTTCAAACAAGAACCCGGTGCATTCAACAATCCATAATCAGGGCCGAAGGGGTCCCTGCAACAAGAACAGCGAACCGGCGAACAACCAGATCATAAAAAAGAAAACGACTCAAGATTATTACTCGCCAGATCTCTTCGCCCTCTGATCCCGTCCCAACGCCAGCCAGGACGAATACGAGCTGCCTTGTCCAAGATGCCCCTGAGTGGGCCCAGTTTAAAATTTAGGTACCTGGCGCCAATGCCCGAAGCAGGCTAGAGAGGCGGGGCCAGTGGACTGCCCACTTCCCAGCCATGGAGTTCGTTGGCTGACAGGACCGGCCTGTTTGAGATGCACCAGGAACGGGCGAGCGAACTTGAAGGGGAGATGAACGAAGGACGACAACAGCGGCCTGACTGGCTGGCTGTTTTTGCTTCGGGTACTTTGTTTCGCTCTGTTTCCTGCGTGATCAGAACGATCGGAACGATCAGAAGGATCAGAACCCACTGTTTGCTGGGGAGGATTCCAGTCGACGAAGAAGAAAGAAGCACTCCCACCATCCGGACCGTGTCTCATTGCTCAGCGTGTGAGCATTGGGCATGGCGATGGCTGTGGAGTCGTTTCCCGTCACTGTTGGGCCCTCGCTTGAAGATGCTGCTCGTCATTTCGCCCGCCAGCAGCCGGTGCTTGGCCGGCTCAGCCTGCTTTCCCTGTCGCTTGCCTGAGTCCCTTGTCCTCTCTTCTCCTCTCTCTCTCCTCTCTCTCTCTCCTCCCATCCCCTGCTCCGTTTTGAAGGCCCCGTCTATCTTTCCCTCCCCACGTTCCTTTCCATTCGAATATTCATTCATTCATTCATTCATTGCTTGTTGCTTGCCTGGTTGCTCGTTGTCTTTCTTTCTTCTCGCTCTTCGCGAGTCATACCAGCCAGGTTCCCACAGTCATTCCCCCATTCCCCAGACGGCTCTTCCTCCACGAGAGAAGTTTGGACTGCTGTACCTGGACGGACGGACAATCATCTCATCTCGCTGCTTGGGCTTTTTGGTTTCTGTTTGATTTTTGATTTTTTGATTCCTTTTTACGATTTCAGACATACGATCGGTTTGTTTGTTCATGTAATTATTTCGATAGATCGACACCATCGTCGATCGTCCTCGCCCTGACCAACGTCCTCGACCTTCGCGCGCACTGGTTTGCTGCAAACTACGTCGGTTTCATTCATTCCCTTCATTCTTTGTATATCGACCTACATCTGTCTGGGGGTTGTATTAATATCAACCTCACGTCACCTATCATCACAATGTCTCATCATCAACATGGACACAACGCCGCCCACAACAGGGAACTGGCCAAGAGACAGAAACGTCCTGTCGTTTTTGTGACACTCCCTCCAGACTTCGAAGGCCCCATCGGTGGGTTTTACACTCAACGCACTCCAGGCGTGGGGCCCCCCATTCGAGCCACGAGGCACCCACAGGTTCGTCCCACCAGGCATCCGCAGAATGGCTCTCCCAGGTCTACGCCTAAAGGCACTTCGCCAACCTCTACACCAATTGAGCGACCCAAGATGACAAAGAATGCTTCGCAACCCAGCAAGCCATCCCAAACTACTATGGCCACATCACCGTCGGACAATGCGGATCCCATCAGTTCGCCCACTGGGTTTGAGCTGCGCCAAACAGGAACCGACGCTCCAACTGCGATCCCCTCCTCCAGTGGTTCCGGCGGCATGTCCGGTGGCGCAAAGGCAGGATTGGCAATTGGAATCATCCTGCTCGTGGGTTTGATTGCAGGCGCTGCGTTGTTTTTCATCCGGAAAAAGAAGCAACAGGATAAAGCAGAATTGACCCGCTTTGATAATGAAAAGCCATTTGGCGCTGCAGCCAGTTCAGGTTCTGGTCCCGGTCCTACGAATGGCAGCTATGATCCTCCCTCGATGACGCGAACCTTGACATCTCCAACGGCTCCCCAGCTCAACATTCGACCGATTACCCAGTTTTCTCCCGACTTTGGCGCAGGCCCCACCACGACAGGAAATGCATTTGGTGGGGGTCTTGCCCCTAGCTCAGCTGCCGCTGGTGTTGTTGCAGCTGGTGCTGCACGCAACCTTACTGGAGAGAAGCCAGCACCGCCACCAAAAATGTCCAATAATGATCCCAATCCCTTCAACGACCCGGTGAATCCATTCGATAGCCCGCCGCCCACATCATTGCCTCCAACGCCTGCAACGCCCGCCCCTATGGGGCCAAATGACCATATCCCATCGCCTGCCATTTCAGATATCGATAACCCTACGCCAGAAACCATGGGTACCGGTGTGGCTGCGGTAGGCACTGCCGTTGCCGCTGGAGCTGTTGGCGCCGTTGCTGTTCGCCGTAGCTTGAACGATGGCAAGCCCCAAGCACTACCACTCGGCGGCCCAGGTCCTGCAAGCGATGCACCCCCACCAGACAGTCCCGCCATAAGCATGGACTCTGTCACAGCTGCTGCAGTTGCTGGTGCAGGTGCAGGTGCAGGTGCGGCCGGACCCCCCAACGTTCATCGCGTCCAGCTGGACTTCGCCCCTTCAATGGAGGATGAACTCGAACTTAGAGCTGGACAACTTGTACGTCTTGTTCATGAATATGACGATGGCTGGGTACGTTCTATTTATTTCCGTTTCTCTTCCTTACATATATATTTTTAATTCTAACTTCACGGAATAGGCTCTCTGCGTCCGTCTCGACCGTTCTAGTCAAGGCGTGGTCCCACGAACCTGCCTTTCGTCCCGCCCAGTCCGCCCTCGTCCCCGTAACCAATCTAGTGGTCATGGTAGTCCCGGCCCCCGCGGCCCACCACCAATGGGCCACCATCATGGCTCTTACCCGTCGGACGGTGGCCGCTCCATGTCCATGAGTAGCCAAATATCCTACCACGGGCCCAACCCCAACCAAAGCGGGCCCTCGACCCCCCGCTTCCAACCGCCTGCAAACGGCCGTCCGGCATCCCCAGCAACTCCCGCCCAATCCAGCTACCGCACATTCCCGCCCCAGTCACCACATCCGCACCCGCACCATCCTAACCATCCGCACCACCAGAGCGGCCGTTCAATGTCCCCCGCCAGGTTCCCGCAGGTGCCACGCTCCCTCTCACCCGGTCCCGGACGCATCCCTCAGCCGCGCTCCATGAGCCCCGGCCCCTACGGTCCTGGAGGCATGAATAGGCCACACATGTCTGCGTCCGCGCATAGGCGGAGGAGCCATAGCACCAGCGCTGCTATGAGGCCTGGCAATAATGCCGCACCACTAGCGCTACAAGGTCAGGGTCAGCAACGGCAACAGCAACAGCAATTTGCACTGCCATCTGCCACAGCTGGGTTCGGAGGGTATTCACAACAGTCACCAGGTGTTCCCGCTCAACCGATGCTGCCGCAACAACAGCAACAACCACAACCACAACCACCAGTGCAGCAACCGCAAGTGCAAGTGCAGACTCGGGCACCAATGCAAAAACATCAAGCGTCAGCACCGGCGCCAACACCAGCACCCGCAGTAGCAGCGGCGCCCGCAACACCAAAGCCATCGCGCAGCCCCCCGATGCCGACAGGGCCTATTGAGCGAAAACCTCTTCCGAATCAAGCGAAGCCGGAAAATGAATAAATGCGACTGTAACAGGGAATGAAATAAGTAATGTCTCTGAGGAACGACGCCCCCTCTTCGTTTGCTGTTATTGTTGTTTATCGTTGTTCTTGCTGTTGTGAAAGAAAGGTAATTAATTTGGGAGAGAGCAAAGCCCAAAAATAAAAACAAAGGAAAGGGGGGAGGAGAAAAAAGAAAACAAAATCTTCAAAAAACGGTCCCCCCCCAATACTTTTTTCTCTTCCATTCAATAAAATCATTGCCGTCTATCAATTCGAAAGGAAAAGCCCTCCCCTCTCCACAACCCCAACCAGGATCATGGGGTGTTCTATTTGTTACTATACATATATACTCTCGATCAACTCGGCTATGAATTGATACCAGATTACATCTGGTCCCTTTTTTTGCTTGGATTTTTTTCTTTTGACTTTTCGAATTTTCCCCTCTCAACTATCTTAACGTTTTCCCCTTGCCCCTCGTACCCCCCGCCCCCCGGTGATCTCTTCCCTTCCCCTTGCCCTCCCTTGCCCTCTTCGTTACCCCCTGTATTTTGTTACTTGTTTTTTTTCTTTTTTCTTTTTTTTTTGGATGCTTCCCGAGGAAATAATTTTTTCGAACTTTTCTTGAAAACAATTTTCTTGTTTTTTCTTCTCCTTTCTTCACTTCTTACTTTTCATCGTATATTTTCTTTTTCTCCTGTCCCAGAATCATATATGTATGTATTTACGTATGTATCTCCTTTGCCCTCGATACGAGTACAAGTATAAGTATACATACGCATGGAGGGGGAACCCAGGTAATTAAGACTTTTGTGTATAAGTGTGTGCGCGTGTCGGGATTCTCGGACAGTCAAAGATCTTTCGAGAAGTGTGTGTACTGGTATAGTAGTACAGCGTTTTGTCCGCTTGGATATGGACAAGATAGCTTTTTTCTAGGTTTTCTTTCCTAATACAGTTCTTACTCCCTGGCTTGTTTCTATAGATATATATATATATGTGTGTGTGTGTGTGTGTGTGTGTGTGTGTGTGTGTTTTCCAATGTCATGCCTCAGATGAATAAAACGTGAGTGTGCAGGAAGTTTGGCTGGCTTAGTTATATAGTTACGGCCGTATCTTGTTCCTTCTTGGTGGTGATGGAAGTAGTGAGGGTGTGAGGCTTCTAGAAATTAGAAAAAGCAAAAAGAAAAGAAAAGAAAAAGAAAAGGTCATTGACGGGTATATATATCTCTTTAGTAAATATTTACATCAGGCACATATCTATCACAAATGTGGAACTCCAGCGCTGGCCAAGGCCAGATTGATAATACTCACCACACCCTCCCCCAATATGAGCCCGGAAGCTAGAATCACCACCGTCGACCCACCGTCAGAATCGCCATCGCGGCCTATCCCTTTCCCAACACGCTGCTTGCCATCGTTGCTTTTGACGGCAGACGATCGCTGTATGCCAGAGGGTAACGCATTTGTATCGTCGCCGTCATCATCATCGACAGCGCCATTCCCCGAAGACCACCATCCCCACCTCCACCACCACCGTTGACTGCGTGGTTGTTCTTGTTGTCGTCGTTCCACCCAGCCCCACCACAAGACAATAACGCCACCAATCGCCCTCGCCAGCGTGAACGAGGGCACATTATACATACCAACAGCAACAGCAATGCCGCCTGGTATCCACGGGCGCCACGGTGCGCTGGCCCCGTCCTTCCCATGCTTCGCACCCATGATCCTCACAACGGTGATGACCGCAAACACCACGCCGGCAATCGTAGCCGTCTGCCACGCCATCTCCGGCAGGCCCTGGCCCGTCACGAGCCGTGCGGTGAATATCCACACGTACGCCGTCGGCACCTGGAACATGGGGCCGGGCACGTCGTAGACGGTGATGTACAATTTGTATACGGCGGCGGAGGCCACGGCGCCGAACAGGCTGCCAATCAGCTGGCCGTAGAACTGCGCTTTAGGGCTGGCGCCGAGAAGATGACCCGTTTTTAGATCCTGCATCATGTCGCCGGCCTGTAGAGCGCCGGCTTCGGATACGGCACCTGCAAGGAGGTTCGTGACGACGGCCGTGCGGCGTGTGTGGCTCGACGCTGGGGTGGCGAGTGCGAAAATCAACTGGGTGAGTTTGCTGATGCCGGAAACGGGGTTCAGGTCCGTTTCGCCAAGGGCGCGGACGCCCATTACGGAGAGGAGGAGGGCGAGGAGGGTCGCGAGGATTGCTAGGGCGGGGGTGATGAGGTTGCCGAAGCTGACGTGCATGCATATGACGTTCAGTACTAAAGTGAGAGGGAGGAGGATGAGGACCGTGCTGGTGGATACGAGCTCGGATGGTGGGGCATCTTCTTTGTCGCTGACCTTATCGTGCGGCGGGAGGATGGCGGTATAGCTGTTTCTACCGCGAGAAGGTCTAAAACAGCCGACCCAGAAATCTTTCCGCGTGATGGTGTGTAGAAGAAGTGGCCCGTAGGTGGTAAATGGCCGGAGAATGAGCCAGCCAAGGTTGATGATCGAGTCTGCGAGCATGATAGCAAGCGAGACCCATACAATCCATGCTTTGCTACCATCTTCCCAGCTATCGACGGGACCGGGAGCCCATCCTCGATGCTTGGCAAGTGGAGAAAGTATCCCCCATCCCAGAATCGCACCAGCCAACATATGCAGCGACGTAGAGGGGCCCATTATTATGCCCTGGCCGATGTATGCTGGGGAAAGATTTAGCGTCCACAGCCAATGGCTCGCAAGCGAAAACCCGAAAATAGGGAGATCGCGAAGCTGTGGGATAAAATAAGAAGCGAGTGTCTAGGGAGGATATCAGTAATCCATATCAGGAGAAGTCGAATTGGATGGCCTTTACATATGATGCGGATATCCCAAACGCGTATGTCAACAATTTAATTTTCGCCTTCCAGTCTTTCCTCCCATCCCGCTCAGCATGCGCCAGTCTTGAGATCGAATGCGAAGGGTCCTCCCGCTCCTCACGAGCTAGCAATGTGGTCCTTTCTTGTTCATTCCCGGAGTCTGGCCTGGACCTTCTCCTCCATTCGCCAGTGATTCCCACGGTTTCTCCCTTCTCCTCTGTCTGCCCACCACCGTGAAGCACCCTAATCATCAACGCCGTCGCTGTCCCGCTTGGAAACTTCAGCTTTTCCCTAATAATAACCTCCTTCCGTAATGGCACCGCAAACACAACCCCGAACAAACAAACCCCCAAACTCCAAACAACCAATTTCCCAAACGGAAGCTTCAATGGGCCCCCTTCGCCCTGTCCGTCATCGGCTCCTCGTTCCCCATCAGGGCCATCTCTCAGCAGGAACTCCATAGACGGTATAACGCCCACAAATCCACAACCCAGTGGCATTGACCCTACAGCGCCAGCAACCGTCTGGATCAGAACGTTTTCTATTGGGGTAAATGGGAATGAGAGATGTCGGGAAAGGGCTTTAAAGGCCGCAAATCCTATTAGTGATGAGGGCATGGCCATCGTACTGATCCAGCCAGTCTGAAGGCCGAAGTACGTGTTGGAGAAAGTGATAAGGGTGCCGATAGCGAGGCCCATGAGGAGGGAGCGGGCGGTGAAGCTCTGCGCCGAAGTCCTCGTGTTTCGCAATCCGTCTGCGCCGGAGTCATGAGGAAACTGACCATGGTCTCGCTGGTCGTGGTAGGTTGGGTCAGCATCTTCATGGTTGCTGTCTTGTTCCATGTGCGTTTCTGAACGGTAGCTTGACGACCTTAAGCCTAGGAACTGAGACTGGGAACTGTGGCTTTCCGGATGCTCGTGGTCTGACAGTGCTGGACCTGACATGGCCTTTCTTTTTTGGTCTGGAGCGCCCAAAAAAAAAAGAAAAGAAAAAAGCTACCTTGCGCACGAAGGAATGATAAATCCCGGAGAGCACTACGGATATCCACAGCGTCGGGCTCGTCGAAGATATGTGTTATAACAGTCCGATGAAGCACTAACCCCAATGTCGATCTGGACCGCCATTGTGCAAGAGATATTTATGTATATATAGAGAGATTTATATCGATTCAGCGGGAAGATCGGCTGATGTTGATCAACGAGGAGAATGACAAAGGTGCGGAGACAGATTACTAATGCGGTTTTGAGCGGAGACGGCGAATGACGCCATAAATACAGATCACCAGCAACAAAGATAACATCCTTGATGAATGAAGACAATTACAATTACATGAATATACGTATACATACACATATGGCCAGCAGGAAAAAATTAAGTGTACCTGTAAAACGGGAAGAGATATGGGTGTCTAAATGATAAAACCCGCCGCCGTTGCCAATGCACCACGGAAACCCAATAAAACCCTTGAGCTGATCCCTCAACAAGATGATACCTCTAAATAAGAAATTAGTTAATTAAAAACCAAAACTATCCAACAAAGAGTTTGGATCTGGCTCCTCAAACATAGTCCGTGCTTCGCGCTTTCCACTGTGCGGAGAAATGGGATGTTTTAACTCTTCCTGAAGCGATGGTGAAGTGGGCATATCAGCCACAACTAGACTGCCTCTCCTCTTCAGCAATTTCCTTAGATCCGGCGGCGTAAGTGATAGGGGTGTAGGTTGATTTTTCTTGGGAGGTGGGGGAGGTTTAAGGAACTCCCATTCGCGCACAAGGTTGAGGCCCAGTAGGTCGCAGCCCATACGGTCATACAACCGAGCGTTGCGCAGGACGAATTCCCATTCGTCTCTTGCAGGGACTTTGGACGCACCTTTCAGCGTCTGCAAGGTCTTATCGCGGAGTTGTTTGTAAAGGATGACCAGAGCTGGGTCGTGGGAAAGGTATGATTTTGCCCGTAGGGTAATTGTGCCTGGGCTGGTGGGGGAGGATGGAGTGGATAGGATGAGGGTTTCAATGGGCGACTTTGCGGTCACGATAGTTAGTTGACGCGTTTCCCGGTTGCATATAATTGTTTCTTTCTTAGGGGCAATAATTGCCAGACTTACAATCAATGTCCGTACAGCTATATCTCGTCGATTCAGCAACCAAAATGCCCACGTAGCCATCCATCGGTTACCCTCGGAAGCAGCGTCTACAAGAACTCTTTCCTCTAGAATCTCCTTAAGAACCGGTCCATCATCTCCCTCGTAGGCCCGTGCAATCGCTACAGCCAACTGCACATCTTGCAGTTGATTCATACACACATAAACAGCATCACGCAAGTGGTCTGCCAGTAGAAAGAAAGCAGCAGCGTACGCTATTCATATATCAAATATTTTTTTTGGTTAGTAAGCTAGTTCCCAATATTATTCTGGAAGGTATTGAAGATATGAATAGTGTCCTTACGAAATCTCCGTTTTCCGAGCAATGCATACGCGTTTTTGAGTGCCGCCGTTTTCCACCTCGGCTCATTAAAATTATTGCTCAATAATCGTTGGGTGGCAGACTGTTCACGATTCCAGCCTGCCATTCGCCAAAGGCCCTGTAGGACACTCTTCTTTCTAAGTGCCAGATAATAAAGACTACAGTCGATGGGATTCTTTTCGTCGCTTTTGGTATATTCATTGCGTGCAACGACTTCGAGTTGAGCTCGCTAAGAGGCGCAATAAAAAGTTAGACGAAGGTGCCCCCTAAAAGAAAAAAAATGAAAATGAAACCATTCATTACTCACCAAACAATTTAAATCTGTTATCCACATGAAAATCCCACTCTCTTTCGCATGCTCCCAAAGCATTTTTCCCTGATATTGTCTAGAGACGAGATCTACGAGGATTTCATGACTGTCGCTGTGTAACGCCCATACAATTTCCCGCCATGAAACAGTAGGTTGCTCAGGAAGTCCTTGGCTCCTCCGTAACACATGTTGGCGGAAGAATAGTAGATACCGCGCAGCATTATCGTCCATTGACCGTCGATGTTTATCGACGGTTGCTACACACTCAATGATGTTTACAAGGCGGAATTGTTCGGTACTTGTTAATTGAGGCAGTGCAACTCGCATTAAATTTTCATTTAGTGCGGTTCCCAGCGTCTCGTCCACAACAGAGGATTCACAATCAGTGGTGAAATCGCCATACGACGAAGGCATTTCTTTCCAGTGGACCTTTTTCATGGCCTAGGGTTGCCAGCCGTCAGATTTCATCCGCAAATAAACAAATGGAAAACTAGACACAGACACTTACATCTTCATTTTGATAGATATCTTCGAGCGGGATATCCAAGAATCCATCAAGTTCATCTCCCTCAGTATAAAAAATAAGCTTTCGATAGAGACTTGTGAGGATTAGATGCACTAGATTTGACTTCCCGGAAAGTATGCACTGTGACAAAAACTGCGGATGAAACACTGGTAGAGTACCATTCAAACGACTGACAACGCCAAAGAGATCCACATATATCTGCCGCGCTGGAAGTCGAAGATTGGCAACCAATCGGTTACTGAGTTCAATATGCTTGTCATAGACGAACAGTTGATTGCCAGACCCAACGACAAGATTACCGTTGCCGAGCCAACAGGAATCACCAATCGGATGAGGTGTTAGATCCCGGATCGAGATTTCTCTAATCTGCGTCCACGATGGTCCAGCATCGAGGTAGTCATATCGTAGCTGAGACATGAGAACGACTTTGTGGGGGAATCCAACAGACAATATGGATTGTGTATGCGGTGTTGACGTCCAATCCAAATCCTTGATGATATCATGTTGAGGAAACTTCTCTTCAAACTCCAACTGAGCCCCATAGGTATCCCATATAGTGAGACGCGTTCGATCTTGGTCGATGATAGCTGCTTTGCGCATTGAGGCGCCACTGGCGAGTGATGGATTACATATCCCAGTCTCAACTGTAGAAGTTAGCAGCCAGTCAATTTTTTCATTTTGTTTATCGACCTTCGCAGTCCAAGTCCTAACTCTCCCGCCATACGTATAAGTCAGAGCTATGTCAGTTGCGAAAAGGTCGAGGAAACCTGAAATCATCATAGAAGAACCTGCCGGGTCAATTGGCAAGATATACGCTATGTCTTCATCCACACCAAGGCTAAATTTACAAAATTGGCGCATATGAGGACGATGGAATCCATTCGCCCCATTCACAACGGCGTGCTCCTGTGGAAGGTCAATTTCCCAAGCGACTCCAGTCATATCGGCAGCAATAGCTGCCACGTACACTGTTGAGGCATTCGTCTCGATAGTCGGTATAAGTAGAACACAGAGTGGTTTGGACGTCAACCCAAAATCACATGTTGCTATCCTCTCTGCGTAGAACGAACGGGTATCCCAAAGTGAAATGCTGTGGTGGTGTAGGTTGATCAGGAATTTCCCCTCTCCAATCAGACATGTACGATGTATGTGCAGATCGGAGTAGAGAGAGCTCTGCCGAACGAGAACAGGGCCCGAACTAGAAGCTTTTTGTCGCCAGATCATTGCCTTATTGTCGTCGGTACGCGAAACTAGAATTTTCCCACTGGCATTACGTACGATCTTCTTGATGGAGCCCGTATGTCCAGACCAGACGGCTCTTGAAGTCAACCGTTGCTTTCGCGGAGATGGGTCAAATAACACCTCCACCTTCGAGTCAAGCCACTCTATCCTCCCGTCAAAGTAATGGACTAAAATCGTAAACGATTCTTCAGATAATCCACCAGCAAAGCCGTAAAATTGAGCATAATCGTCGCTCGGTGGAATGCCGGAAGCAAAAGAAAGATGCAGCCCTTCAACATGCGTTATATTAAACACACTCGCTGGTGACCGGGCTTTGCATCCGACATTCTCAAGACCCCATGCAGACATGTGTCCTCTGTCATCCATGATGATACACACCTCCGGACTCTTAGTTGCCACTTCAACAAGATGTTCAAGAGCTCGATTATCCTGGTCCATTGCAGCCCCTAACTGTACCGCACGTTCCGTAGCAGCGGAAAAATCTCTCCCGTCAATTATGAACCCATATCTCCTTTTTGCAAACTCGCTGTTATGAGGCTGTCTCGGCTGAATTGCATCATTCATATCAACCTCCGCCCAAAGCTGTAGCGCTGACTTGGAGCATGTCCGATCCATGGGAGCCCAAACCCGAATCTTATTGTCCGCGCATATCGTATAAAAAATATTGTCCATAGTCTGTTCCGGATGATGCGTCTGCCGCCAGTGCATGCTTGTTACAACGTCCGGGTGGGGGAGGTAGGAGACTTCAAACCGGACTTCCTCGGTACTGAATGTGAGCCGTCTCCATAGCTTGACCAGACGATCGTATTGACCCGTCGAGGCAATCAAACTAGCGTCATGGGAGAATTGCGCAAACTTCACCGGGTTTGCGACGCTTTTCGTCCAGATGATCTGCGGCTCATCTGTGAGGAGCCATAAAACGAGGCGCGAACTACCAGCCAGGAGCTCATCCCCAGCGCCCCATGACAGCACATTTATCCGCTCATCATCGTTCGGGGCGCGAAGTTTGTGGCATAGGCTCCACTAAATGGCATGTCAGTCAGCAATTGCTCAGATTTTTTAAACGAAGGTTCCCTCATAACGTTATCCAAGATGAAAACTAGTAATGAAGAGAATGCCCTAACTTTCCAAGTATTATCGCCAACACAACAAGGCTTAAAGATAGAAATATCCGGCCCTCCAGCGACTGCAATTCTTCCAGAAGCTTCGTCGATCAAGACAGAGTCAGACGGTTCTGCGTCATCGAGATAGATGGTCTGTAAAAGCTTGTGCGGTCCACTGAGGATAACTAGAGCATGGCCGGTGATGTAGGACTAGAAACAAGCACGCAAACAAAACGTCAGCGAATTCCGTCCCTCGTAAAATATACTATTCAGGAGCAAATTCCAGTTTCCCCGCAAAATGAGTACTTACAACAATGCGAATATTGCTCCACAGCGCGATGCTCAGGGCTTGGAGCTTCGCCGGGGGTCGGCCGGGTAGCAGAGCTCGCATAGGAACGCTGGAAGACGCCACGGTCGCGATCCGTTATATCATCGTCGAAGAAAGTGAGTTTATCCAGAGACCGCATATACCCCTGGTATATGGCCAAGTTTGTAGTTGCGTGAAGGGTATCTGACTTATCGTGAGATGCAATGTTACCAAGTACTTAGTTGGAAACGTGCGAAAGTTGCGTAGTCAGCACGACTTCACCCACGACGTCACCGTTAACTACTATGTATGTCCGTAGACGATATCAACACATGAGGCACTTACACACAATGTGGGGGGAACTAAGACCCTTCTTCCTTGCATTTATCTCTATTTCGGCTGGCTAATACCCCAAAGAGTGCTCATGCGACAAGTCCAAGGGACGCGAAATCAAACTAAATAATCTCTAGTCCACATGTGCAAAGTCCGATGACAATGAATATACTTCGTGATATCAATGGAAAAAATAAATCAGACCCCGCCCAAAGAAACGCCGGTATTCATACTAATCCAAAATATAATGACAAGTCTCCAAAAACACACCCATAAGCCTGTCCATATCAACCCAAAATTTAGTTTGTACAAGTAGGACAAGACAACCTAGCCCCTATCCTATGCGAAGAGAAAAAAGAAATTAGATAGATCAATTTGTAGATCTCCTTTTAGTCGGAGATTCAGGTTCATCGCCAACTTCACCATCATCATCATCGGCATCGCCGATATCATCTCCAGCGTTGTAATCATCATTATCATCAACAGCCTCATCAGCAAACCGGACAATAGCACCCAGAGAACTTCGTCGAGTGTGAACACTAGTCCTATTATGTAAAAACTGTCGCGGTTCTGTCCGCACCTGCTCCGCCCTTAAACGGGCCGCGAACGGCGTTCTTATAGGTGTAGCCGGGGTCGTAGAAACCTGCGCGAGCGCTTTAGCCCGCGCCGCCCGCTTGGATGGGCTATTGAGGTACCCCGGTGTGGCTATCGGAGTTTGTGCTGTAAAGTGTGGAAGCGGGCCTAGCTCGCTCAGGCTCAAAATTGGATCCACTAAAGGCCACCCTTCGTTTAGCCGGCGTGGGGTTGTGGTGATATTGTCATAACTTGCTCCAATTGTAGGGTATCGATGTATATCTCCATCTCTGCCGTCCAACAATCGTTTCGCCTTCCCGTACCAATGCCGGAACATATTTCTGAGATGCTTACGGAGGTTTCGCTCATTCAGAGCATCCGCTGTCTCCAAACTGGCCTTAATTTGAAAAATGCGTAGAGAGAGTTTGCGAAGTTGGGTTGCACCAGATGCAGATACGTGTATTACTTGAAATTGAATAGCCTTTTCATCCAGCGCGCGAATTCTAGTAAATAACGAACTCATCCGAGTAAGGCAGCTATAAGCTAGTTGTCGACTGTAAAATATCTCCGAATCACGCACGTTCACTCGCCGTCGGGCAGTCGCCGCACGCCACTTATCAAAAGCATCAATACCGAGTTTGAATAGCCGGCTCCAGCGTATGTCATCAGCGTGGTGTTCTAATTTTGCGTTGGTGACCGCTTTAGATCGTAACGCTGAGAGCGCTCCAGAAGCTAGATTCATTTTGATCGTACGCCTAACCTTCGCGTAGGCATCTTGACGTCGTTTTTTGGCCGAATTCGCTGCAGCAACGCGCCATTGTTTTAGATACCCGGTCATAAGAAAGTAGAAACGAGCATCCTTCGCCCAGGACTCCAATTCAGAAACGTGGCGCATCTGGTTCTTCCAAGCGTCAAGAGTCTCCTGTTCAAGTCTGGGGGCGTAGTACACCAGCGCGACATGATCGCGCCGTCTTTGAGTAGCAAGTTTCTCTCGCCAGTCATAGAGTTTCGACCGAAGGAGCTCTCTTGAACGGTGGGCGCGAAAATCTTCCTCTTGGCGCAGAAGCCTTGTATACAGTCCTCGCGAATTTAAGGTCAATCTCGCCAATGTCTCACGTTTTACACGCTGCTCGTGAATTCTGCTCATCAGACGAACGCGCGCCATCAGTACCCATTTATACAACGCTTGCATAACGACACGCTCGTTGATGCGAGAGGAAAGAGCTAGACAGCGCAGGTTGTCGTTCCATGTGGTCCATGTATTGCGCATAATACGGAGACGGTCAACTTCTCGTGCATGTTTCGACATGCGCGACTGCAACGCCCATGTCTTGATGGAGGAGTGGAGGATTCTCGATTCGACTGAAGCAGAGACTTTTACGGCGATGGGTTCTAAGTGAGTTCGAATCCGCCATTCCGAGAAACAATGCCCGGTATGTTCAAGCTTCCACCGGCTATCGGCGTGTTGTTGAGCCGAAATAATGGCGCGCATCCGTTGGGACCATTTCTGGAAAGTCGCCTGAAGCAAAGTCTGTTTGTTGTGCACGTCTATCTCTTGGTCACGCTCCCTTTGGGTTCGCAATGCCCGAAGCCACGAGAGAAGTGACTTATGTTTCAAGCGATAATCTCTCCACTGAGGGGCACGTCGATCGCAGAATGTCCAAAACCACTTCCAATACGCAGACCTTGCAAGGTTTTCCTGATAAACAGCATCAGCCTCGGCATCGTCTTTCTGGAACTGTTTAAATTTAGTCTTCCAGGCCTTGAATGGCTTCGTCAACGCAAGCCGTTGAGCCTTCATCTCATTTACTGCGGTTATCCCCCGCCACGCATTGAAATACTTTATGCATAGAATATGTCGTCGGGCTTCAGACGCTTTCTCTACCTCATCCGAAGTAACTTGTGCCCAATGAGTGAATGCTTTCGTCATTAAATATAGATCTCGAGCTCGCGCAGCACGCTTCTCAAGATGTTTAAAGAATCTTGCCGTCTGGGCTTCTTGGCGTTTCTGTCGCCATGTGGTTCGCCAAATGTCAAATGCCTGACGCTGAAGGGTAGATGCATCATGCTTGGCAGCTGCCTTTTGCATAGACTCGAAGGTTTGTTGTTGTCGCTTAGCTCGCTCCGACCATTTAGCAAATATTCGTCGGACAGTACCTCGTTGTCGATACATGTTGAATGTGGACGCATCGCGGAGAAGGTGAGAAAGAGAAGGCTGGTATATTAATTCTGGGGATACTTGAACTCCGGGTATAAGATCGCCATGTTGGAGAGGCTCATCATTAGATTCCTCGCTGCTATCAAATAATAACCGCTTCTGATTAGTGTGGTTTGTTGTTTTATTTTCATTCACACCATGATTCAAATGATGCGCATCTAAATCCACTCGCAATTGGGCCGGTTCGGTAATAATTGCACCAGTCTGCGGATGGCGACGAGCAGTGTTCTTTGTAGCTCTGTTGGCTGTCATCCTGCTTCTCGTTTCCACAATGGCCGGTGCATGTGCATGTCGAGCAAGCTCCTCTCTCCTGATTGGGGGCGGAGAGAAAATTCTCCTTCCGACTTCCAACCTTGACACAGATGATCTTGAGCTGGGTCGATACATACTCCTTTGTGTAGTTTCATTGGCAGCATCGTACATTGAATTGAACGACGCCCGCCTGGCGCGCTGTCCCCCATGGACCGGATACCGAGTCGGCTGCCATCGGCCGGTATTTTTTCCTCTGCCAGTGCACCATTGGCTTCTGTATCAGCGGTGGTGACTTCTTCGATTCTTCCCCCTTCCCCTCCTGTCTCGTCCCCGTACTCGAGCTCAATGCCCATGCGCAGCAAAAGGGTCTCGAATTTTTCATATAGCGTATCACCTGGCACCGACTTGCCTCCAAGCTGGAATAGAAAGCGCAGGTACGTCCGATCCGTTTCCGCCTCGATGCCATTTTCCGATAACACGGAATCATACGCTGCGAATATAGCGCGAAAGGGGAGTCGGTGAGCATCGGGCTGCTTCTCTGCGCGAGAGACGATTTGGAGGAGGATATTGACATCTACATTCCCACTGAATCAGCGACATACCTCCATTGAAATACCTTCTGAGAAAGGGGGAGGGGGGAGAGCGCCGACCTTGATCTGAAAGGGACAGTTGCTCGTCCAGTTCGACTTGGTGGCCGCGACGTGGATACATCGAGCGTTTCGCGACCTATGGCGCGTTGTTTGATACATAGAGGCGATACGAAACACCTACGCAGATCGCAAGAGCTCAAGGACAAAGGTGGGAGGACTCAATAAGCGGCCACATTTCCAGCACATCAAATTATCATAAGCTGGATTCTGTCGCGGGACGACATCAATATACTCAGTTACTATGGCATGGCGGTCAACTACATTTATCTGGTGCTTGTTCTCCCGCCAACGCGCCTCTGGTAGCTTATGTAAGCCCAGCCTCGACCAATCCTTTGACGCCGAAAAAACCTTGGAAGGTCGAAGTGGTGATGATGGCGATACCTTGCAGGATCCCCCAGGGAGAAGTGCAGACAATACAATAATTATCGTGGGTCCCTCTTAGCCGCTGCGAATATGACCGGGCGAACGAGGCCAATTGAGAAGTTTGCCAAAGCTACCGCCCAGTGCTCTGCTCAGGTTCGTATACAAACTATCCCAGAGCCATGAAAGGGAACATAAAATCACTTTGGCTGATTCCAGTGCTACAGGCCTCCGCGTACGGCAAATGTGTCTTCGCTGATTATAATGCGATCCGAAAGGATATGTGCGCAAAGGAGTTTATGAAGCTAAAGGAATGCTATCTGGTATAATCTACATTCTGAACCCCATGTCCGATGCAGAAACCTAATTTGTATACAACACAGGCAGCGGCTAAGAAGCCATGATAACGGGCAACTGGTTTGTAAGATGGAATGGCATACCGTTACTTTAATATGAAAGAACTCGCAGAAATATGGCAATATGGCATCCCGGTTTATTCTGGTTTACATGTAGAATAGCGGAATCAATTAGTTTTAGTAGGGAAAAAAATCATCCATATCTACGCAGTAGCAAGCACCCTGACGACCCTTTCAACTTCACAATAACCTGATAAACCACAGAATCCAGCTTCCATGATGAAAACCCTCTTAGTCTTCTTTTTGCTTCAAATATTTCTAACTACAACTTCACCAGCCGAAGCAAGAAGGTCGCTTTTTGTACCTCCTGCTCTTCTTCTAAAATGATCCCCTCTTCCTCGCCTTCGGGTGCCCTCCCTTCGACCTCTGTGACTATATGTTGGTCGATCGGTCTACGCAGCGCTTTTTCAATCGCCTTCGACTGCGTCTGGAAAACGCGCTCGATGCCGACATTGTCAGGGTCAGAGAGAACCCGATACTCCATCCCCACGTCGTCAGTTGGAACCAACCCCGCCTTTTTTCGCAGCCGCTGGACTCGGTTCACGATTTCCCTTGCTAGCCCTTCCTCAGCTAACTCAGGGTATAAAACTGCGTCCAGGATGATAAGTACATCATCATCTGTATTCGTTTCAAAGTCCTTGGAAGATGCGTCGTCTTTCAAGCCGCGCCTGATTACCAGATCCCCGTCGACAAGCTCAATGCCATCAACCACCATCTTCTTGTCAGTGACGAATCGCTTAACATCGTTACTTGAGAGCGATGGTAGCGCTTTCTTAACCCTTTGAGCATCTTTCTTCAATTTCTTGCCTAGAGTGGGCCAATCTGCTGTGACACTGTACTGGACATTGTACTTATCCTCATCGGATGAGAGAACCAGATCCCGGATATTAAGCTCTTCCAGAATGTAGCTCTCTAGGGATCTCACATCATCGAGATATTGTTTTTCCTGGTGGATCACAACGAGCGTCTTCAGGGGTGACTTGAGGCCAATGCTTCTGCGTTCACGTGCAATGCGACCAAGCTCAATCACCTTCTGCATCCGACCGACCTGTCTCTCAATGACATCATCAAAAAGTTCTTCACGAACCTCAGGGAAAGCGAGGAAATGGACGCTGCGGCTATCCTCGGCTTGAAGGGATTTTGGTATATGAGGAAGGAGTCGAAGGTATATATTATCGGTGATGAAAGGAGTGAAAGGTGCGAGGCCGCGGACTAGGGTATAAAGGACCTCGAAAAGGGTATTTAACGCGTGTAAAGTGTCGTCCAACCCAAGCTCCCCCTTCAGCCTCCTACGGTTGAACCGAATGTACCAGTTGGTGGTGTTATCGATCAATCCTAGTAGTCTCGGAACAACAGTATAAAGCCGGTACCCAGCCATTTCTTGATTGACAAATTTGAGTAGACTCTGACAGCTTGCCAGAATCCAGCGATCCATGACATTCGTGTTGGTTGCTTCCGCCGCTGGATCGAACACATACTCCACGTCCTCGATCTTTTTCAGCAGCGCAACCTGAGCTTCGAAGAATTTGTAACTATTCCACAAGGGGAGCAGAACTTTGGCGACAATTTCTTTCACGCCTGATTCCTTGAATCTTAAGGGCTCTGCGCGAACGACTGGAGAGTTAATGAGGTAAAGCCGAAGCGGGTCAGACCCATAGCGATCCATAATGAGAGTTGGGTCTGGGTAATTTTTCAATCGCTTTGACATTTTCTTGCCGTCTTCAGCGAGTACAATTCCATTCACAACACAGTTCTTGAATGGCAGCTTTCCGTACAGGTGCGTGCTAATGACAGCGAGTGTATAAAACCAACCTCGGGTCTGGTCAAGGCCTTCTGCGATGAAATCACCCGGGAACGACTTCTCAAAATGTTCTTTGTTCTCAAAGGGATAATGCTGGGAAGCATAGGGCATACTTCCGGATTCAAACCAACAATCAAGAACTTCCTCGACCCTTCGTAATACACCCTTCCCTTGCTTGCTTGGGATAGTGATGTGGTCAATCTTATCGCGATGGAGGTCCGTGAGTTCACCAGTATATCCACTGAGCTGTCTGAGCTCCTCAACGCTGCCAATAGCTATAATTTCTTTGTAATCCTCACTGGCCCACAATGGGATCGGAGTTCCCCAGTATCGATTTCTCGAAATGTTCCAATCCCTTGCATTCGCAATCCAACTTGCGAATCGTTTGTCTTTGACAAAGGAAGGGACCCAATAAGACTCCTCTATCCCTTGAAGCATTTGGGGAATAATGGGACCTATTTTGACGAACCACGAAGGCACAGCTCTATAGATCAAAGGAGTGTCAGATCTCCAGCAGAATGGATAGCTATGCGTGATCTGGGCATCCACGACAAGGCGCCCAGCTGCTTTCAGGTGTTTTACAATCGCTTTATCTGCTGCTTTGACATGTTGACCAGCAAAATCTCGAACCTCTGAGGTAAAAAAGCCTCTCTCGTCGACCGGGTTTGGCGGTAACCGCGTATCAGTAATGATGCCATTCTCAACAGCCACGTTGTAATCTTCTTCGCCGAACGCTGGAGCTTGATGAACTAAACCAACACCATCATCTGCAGTGACATACGTCGCGTTGAGAACCTGAAACCCTACGTCCTTGAACTCTTCATAGAAATAATCAAAAAGAGGTTGGTATCTCCATCCTTTCATAGTTGATCCCTTGAAGCGCTCGAGAACTTGGTATTTCGCCTTTTTGGGGTCCTTATATAGAGTCTTGAGCAAGGCCTCGATGAGTATATAATTACTTCCGGACAAAACATCATGGATCTTAACGTATTCAAAATCGGGATGTGCTGCAAGCGATGTATGCGATGGCAAAGTCCACGGCGTAGTTGTCCAGGCGAGAAGCTTTGTTTGCGGATCGTCGAGGAGCGGGAATGAGACGACTACTGCAGGATCCTGTACATCTTTATAATTTTGTTGTGCCTCAAAGTTACTCAATGGGGTGTTAAGAGCTGTAGAGTAAGGCATGACTCTGTAACCACGATAGATCACCCCTTTGTCGAATAACTGCTTCACTATCCACCAAAGGCTCTCCATATATGAAGTATCCATAGTCTGCTCCAGAAGAAGTGTCAGTCATTCCTTGGGCTTCTAGCCGCAATGCAAAATATTGCTCAAAAGATACGGGAAGCATGTAGAGAGAGAGAGATGGTCATGTACCTTGTAATCATTGTCAAAATCGATCCAGCGACCAAGCCTATCAATAGTCTGCCTCCATTCTGCAGCAAACCTCATGACAACCGCCCTGCACTCTGCATTGTATTTTCCCAAACCTAGTTTTTCAACCGCTTCGGATCCAGACATGCCCAGGGTTTTGTCGATTTCGTACTCGATTGGAACTCCATGAGTATCCCAACCAAATCGTCGTTCGACATAACGTCCCTTCATAGACCAATATCTTGGAATGATGTCTTTTATAGTTGATGCCAACAGGTGGCCGTAATGTGGAAGTCCTGTCGCAAAGGGCGGTCCATCATAGAACGTATACGGGGTTCTTCCTCGAGACAGTTCGACCTGTCTCTCAAAAGCACCAATTTCCTTCCATCGCTTGAGGAAGGCCTCTTCTTCCTTTGGAAAGTCAATCGCCATGGCAGAGCCGGTGCCTTGGAAGTGATTTACTGCGGTTGCTTTCTCCAACGCGTGGTGGGGAGAAGTAGGTGTTTGCAAGGTTATTGTGTGAGTCAAAATCGTTGGAGAAGTTACCCCGCTACATTGATTTTCCGGTGGTGGAATGACATGTCATGGAGGGGTCATTTTTGGGGACATAGCACAACAAAAGACATACTTATTTAGTGTCATAAAACCGGTCATATATCATGAAACCTGACATATATACAAGCAATCATGTCATTTAACTAAAATACTTGAAGTTTACATTCAAACTAGTACAACTTGCTGTGTGGAGGTATCATTAGCTTCGGCTGGGTGTAAAAAGCTATGTAAGATAATGAATTGCCCAAGCCGCTTCTGAGACCTAGTCCTCCCCGTCGTCTTCGTCATCATCGTCGCCTTCTTCCATTTCGGAGACCTCTTCGCCGAGGTCCTTCAAGCGTTTCTATAGCTATGGGTTAGCCCACGTCTTTTATTGAGCAGCTCTGTAGTGCTTACCTTGTCCTGGTTGCGCTTCATTTCCAAGTCACTGAAAACGATCAATAGATCCTCCAGCTCTCCCTGTACAGCTTTCCGAGATTCTTCCTTCTCTTTTAACTCGATCCTGGATGCTTCTAACGCGGCCTGTGCGGTTTTAAGCTTTTCTTCGGCCTTTGCGGCACGTTCGCTAGCTTCCTCAGCGCGATCTTCAGCCCGTTGATTCCGTGCTTCCAATGAGGAAAGCTTCGAGGAATACTCCTCGTGAGCAGTTTGGAGGTCCTGAATATGATCTTTGCCCGCTTTCTCAAGACTTGCCTCAAGATTCTGAATGGTCTTTTTCAGATCCGCTACTTCAGCCTCATGTCGTTTACGTATCTTTGCAGCGTTCTTTTCATGTTCTGTGGATGTCTGCTTGAGCTGTGAGTCTATGGTTCGTAATTGTTCTCCGTGCTGTCGGAGTAGGTCGTTGTAAGACTGTTTGTTCCGTTCCTCGAGCGTCCTCAACTCCTCTTCATGGTTCCTCTGAAGCGTTTCATTGAGATGCTTTACTCTGTTAAGCTCAAGGGTAGTTGAATCTTTCGTCTTTCTATGGTCCAGTTGCTCCTGTTCTAATTTCCGCTCTAGAGTCAGTAGATCTGATTCGAGCTTTTGAATCGCTTGCGCCTTATCTTCCACTTGGGCTCGAAGGGTATCTACCAGCTCGCGAGATATTCCCTTCTGGACGCCATTAGCAATGATGGGCACCTCGAACCCTGGGTCGCGGTCAATAGCACGGATCAGGCGGCTGAAGTTGTCTTTCAGGAAATCGATGAACGTTTTATCGAAGTATACCTCAGGTAGTCCATCATAGGCAAGTTGTGATGACTGTGGGAGAACTTCGAAATCTCGGACTAACGACAGCTCGCGAAGTTTTGTGATCTTATCGATATATTGTTCCCTTCCCAACCCGTTCATTAAAAGCCGATGTAATATAGGGCGCGGTATTGGAGAGTCCTTAGTCGAGAATTCGTAGATGATTCCAAGCAGAATAGCTGAAAGGCCTGGGAGCAATGTCTTGGATGGAGTACTCCGACTCGTTTCCTGAATAAGCCTCTGAACAATGCTTCCCTCACCAAGGAAATCATCAACAACGTCGAGGTCCTCATACAGCCAACCACAAAGAAGCATTAAATATCCCACGGAGATCCGTTCATCGTCATTCCTTTGCATGCCAGTTATGAGATTTCCTGCTATGACTTGAACACAAGTAATAACCTCCTCACCACTCGACTCATCTCCTTCCGTTACTTTCATAGCAAGAGCTTTTGCTTCTGGGTCCTCAAAAACCAAATGGAACAGTAAAACGGCGGCCAACCAGGTTTGATACGGGTCAGCGTTCCCTCTGCTAGCTAGTGGCTGGAGAAGGATTGTAAAGATATTCGCAATTTGGTCTTCTCCACTGGTATGTCCATCGATTGCTCTGCGCAGAAAATGGAGTCGAATTCCAGAATGGTTTGATAAAAAAGCTTTGACACACTCACAAGCAGCGAGCCTCGCATCGAGAAAATGAGCTGACTCTGACTCGAGAGTTAACTCCAGAAGTGCCTCGATCACATTGATCTTCTCGTGCGTACTTGTATTTGCCCCGTTGGTAAGCGGTTCTTTGTTTGGCTGAGCCAGCGTAGGTCCAACTAAGACATCTATATCCGCAAACTGTTCTTGTAAATTTGAATTTCCGCGTATTAAATCTGCGCACACAGATAGAGCCTAGGACTCGTGTTGTTAGAACGAAGCAGTATTAAGTCGAGAACAAAATATCATACCTTCGTCCTAATCTTAATATCAAAACTTGTATTGAAAGCGGTACGAAGAGCCTGCTCCATAACCCCATTCTGCCAGAATGCCGATTGATTGACGGGTGTACTGATTCCACCCTTAACAAGGAATAACTGAACTATTGCCAAAAGTCCCCAAAGGTTCTTATCCCGGTGCTCCAATGCCCACTCAGGAACGCCATCTTCCTTTTCTTGCTCTCTGTTTGCCTCAGAAAGGAGTGCTCCAAGCTTCTTTACACAGCCGGTCTCACGGAAATATGATTGGTTGGAAACATTGAGCGCAAGTAGATTTCCCAGAAGTGACAAGCAGTCTGCAACAACCGTTGACCCATGCGTTAAAGAGCCCTCGGTTTCTATTAAGGAAAAAATACGTTCGAAGGCGTTCTCGAAAGCCACTAGCTTTTGGAGTTCCGCAGATGATGGCGTCAATGCGATTAAAAGAAGGAGGGCCTCTTTCCTCGTAGATTAGCATGACACATTTCAATGACAACAAGAAATAGGAGATATACAAGGAACAAAACGCACCATTGCGCACCGGCTCACGAGCGTCACTCAGAACATTAACTAGCCGTGATATCCCTAATGGTGCCGTAAAAATACACTCTTGGGTTCTCTCTGGGCGTGCGCTTGATATATATGACATCAATTGAAGGGAGTACAATCGAGAGTAGAATTCCTTGGAGTCCAAGAGATCGAGCAGGATTGTTATGTTGTCTTGCCGCTATTCAACAATGTCAACATACTTGAAGTTAACCGGCTTGTATTTGACTTACTTGAGTAAACTCATCGGCAAGCCAAAGTGCAATTTCATCAGATGCTTCGGGCTGTTATCGAATACAGTTAGCAACCTAGGCCTTGAAAACCAGCGATATGGACAACACCTACACTATTATCATTGGGAGAAAATAACATCAGCAATGTCTCTAAGACCACCTTAATAGTATCAACATCTTCTGCATCTTTTCTCAAACTGTTTATTAATGGACGAAGTGCACCGGACGAAACAGATGCAGGGTATTCCTTAGCAAAACTCCGAAGACCCAAAATGGCTGCTCTGCGGTCCTCCAGCAATGTCGCGCTCTGTAGCCTATTGCTCAGAGTATTAATTGTATCCGTCGCCGTCTGCCTGGCCGGAACTTGGGACTCGAGAATTCGAAACATGGCACCGTGTTGCTAACAAATACGCATTGTTGCCAGTTGCTGAGGGCCGTAGAGTTCGCAAACATTCAGACTGTAAGGTTGTATTGAGCTTCAGGGCTTCCGACAAATTTCAACAGACTGCCCACGCAACGCCGTCCGTCCCCTCACCGCGTAGCTGTATCAGGGAGACAAGCAGATTGTAGCCAATGCCACAATACATGCGGTCTCGAGTTCGAGCTTGATTGCTGTCGAACACTTGTCGCCCTGGCCAGTCGGATATCACGTTATCTGCGGAACTTTGTTTGTCCGGAAGGCTGAAGATTGCTTCAAAATCTCAACCTTAAATTCTAAAATCATTGGCAAACATCAAGCCTGGGAACTGGCTTGGAATTTGTTTCTTACTGTCGTTTTCTGTGTTGCTTATATAGAAGCGCCGTTTATTCATGGTTTCCCTGACATATATATCTGTTTGCGAACCATACATTTTTGTCGCAGCTCCCTCGGGGCCTCAGCCTCGCGAAGCTCGCAGCACGGCAGAGCCGGAAACGATATAGAGAATATAGACATTTTACCTTCCAGAGTAGGAGACTACTCATTACCGTTAATATGGGTGTTCCAGCTCTTTTCCGGTGGCTATCCTCGAAGTATCCCAAAATCATATCCCCTGTTGTCGAAGAAATCCCGCAAGAAATCGACGGCGAAGAGGTACCAGTAGATACAACGAAGCCAAATCCAAATGGTGAAGAGATGGACAATCTATACTTGGATATGAATGGAATTGTCCATCCATGTACTCATCCTGACGGAAAGCCCCCCCCTGAAACCGAGGAAGATATGATGCTGGAGATCTTCAAATATACCGATCGAGTCGTGAATATGGTCAGGCCTAGGAAACTATTGATGATTGCTGTTGGTACGTCCGGCTGACATGCATGGAACTGAAATATCCCCTTCGGACCAATCTATTATCTCGTCATGATGATCTGTTGTCGCGGAGGGGGTACAGCTTTCCATTCCCTTATTATTTCCTTCGCAGCCCTTCCATACGGTTGTGGGCTGGCCTTGCTAATGTTAATCTTCCGGTTCTTCCCAGACGGTGTTGCTCCACGTGCTAAAATGAACCAGCAACGTTCTCGTCGATTCCGTTCTGCACAAGAAGCAAAGGAAGCGGACGAAAAGAAAGAGGAGTTCGCCAAATTGTTAAGGAAACAAAATGGAAGCAAAGGAGGCGAGGGGCTAGTAGAGGAAGTCATTACGAAGACATGGGACTCCAACGTAATTACTCCTGGAACACCCTTTATGGACATTCTTGCTGCAGCGCTACGCTACTGGGTGGCATATAAACTCAACACTGATCCCGCATGGGAAAAGGTTAGTACGGCTCTTTTTTTATATAATTTATTCTTATCGAGCTAATCGTATACAGTTGAAAATCATCATCTCAGATGCCACAGTTCCTGGTGAAGGTGAGCACAAGATTATGGAATTCATTAGGTCGCAAAGATCGTGCGCCGAGCATGATCCAAATACTCGTCATGTGATATACGGTCTTGTAGGTTTCCCTCAATTTTGCGAAATTGCAGAGTGGCAGCTAACTTCTGTTTGTAGGATGCTGACTTGATTATGTTGGGACTTGCGACGCATGAACCTCACTTTCGAGTTCTTCGAGAGGATGTCTTTTTCCAAGAATCTAAAGGGAGAACTTGCCACTTATGTGGACAAACTGGCCATATAGCCGAAGCGTGTAAAGGTACTGCGAAAGAAAAGAATGGAGAATTTGATGAAAAAGGAAAAGGAAGTCCGCTCAAACCATTTATTTGGCTCCACGTCTCCGTCCTTCGTGAATACCTTGCTGTTGAGATGCATGTTCCCCAGCAGCCTTTTCCTTTCGATTTAGAGAGAGCTCTAGATGACTGGGTATTCATGTGCTTTTTCGTGGGAAATGATTTCTTACCTCATCTACCCTCATTAGACATCAGAGAAAATGGCATCGATACTCTAATTGCAATATGGCGTGACAATATACCTGCCATGAACGGCTATTTAACAAAAGATGGCCATGTTGATTTAGACAGGGCCCAACTGATTTTGCAGGGACTGGCGAAGCAAGAGGATGCTATCTTCCGCCGCCGTCGCCAAACCGAAGAAAGAAAAAACGCGAACGCCAAAAGGAGGAAGCAGGAAGAAAGATATCGAGAAGAAGAAAGATCTCGAGAGGAAGAGCGCTCGCGCAAAAAGCGCAGAAGCTCTCCTAATTATGGGTCTATGGAAAACGAACTCGTTCCCCCTCCTCTCATTGTTCCTGGAAAAGGGCATATTTCTAGGGCTGATAGAGAACTTACGCACTCCATGGTGGTAAACCGTGGTGCAGTTTACAAAGCGAACATGGCCAATAAAAGCGCCGCCGCTGTTCTCAAAAGTCAACTGATCAAAGGAGGAAGTAGCGGTGACGCAGTTACTGCTGGCGTTGAAGATTCCGTGGACGGAACAGTCAACAATACGTCACCATTTTCTCTGGGCAAAAGAAAGGCGGACGCTCTAGAGACTGAAACCGAGTCCGAAACACCTAAAAAGCCAGATGATACCGATGAGTTACCTCCAGACACGGTTCGGCTGTGGGAGGATGGGTACGCTGATCGGTATTATGAACAAAAGTTTCACGTTGACCCAAAGGATATCGAATTCCGTCATAAGGTCGCCAGAGCCTACGTTGAAGGCCTCGCTTGGGTGCTGCTCTACTATTTCCAGGGGTGCCCCTCTTGGACCTGGTATTATCCATATCATTACGCTCCTTTTGCTGCAGATTTCGTTGATCTGGGTAACATGAAAATTGAATTTAATAAAGGCGCGCCATTCAAGCCTTTCGAGCAGTTGATGGGTGTCTTGCCAGCTGCATCCAATCATGCAATTCCAGAAGTATTCCACGACTTAATGTCAGACCCCGAGAGTGAGATCATTGATTTTTACCCTGAAGACTTTCCGATAGATCTTAATGGCAAGAAATTTGCTTGGCAAGGCGTTGCTCTCTTACCGTTCATTGACGAGAAACGTCTACTACTTGCGATGGAGAAACGGTACCCTCTCTTATCCAACGAAGAACATGCGCGAAACACAACAGGACGGGAAGTTCTCTTCCTATCCGATCGGCACCCTTTATACGAGAACCTAACTGCGAATTTCTATTCCAAGAAGCAACTGGCACCAACCCTGAAGCTGAACATGCGAGTGAGCGAAGGGCTAGGAGGCAAAGTGGGACGCAACGATGCGTACGTTCCACATAGTTCCCTGGTACCACCCTTTGACAATGGGGACCTACCGACTCTAGACGAAGATCATTCCATAAGGTCAGTTTTCCATTGTGCATATTTTATATCATATTTTGCCCAACTGCTCTTTGATCATGCTAACCCGAAGTAGCGTTATCTACGATATGCCCAAGTCAATGTACACTCACAAGTCAATGCTTCTAAGGGGTGTAAAACAAAACCCTCCAGTTCTCGATAAGACTGATATTGAAATCACCAGAAACAAGGCACAGCGTTCTGGGCGCTCCTTTGGAGGAGTTCCCTTCGGCAATGGCAGAGGCAGAGGTGGTCGAACGTCATATGCCAGCGACCGGCCCAGTAATGATCGACCCAATCCATTCGCCGCCCATATTAACCCAGCCTTCGTGCCACCAGCAATACCTCCATCACAGATGAGTGGGCAGCCAGCAGGATGGATACCTCCTCCCCCTGGGATAACTGGCAGCTCCTCTGGTGCTGCCCGGTTTGACAAACCCTACCAAGATCATCCCTATCAACAACAGGGCGGTCGCGGTTATTCTCATCAATCCAGCCAGCGTGGTCACTACTCCCAGTCGTATAATCAACCGAGGGAGTACGGTCAAGGTAGGCAATATAGCCAATCGCAACAATATGAGCAAAGGGGGAGAGGAGGGTATGAACAATACTCTGGAGGCCGCAGTAACTCTGGAGGCGGAGGGGGTGGTCGAGGCCGAGGTGGCGGATCTTACAGGGGTGGAGGCCGTGGTGGACCTTATCACCATGGACAGAATGGATATAATGGTAACCGCAATGACGGGTATGGACGGTATTGATTGGGGGTTCTTTTGATAATTTTTGTTGTACGAATACACCCACAGAAAGTAATAAGTTATGCAATTTCAGAGATTCACGCATATAATTGTCAATTAGGAAGTAATAGCAATGGGATATAAAAGGAATTAAAGTGCAACAAAAAGTCATAACTACATAAAATTCTTGGTAGATAGTAGCGCATCCTTCTCAATGCTATTCAAGCCCAATCCCTAACACCTAGCATCAAAATATGCTCTTTTATCCACCTCTCTTTTCTTCTTCTTCTTCTTCTTCTTCTTCTTCTTCTTCTTCTTCTCTTGGCAGTCCTGATGGCCGCTAATACCACGTGTTTACCCTGAGTACTAGTATTTACTCAAGGTGAGAATAAATCTAGAGAAATGAAGCTTATAAGATCGAAGGGAATGGTGAGGTCAGGTAACCTACCGTTTGTCGTTTCTTCTACTTCTCCATCAGGGACAAGGGGAGCTGTGTCCGGCGTAGATATAAATCGTAGATATCCCGAAACCGGCGTCGCAAAAATCGGTCAACTAACCGCATTTAGAAGTCGATACAAGCTTCCAAAGTTCCTGCGAAAACCATCGCATGAACAGAACAAACCACTGCAATGATAGCGGCTTGCCCTAAAAACACAACGAAAAGAGAAATAAATATGAAAAAGTAAACTCGATGAAAATGGATCCTAGAAGAACAAGCTCTTGGGGCATTATTGTAATTGGCTTCGTTGTTGTTCGTCATATCACGTGACGGTGAGCTGAACTGTATGGTTTGCAATAGTTAGTTGACTAGTTCAAGCTTTTATTCTCCAAGCGTTGCTGTGGGACTGAAGCAAGTGTGAGTCAGAGTTTGCAGGTGAGAAGAACCCCCAACCAGGAGGATACAATTGTAGAGCATTCGATATTATGACATTTGAAAAGCCCAATTGAAGATACTCTCTCGACACTGCTATGCCGCTGGTGTACGGGCAACTGCTTTGCGCCCAGCTTGAACTGCCCCACTAAAAACGTTCAGACCCGGTGTCACTCGAGGCTCAATTGATTCAAACATTCGCTGAAAAATGTATTCAAATATATAACATTGTCACTTCCATGCTTTTTCCTGCCTTCGTACGAACGTGAACGTGACGAGGAAGGTAGCAACGACCCCTGTCCTCTATACACATTGAATCAGGCCTCTTCCCCCCAAATTTAAGGGAAACATGGGAGTTCCAACCAAGATCAGCATTCTAGGTCGCGAAAGCATTGTCGCTGACTTCGGCATCTGGCGAAATTATGTGGCTAAGGATCTATTAAGCAGCTGCTCCTCTTCAACCTACATCCTTATTTCCGACACCAACCTGACGCCCCTCTATTTGGAGGGCTTCCAAAGGTCCTTCGAAGATGCCGCAACGAATGTCTCTCCCAAACCGCGTCTCCTCACATACGAAATACCTCCCGGAGAGTCTTCAAAGTCTCGTGAGACAAAAGCGGACATTGAAGATTGGATGCTTGCCCGCCAACCGCCATGCGGTCGAGATACGGTGATCATTGCCTTGGGGGGCGGCGTTATTGGAGATTTAATCGGATTTGTTGCAGCTACATATATGCGTGGAGTCCGCTTTGTGCAGGTTCCTACAACCCTCTTAGCAATGGTTGACTCTTCTATTGGCGGCAAGACAGCCATTGATACGCCCAATGGCAAAAATTTGATCGGAGCCATTTGGCAACCGCAAAGGATCTATCTGGATATGGAGTTTTTGAATACCTTACCTGAGAGAGAGTTTATAAATGGCATGGCCGAAGTGATCAAGGTCTGTATGCTGTTATACGATCTTCTACTATCTATATTTTTCACAGTCTCTCTTTTTGCTCTCATCTGCTAACTAGCCCGATTTTTGTGCCCTTTACATATAGACTGCAGCAATTTCAAGCGACGAAAAGTTCGCAGCACTAGAACGTGATGCTGAGACTATATTGGCAGCCGTCAAGTCCAAAAACACACCAGAACGACCGCGATTCAGTGGTATCGAGGAGACGCTGAAAAGAACAATTTTATCCTCTGCAGAGTTCAAGGCGCAGGTTGTGTCAGCGGATGAAAGAGAGGGCGGACTGCGCAACCTCCTAAACTTCGGGCATTCTATCGGTCACGCAATAGAAGCTATTCTAGCCCCACAGGTCCTTCATGGAGAATGTGTTTCTATAGGAATGGTCAAGGAAGCCGAACTAGCTCGCCATCTTGGAATTTTAAATAACGTTTCCGTATCCCGCATATCGAAATGCCTTGCCAGTTATGGGTTGCCAACTTCTCTCAAAGATCAGCGAATAAAGAAACTGACCGCTGGCAAACATTGTAGCGTGGAGCAACTGATCGCGTATATGGGCGTCGATAAAAAGAACGATGGGCCCAAAAAAAAAGTCGTGCTTCTCTCTGCGATTGGACGCACACATGAGCCACGGGCAAGTACAGTGTCGAACGAAGAGATCCAAATCGTACTTGCGCCAAGCATCGAAGTTTCCCCAGGTGTTCCAAAAGGCCTTGATGTCACCTGTACGCCCCCAGGATCGAAAAGTATCTCGAATCGGGCCCTCGTCCTTGCTGCATTAGGGTCAGGTACATGTCGCCTCAAGAATCTCCTCCACTCAGATGATACTGAGGTTATGCTTAATGCCCTTGAACGGCTAGGTGCTGCTACATTCTCCTGGGAAGATGAGGGCGAGGTGCTTGTAGTAAGTGGCAAAGGCGGCAGGATGGAGGCTAGTCCCAGTGAATTGTACTTAGGAAACGCCGGGACTGCGTCACGGTTCTTAACGACTGTCGCTACGCTTGCCCGAAAAAGTAGCGTCGACTCGAGCGTGCTCACTGGAAACGCCCGGATGAAGCAAAGGCCCATTGGCGATCTTGTTGACGCCCTCGCAGCCAACGGCGCTAGCATCGAGTATCTCGAAAACCTAGGTTGCCTTCCACTCAAAATTGCCTCTTCGGGAGGGTTTGCCGGCGGGGAGATAAACCTTGCTGCGAAAGTGTCCTCCCAATATGTGTCGTCATTGTTGATGTGCGCTCCGTACGCTAAAACGCCTGTAACCCTGAGACTTGTGGGCGGGAAGCCTATCTCACAGCCTTACATCGACATGACCACTGCCATGATGCGATCGTTCGGCGTCGAAGTCAAAAAATCCGAGACGGAAGAGCACACTTACCATATTCCCCTTGGCTTCTATACTAACCCCGTAGAATATATTGTTGAAAGCGATGCCAGCTCTGCCACATACCCCCTGGCGGCTGCTGCCATCACTGGCACTTCCTGCACCGTCCCGAATATTGGATCCAAGTCTCTTCAAGGAGATGCCCGATTCGCCGTTGATGTCCTGCGGCCAATGGGCTGCGCTGTGGATCAGAGCGATTTCTCCACTAGAGTTACCGGTCCTCCAGGAGGAATACTGAGCCCGCTGCCCAATATAGACATGGAGCCCATGACAGATGCATTTCTGACTGCGTCGGTTCTTGCTGCTGTTGCAAGAGGCAAGGGGTCGAATCACACGACGCGGATATTCGGTATCGCAAATCAGAGGGTCAAAGAATGTAACAGAATCAAGGCTATGAAAGATGAACTTGCCGAATTTGGGGTTGTTTGTCGAGAACATGACGATGGCCTCGAAATCGACGGCATAGACCGCGCGACCCTGCACCATCCGTCAGACGGCGTTTATTGTTATGACGACCACCGCGTTGCGATGAGTTTCAGCGTTCTCTCCTTGGTGACTCCCGAGCCAACTCTGATTCTCGAAAAGGAATGTGTTGGAAAGACGTGGCCCGGTTGGTGGGACAGCCTAGCTCAGACTTTCAAGGTGAAATTGGATGGCAAGGAAGTAGGCAAAAGAACAGAAACGAACCCTATTGTCCACGTAAACAAATCTGCAGCATCGATTTTCATCATCGGCATGCGAGGTGCAGGGAAGACGACAAGCGGTTTTTGGGTTTCCAAGGCACTCCAGCGTCCATTCATTGACTTGGATGATGAGCTCGAAAGAACTGAAGGTATGACGATTCCCGAAATTATCAAACAACGGGGATGGGGAGGATTCAGGGAAGCTGAACTCTCACTACTACGGAGGGTAATGACTGAGAAGCCAACGGGGTACATTTTTGCCTGTGGTGGAGGTGTTGTTGAGACTCCTGAGGCCCGCAAGCTCTTGACCCAATATCACAAAACTACAGGCAACGTCATTCTTGTCATGCGAGACATTAAAGAAATAATGGATTTCTTGAAAATTGACAAGACGCGTCCAGCGTATGTTGAGGACATGATGAGTGTGTGGTTGCGCCGAAAACCATGGTATGAGGAATGTAGCAATGTTCAATATTACAGTCGATTAACTGGATTGGACGGGATGACACAGGTTTCAGGTGGCTTCAATCGTTTCTTAAAAGTCATCACCGGCGAAGTGGACAGCCTTGCAAAGATGAGAAGGAAAGAAAATACTTTCTTTGTCTCTCTTACACTTCCAGATCTCAGTCTGGCTGCCCATATCTTGAAAGAAGTCACGCTGGGGTCAGACGCTGTAGAGCTGCGAGTTGATTTGCTCAAAGATCCCCAGTCTGATAATGAGATACCGTCTGTTGACTACGTCGCTGAACAGATATCCGTGCTGCGCAGTCGTACTTCGGTGCCTCTTGTATTCACTATCCGTACAAAGGGTCAAGGTGGTCGCTTCCCCGATGATGCATACGATGCCGCCTTACAACTCTACCGTCTTGCCGTCCGAATGGGATCTGAATTTGTGGATCTAGAAATATCGTTCCCGGAGCAGCTCCTACGTACGGTGACTGAAATGAAAGGCTTTTCGAAAATCATCACGTCCCACCATGATCCCAAGGGGCAATTGTCATGGGTGAATGGTTCATGGATTCAGTTCTACAACAAGGCTCTTCAGTATGGAGATGTGATCAAGCTTGTGGGTGTTGCAAGGTCAATTGACGACAACATTTCACTGAAGAAATTCAAAACCTGGGCAGAGGAGAAACACAACGTCCCCATTATCGCCATCAATATGGGCGACAAGGGCCAGCTAAGCCGGATGTTAAATGGTTTCATGACACCAGTATCCCATCCTAGCCTACCATTCAAGGCAGCGCCTGGTCAACTTTCCGCCAGAGAAATCCGAAAGGGTCTCTCTCTCATAGGCGAAATCAAAGCAAAGAAATTCGCGGTCATTGGGAACCCAGTCTCTGCCTCTCGGTCTCCGGCAATGCACAACACTCTCTTCAGACAAATGGGCCTCCCACACACCTACGGGACCCTAGAAACAGATAATCCTGAAGTTGCCAAAGAATTCATCCGCTCCCCTGGCTTTGGCGGTGCCTCCGTCACCATTCCTCTAAAAATAAGCATCATGCCCCTCCTCGACGAAATAGCGCCAGAAGCAATGTCGATCGGGGCTGTAAACACCATTGTCTGCGCCCCGCCAGCACCAGACGGCAAATCCCAAACCCCACGCCTTATCGGCCACAACACAGATTGGCAAGGCATGGTCCGCTGCCTGAGCGACGCAGGTGCCTATGCCGCAGCCACGCCCACCACCGCCTCTGCCGGTCTAGTTATCGGAGGCGGTGGAACGGCCCGCGCAGCGATCTTCGCCCTTCAGAACATGGGCTACTCCCCCATATACGTGTTAGGCCGCTCGCCAGACAAGCTTTCCAGCATGACCTCCACCTTTCACACCGACCACGATATTCGCATCTTAGAAGACGTGAAAGCTCTAGAATCTTTGCCGACAGTAGCTATTGGGACGATACCTGGCGATAAGCCAATCGAGCCCCACATGCGAGAAATTCTCTGCAGGCTCTTCGACCTATGCGAAAAAGCAAATTCAGACACTGAGCAGGCGCGCGGCGTCAGCACGAAACGTATCTTACTGGAGATGGCATATAAACCTTCTGTCACGTCGCTGATGCAATTGGCTAGTGATTCCGGGTGGACGGTGTTGCCGGGGCTGGAGGCTTTGGTGGCGCAGGGGGTTTATCAGGTATGCAGTCAGCTTCCTTCCTTCCTTCATTCACTGTCCAATTTTTGTTTCTTACTTTCTTTGCATTTGCCGAATAAGACTAACAATGCTTGTTCGTCTGGGAAATAGTGTGAGTACTGGACAAACATTACGCCTGTCTATGAATATGCTAGGGTATGTCCTGGGTCTTTCCTCCTTCCTACCTTCCATCTCATTGGAGTACGTTCACCAGAACACTAACGTCCCCTGTTCCTTCCATTAGAATGCCGTAATGGGCGTATCGCCAAGCGAAGATATCTTGTAAGAGACGATCTGTTCTGCATCTCGCCATACTCCCAGAAACAGTACTATATGTCAAACAATTTTAGTGTTGAAGTTTTACGACGTGAAACTTATAAATTGCGAGGGGAGAACGGTAAAAGGTTATTTTTTTTGTTTTTTTTAACAAAGAACAAAAAATGCATATAATGAATTTCGGCTTTTTTTTTGGCATATGACGAATAGAAAGTTTTAACACTCAGGGTTATTATGGAAAAAAGGGGGGGAGAATGAAAAGGATCAATTTCTTGTTTATCTAGTATAATAATATTCTTTATATTAAAACATAGCAATTTCGCTCTTGGTCTTGAAGCATTTACGCATGCTTTCTATGAAACATCCCGTTCTCAACCGAAGCTCACAATTTTCTCTATATAATCTCGTATCTGCGGGGTATATGTGCGCTGGTAATGAGGAAAGTGGAACAACAACCAAAAACCCAGAAACGCCTTTTCCCATGTTGAAAACTGAGAATCTCAGAGATCGTGATCATTGACATGTAATATACCCAGGTACCTTAATGCAAAAATAAACAGTGGGAAGAAGTAGAAGAGGGGTAGAGAGACGAGAGGAGGGGTGTAAGAGAGCATATACCGTTCGATAAACGATGCCAGGAGGCGCTCGTAAAAGTAAAGCCATCCCCCACCCCACTCCAAAACAGGAATCCTGAGAAAGAAAACAAATATTATGCAGCTCAAACAATGAGTGTATACAGTGCCTGTGCAATGAACGCCCAATACAAAGCAAAGCAGGGAGCTCTATCCCCTTACACAACACTCTGCCCAGACACATCCTCTCCCCCCTCATTGTCCGCATTCCCATTCCCATCTACAGGTCCCATCGGCCCTTCTCCATTCGCCTTCCCGCCTCCCCTCTTCCTCCTCTTATTAACGGCCATCTTCCCCTCCATCTCCCGTCGCCATGTACACTCCTCCTGGAACTCACATATCCGACACTTCCACGCCTCCATAATTGGCACACCACGCGGTTGCCTGTGTCCGCGCCACCAATGCATTTCATCGGTTAGGTAGCTGTAGAGGGAGGACGGATTGAAAAGGAAGGAGCGGCTGCCGATGTATTGCATGGATTCATCAGGGTTGGATGGTGGTGCTATGTAGGTGGCTGTTAGGACAGGAGAGAGGAGGGTTGGAAAGGGTGGAGTGTCTTCTTGGGCGTCGTCCTGGGGTTGGGAGTGGGTGGTGGTACTAGGATTTGTGTTTGGGGGAAGGAACGTGAGGCGGTGTTGAGACTTCATGAGCTTCCAGAGCCGAGAAAGGGAGTTGTGTTCGAGGAGGATGGTCATTGAATCCTGGCTGCTGGAAGGGAATTCTCCTTCACTTTCCGCGCCCGACGAAGAGGGGAGGTAGTCCGCATCTGGGTCTTCTGACGCGTCGAAGAATTGCTCGTTGAGGCTGCCTACTTGAGCGATGAAACTGTCAGAAAATGGCTTGTCAGCTTCGAGCTTATATCGCGTTGCGATAGCGTCAATGGTGACGTCGTCGGTGGTGACGAGGCGGGTGAGGAAGTGATAGTATAGTTGCAGCTGAAGATGCGTAGGGCGGAAGCCAACACTATTAACAGATGGGATAGAGCGACTGCTCCTCCCGCGAGTCTTGATGTCTGTGATATATATCTTCCTTAACGGTGTCTCGGGGGACCTCGTCATCGAATATGCCATATCCCGTTCATGCTTGGCCACCCCGATATCAGACAGCTTCCGTCCGCCACCAGCCGGAGAAAGGAAGAACTCCGTAATCGAGGTCTGATATTCCGGAAGCAATGCTTTAGACGTTCTCAGATCCGCGTAACTCGCTTCTGCAGATTCCTCCAGCTCCTCATCCGGACATTCATAGGACAGCTGGTCAATTATTCCCGTCACGATTTCTCCATCAACGTTCCCCCAAACCTCCAATTCTCTAGTCATCCCCGAAACTCGCAGCGTACGCAGTCCCTGTATAACATTCCATATTCGTAGAGCCCACCCATCTTCTTTCGTCATAACTTCAACAGGGACGGTGGTATGCACCTGGTCTTCCAACTCTTTATGCACCACGGTCCCCTGCTTCATTGCTGGTGTAGCCCTCTTCCGCCCGAATTTCGTCAAGGTATACCAATACTGTAACTCACACCAAGCAGGCGACACCAGATCCGTGACCGACAAAGCTTTCCTAGGTGGTGTCCGGAAACGTTCAAGCGGAGACCGCATATCTGGAATAGGCAGTCCATTCGCATTCCCATCCTGAGCGCCCTGATCCACAACTATATGCCCTCGCTCTCGCTCAACTTCACGCTGTCTCTCTCGCTCCCGTCCCTCAGCCGAATTCGGATGCTCAGCTAAACGCTTGAGTGTCAGAAGGGTCAGCCAACCTTCCAAGAATCACAAGGGGCTATTAATAAACAATGAGAAGGCGATGGGGGATGTTAAGACCGGGAAGGGGAAAGGAGGGGGCTAAATTTAAAAAAAAAAAAAAAAAAGACTCAAGAGAAAAACGCACCACCCCAACTGCCAGACCCCGCTTCCAACCATTCCCAACCCTTACCGTTCGCCCTCCCTCTCCCACCACCAAAATAACGCCCTCCCCGCCCCGTCCTCTGCGGGATAGGACCCCATTTCTCCCTGCCCAGAACCCGAGGCACCCTATCCCTCGATATACCAACATAATCCTCAATATCTGGCAGAGGCAGCCGCGGAAGTGACTGTGACTGTAATTGCAGTTGCACAATCGTCTCAGGATAACCAATACCAATTGCACCTGACTCGGGCCCTTCTTCCGCTCCAGCGGGATCAGAAGACACCGCAAGAGGCGTGAGTGCAGGCGTAGCAAATACAGAAGGAGAACCGGATCCAGGAACAACCGTCGTCGCCCGCTCGTGGTCCGCGCCGATCCGCGCCAGCAGCAGATTCAACAGCTCCTCCTCGTCGGGGGAGAAGTCGGACCCGTAGTCGCTGCTGGCGGCGCTGTCCAATGTATCCTCCCCCGTCGTTGTATTCTCTCGCGTTGCTGCTAGGGGACTCGGGACTGTCGGGGGTTGTGGTGATGAGAGGGGGCCGGCAGCGGGCTTCTCGAGGAAGGCTGACTGGCTCATTTGAGAGAGATGCAGTGAGAGCCGGTCATGGTGTTTTTTGAAGGGGGGGAAGGTTGAGTTTTCTTTATTGGGACACTCGGTTCATGGCGAAGAGATACATTATGTTGAGCCGTTTCTTATCTTCTAGCCCGGCTGTTGATGCCACCAAAAAATGCTGAGCGCTTAGTCACGCTAACGAATTGCCGGCTGATTGCCGCCAACACGGTGTCGCGTGCGCGTCATCCTCAAACATCAACTGAGCAATACCTGTCTATTCAGAGGTTCCTCTATCCCCTCAACTATATGTATCAAATCTATATACAATTCTAACCATTCCCAGCAATGCTAGTGAGAGATCTAACTAGAAAAAAAATATGACTTATCGCAGCCAAACACCAAATCCTTCTATAATGCCATGCAAAACAAAACAAAAAGACAAGAAAACATAGTCACCAGAATGAAAACTTCCGCAGAGACCTGATAGTCCGGGAAAGGTAACGGGAAAGGCGGTTTCCAAAATTCAAGAAGTCGCAGCAACCGATGCCACAACCCCTACTCCTCCTCCATCCTGCCTCAATCCTTCCACTTCCACAGCCTGCGCTTGCACTTGCGCAGCTTCCGCTGCCTCAACCTCCTTTGCCGCCTTCTGATTTAACCAGCTAAGATACGTCTGCCAACCCACCGCAATAGCACCGGCGAATATGTTCCGAAACTGTGGATCAACATACATGAACATAAACGCCGTCACGGCCGGCCATAACTTCGCGCTATTCACGATGCTAGTCGGTAAGGCCAGTTTGAGGCGCTCCCACGTCTCCGTGAGCGAGGTACCCGCCAGTAGTGATTGCATGCAGAAGAAATACGTGTTGAAGATCGGTGTGAAGCAGACTTGGTTAATGGCTACTTTTGTGATGATTGAGACGAAGCGAGGTTTGGAGCGGAAGTTGAAGTTGTTGTGGAGGTACATGAACCTATATATATAAGTTACAGAAATTTAACAAGTTAGAAAATAATGAATTTCCCAATGGATTAGGAAAAGGGGGCCCATAAATAACATACCATTTATACCCCGGAACAGCAGCAAGAGCGCCAACCGTCATATGCCTAACCGTCCTCAGCGGGTCATACCGAGCCATTACACCCTCCTTCTCTACCTCATCACCCATCCCTCTCTCTTGCTCCCCATTCTTCTTATTTGCTTTCTTCTCCATATCGTTGTCCTTGTCTTTGGCTTTCCCCCCAGCATCCCCTACAAACAGCTGCGCACTTAGATCCCCACATAGATAAATAAACAATGTACACCACAACTGCGTCCAGTACGGTCTGCGACCTTGTATGCGACTGTAGAAATCGGCAGCACGTCCGATGGCACTAGATTGGATGATTTGCCGAAAGGATCTAGAAGTCGTGGCCGAGGATGATGGCTGCGTCTGTGGCTGTGGCTGTGGTGGTTGTTTTCCTACCTCTGCCGCCTCTGCTGCTGCTGTAGCAGTGGCGTGCATAACGGACTGGGATGCACCGGGGGGGGTTTGGGAGGAGTCCGAGGCCGAAGTTGAGGTTTGCTCCCGGTCTTGGTCTTGTTGTTTTATGTCTCGCGACAGAGAGGATGGAGGGGAGGGATGGAGGGGAAGGATTACATTATTACCGGCATTGTTCCCGATATTGCTGTTTTCTACTGGGGAAGTCAGGTCCGTAGGCGGAAGAATGCCTATCCCGCCCGACTCTTTTGGCATTGCAGGTGCAGATGAAGATGAAAACGACGAGAGTGGCGGCGGAGGTGGTGCTGCATTCTGGATGACGGGATCATGAGGTCGGGTTGATGGTGACAAGCAAGCGGCGCTCGTTGAGAATTCCCTCCCCTTCGACCTCTTCCTCCTACCCTTCGTTGCGCGGATGCGATAATGATGTCGAAATGAAAGAAAATGAAAATCCCACGGCCGTATTGCTGCTGGTCGGGTCGTGGATGAAAGGCCGGCAGCTGTAGCCACGACGACGGTTCGCGGGCCGCCCGCGATTACGAGGCGCATTTCGCCTTTCCCTTTTCCCTTCCCTTCCTTTCCTTCCTTTCCTTCCTTTCCTTCCTTTCCTTCCTTCCTTCCTTTCCCCTTGTTCTTCCGTTGTTTACCGTTCCTGTATCGTAATCTCCTTTGCTTGCGCACCACCGGCTAGAGATTTTCGTAGTTTTGTTTCACAGTGGTGGATCCACAAAGGATATCAAATCCGCCTGGGTCCCGACGGCGTCTCTTCTGACGTATTCCCTCTCCCTCCTCAGAGTCTTCCCCGGAGACGGCTTCCCCTCAGTTCCACTCGCTTCTCAGGCGCACCCGCGGGGTTATCGAGGGGACGGACTGACACTGCTGAGTATATCTGCTGAGTTTCTGAGACGTTGGTAATTTACACTAAAAGAGTGAGAGGAGGAGAATAGCAGGTATGGAATACAGTGTTAAAATAGAGAGGCGAGGAAATCATGCGCCTCAGGCAACGTCACACAGTATGTACTTGTCTTCGTGACGGCTGCAGACGAGATTTCTTTGGCGTGGCCAATGCCAAGATTCCATGTGGCGCGCCGCCCGCCAGCCAGGAGTTGTCTCGGGGAAGGATTGCTATCCAGGCACTCGAATTGAAGGTTTTTCAAATGGTTACCGAGAAGCAAGAAAAAAGGGGAAAGTCGCTTCTTCTATCTTCCCGGATTCTATATTAATTGAGCGTGTCCAGAGGGAGGGAGGGACGGGGTAGGTTTTTCTCGGTTCTTAGTCGGTTTACTTGTAGTGCCATTCATAGATGCGCCTGGTATGTTCAATCTATGAGTATTGCTTTCTTGTGTATGGGAAATGTGAGAGAGTGTCGGACCGGACTTTCTTCGCATGGAGCGAATGATATTTCTTTATTGATATTGTAATGTAGAGGATTTTTATTTATATTTGGTGGGGAGATTCGTAGTGCGTCCATGCCACAAGATATATATATATATAATATAACATTCATTGCCTAAATACCATAAAAATATATATATTTGAGAAACACACCCATCAACTCAACATCTACCCATCCACATTTATATTCTCTCTCCACACCCTTACAAAGTTACAAGACCACGAATACGAATATATATAGAAAAACCCTCCGTTAACTTACATACATACAGAGAACGCTTGCTGAAGTATGTACAGTACATACATGACCAAGTAAAATCCGCAACAGGCGGCAGCGAAGCACCAAGTAATAGACGGATCACGGCCTGCTTCAAAAACAATGGCGGCCGTCAAACACACAAAGTTCTTGTGAAATAATCCCAACTCATCCCATTAATTGCAAAAACGACATCCTTTTTCTAGTCTACTATAAAAATCCTACGAGAGCAGAATGGGGGTGGTTTTGAAAGCGGGGAATAAAAACTTCTACCACGTATACACAACAAGATATGAAGTTAGTTCTGGTGGAAATCAAGCATTCTGGGCATAATTATCGCACACCCGCGTTTGGGGCGATGAGATACCTATTCGAAACGCGACCGTGCCCTAGCAATCATAACAAATTAACCTGGGAAGAACAACTTAACGATAACAATAGATGAAATGCCCGGGAATCATTCCTTTCCCACGCCTTAAAACGGGATGATGAGATTACGAAACACAGGTGAGTGAGTGAAAGGTATTGTATTGAATGACAAATTCTTTATTTTATTTGTCTGGTAGAAAAAGGCGCACGTAATGTACAACAAAAGAATCGATAATGTAGTACGCCCTTGACCGAATTCCCAACCGCCACTTGTTTGTCACTTTATGTGATCGATGAACACGTTTAATGTGCTAATAAATAAAAACCCGATAAACTAAAAACCCATATGAAAAAGAAAAGCCAGGCCGGTCATTAAGAGACAGAAGTTTCAACACCCAGGTTTAGCAAACAAGAAAAACCATTCGTCATGAAAGGGAACAAAATGTAAAAAGCAAAAAAACAGCGCCAGTCATCTAAGACCGTTCGCCACGCAGACGACGAGCGAGTTGGATATCCTTGGACTGGATCGTGACACGCTTAGCGTGGATGGCGCACAGGTTGGTATCCTCAAACAGAGAGACGAGATAAGCCTCGACGGACTCCTGGAGGGCACCGATGGCGGAAGATTGGAAGCGAAGATCAGACTTGAAGTCCTGAGCGATCTCACGGACGAGACGCTGGAAGGGGAGTTTGCGGATGAGGAGCTCGGTAGACTTCTGGTAGCGACGGATCTCACGAAGAGCGACGGTACCTGATTAGATTGACGCGTTAGACGAACTGTTTGATACTGGAAGACGCGTTGATACTGGGATGTTATTTACCTGGCTTATAGCGGTGGGGTTTCTTCACACCACCAGTAGATGGTGCGGCTTTGCGGGCTGCCTTGGAGGCGAGCTGCTTACGAGGGACCTTACCACCGGTCGATTTACCTGTAGAAGATGGTGTTAGTGTTTGACTGTGGATGGATGGATGATATATTATCCATGTGGATGGGTGTCATGGATGGACGGGATGAGCTGGAGTCGTGGTGGAGTGGTGACACGACAACGCGACCGACAGAGACGGTGGGGTCAGAATGGGATAAAAATAACTTACGGGCAGTTTGCTTGGTTCTGGCCATTGTGATAGTTTAGTGAGGTTATTTGGACAGATGTTTGATGCGAGTGTGTAGTTGTTGATGAAAAATGCTTGGGTGGTCGAGATGACGGAGGTGTGGTAAGGCGGGCTAGGTTGGGAGGTTGTAAGGAAGATGGAGGAGAATGGGTGGGGGAAAGGTATTTGTAGTGGCGAGCGGGTCAGGCGAGTGATCTTTTTAGGTTTTCGCTGGGGCTAACACTTCACCCGTGTAAATTGGATGGGGGAAGGGTTGCACTAGCGCGGGTTTGGATTTTGATCAGAAAAGAGTGTGGAAAGCAGCACTTGGTAAGGGCTGATTTGGGCGCTGGTTTTCTGCGGGCGAAAAGGGCACAAAGACTGATCTGATTGTCTTGGCGGCCGGGTCAAGGTTCGGAGTTTGCGCTAAGCGAGAATCAGGTGGCTCGGCCAATCAGCGTGCAGGATCAGCTGTCTAGATCGCGTTGTTCTCTGCTTCTGATCCCACCGCCAGCGCTCTCTGATTGCAATTATAATATTTGCATCCGATTTGACGCAGTGAATTGATTCTGAATCGCCTTCTCCTGAGGACCGATCAATGTTGTGAACAATGCTACCCGCAAGATCAGTCACAGTGGCGGGCTTTGTCACTGAATCAAATGGGCAAGGACGGATCACGGGTTGGATGAGTCATCACGCGATGTGATTGGCTGGATCAGCCCCTAGCGCCGTGATCACGGCCGTCGCTGTCCCCTGCAGCCGCCAACTCTCGCCGCATTCAAATACGGCAGCCCCCGACTTCTCTTCCGCTTCCCGTTCGATCTCTCCCCCACACTCTCACGTCAAGAACTTCTTCCCACGCGTCTACCTCTGCTCTCCCATATACCATCCCCAAGCAACCTCTCTAACCTTTTTTTAAATAACCCCACTCTTATCAACATGACCGGACGTAAGTTAATAATCCTCATCTAGGGCAGAGACGCGTCTTCCCTTCCAAACAGCAAAAGCAGCTCACTAACATTCACCCATAACAGGCGGCAAAGGAGGCAAGGGTCTCGGAAAGGGTGGAGCCAAGCGCCATCGCAAGATTCTACGAGACAACATCCAGGGTATCACCAAGCCCGCTATCCGTCGTCTTGCCCGCCGTGGCGGTGTCAAGCGTATCTCCGCCATGATCTACGAAGAGACCCGTGGTGTCCTCAAATCCTTCCTCGAAGGTGTCATCCGCGATGCTGTCACATATACTGAGCACGCCAAGAGAAAGACCGTCACATCGCTGGATGTTGTCTATGCCCTCAAGAGACAAGGACGTAAGTTTGATGCACCCATCCTCTTTCGTAGCGCTTTAGACTACCAGTTGGTCTCGTTTCGATGCGTCTTTCTGACATATCTCCTCCCCGCAGGTACTCTCTACGGTTTCGGTGGTTAAATTTGCATAAAAATACACATCCTCATATACCTCTTCCTTTAACGATCCGCCTTCCCTTATCTACGATATTGGCTTTCGTGGTGTTACGTTTTTTTATTATTGCGGTTATTCATGGGTTTATTCGTCGGGTTTCTAATTATTTTATTTTTTCATGCCCTGTCATCTCTTTCTTGTTTTATCTGGGCGGGCTGGTGGTCGATGTATATATATCAGTGGTGGTTTACCCCCTTACTTGCGGTCCTGCCCTCCAGCGTAATTCATTGTCTCTCCGCCCGTTGCCATCCACAGGCGTCCTTATCGTAGTTCCATTCCTGCGTTGATGATGTGGCGACGGGACTTGAGAGCGCGCTAGCATATATTTCTGCTCAACCAATATCTATTTTTTTTTTTTTTTCCACACGCACTGTATGTAATCCGGGATCCTAGGCATGAATGAAATGAAACGAAATGCCCTATATATTACGGGCTTGGTAGTAATTCGATGCATTGCGTGACGAGATGCAGGAGCGCACAATTAATCAAATCACCCAACCTAATTTTTTGCTAGAAGCCGGGCGTAAAAGCCCTCTGACTATATCGACCCTGTTGGATTATTATTATTTATTTTCTAAAAAAAAAAAAATAAGAAACGTATCATTGCGCTGTTCTATGGGGCTCGTTTACGATGGCAGGTAAACATCTTGTGTATGTTGTGGTGGTTATTTTTGTGGAATTTCCTGGGGTTGAAGTTATGGTGATCTTATGTTCTGCGAATATATATATATATATACATCTACATCCATCCAGACGCTACAAAATGTCTTCGAAGTAAAATACACACCGACAACACCCGATATACAGAAGGAAAAAAATCCAAAATTGCTTTTTTGACGAACACGGTTTCGTTTTTTCCCCCCGTCTATTGCTTTTAATTTTCTTCTTTCCTGTTCTGAATATCTATCTACCTATGTTCTCGTCGATTCAGCATTTGTCCATCTACAAACCAGTGACGTCAACGACCTATGTTTAGAAAACGATAACCCAAGGAACTGAACAACTGCAAATTGTATTCGAGCCTTCTCTCTCTCTCTCTCTCTCTCTCTTATATGTACTACGTATGTAATCAATAGCTGGTAACTAGGGGCCAAGAGCCAAAAAGATGAAAAAAACTACAAACTTTTCCGTGCCGCTCATCAACTAACTTAACTAGTTATAAAAAGCCAAGTCATGTTGGACAATCCAAAACACGAATATATCGTCCCGGAATTAGAATTCTTACACACAAAAGGGACGAAGGCGAAATCATGCGAGTTGCAGGATGGGACCGTAGAGCCAGAGCGAATGGTCGGGCAAGCATACAAATTTTATTGGCTTGGACACTGTTGACTGTCTACCTACTGTTGAAGAAGACTGTTTTTCTGGCCATTGCAGCCAGATCATGAATCAGGAGTTGTTATCGTAATGGAAACCTCCAGTGATCAATTCTCCGCGGCGTGATGTGAGTGATCGTTCTCTTTTGAAGTGATCAGAGCCGGCAAAGGGCAGCTTTGTGTCCGTTATGAAAGTAGAGTCGCTTTTAAAAAAAAGAATTGGGATACCTGGCCTGGAGACCAAAAGAAATAAAGGGAGGGCAGACAAACCAATAGAAGGAATATAATAATAACCCGAAAAAAACTTTCTGATTTCAAAATTCTGTAAGGTGACTTCACTGCGTTAAGAGGCCAATGTAAGTCGGCCACAGTGGTTGAGATAGTGCATCCGAGTCCTAGAGACTCAGTCTAATTACGGAGGATTTGGTCGCACATTCATCTTGTTCCCGTGAGGAAAAGGAGTTGATTTGTTGCAGGGCTCTGTCGCCCATGCTCCTACTGTGCGCATCTGGTGGTGATAGGGTCTGTTCAATGTCCAAAGAAGATATGACGACCGTTGTATATATGACATGAAAAGGTTAGCCATGCGTGCTTTGCAATCCACATAATGAATGAATGAACGAGAATTGACGTGGGACGCGAGTCGGGCGTGGAGCTTTTTGTCTTGGCAGGCCGCTTTGTTTGTTTATCAATTCCGCGCCATCACCGACAGACACGCTTAACTAGTTAACCCAAGGTTGATTCCGTGTACCTCCTCCTGCAAGACTGGCCAACCCCTGACAAGCAGCAACCTCGCTAACAATATTATCCCGTGAGTTCATACGAGTAGAGGAGTAGAGGTGGGGGAACTGCAAAAACAAGGGGAATTGAATACCCTGTTGAAAGAAAGTGCTGATTGATGATGGATTCCGCGCGAGTGTGCCATCCGCGCGAATGGAACCCGAGATCAACCAATATGGCTGATACATATGTGTGTCATACATAACCGGACAGGACATACTTCTATTTCATGAGCGGCCTCTGAATTGCAGCGCAGACACATATATAAGCAACTGAGTATATTATTTATCTACCAAACCAAGAAACTTCAAACTCGGGGGGAACATCGATAAAAGATTCGTGAAAATAAAGCGGTGTGCCTAGTATTTAAACTACTAGAACTCGCGTCCAAAGATCAATCAAGAAAACTCCTCAACGGAGGGCATCATATCATCAAAACCTATCCTTCTCTATTCGGTACACGCGATCCATATTATCCTCAATTCTACCACACCGGGCATCACGCGATTGGACGTTCAAAGACTGCTTTACGAATGGGAATCCAATCAATTTTTTCAAGCCAACAAAAACTGTCCTCCAGAGGCTGTACCAGAGCTAAAGCTAGATCTTATGAAAGCAGAGTTTGTTGTGTTTTGAAGGCCGTGGAAGCAGGATATCGTGGAGGAATTTCAGGGGAGGAAAGGGCAGAGAATAGTGGTGGATGGGAGTTTATATGCTTTGAAAGGGGGATAACCAGGCAAGATTTGTATGTACTGTACTAGGGTTGTCCCGGGCGCTTTTGCCTTTATTATAACTCGTCATCTTTCACATCCATAGGTACATACACTACTCTGTACAATCAATCTACCTCTCCTCTCTTGGACGCGTTTGGCGATGAAGAGACAGAATTAAAATATGGAATACTCGGTTAAGTATGGCAAATGACGTGCGGGATTACTCAACCGTTGTTTATGGCTGATACTTCCCCCACGCTGCGCCGGGGATTCGTCGCGGTAATAGAACAATATACGGAACACAGATCTGTATTATGGAAGAAATCTCTTCCCATGCAAGAATAAACCTTAGGCCCGGTTATCCATCCTTGTCACTCTCACTGATCTTCATCACAAATCCGACGGCTATCATCCTGCCGTGGTTGATGTGAAATAGTGGATGAAAGGAAAAAAAAAAAAAAAAAAAAAAAAAAAACCCCATGAACTGTACAGTACATCGGAAGCTACGGCTCCAATATTATATTGAGCATCCCGAAACAAAGAGAAACCGACAAAGTAACAGCGTTGCCATGGAATAAAAAATCTTCCAACTCCCCCCCGCATCTTCAACAATTCCAGCAACCACAGGGAAAAAAAAGGGCAAAAAGGGAACTGAGGGCAGTTCTCCAGGTTCTTCTTCATGTTCACCAATAAAGTCAGCATTTAGCAATCCACTGCCAACGGCTCCTGCCCATCCTCCGTCTAAGGTAAGTATATGAATGTTACACAGTATTTTATGTTCGAAACAGGCAAAACTACCGGCTACCACGGTGGGTCGGCCAGGAGCCTAAAAAAAGTGGAAACCGGCCCCGGCTCATGTTGGAGAAGACGTTCCCACAAGGAGAACTTATCATCTGGCAGCTCTTACTGCTGACTGCCGTTCACTGGCCATGACTGCTCAAGTGCCCAACCCAATCTTCAAGCAGCAGCTGTTGTTGAGAGTGTTCCACTCACAGCGGATTGAGTTCTGAGACTTGCATCGGAGGCTCGTGCTTAATGATAAATATAGACTTGCAGGAACATGGCGTGACCGGCACACGAAATCGATGCATAGCTTACCCCGGTGCGTCGAGCTAAGGGTTTCATTCAGACTTGCAACTGGCCCGCTAGATTTCAACTAATGGCCTCGTCGAGGGACCCCCTTGTTCCTTGTTCCTTGTTCCTTGTTCCTGACGAACTTTTTCCGCCACAGATAACAAGCCAACTTTTCTGGTTTCCCTGCTTGTTGTTGTTGTTATCCCACGGACGCCCTGTGCTTGATATGCAGCATTGCTTTCCAGATTTTATTGGGGTGTCGGATGTTTTCTTTTTTGGGGGCTTTTGGTTTTGTTTTCTCCTGTCCTTTGTGTGCCCTGCTTGGCCGATCCCTTTATGGGTCTGGTCCGATTGATCATGGTATGTTGTGCCATTGTTGTTGATCTTTCACTGGCTGGAAGATCGCTGTTATTGAGCAACCCGAATCACCTGGAAGCACGAAGCGCGACCGAAATGGGAGGATGGGAAAGAAGATAGAACAATAAGAATACAATTCTAGGCCTCCTCTCTCTCTCGGAAAGCCCCCCCCCCCTTTTTTTTTTTTTTTTTTTTTTTAATATGCACGGTGATCCGAGTTTCTTGCTTGATTGAATCTCGACCGGTAAGAACTGGGTGCAGCAAAGTACAGAAACTTGCATTTATTGTTTACATCCCGGCCACATGCTCCCCACACTGCCTCCTCTGCAAATGCTCGAGCTCCTCCATATTATAAACAAAAGATCACGGATCCTTCATTTTCTTATCTCAAAGTCAACTCACCCCACTCCGGCATTCTAAGAAACACCAGGGGAGCTTACCTAGTGCTTACGGCACCTGCACTTGCACCCGAATACGTGCTGTCCTTGCATGCTCATCATTTCCTCTCGGAATAAATATAGAACATTCAGTAGCGAGGAAAAGTAAAAGCAAACGAAAAGGAATCCATGGAGGCGTTGTACGGAAACGAATTTGCTTTTAGATCTCATACTGCCCAAGAACAATCATGTCTGCCACCAGACGTTCACCCCAACATGATTCTAACACAGTCAACAACCCATTGGGGCAGTCAGCCTCCGCAACAACCGCAGCAGCAAGAAGGGTTGTTCCCTACATATTCACCCAATAGCCACCATGATCAACATCAGGAGCAATATCAGTTGGGTAATCAGCTCTGCTACTACCAAAATTTTCAATTAGAGCAGCAACAGCAACGGCAACAGGAACAGGAACAGCAACAATTCCCGTACCAATCCTGCCCATACCAATATCAGCATCACCAACCTCCTAATCGCCTCAAGTCCAATCGCCAAGGCGATCCTAGGGCCCGTCTGGCCCTACCTCGCCTGGACACTTCATCTCCCGCTGTCCGGCCCCGCACCCAAACCATCAAGCGGCCGAGATACTATGCTAACTTCCAGATGAGCACGCCTGTTACCACATCCGTCTCCTCCACCACGTCCACTCCACTCTCCCCAAGCGCTACATCTCAAGTCATTTCCAAGGGCCCTCAACGCCGAGCGTCCTTCTCATTATTCCCAGAGGCAGACAGCGCGAGCACAGGATCCTCGAATCCTAGACGGCCTGCGTCATCAGCGGCAGCAACGGCACTAATATCCGCACCATGCCCAAGTTCATCACCGGGCTTTGTGTTTCCCAACCCGATGAAGAATCAAATCGATAACGTCCCATGTTCCACTAAGGCTATGAAATCCCGAACGCTCTTTGGGGGTGTCGTATCTATCGTATCCTCGTCGCGCAAGGAGCGCAGACTGGTGAAAAAGCAGAAGTCAATACCCAATCTCCCGGATGCCAGTCCTGTGGTTCACCCTAAGAAAGAGCTGAAGCGCTCTCGGTCGCTGTTTGGATTATTGTGGAAGTTGGTGGGGAGGGAAAAATAATGGATATCCCGCTGTTTGATTTTGATCAAATTGGTGCGTTGAGGGATTCGATGCGCTCCGGTGTTTGGGTTAGTGGTGGTGCTTTTCTTTTCGATTCTGGAGGCGAAGATCATCAACAGCAGGGCCGTAATGGATCTTACGCATTTTGTTTCCTGTTTCCATTCTTGCTTCTCGATTTCAAACTTTCCCTTAGCTTCCGGATATCAGTTGTGTTGGAGTTAGCTGGTCGTGGTCACTTTCCCTTCTCAGATTCCATTCCTTTCTTTCTTTCTTTCTTTTGCGGATTGACTTCCTTTCTTCCCCAGCTGTTTGGCACTTGGAATCTTCGAGATTTAGCACAAGAGGCGATGCACTTGATTCATTTTCAATATTAACGGCAAATTTAGCAAATATATCAAATGAATGATGATATAGACGAGTCAGTACCATTTCCAGATGAAGTTCTGAATTTCACTATTGAGGACTCGAAGTCAGTCAGTTCGACAGCGTCTCTTATATAAATATTTACGCACTTCTGTTACTTGCACAAAGGTTGTATGAGCTATACACTTCATGTGCGAAGTTCATTGACATTATATAACGTGACCGCGGAATAGGGTTATTACATCTTGTGTGATCAGCATTTCCAGCCGGGGATCGCTTTTCTCTTCTTATAACCACGTAAATACGGCGATCTGTCCCGGATTGACCGGTGTTGTATATAACGAAACCGCCGCTCTTCGACCTGAGACATCCGGTTGAAGCCGTGAAATCCGAAGGAATCTCCTCGCTCGTCCAATAGAATATCTGAATTGTGCTGCAATGCCGCCGGGCCAGGGTCCTCATTGCCAAAATGTCCCAGTTTGTCTAGTCGTGGCAGTATCCATCACCAGGACAAGGAATTAGGTAGACGCGCCGAATGCCCTTGGAGTCAGCGTACATCTGTGGAGGCGGCGATCGGAGATCTGGAGTCCGTGAACCGAAAATTCCGAACCCCGTAGCTTGTCTTCTTGGGCAAGCAAAGCCCAAGGCGTCGAGCAGCTCTGCAGGAGTTTTGTGTGGCACAATTTCTCAATCAGCGAACGACGGCGAATGGAATAAAACAGAAACACATCGGATAAATTCGGAGTCTCGTCCGTTCTCGAAGTCCGAAGTAGAAGCGAACTCTCTCGTAAATCCCGGCGAAACATCATCCAATGTTTGAATCCGGGGACAGAATGTCTGCCATAATTCTTAAAAATATTTTTCTTGTTTGCTCTGGAATCAAGTTCTAACACCCTTTTGTTTTCCTTTTTGTCCTGTTAATCTCAAACCGACGGTTGACCAGGAAAAAAGAAAGGGATTCAGTGAAATACGTCGTGGAAGTCGTCGTAAATCAAATATCATCTTCGGACAATCCAAGCATGTCATGCGTTTCGTATGGCACATAAGCGCGGGCTGAGGCTGACGCCTATCTCATGACTGCACAAACGGATTTAAAAAGGAGTTTTCAGTCCGTTGCTTTCACGGCCGTAGACCCAAGAGCGTAGCGGCAAAGCGCTGAGTGCATATCCAGTCTCCGGTATCCATTACCATCTGATGTATCACGGTTATGGAAATAGAGGATCGGAAGTGGTTTATAAACTCCACCGGATATAAAGTTGCGATGGATTGCATCGATTTAATACCTCCGGATCGCTGGAACCCGTTGGGCTCCGCTGGACTTAATATGCTTCAACAGAGAGTTAGCTGCTTAACTCCGGGATAAGTTCTTTTCGGAGACGAATATAAGGATTCAGTTGCACGACTGATTTTAATAATGATATCGATATTATTCTTTGCTTTGCCGTGATGGTGATTCTAGAGTTAGAGCAAAAGCCTCATATGTTCGCGTATTTGACGCGTCGAGGCTGAACTGATGTCTTTCCAGTGAGATCTGATGAAGGATGATGAGACACATGAGGTTGAGTAGCGGTGTTCATTGTCCCGTCCAACAGGGAGAGTATTTTGATATCGATAGCAGGTCTCCATTTGCGAGGTAGTCTTTCTTGAAAGAAAGAAAGATGTTGTTGGGCTGAATCTGGTGAATCGCGCGCCAAGACACCGACGATATTCCGCCTTCCAGGATTCTTCCACTGTCATCTCAGAGATGTAAGGACGCGATCAACTCATGTTGCTTCAGGATGCACCACCTGTCTTATTTCAATGATTTTGCTTGAGGATCAACTATTGCCGCCAATCGCCAACAACATCTGGAACTTTCTCAGGCTGGAGTCGCTGAGACCCTCCATGTTCAATTGCCGGAGGAGTTAAAAGATAGTTTCTAGGGGGATCTATGCAGCATATATCAGTTGAAGGGAGTCAGGATCTAACATAAGCCTGAGCAGTCAGTTGCTCGTATTCCAGGCCAAAGGTTCTCAACACATCTCAAGGGTTGAATTTAAAAGCCAGCAGAGTACCGGTTCAACTAACCTGGTGGCTGCAGGTTTCTTTTTCCATGCAGGGCTAGAAATCCGTACATCTCCCACACATTTTGATGTCAGAAGAAGTAGTGTCGGAGATAATATCTCATAGCTATATCAAGAATCTTGTAACATCTCGCTATTTGAAACCTGAGCACTGCCCCGCTGAATCTCAGCACGGCCCCTCTCATATGATTGAGCATTCTCTTCCCTATAGATATCGCCTAGTTATCATGTAATTATCGGAGTGATAATAGTCAATTCAATTATCTATCGATATTCAGTATATTTGGGTCAATATTCGGACATTATCCAGTTCCGACAAGTAGACCTTACCGAACGGGATGATCTTATTTGAGAAAAGGTATGATCAGTTTCAAACATCTGTTAAATAGTAAAATTTAGAAGACGACAGATAAGTTCTTTCTGCAATGGCGGGCAAAAGTGCGACTAAGTTGAAAATAGGGAAGATATTAACATAGCAAGCCCATCACCCTTGCCCCTCATTCCTCCGCACAAGGAGCGGTATTCCCTTGGTAGGTATCCAAGATCATCCACGTAGTGAAGTTCAACTACTGGCCATTTTATGACTCCTTTCCTGATGGCTGGCAAGGAAAGTTATATAAAACATAGTTCAACATGGTGCTACATGACCTTGTAACTCTCCGGCACATTTGTATGTAGAGCATGGCCTCAACTGGTGAACAGTAGAAGTTAATATTCGTCTGGGTCAATGCAGCGCCATATTTGTACCTCTCAAAACATGCTGGGAAAAAAAAGGGGATATGGATATCCACTCATATAAGTTGGAAGTTAACTTCCTTATATTATTCGCACATTTCCTTTGTAAGAACTTCAAAAGACGTTCCTCTGTTTCATAACTAACAATGTACCCATCCTGCATGCTCAGTTTTGTTTGCCGAATATGGAGATCTATGCAGGTCAACTGATGGGAGCTGGTCAAAACAATAGTTCGAAGCATGCTAGTGACAAATTTGCTATCCAGAGGCAATGGACCTTCATGGCATGTTCCGGGGGGAGATGCCAAAAGAGCCCGATGAGCTGGCGTCCAAACTAAGCAACGAACCAATTCTCGCTATCATCAAGATTAGATTGAAGAGACTCTTTGATCGTGCTTTGGCAGTTTTCAGAGAAATGTGAGGATGTGAGTGAGAGTGACCCAGCTGGTGCGTCATTCATATGTGCTTGTTTTGTATCCACGTTCGAGAATATTCCTTCTTCCACTTACCCTTCTTCGGCGCGGGAGACGAGGATAAAGGGAGCATGTAGATCCCTTTATATTTGTATTTTCGATATTATCTGCAATTTGCATTGCGTAGTTTTTTTGCAGTTGGATTTTAGCATTTGGTTGTTAAAACCAGGTACATTTTGATTGGCGAATCGGGGATGAGTTTGCTTTTAAAGTGTATTGAATGGTGCGCGCGTAGGGGGATTCTGGAGAGGAAGGAGAGTTAAGGAGGAAAGAAAGCTGGGGATATTGATTCTCAGTTGTTCAAAGTATCTAGCAAAAGATCGTGCCGTGATTCAGGGGATAGATTGTAGGACATGCTACTTCATTTTCTCATTCCACATATTGGGCGCATTGCCATAATAATCCATTTCATTAAGACGACTCCCGTCAAAATGGAATTGCGCCTGATAAAAGAAAAGGGATTGGGTGCGTTCGGGTTTCCTCGAAGGTCTTATTATGTTCAGGTGTTCAGGAACACCTATATTGATATTTTCAAAAGGAGCATTTGCAGTTCATATTTCCTCGAGCTATATCCACGTGGGCCCCCCAGTGCAGGAGGAGGCTTCTGCTATCATCACTAGATGGAAGACGAAGCATATCATATTTGGAAATGGGGACTCTCTTATCCGGGGCACAGGACCCATGTCTCGTACTATGCGGGAAGGGCGGTGGGAAAGAGTGATTCTGGAAGTAGGATTAGCCAGTATAACGCATCGGGCGAGTGGATTGAAGCATAGGAGTGTTGAATACTAGACGCGAGATCTTTTCCTACATGAGAGTCCCTGTCAATTTTCCAATGATGTAAGTGTAATGGAATGGAGCTCATTAGAAACAAGAATTGCAAAAAGGGCACCCGTTTCTAATCAAAATGGTTCCACGGTGCAAACAATTTTTTGGGCGAAGAGGGTTCCAATAATGAACACCAACGAGGAGGAATGTCGCACCTCATGTGGTCCAAAAAAAGGCCATGAAATGAAAACGGGAGAAGTGGGCTTCCTTGCCAACAGAGGTCGATACGTGATGGAAAAAAGGGGCTGATGAAGACGCAAGGGCGAATGTGAGGATGGGTAGATGGGATGATAGAATACCTGAAATTCAACTCCATCCACCCATTTTGCAGTAAGGACGCTTGCCAATATCAGTTCGCAGTCAAAGGGTGTCCCGCCGATTTCCCGTATCTGATATCACAAAAGCGATACAGGATTTAGTTTTTATGCCCTCTCGTGGGGCCCCACAGAGAAGAAGCTATGCAACGGTGCAATGTGGCCAATTTCTCGACATCGGACCTGCGATACATCGAAGAATGGGGCGGGTGTTCCCATTGGAACATTCCCGTACTGCGTGCGGAGTAGACGTAGCTTGCACCCCCTGTAGGAATTTGCCAGCAACACGCGGCAGAGATGAATATAGATGCCGTTTTTTCCAGTTGAGCGGCATAGGCACAGAGCTCTCCAATCCAAACGGTGCCTTGATATCCTATCAAAGCCTCCCTCCCATCTACACCGCCACCTTCTGTGGCCTCCAGGGGTTGGGGAATTCACGCTGGCGTTTCTCATTCGGCGCCCCGACTTTTTAAGGAAAAGCAAAAAGGGCAAGGAAAGGAGCAGACTGTAGCAAAACCAATGGATAGCTTCTTAGCTACATCGCGCTGGCGAAATCACGAGCGAGAGAATTCGGAAGTGAAGAAGTAACTGAATAAAGAGGCTGGCTGATTACTTTCATATGGTCAGTCTCTCCCACCGCGGTGCCTCTACTCCGTGCAAGTGAATGGCTCGCCACCTATCTATCCATGGAAGGAACCTGGTCTTCCGCCGTCGGCTTCCCAGTAGCGCGGACCGGCCTGTGACCAGAGGTGAAAACGATTCTGGATATCCGTATGTTCTCTGACCTGGTTGGCTCATGCAAGGGTAGAGACTCCCGTTACTCAAGCATTATCATTTTAGCATTTAAACTAAGGTAGTGGCTAGTAGCTTTGTTCCCTGAATCTCTTTTCCCATGTGATACATCCAGTTTTCTCACGACTTTCGGGAGTAAGCGACAATATATGAGGCTGGGAGACATGCCAAGTGGCGTTTCTGCTGCAGAAGTGTTGTTATCATGGGTACGTAGTACTTTGATTGGGGAAGACAGGGGGTATTGAAGGAGGAGAAAGACATGATAAAGAACTTTGCCCTCACTTTCCTATCGTGGAAAGCTAGCACGGCAAAACAAACGCTAACCCAAGCCGCGGGACAGACAGCTGTGGCAAACCCGCGACGAGTGACGAATACCATCCAACCAGCACGGCGATCAGGAGGAGCGTTCCCCTCCCGTCTGGCGCACTGTTCTCCTTGCTCTCCTGTCAGACCGTCTCTGGCCGGCAGGGTCTGAGGCTGGTGGTATCGAATTAGATTTGCAAGTGGCAGCTTGAGGATGAGGAAGAGGATCATATCCCGGCATCTGAACGGGGCAAAGAAGCTAACTGATCATGCTAACTCGAATATCAACAAACCACTGAATATTAATCCTGGTCCATTCGTTTCCACATTGACCCAACCATGAGGTTAGAGATGACAATGGAGCCAGGATCAACCAAGATCCCGGAACGTAGTGAACCCTGCGCCACCCGTCCAGTGGCTGGATATATGGGCGGGAAAACGGCGAGGTGAACGGGAATGCGGAAAACAGGATTCCTTCCAAAAGAAACGAGGAGAGGGGAGACAAGAATACGTCCTCTTGTCGTGAATTAATCCATGTCCACCTGGAAAGAAAGAAAATATTGCATGGTGTGGCATGTACGGAGGACTACTTCCATCCTGTTTTTCAGCTTATGAGACGCAGAAAATGGCAGCCGGCGGTTGAGCCAGGGCGAAACATCGGGGAGCTTTTCCTCGCGGTCCAATTACCCTTGTCATCATTATTCAAATGAAAATAACCAGAGCAAAGGATTGAGGATGATATCCTTTGCCCCCTTGATAGTAATAAGATAGCTGAATATATTCAGCATCCCTGATGCTGTGGCCAGCATGGTCATGTTTGGGAAGACAAGATGACGAACTTCCCAAACATGACGAAGAATGAGGCCTAAGCCACATGCATTGCTCAGGAAGACGATACAGGCCTCAAGCGGACATTATTACCGTAGGAAATACGAAGATAGTCTGGTGAGTTGAATTGGCGGGTGTGTTCCTTGTATCCGCAGTTGTCGCTGTTGTCAAAGAATTTTTTCTTTTCTTTTTCGAGACTGATGAAGTTGGGAAAACGCCAAGCAAATCCGGTCTTAAAAAAAATCCAAGGGTAAAACCCGAAACAATGGGGCTGCCGATATATCCACTGGCGATCGGGTTTTAAGAATAAGGCACAAGCGAGCCGGCTGAAAAATTTTGTTTCCTGGCTCCCGCTAAAGAAAAATCCCCGGAGGCAAAGGCACCAAATGCAGCTACTGCTTTTTTTACTTCTGGGAGATCCCACAAAGTGCCGAATGTCACACTCCCATTGGCATCATGCTACAATGTTCGGCGAAGCTAAGCTACGGCCCTGCACTAGCAGGGATTCTCGCATGCAAAGAGGAAAATTTTTTCAAACGCTAGTCAAGCAATGGCAGGTGTTTTGACCCAGTTCATTGGAGAACTCACCTGTATTGAAAGGCGAAGTGAAAAATTCATGCATAGGGCTTGACATGTTGCATGCAACGGAGGGCCAGTGCGCATAGGGCAGACGCTTGAAGAAAAAAAAATGGGGAAGCGAAGTGTTCTAGAAGAACCTGGTTGTTTCTAGAGTGGTCGAGTAGAGCAAATTTCAAATCACAAATCACTGGTTCGCTTGTACATGTATAGAGTACCTAGGTGTGGTTATAAAGATCAAATGACCAAAATATTATCATCATAATCATCATCATCATCATCATCATCATTATTTACAAAATAAGATTATGTGACTCCCGCTGAATTTCTCCGAGTGGTGGGGAAATTATACACGGTCGCTTCTCTATAATTCGGCCGAGTGTAATCTGTACTCCGTATTGATATTACATTCCTTTGCCTGGCTTCCAGTCAGCAGATCGCCAGGGTTGAGAGGAAATGATTCCAAATCCCATCCAAATAAATACCCAAAGGATCGTTGCCGAAGAAAACAACAAGCCACAGATCGGACGCCACATTTTTGATGCCTGAGGTTGGCAGCCGACCCACTTGTCAATAGGAGCTGCCCTAGCTCTATCGCAAATACCACCACCACACGGATCGACTAGTGGATTGTATTACACAGCTAATGGTGCTGCACATTTCTTTTTTTCCTTTTCGCTCTGTGCTTGCACTAGCCACGTAGCTGTTTGCCGGCCGATCTTGCAATAATAATCCAGCTTGGAAAGTGTGGCCGTGAAAACCAGCCACATCAGGGCACCGAATAGGAAATGGATATGCTTCCGCTTTGCCTAAACGAGCGCTTCCCCACAAAAAGTATCCAGATTCACAACAGCTATGGATCTGCAAGATGAGGCTAGTTTTGCTGCCCTATTTTTCAGATCTGCTGGAGATGTGGCGGTGCAAGATGCAAGATGCAAGATGCAAGCATGCAAGATACGATAACAACCACAAGCGAACCACCCAGCCAGCGAATACCTACTTGCCAGCAAGAAACCAGGTTTTTTTTCTTTTCTTTTCCAGATAGCTGTATGTAGGAACCCGCATTTTTGACTTTGGCATATAGGTTGGCAAGTAGGAATGACCCATGTCTACCATGCTGGTGGCGTCGCTAAAGCCTGCTGCGTTTGCAGCTTGAGACGCATTTGTTGCAGCAAAAGCTCTCTAACTTTACATAGAGTACGGGGCACATACAGATTAGATAGGCGAAGATCTTGCATCACAATCTGGCTAACTCTTAGTGTGAAAATTCAACAAAGATTTCCACGGGGTAAACACAGCGCTTTGCTTTTGTTTTTCCGTCTTGTTTTGATTTGTCCTTTCTTTCTTTTCTTTCTTTCTGGGGGTCTTCGTAATTCAGCTTGTGACTTCCTCTATTATGCAAGCTAGGTAGCATCTTTCAGCTTTGTATGGAGTACAGTACTTGCAGCTCCTTCAATAAAGTTGCATATGGATATGGAAAGAAGAATAGGCTTTGTTCTCGCGTGTGACCAAAAAAGGCCTTTTATGGTTTGCGGGAGGTGGAGTGTGCTTAGAATGAACTTCCAAAAATCAGGGTCCATTATGTACCAGCTCCTTCAGGCTGTTTCGTATTTCGCTTTGTATTAAATAAAACACTATTTTTTTCCCCTCTTGTAACTGATACTGGCAGCCATTATTCTTTTTTTAATGAATATTATTGTTCAATTACTAGTATATATGTAGAAGTGGTTTCAGAATGCCAACATCGAGATGCATTGTCTCAATTTAATTGATAGCCTTGAAAGGAATAATAGTTGACATGAAACAAAAAAAAAGCCATTCTTCAGATGTATTGTAATGTTAATAATGTTAAGCAGTAAGTAAGTATAGATCGTAGCAAATGGCAAAAGAGATAGTTAGGTATTATGCTTCTTTTTTCATTCAGTGGTACTTGGTATTGATCAGTTACATGGAGAGTTTTGAAGTATGTGTTTGCAGCCTGAGAAAGCATATCTGAAAATTTGGTTTCGGTAACTAAAATCAGGGAATTGGATGGCCGAATTTTACCCTATGTTTGCAGCATGTGCAGTCGAAACATCAGGACTTGTCATGGTCTCAGGATACTTGATGATGCTGATGCTCATGATGATGATGATGACTCGGTACTAGGTTCATCAAAAGTTGTCACTTGACCCTCACAGAGCTTGCGATGGACGATCTAGATTCAACTGCTAAATAAAAGTGGGTCCTTTTGCGGTTGAATTTTTTGAAGGGCTTTATTATACTTTTCAATTGAATTTTTTTTTCCCTAAGTCTCTGACAACCCCGGAGAAAACGAAAGGTTTAAACAGCAGGTTTCCGAAATAGGAACCATTCCCTTGCCGGCATCTAGATGGTGATGGCGATCGGGTTGAAAAGAGCGAAGTGCAGTGCAGAAGCTTTGGTGATCTCTGGCAGATAACGAGTGGCTTCCGGGGGTGTGTGGCTGGTGGCTGAGCAGCTCGGTTACAGTATTTTATTCCCATGCTTGTCTGTATTCAAGGTATTCAAAAGCGGTAAAAATTCAATAACAAGTAAATTATTTGAATCTTTCAACCGAATATTATTGCTTCGGCTAATTTTTGTAAAAAAAAAAACATGGGGCCCTCCTCCCTGCTCACACCAACGATCTCCTTCCTGACGACTTGTTCATGAGTCTGACCCAGAATATACGGGATCTTGGAACCGCAAAGATCTAGTCTAAGTTTTTATCAATCAATCGATAATCTCCCATCTAATTCCGTCGAGTTGGCTGCAGACTTAAGAGCACCCCTGCTCATAAATTCGGCGACCTGGCACTTTGCTACGTACGCATCTACAGAAAAACACCCAGCAATCGCTTCTTTCAATTCAGCTGCCTCGTTCATACATACGTGTTAGTAGTATCTGCCGCGGGGGGTGTCATGACAGCAGCCTCAATTTTTAAGAGCACATGGCTCTTTCTCCCGGCGAAAGGAGTTAGCGGGTAGGGTGTCCGCAGAATAGGGCGGCTATAATTCCGGATCAGTTTGGGATTTCTTCGAATTACACACAACGTTGGACCCGGCTAAGCCGTCGCAGTGTTGAGCTCCGATTGGCCCAATGTCTCAACGAACCTGCAAACATGATTCATGATTCAAAAATTCAATCAGATTTAGTTCAAACTATACCAAGATTTATCAGCACTGCATTCATAGATGGCAGTCATCCGTCGGCTAACGGCGGATTGATTCAGTTTGGATGGATGAACAGCAAGACTTTTGACCTGATACAACGAGCGCAAGAGCGAGTGAGTCTGAAGTGTTTTTTTTTTTTTAAAAAAAAAAAGAAAGAAAAAAAAAACCACACCTAAAATTTCCCACCTCCGAAAAAACACCGAGAAAAATGTTGCATTTGAGTTTTTTCAAGGGCTAGGATGTTAGTCCCCGTGACGGGACTCCAATTTTTCACTTAACAGGCGAGTGGACCCTTGCAGGCTTCCGAGTCGAGCCTGGGCTACCCTTGTTGTTGCACATGCACATGCACATCACATTCATGGATATTACCGGATTTAGTTCGCGAGGAGGAAAAGATAGGAATGCAAAGGAATACACAGCCCGGAATATATCTTTCCCTGCAAAAAAGCAGAAGATAATAGAAGTCCGGAGAACAGAACTGACAGAACATGTCAGAGACGCGAGGATTTGATTTGAATTTTTTCTTTCTTATTGTTTTCTCTTTCATTTCCCGACGAACGAAGCCATTCTGTGAAACTTCAAGGCGTAAATTGTGAACTTAAAACCTAATGGTAATTAGGGGAATTTCTCCTTTTTAAACCTAGTTGTAAAAGTTCAATTTTATATGGTAGCATGTCTTGGTTGTGTTAGCACCACCACCTAAAACGGAAAGGGATTTGAATGATCAATGCAAAGTGTATTTTTGGCGGTGGGTACACACATATTATAGTTATAGTGCAGAAGAGCAAGGACTGTTCAGATCTTCCTAGTAGAACTAAGTTCATAATTTATCCCCTGAAGGTTCACCACATTCGGCCCGATCATCTCCATAGGGCTGAGGATTTAGCCGAGTCCCGGGGTCTCTGGAGCATCGATGTCGTAATTTGTTTTCTTAGAGGTATCTGTCACTCCTTGGCAAACTAAGCATGAAGCATTGGGTTATGCTACTTTTGCCTTGATTTTAATTTTTTGCTTTTGCTTTTGCTTTTGTGTTTATTGTTGTTTTTATCTTTATTATGCTTTTTTTTGAGGGAGATTTTTTTCCATTTTAACTTAAAACCAGGGCTGTTGTAAATCGTACAGTACATGAGCAAACAGGGAAGTAAGTAGCAGCTAAAAATCACCATGTTATTTGAGTCCTCATCTTTTAGTGTCATCGGACATAACGCCCATTTTTTTACATTTTCGCCATGTGGCAAAAGGACCACCACTTGTTTCATCGTAGCGGGAAAAAAGCATGGGAAATGAAACCCTCCCCTATCATTGTTGAGAGTACTCACCGGTGCAGAGAGAGCACTTTGCTGTTCATGATCGATGGTTCCTTATCTCGAGATTTGATGTTTCCCAACCAAGGTTTTATACATGTAGATCACATGAAGGGGTTTCATCTTGTATTAACTATCTTTTTGTTTTTATCTCTACCCCCTTTTTTCTCTACCCCTTACCTTTGTGACTCCCCCTTTTTATACTGCCACAGAGGGGAGGAACATAAAAATCAAATTATAACAAAAAAGGGAGAAAAACAAAGCTGACACGGAAAAATCAATTCGGCCGTAGCGCTTTTGCGACGCGTATACAAATGGTGCTTATGTATCATATCTAACTAGTACGTGGCTGCGGAGTCATATATCTATCAAAGGGCGCTCGTCATGCTGACAAAAACAAAAAGAGGGTTCCTCTAGACAAAGCCCAGCTGGGAGAAGAAGAACGAAGAATGAAGAATGAATGGGCAAGAAATGCTTTTTTCGTGTTTACATAGGTAGTTTTACTTACTTACTTACCTACCCGTAGCCTAAGTGGGGTGGTGATAAGATTGATAAGTTTGAATAGTTATAGTTATATATTTTTTTTTTACAAAGAAAAGATGAATAAAAAAAAATAAGCCCAAATCCAATCCAAACCAAACCAAACCCCCAAAAAGGAAACTAGTTTTCCAAAAACGGCAGAATCGGATGGGTAGTTCGATAGCAAGCCTGATCGGTTGGGAAAAAATTTGTCCCAAGCTCCGAGCCTGCGCCAAGAAAGACAGCAACGTCGAAAACAAATAGTTCGGAGGTCCGGTTGATCGATAGAGCGAGGGCGAGAAGTGGCTGTGCTGCAAAAAACAAAACAAAACCAACCAAAAAAAAAAAAAAAAAAAAGAGAGCACACAAAACAAGGGAAAAACCCGCTAGTAAATTCTATACATTTTGTGTATTCGGGGATGACCGAGCTTGTTAAAGTTGGATTCACGCCGCATTAGCCATATTCGTATTAGTCTGATTAGAATTCGGCGAGGGCTTGTGCCTGGACAACGCAGGTACCTGCATGAGCTTGACAAGATGGGTTTCTTTTCTTTTCTTTTCTTTCTTTATTTTTTTTTCCCACCCCCAGGTTATTGTTGTAGATCTTTCTTCTTCCTTCCTTTTTCCACCCGGGGATCCGTCAACTTGGCAAATGACGGAGTCAGATCTGAGCACGGTTCAGACATAGCCATAACCCCGTGCTGCTCCCTTACTACCTACAGGCAGTACGGGCACAGAAGGGTTGTATTGTATACAGAGTAGTACGGACTTCCGTCCCATTGCTTTTTTTGCGCCCGGTTTCGATCCCCACCACGTGCTCTGGCCGACTGGGGATGATGCTCCAGCCACACACAGAGTGGACCCAGACTTTGTTTGGTTGATTTGATTGAAGCTTCCGAAGCCCACAACTCCGGATTTAGGAGTATATCGGTGTTTTAAAAAAAATTAATAAGAGAAGCAAATGACTGGCCGGCGGGCGAGGAGTGGAGAAAAAAAAAAGATTTGCTAAGGCCTTGGTCGTTGATCTTGACCAGACGGGAACAAGGCGACGCTAAACTTCGAGGCTATCCCCTTTGAGTAGCCGCGGTTTGGATTTTTAGTTGTTGGGGGCCAGGCCCTTATTATTATTATTATTATTATTGTTTTATTGTCGCTACGGTGCTCTTGATTTTGTTGCCGAAATGCATTCACGGGCACGCGACCTTCACCTCGTGGGAGGAAGAAAGGAGCCGGGAAAATATAATGTGGCGTTTTCTTTTTTGAAATTTGTTTGTAGAGAAGCTTCCAGGTGGACTCATCAACTTCAACTTCATTTTGGTTCCTATGTTGTTTTCCAATAATAATAATTCTATATGAAATCATGCATAAAACAAGGTGTCCTGGTGCAATCGAGAAAGCAAAAGGTAAAAAAAAATAAAAGTTTCTCGTATCTGCTCCGGCGTCCATAGGAAAATGTTGTCTAAGGAGTCTCCCCGAAATTTTAAGTTGCCAAGCCATGAATATCAACGAAAAGGAAGTTCTGTCATTCTGGGCGAGCCTGAAGTGCCTCTATTTGCCTCTATTAATAGTTAAAGAGTTTAGTTAAAGTTCAGGGCAACCCCCCCCATCAACATTTGTCCAAACTCTACTCTCAAAGAGCAAGTTCCTACAATGGAACATGTACAAGCACAACAAACACAGCAAGTGATAAACTTCTTCTTTCCATCCTTAAGATTAAATTAAATCTACAAGATGAGGGGATATATGTACAACTATTATTTTTATTTTATTTTTTGCTTTTAGCACGAGGGGGAAATGATCGGTTTGAGGAATTGGATTATAACCATCTACATACATAGTTAACTTAGTTAACTAGCACAGTACTGTGCATAACTAGATGATTCCTAAGCCAAAAAAGTTAAGCGACGTTCCGCATGGTTGACCCGAAATTGACCCGAACGAAAGGCTTTAACTAACAGCAATTCGTCGGGTGGTCTGTCCATGCGAAATCAAGTGAGGATTTAGTATTGAAATCGGCTGTCAGTGCGTGCGTAGGAGGTTTAAGTGTGTGTCTATGCGCAGCGTTGGAGTCGGTATGCTCTTGCTTTGGACAGCCTGTCTGTTGGGACAACGCGGCTGGAAGGAACATTTTGCCGCAGAAGGACCAGGCCGGTGGTTCTTGGCGCTTGTTGGCGATGCCAAGCCATGCCATGACGTCATCCCACAAGAGCAAGAAGCGCCAAGACCCCGGCGGAAAAACTCGAAGGTGGCCCCACTTTTAGGCCTCCGGGTGGCTTCGATGTTTACTCCCTGGAGTTAGATTCCTACTGGGTCGCTTTGATGCTTTGCCGTTACTTTTGGGGGGCGTTTAGGCGTTTGGGATATCGACGGCTTGGAAAATTTACTCAGCCCTACAAGAAGTTGACAGGCCAGCACGGAGTTCATTGAGCCGGAGATCGATGAGTTTTCTGTTTGCTTTTTCTTCAACTCTTCCCCTGTTGCTGTCCGTTTCGGCTGGTGGATGATTCCAAATGATATTCTTCTGTGCCAAGAGCCAGAATTTTGTGTCCTGAGTCGAAGACCCGTAGTGGGAGTTACCAAGGCCGAGCAGAGGATAATGAGGTAGGTTAGGTAGACAGACACTCTCGGAAACGCTTGTTCCAATGGGATCGCACTGCATCGTCACCAGCATCACCGGTCGGTCATCTTTCAAATGACGGCAGTTGGGGTAATTTGTAATATATTCGACTAGGGATCTTTGGTTGATAATTGCCGGGCTTGAGCGCAGAGGGTTTTTTTTTCATTATTATTTTATTATTATTTTATTATTGTTTTATTATTTTTTTTTCTCATGTTTGCTGACGATATTCGGTGCACCACCAAAGCCGGATTGCCGAATCCCCCCGTAGCGTCACCCCTGACAACATTCCTGTATACACGTCGCAGAGCCATAGTTTTTGTATTTCCTCGTTCCCCTGTTGGCCTTCGCCGAATTTCAGACTCCCATTCCTGTATACTGATGAGAACACGGTTGTCCGTCCTGGGTGGAACGGACGTTGCTGAACAAACGCATGCACAGCCGCACTCTTGGCCGGTTTAACTTTTCTGCTTGGCATTCCAGCTGTTTTTGCAAAACGGAAAAAAAAGAAATACGCAACCGTGGTAACGCTGAGTCAGGGAAAACGCAAAAAGGAAACGGACCGGCGTAATGTAATGACAGGGGTTGGCGACGCACGGGAAAATACGCCAAGGATACCGCCAGTGACGTTGTTTTGCGCACCCACGATACAAATACCGTAAGCCAGCCCGCCGGCGCAGGAGCATCGAGGTGTGTGATCTATCTATATAACCATTACCACACTCTCGCGGCAACAACAAAAGACGGCACTCCCTCTTCCACAACGACAATTCGCATCCAACACTGCCACGGTTTCATCTGGACGGTCCGCCAAAACAATCTCTTTCTTGTCCCCCTTCCCAACGAATCCCGCCTCCCGTCTCTCCTCCCCTTGGACCTTCTGCTTTGACCCGTCGCACGCTCTCCGTCGTCCGCGCTTTGGGGTCGACTCATTTTTCGCCACTCCTTCATGACTTGGAAACCCTAATTGTTTCTGTGGTTCCAGCAACCCCCCCATTTCCAAGCTTAATATTATTTTTATTTATATTTATAGTTTATATATACCATCAAGCGGGCTCCGGTCGTCGACATGCTCGCCCACCTCCCACCCCATCCACATCCACATCCACATCCACATCCACATTCACAATCGCAATCGCCCTTTCTTCTCCAACTACCTCTCCAACAACAGCAATTCTACCCCCCCCACCCACATCACCTACATAAATCTCTTCCTCCAACTTCTTCTTCAGACTTGCCTGACGACGGCGAGAGTGTTGCCCAATACAAGGCTTTTCGCCACCGACTACATACGCCTTCCTCTTCGCAAGACTCCTCCTTCGCCAAGCTGCCTGAAGCCCAACAGCAGCTCCAGCACCAACTGCAGGAACTGGAGCAGGCGCAAGGGCTGCAGTACTATTGCGCACCTCCCCTCACCCCCGCGGCCTCGCATTCGCATTCACATTCACATTCGCAGCCTCCTTCTTTCCCCTCGTCGTCGCCGCCACCCGGTTCAGCTGCCGCCTCCCCCACGTACTCGTCTGCCGCCTTCTCCACCCAGAACTCTCCTTCCACGGACTTCTGCTCCTCCTTCCAGGATTCCGGCGTTGTGTCTATGCCGGAAACCTCTTTCTCTCCCCCGGCTGGCTTGTCGCACACTCCTCCGGTCAGAATCATACATAACTCGTCTCCTCCCTTCGGGGGCTCGGTCTATGATCCAGATCACTTTCCATCCATGCTTTTGCAAAACAGCCTCCCCCTCGGTAGCAATCTTTGGAACAGCCTCGTAGACCCTACCAAGTTCGAACCTCTACCCACTGCACAACGACCACCTCGTCGTGCCCTCTACAACCAATACCAGCACCACAGAGCTGTCTCGGAGTCATCGGCTCTCCCGAACACTACTACCCTGTCGCCATCCAACCCTCCTGTCTCGTCATACCCTGCTTCCTCTGTCAACTGTCCAGATCAACCACCTCATGACTACCAGCAGTCAGAGGTAGAACTGGCAATGAGAAGAGGTATTCTGGAACAACAACAACAGCAACAACAGCAACAACAGCAACAACAACGGCAGCAGCAGCAGCAGCAGCAGCAACAGCAAGCAGCGGAGGATGACAAATCGTTTCCTTTATCTGTTCCTCCTTCAGTGTCCACATTGAGTCACAACTCTCCGGTAACACCTCACGCGACTTACTCCGAAGACTTCGAAGATGGTTCTAAGCCCATGTCACATGGTGAGGGCACATATCCCGACGTCGATAAGTGGATGGATGATTACTTACGTTTTGATGACCGTGTAGATTTCAGTGACCACAGCAGCACTCCGATGGGCGTTCCAAAGCTGACTAGGACCATCTCTGACATCTACCAAGACGAATTATATAACCCGAACGCTTCTACCACGCCAAAGCCATCCATGCAATTCTCTACCCAAAACGCGAAGATGTATTCTCCTTACCATCGCAATATCATTACAGACCGGATACAGGCTGCGCACCAAGGCCATATCTCTGACCAATCGCAATCCCGCTCGACGTCAGCAGCGCGCCACCGGTCCCCGTGGAGAGATAACTCCCCGTTCTTGCACGAGCAAGCTGCATTTAACGATGCACAGATGTCGCAGTCTCAACCTTTTCCGGATCAATTGAATCTTGCCGCCCAACAGCAATCAAATATGTTGATGGGCCCGGCACAGCCGGAACCAAAAACCATCTCGCCCAAGGACGCGTTACTTGAGTACAATGAGTCTCCGGACGATGCGAACATGTCGCTGTTCCCGTCGCAGCCTGAAGCTTCTCAGTATCGCGTGTCGCCAATGGGCAACTCTGCCACCTTCCATATTCCACATATGGAGCAATACGCAAACCAATATGACCAACACAAAAACAATATGCCGCAGCAGTTTGGCTACATTCATCAGCAGCAGATCCCTCTCCAGCTCTCGGGCCAGCAACAACATCAACACCAGCCGCAGCCATCGCAACCGCAACAGCGACAACAGGCCCGTCGGGCGCATCCGCCTCAAGGCCAACGGGAAAATAACCTTGTCCACCACACGCCTGAATTCCCACGTCAACTGCCGTCTATGGACTCTACGTCTAGCGACACGAACACATCTGCGAGCAACAGATCGCCTTTAAGAGCAGCGCCAACATCGAACCCCACTGGTGAACCTGCAAAGCGACCGGATGATACTTCCTCTGATGGAGGCACATACAGCTGCACCTACCACGGATGCATTCTACGCTTCGAGACACCTGCGAAACTACAAAAACACAAGCGGGAAGCCCATCGCCAAACGACCCCTGGGTCACACGCAATGGTGCGCGATTCGTCAACCGGTTCTCTGGCAATGCGCAACTCCCAAGCGGGACCTCACCGCTGCGAGCGCATCAATCCATCTACGGGCAAACCTTGCAGCTCTGTCTTCTCCCGCCCCTACGATCTTACGAGACATGAGGATACGATCCACAACTCCCGGAAGCAGAAGGTGCGGTGCCATCTATGTACAGAGGAAAAGACATTCTCCCGCAACGATGCCCTGACACGGCACATGCGGGTTGTCCACCCGGAAGTCGATTGGCCAGGCAAGCAGAAACGCAAGTCAAGGGATTGAAGGGAGAATTCAACCAACCAGGCCTTGTATGCCTTTCACCCTTGACTATGCTTTTTCTCTCCTTTCTTTTTTTCCGAGAGCACACTATTTTTCAAGGAAAAACGCAGGAAAACAAAAACAAGACGCAATTCCCCACTCAATCCTTAGCACAACTTGCGCTGCCATTTCCATCCAAGCTTACGCTTCCGAAAGGAAAGCCCCGAGGAAAGCTTACGTTATGCAATGCATCATGTGTTGCGCGCGCTGTTTTTCCGTGAGGAAGCCGGCGCAACCACGCAAGCCCGGAACATCGAAAAAGCAGAACAAGCTGGAGACGGAGCTAAGGCACGATGACGCCAGCCGCCAAGAAGAGTTATGACGGACGCCAAGACGTATGACCCAACTTCCTCCAATTCAGGAGATCAATCCCGATGCACACGTCGGCAACGTTCCCGGGACTTGGCGGCCCAATCAGACGGCAGCAATTGGCATTATCAAATTCCTATTCGGGATTTGTCTGCTTACAAAACCGGTACCTTTTTGGGCCCCACTCTTCCCAAAGGGGGAAGGTGCCCACCCATATGCATCACAGTGACGTCATTTATGCCACGCTTTGTGCAGCGTCAGACTGGACCGCGGGTTAAGCGCAAGGCCCAGCCCCAACAGGCTTGCACAGCCATACGTCGCGGCTGTGTTGCGCGTTTGTTTGTTGAATGTTTCTTCCCATCAATTTCCATTCGGCCGATGGCCGGCATTGCACGGTTTTTGGGTTGAGTCTCTGCTTGTTTGTTTGTTCTAGAAAACTTTTTTTTCCTTCTTTTCTTCTTCTTTTTTTCTTTTGGTTTTTGGTTTTTAGGTTTTCAGTTTTCGATTCTACGATTGTTTTGGCTTTTATGGGGAATGAACAACAACCTCGTTCAATTCTTTTTTACACTTTATGAAACAACGAAAACGTCAATCTCTGGATGATTGAGGAATTATACGATTTTTTTAATATATATTTCTTTTGTTTGCCCCCTAGCATTGCATTGCATTGGAGTGGATCTGGTATGGATTGGCATGGGTTAAAAATTGGGGTGGTGTTTTTTGGGCTTTTTTTTTTTAATTTTTTGGCTTAGTCATTTTTCCCTTTCATGTTGTGGAAAGCAACGCATGATGAAGCAAGCAAGCAAGCATTATTTTAAGTGTGATGAAGCATGAAATGAAGCATTAGGCATACAATGGTTTTTTTTTGCATTTTGATTTCCATTTTCTTTGCTCAGAAGAATAATTAGTTGTTATTTTTATATCTTCATTATTATTTTTCTTCACTCACTCTTATTTTGTGATTTTTTTTCTCTCTCAGTGTATGCCTCGTTGCGGAGCACGCACCAAACGATTTTCTTTTCCTTCCTACTTGGCTATATATCAAATGGATAGGGGGTACCTTTTTTGTGACTCCTTGATTTATAATTTTGGAATTGGGGGGTTTTTATTATTAGAATTTATTTTTCATCGTTGTATTTTGCATTTGAATTGCGGTCTTCTTTTTTTCCCCTCCCCCCTGAGTCCTTGCTACTGTATTTGTATATTATTGCTATTGGTTACGAGGAACGGCCACGGCCACGGGCACTATTGTATATGTATGTATAGTATACTACATTAATTATAACTAATGCGTTGATCACTTTCCTTGGGGCGAGTAATGTAGTATGTATAATAGATAAGATGTCGTAGATCTGAAGGAGGTAAGGAATATAGGGGGGGTGATGATGATGATGGACGTGTCCCTATCACTTCTTCCGCCATATATATATATATATATATATACCTCACCACATCATCTCCCCGCAAGTTACTAGCTAGCCGCCGTGCAGGGACACCAGGCAAGGCTCCCTCGCAATTCTTCTCCCCTTAACCGGAACGCTAAAAAAAAAAAAAAAAAAAAAAAAAAAAATTCGTGCGGATCGTAAACAGCTCCGGGAAAACTGCGGTATATGTATGATATGAGAGACAACTATGTGAATTCGCTGCTGCCAAATCCCTAGAAATAAGCATAAGCATTTCCTTTTGAAGACCACACGATCATCTATCTGTGTTTTTCTTCGGTTTCTCCACCTCCTTCTCACAAGTTCCTCTTCGCAGTTTTTTTTTTTCTTTTTTTTTTAAAGCAGTTCATGCAAGCTCCCGATCCCGAGTGGTTGCTTGCCAGGACTTCATACATATCCGTTTTGGCAAAAAAATGCAGCGTTGCGTGCCGTAGCCGAGGACGGACTGGGTACAGAAATACAGTTCCCTGCAGGCCGTGAGGCAACCAACCGATGGGCAAAACCCTTTTAAGTGGTCATAAATTGATCCTTGTGCGGAGTGTTTTTTTTTTTCTGGGGAAGTAAGTCATCACGGGCTGGTATCAGGATTTCGTCGTCTAAGAAGACAATATCGTCCCCATTTGCGTTGGAGTTTCTCTGGAATGAAGGGGAGGTCAGGTATCCAAATTATTCGACCCGGGAGCCTCGTTCTCTTGGTGTCAAGAAATCTCCTGCAAGAAATCTCTTCCCACGTGGATTTGTCGAGAACGTAGTTGGGCTGCAGGGCAGATCCCTCGTCTCCTGGAAAGTATGAATCGACAAGGAAATTACACTGCGAGATATTCATCTGCTGCGAATTAGTGAATGTGCCATATTAGCGGACACAGTATATAGCGTATACTCACGTATTTCCCTGGGTCTTCTTGATTTTGGTCGTTCATCCCAGAAGGCACCATCCACGTCCCTGGCCGTGGGCCTCGGCCGTCTGCTTCTGTGGTAAATTCGCCGGGAAGCAGTCCGTTGAACTCACTTTTAATAAACTTGGCTCTTTTCTTGGCAGGCAAGAAGAATGATGATGGGAAACGGTACCACTCCTTTCCAAAGCATACATGATCCCCATGGGCAGCTACCTCGGGGTTTTCTAACGGCTGAAAAAGCTGAAGCGGAGCGCTGTATGCAGTAACAATCCCCAAAGTTCTTAGGAGACTTATATTCGTAGCGAGGAGCACAGGCATGAGAGCGATTGCGAGTTTCACCTTTCGTGGCACACGGCCAATAAATTCTTTGCGATTACTCGAACCGAGATAGGCGAGAATGTTGTGGAACGCAATTGCCGCGTTCAAAGCTAAGAAAGGATAGGCTGCGTACATGAAGCGTTCTTCCTTATGAGGCTGGATCGTAAATATACCTAACCATATGTAAAAGGGCAAAAGCAAGGCTACCGTTCGCAGTATCGTTTGCTTGGACGTATCGCGTGGTCGGAAGACGGTTTGTAAAATGAGGAGAGGAGCTGCGGAGAGAGCTAGCAGAAACCATATGTTGAAATTGAGCAGCAAATTTCGAAAATAAAATGTCCAAGGTTCGGTTCCGAAAATATTGGGGCCCTTGTTGCTGCCACCAAACACGTTATATGATACGATATTCCACGGAACGACGACGAGTTTTCGGTAAAACAAGCTATCAGTCACAACCTCGAGAACCTACGATTATCAGTACGGACATGTAAGTTAGTCTTTGAAAAATAGCTTACTAAAACTACCAGACACTTTATGACACCCTCAGTAAATCGAATTAAGGTTCGGTGTAGAAATTCGGAACCGTATCCAATGAGAACCTCCTCTAATAAAAAGGATACCACAAGAGCGCCGGCAAATGGCCATCCGACAATAGCTCCAATGCCGAACCACATAATACCGCGACCTGTGTTTAGACCTCCGCGCCAGTCCATGAACGCAGAGATGCCGAGCATCGAGGTGTACATCGTAAAGCTGGATGGTAGCATTGCAGTGGATGCATGGAACATCCCGGGACTGAATACCATGATCGTGACGAAGATGACTCCAATTCGCGGATGGAGTGTTCGTGAGATGGCCGCGAATATCCTCGTTTCGCAAGCGGCGCATATGAATGCAAGCGCCATTCTGACAAAATAGAACTGTGCTGTTTTCGATTGCGTAACGAGAGTAGATATCTTGGCTATGCCAGCATGGAGGGAGACGTAGAGCCAGCTACGAATGGAGTACTCAGGCGAGTACTCCCAAGTCTGGAGACCATACCCATGGACTAGGTAGTGTGTTGGCTCCCAGTAGTTGAAGACCTCATCGCAGTCTTGTATGGGTGCAAGGGAGGCTGCGAGTGTGTTTGCGAGCAGGAATGCGTAGAAGCCGACGTTTAATGGAATAAAGAACGGATTCGGAGCTGGCCTATACCACTGTATGGTTAGCCGACGTCTGCGCGATTGTGATAGCGTTACATACTTAGGGCTGCTCTTTGAGGCTCCTTCCACAGAGCTTTCATAACTGTAAGAACCAGCTAACTGGCTCTGTTTGGAAGGCATTTTTACTGGGCGCACATTGGAGGATATTTATTCCTGAAGGAAGAAGAAGAAGAAGAAGAAGAAATATAATATCGATTTCCTGACTAACTTCTGTTGGAGCTCCTACGGTGGCCCGGGTCCGCCAGGTGTGCAGATGCATATTTTCAATAAAAAGATTCGGCTTCTATTTTGGCAGAGAGAAATGCTGCTGAAATATCTCCGACCAAAAACTCACCAAGTTTTCTACCTGTCGCATTTTACAAGCATAAGAGATGGCAGACGTACCGTCAGCGGATTGTATATTGTCTGGAGATAATAAGCATCCTCCTTCGAAACGGCCTTGTCTTGACCAGGCGTCGAACAGGATGGAGCCCGGAGGAGAGCCGGTAGAGGATGAGGGAAGCGATTTTTACACGCCTATAAAAGGAGGAACACCAGTCCCCACCGCGCAGAATAGCCTCGCAGAAGATAATAACCACATCATTCCGCCTGCGCTGCCGAAAACTGCGCCCGCAATACCTGGACTGACCTTTTTGTATGAGACAACTGCTGCTGCGGAGTCCCAAACGGTTGAAGGTTCTGGCCATAGTGACGCCGTTGAACAGAGAAGCTTTTTGGATAGAGCCTGTGAACTGGGCATGTCGCAAGAATTGGATAAACAAGTCCCTGCTCCGAACGATGTAGAAATGAGAACGACAAGCCCAGAGGATCAGCATCGCCAAGGAGAACATCAGAGCCAGAGCCATACAGCCCCAGAAGAATCTGAGAACGATATCCCTTCCGTTCCGGAGGTTAGCAAGGAGTCGATTCCGTCAACGCATAATGGAGTGCTGGGAGATCCTCATGCCGGAGGGTCTGAAATTGGCTCCAATAATAGTGAAAACCCGGAGTGGGAAATTGACTCTTCACCATATGAGTCCTCTTCCTCAGATTCCTCCTCTGATAGCAGCGATGATGATGGCGATAGCAGCGATGACTATGACTTATTAGACCCTGAAGAGCAAGCCCGTATATTAATGGCTGCGGAGGGTGGTTCCGATGATGAGGGAGATGAAAAGCACAAGGGGGCCCATATTAGAACTGCGAACGAAAAGCCAGAGGAGATAGTGCCGAAGCCCGACATTACCGTCACTCCTGAGATGAAGGTAGAAGTTCTGGGTAATGTGGAGACAATTGTTGAAAACGTGGTCTTAATCAAGGCAAATATATCTGGGGAATACCAAGTGCTGGAGAGCGGCTCCGTTCTCTGCCTTGCTGACCTTAGTGTCATTGGCATGGTATCGGAAACCCTTGGAAGAGTGGAGCAACCGCGATATACAGTTCGATTCCCGAACGAGGAATCGATAAAAGAAGCAAAATTGGACAAGGGCACGCCGGTTTTCTACGTTGTGGATCACTCTACATTCGTTTTCACACAGCCGTTGAAGGGACTGAAGGGCAGTGATGCATCTAATTTCCATGATGAGGAGGTTGGCGAGGAGGAGATCGAGTTCTCTGACGACGAGGCGGAGGCTCAATACAAGCGGCAGCTCAAACAGAAACGTCAAGGAAAGAAGGATGGGCACCGTGATGCTAACGGACACGGGAAACAGAGAAGAGATCGATTGGGTCCTTCTGGACTTCGGAGTTCGGAGATAAACTATGACGATATTAACACGGAAGATGGTTATACTCCGTTGTCTCGGCCAAAGAATTTTCATGAAATGATCGGTCATACAGAAGCGCCCACGGAGGAATCGCACCTACGCAATCAATTTGCGGAAAGGCATTCTAGAGGGGGGAGAGGCAGGGGTAGAGGCAGAGGCAGTGATCGAGGGGAGCGAGGGCGTGGGAGAGGCGGCAGCTACAAGAAGCACGGAGATGATCGCCAACCTCAGCAGTCGCAAAATCATCTCGAACAGCCGCAACGGCAGCAGCAAGAAACATCACAGCATACCTACCCTAGACAGTCTGCTGAATTCACACAGGCGTTCTACCAAGCCCAGAATCTTTCTCAACAGCAGTCCGTGCCTTATAACTCGTCTTCATATCCTCATCAAACTTCCCAACAAAATCAACCTTCCCAGGTGTTCAACACCAATCAAACCTTCTCCACCCCGGGTTTCTTGCCAACGCAGCAACAATATCTTTTTCAACCTCTTCATCAATCTCAATCCTCCCCTCCTTTTCCACCCCCCGGTTCCCATATCAACCCAGCATTCTTCCGCAATCTTCAACAGCAGCAACAGAATCCACCCTACCAACCACCTCAACAAGCTCAGCAGAGGCTACAAAGCCAGCACTCATCCCAAGTGCCTACCACCCAGACATCGGCCGATACCTTCGCTGCCGCACAGGCCCAGCTGGATCTGCTAAGGAGGCTAAGTCGGAGTGGTTCATGACCAGTATCTGCTTTTGGACAGCGGCTTCTGTTATACTATGCAAAATTTTCATTTTCATTTTCCTTCTTATCTTCTTGTTTTATTTGTCCGAAATTGCTTATTCCCATTCGATATTGACTGCCTCTCTCTGTACTATATTGTTGCTACGTTGGGAATTTGGAAGATCTTTATACTCCTACCCTTAAATGATTGCCGAGGTGGGATATGACTGGATATTCTTGAGAAAGATGAGAGAATGACACAAAAAGACTGGGAGTTTATTTATTTTCTAGGATCAAGAATGTGCATGTCTGTTTTTACTTTTCCCTTTATGGTTTGTTTGTGTTGAGCTTTTCCATCTACTCTACCTGATTGCTGGTTTCTGCTTTTGTTCTTGTTAGAAGTGGTTTACTCGAGATACCAGGTCGTTTTCATAATCTACGTACTACGTGGCTCAAGGTCAACGGTATAATTTTTTTTTTTTTTTTTTTTTAAACAAACATAGTTGTGGATCTTGCATTTAGACAATTTTTCAAATAATGCGGTTATTCAAGGATAGGCCTTGAGTGGGTTTATCTGGGCCTTTGAAAATGTGATATATCTCGAGCATATAATGATACAAACCCGCTCAACGACAATTCGCTGAAATACAAATTGAGAAGGGAGATATCAAAATTTCACCCAGCATTTAAATTTTCTCAACCTTCATGCTTTTAGCCAAAGTCCAAAAGTTTTCTAGCTTAGCCCGCGACAATGCATCCTTTGCTGCAGCATCCGTCTCACATACACGCGCACCCAACCATTTTCTAAACGCTCTAGTTTTCTCCTCCCCCTCCCAAACTAGTGTGCATGTGTTTTGACTCAAATCCTTCAGTTCTCCTGTCTTCTCATCCTCTGCGACAAGCCATGATGCGAGCGCTTCGCGTTCGTTGTTTGGATGAGTATTCTCTGTCCAGTCAATGCGATTGAGCATGAGTTTCCTGTACGCGGAGATGGAATGATGACCACCCTCGACAATCACGAGGTTGAATTTCGGATGCAAAATACACATGCCAGATAGGTTGTGCTGTTCTGCATTTTTGCTGATTTTAAAACGGTGACGGCCGTTTGCGAGGTTGTCTATTTTATAAACGGACATGTGTATGCCTTTCAGCGCGTCTTGTTCTTGCTGAATGGCAAGTTTCTCGAGCCGTTGCTCTTTTGTTAACTTGCGGGATTCATTCGCTGTCACGTGTTTGTTAAATCGTTCGGCGATTTCCCGGTTGACACGGGCTTCGACAGCGGTCGGATCCTTGACGGCTTCTTCACCTAGAACGCGCATAAGATTGGACTTCTTGACTTTTGGTGGTGGAGCAGGCTCGAGCCCTAATCTTATCTTTGCCTGTTGTTCTTTAAGATCGGCCATTCGCCGCTGGCGCCGGATTTTGGCTTGCTCTTTCGGCGTAAGAAACATTGGCTTTGGCGCTGGTATGTTTTTATCTTGCGGAGGATTGAGGAGAACAGGATGCTGAATATATAAAGAGACTACAGTATCTGGAGTGTCAATCTTGAGATTTTGAGGGTCATCAATGGCAGAATAATTCGAACCGTTGACCAAACCCTCATCCCACCATTCGATTGCTGGAGGAGTTGGAACGAGGAACGCTTTTTCAACATCTAAATCTTCGTCTACGCCTGCTTGGCGTGCACGTTCCGCGATCTTCTTTTTCATAGCCTCTAGCTGAGCTAGTCGGCGGAGTGCTGCTGCTTGCTGGATATATTTCCCCTTTTGATTAAATACAAGCTGACGTGATTGACGAGGCTTCGCTAGAGCAGTTTTTGCACCGAGGTTGGGATCGAAATATGGGTTGTTTTTCGTTTCTTCGAGGGAAGGGCCGGACAGATCTAGTTGCGTTTTGGATTTACCAGACTTGAACGAAGGAACGGGTGACTCAGTTCGCTGATTTGCCATAGTAGTAGCAAACTTAGGCTGCATTGTCTGTTTGCCTTTTGACGACTTTGACTCTTGAGTAGAGTCGCCTAACAGAGCGGGATGCAAGCCGACATCTAATCCTCCTCTGGCTCGGGATGTACCATCATCAACAACTGGAGGCATAAACATGGGCGGGACAGGTGTCCGTTGCTGGGTTGTCGTATTTACTTTTCCTGTAGCTGCGGCCACTCTCGCCTTAATTTGCTCGAGTCTCGAAAGTGCTGGACTAGCTGTTGTTGCTGAAGATGGTGCTTGGGTACTTGACCCCAACATTGGTGTCGCAGTGCCTCCTCTTGCAGCTTGAATTTTCGCTCGAGCAGCTTCTGCCTTTGCACGCGCCTCAGCAACCATCCTTTCGATTTCCTCCTTGCTGATCCCCCCATTGTTGGTTGGCATAGGGGATCCATTGTTGGAGCGCGATCGTTTCTGAAGGTTGCTTTCATCATCTTCTGGATGGGGTCTCTTCAGCATATTGCCAGTGTCCGCCATAGCCAGAATTTTGGATGAATCCACTCACCCAAACGATTTTATCGACGCGTGGGGAAATAGTGGACACTTGCTGGATATGTAGCTATTGCTGGAGGTCATAAAAAGATGCTCGTTGAAGGTTGAATGAAGTTGAGGCGCGGGAAAATGACAATAGTTGCGAAGCGGTGTGCAACGGCAGAAAAGTTTCACACCGTCGAAGGAGAAATTTCATTCTCCATTGCTTTTTTCCCTCCTCACCAGTCGACGGTCAAAGCAATTTCAGCAGCAGAAGTCTAGGGATTTCGGAGGATATGGCTAGCTTCACTCGGCCGATTTCCTCGTCAATTGAGGGGGTTGATTTTAGAGTCCTCTCCAACGAGGAGATCAAAACAATCTCCGTCAAACTTATATACAACACCCCTACACTAGATTCGCTGAACAATCCAGTCCCAGGAGGATTGTACGATCCTGCTCTTGGAGCATGGGGTGACCATATGTATGCGACAATTTTTTCCCCTTTTCGCCGTTCGTTGACATGCGTTTTGCTGACTGAAAACGTCTTAGATGTACTACATGCCGTCTGAATTCCTGGTCCTGCAATGGCCATGCCGGACATATCGAGCTGCCTGTCCATGTATATAATGTCACTTTTTTCGACCAGCTATTTCGCCTCCTGCGAGCGCAGTGTGTCTATTGCCATCGCTTCAGGATGTCTCGGGCAGATATAATGTCCTACACGTGCAAGCTGCGACTGTTGCAGTACGGTTTGGTGGAGGAGGCTGCGGCGATTGATAGTATGGAAATTCGGAGAGGTAAAGGTAATGCTGGTTCAGAATCAGGAGATAGTGAAGATGAAGACGAAGAAGACCTTGTGAGGCGTCGGGATGTGTATGTCAAACGGTGTATTCATCAAGTGTTAGCCAGGAACAAGGAGGGGAATTTTTTGCATGGTACAAAGAATCCCGTTGCTGCGGAACAACGGAGGAATATCGTAAGGGCATTTCTTAAGGATATCACGGCTGTTAAAAAATGCGCATCTTGTAGCGGGTGAGCATTTCCGTCAAATGAGGTAGTGATTCGGCGACTAACCAGTTTATAGTATTTCTCCTCCGTTCCGTAGAGATAAATACTCAAAGATATTCAAGAAGCCGTTACCGCAAAAGGCTAAAATCGCTATGTCCGAGGCTGGATTTCATGTCCCCAACCCCCTGTTGCTGATAAAAGAAGCGAACGACCTTTCCAAGAAACATGGCCACCAGTCGCAAGGTTCTAATATGAATGGCTACCTTGAAGATGACGATGACGATGCTAGTGTTTCGACGGATTTACACGGTGCAGAACAGCAGATTACCATGGGCAATGCAGTATTGACACAAGTTGAAGAGAGGGGGTCTCGGAACAATCCCAGTGAACAAGGGGCTCAACAATTCATGCCGTCGCCTGAAGTTTATGCAGCGCTCCGCCTTCTCTTCGAAAAGGAACAAGAAGTTTTAGATCTGGTATACGACTCACGGCCAAAATCAAATCACCGCCCGCGCGTTACTCCTGATATGTTCTTCATCAAGAACATTCTTGTGCCGCCAAACAAATATCGCCCAATAGCTGCTAGTGGCTCGAATGATATAATAGAAGCGCAACAAAACATCTCGTTTACTAGAATCATGAAACTTTGCGACCAAATAAACCAAATTAGCAGAGAAAGACAAGGCGACAGCACAGAGTCTGTCACTAGGTTACGAGATTACCGGGACCTGCTTCAGGCAATCGTACAGTTACAGGATGCGGTCAACAGCCTTATCGATCGTGACCGTAACCCGAACCAGGGAGCGGCAGGTATTCAAAATGAAGACGGTATCAAACAGAGACTGGAAAAGAAAGATGGGCTGTTTCGAAAAAATATGATGGGAAAACGAGTTAACTTCGCCGCACGAAGTGTCATATCTCCCGATCCAAACATTGAAACCAATGAAATTGGAGTTCCTCTGGTTTTCGCGAAAAAGCTCACCTATCCAGAGCCAGTCACAAACCATAACTATTGGGAACTTAAAAATGCCGTGATAAACGGACCCGATGTCTATCCTGGTGCAGCTGCCGTTGAGAATGAGGTTGGTCAAGTAGTGAGCCTGAAATTCAAAAGCCAAGAAGAACGACTTGCCATTGCCAACATGCTGCTTTCCCCTTCAAACTTCAAGATGAAACGATCGAGAAGCAAGAAAGTATACCGGCATCTAACCACTGGCGATGTCGTGCTTATGAACCGACAGCCCACCCTCCACAAACCATCTATAATGGGTCATCGCGCCCGAGTGCTTACTGGGGAAAGAACAATTAGGATGCATTACGCAAATTGTAAAACCTACAACGCAGATTTCGATGGTGACGAGATGAATCTGCATTTTCCGCAAAATGAATTGGCTAGAGTGGAAGCAATGCAGTTAGCTGATACTGATCATCAATACCTATCCGCCACAGCGGGAAAACCACTTAGAGGCTTGATCCAGGATCATATTTCCATGGGAACATGGTTCACGAGCCGCGATACATTCTTTGATAAAGATGACTATTATCAGCTGTTGTACAACTGTTTGCGACCAGAGAACTCCCACACCGTAACCGATAAGATTCTTCTTATGAAGCCGGCAATATTACGACCACGAAAACTTTGGACTGGCAAACAGGTAATCTCCACGATTATGATGAATATTACACCAGAAAGGTTCTATGGCTTGAACCTTACAGGGAAATCAAGAACGCCAGGTGATCGTTGGGGTGAAGGGTCTGAGGAGGGACAAGTCATTTTTCGAGATGGCGAGCTTCTTTGTGGTATTCTCGACTCTGCCCAGCTGGGACCAAGTCCCGGCGGCCTTATCCATTCAGTCCACGAGATTTATGGACATGTTGTTGCTGGAAAATTGCTGGGTGTTTTAGGACGTTTGCTGACAAAATTTTTGCATATGCGAGCGTTTACTTGTGGTATTGATGATCTTCGCCTGACCAAAAAGGGAAACGAGGACCGGAGAAAGAAACTGCAAGAAGCCGAACATATAGGTCGTCATGTAGCGCTCAAATATGTGACCTTGGATCAAACCAAATTTGAGGACGAAGAGGCTGAGCTTAAACGGCGCCTTGAAGATGCTCTCCGAGATGACGAAAAGCAGGCTGGATTAGACGCTGTTTTAAATTCGCAAGCTGCTGATATATCATCTGACATTACAGCTGCCTGCCTTCCGGTCGGGCTCGAAAAGCCGTTCCCGTGGAACCAAATGCAAACGATGACGACATCTGGAGCGAAGGGATCTGTTGTCAACGCGAACCTCATTTCTTGTAACTTAGGCCAGCAAGTTCTTGAAGGTCGTAGAGTGCCTGTGATGATTAGTGGGAAAACATTGCCGTCATTCAGACCGTTTGACACCAACCTAATGGCCAGTGGTTTTGTCTCTGGGCGTTTCCTTACGGGAATAAAGCCTCAGGAGTATTATTTCCACGCTATGGCGGGTCGAGAAGGTCTTATTGATACTGCTGTTAAGACTTCAAGATCCGGGTATCTCCAGCGATGCTTAATCAAAGGAATGGAGGGGTTAAAGGCAGAATATGACAACTCTGTTCGCGAGACCGCAGATGGATCTGTCATGCAGTTCCTCTACGGTGAAGATGGCCTCGAGATTACCAAGCAGAAGCATTTGCAAGACTTTCCTTTTTTGGCTCACAATTTCTGGTCCGTCGTTGAAGAACTCAATGGATCTGACGAGTTCAATAGAGTTAAGAGCGACAAGGCGGGAGACTGGAATCGACATGCCATTAAAAAATATAGAAAGACAGGCAAATTGGACTGTGTAGACCCCGCGCTTTCCCTTTTTCCCCCTGGATCCTGCTATGGAAGTACCTCAGAAACCTTCGCAATGGCATTAAAATTGGTAAATATATGATTGAAGAACGCTGTGACATTCGAATATTCTAAGCTGACATATATGGCTACTAGTATCAAAAAGACAATCCCGATCAAATCCTAAAAGAGAAGGGCAAAGTCGAGAAAGGAATTTCCAAAAAGGACTTTGCCAGGGTGATGAATCTGAAATATATGAGATCGGTTGTGGAACCCGGTGAATCCGTGGGGATTGTTGCGGGACAGTCTATCGGCGAGCCGTCTACGCAGATGACTCTCAACACTTTCCATTTGGCTGGACATTCGGCGAAGAACGTGACCCTTGGTATTCCTCGCCTACGCGAAATTGTTATGACAGCTAGTAACCAAATCCTTACACCAACTATGACCGGTGTCCTGAGAAAGGAGCTTACTGAAAAGGATGGAAGAATTTTTGCTAAAGCGATTAGCAAGCTTACCATCGCGGAAGTCGTGGACACCCTCAGAGTCCATGAGCGCGTTTCATCTGGGTCAAGTCACGGGATGGCAAAAATATATGATTTAGAAATAGATTTCTTCCCTCCAGAGGAGTACACAGAAGAATATGCCATCCAGATCGAGGATATTCTCAAAACTCTTCAACACAAGTTTGTACCACGGCTTATCAAATTAACAAGAGCGGAGTTGAAGAAACGGACTGATGAGAAATCACTTTCTGCTTTCTCCGCTGCCCAACCCGACATTGGTACATCCACGGGCGTGGTGGAGGAACCTACCAGGCGTTTTGGGCATGAAGCCAGAGACGCCGATGCTGATGATGATGACGAGGAGGACCAAGACGATGCGAAAAGGGCAATGTCACACATGAATCGTTCGAATCAAGTCTCTTACGAGGCTCCTGATGACGGGGAGGAAGACATTATCCGTGGACAAGATTCCCAAGAGCCAGACTCAGATTCTGATGAAGAAACTGACGGCAATCACCATGGGGAGCATGCTGCGACTGAGGATGTTGACATGCAAGACGCAGACACCGGCTCTGACTCAGAAAAATTACAAAAAAGCAAACAGAGTGAAGACACTATTACTGGGAAATACGCAGAAATTACTAAGTTCAAATTTAGCCTTAAAAAAGGCAAATCATGCCATATCCAGTTGCGATATGATATTTCGACACCTAAGCTGCTACTTCTTCCTCTAGTCGAAGACGCTGCCAGAACCTCTGTAATCCAGTTCATCAAGGGCCTGGGAGCCTGTAGCTATATCGAGGCTGACAGGGAAAATCCCGCTCATATCGTCACTGATGGTGTCAACTTGTTAGCCATGCGCGAGTACCAGGATTTCGTCTATCCTCATTCACTATATACCAATTCAATCGCCGACATGCTCGTTATGTATGGCGTCGAGGCTGCCCGTGCGTGCATTATTCGTGAAATGGCAGCCGTTTTCGACGGTCATAGCATCTCGGTCGATAATCGCCATCTTAATCTCATTGGTGACGTTATGACCCATGCTGGTAGTTTCCGCGCATTTAACCGCATGGGTCTGGTGAAGGATAGCACATCACCGTTTATGAAGATGAGCTTCGAGACCACTGTTGGGTTCTTGAGAGATGCCGTGCTGGAGAGGGACTGTGATAATCTGAATGGCCCAAGTAGTAGAATTGTGATGGGGCGCGTTGGAACGGTCGGTACTGGTGCTTTTGACGTACTTGCTCCTGTCGGCTGAAAGCGTTCTGGAGTCAGCCTTTTCTGATCATGTCACTTGTCATTTGAATCATGAGCACTCCTTTTTCCCTTGGTTGTTGTACGTTTTGTATTCCAGTTTTCCAAGTTTGGAATCGTGTTATATTTAGCGAGGAAAAGTTGACGATATTCTATATGCTTGGTATCATTTAGTGTACAGAAGATTTCTTTAATATTCGAAAAAATCAAGCTCAAATGTCATCCTTTTGGTTCCAAGTATAACGCCATCTAACGCCAGCAAACCGAACAGTATGTTCCTCATTAACTGATGTTGAAGACTCATAAGGAACATTTTGGCATCAAATAAAATGGGAAAAAGGGGTATCGAATTTGCATCAGGCATCAAGCATCATAAGCTCTTGGTCAATATTTTCGTCGAATTCATCAACAGTAGTCACTCTTCCGTTCCGATTTCCATTGACAACATCCGATGGTACCTGGTTATTGGCTATCTCCCCCCTCTGTCGTTTGTCTTCTTCCTCCCTTTGCTTCTTCACATGATATTCAAGATCGGTTAAACTCCAGGTGGAGATCCCTTCTTGATCTTTTGACTTGAATGGTTGCGCCATAGTCTTGAGGAAGCTCTTGGCAGTTGCCACTGCCATATCGGTACTTAGATTCGTTTCGCTCTCGAGCATGGCCTGACTAATCCACTTGGGGAGCTGTGTGCGTCTCTTCTGAAATCGACGGTCAGCCAGTACCATAACTCCGTAGTCATCCTTGCCACGAATGACACGTCCAAGACACTGAGCAGCATGACGCATCGCGTCGAAAGAAAGAAAATCGTTTTCACGAATTCGGTAATTCTCGCGCAAAAACTCCAATCTAGCTTTGAGTATGCGTGACTCGGTATATTGGAAAGGTACTCCGATGCAAATAACGGCCCGGCCATAGTGATGATCAAAGTCGATGCCTTCTGAAACTTTACCACGAGCGACGCAAAGCAAGACAGCGCCTCGACCATTACAGCATGCAGTCCGGTAAGTTTCGAGGGCAAGTGATGACTCCTGGGAATCGGGAGTTTCCACCAAAATTAATTTGTAATTCCAGACCAAATCGAGTATACCCATCCCCTGCCACATGCTAATTATGGATTCCATATAAAGATAGGACGGGAAGAATACGACGACCCCGTCTGGTGTTATACGGGAAAATTCTAGCAAAAGATTTCCGTAATTCCGGACTACACCCGGATCATTCCTGATTTGGAATGAGGACGAAATCTGGGCTTGATCAGAGCCGCGTGTAACGACCATAGGAAGAAACGACCGACGCGCCAGGGTCATAGTATATGACTCTTGTAGAACCGTTGTAAACTTCAGCATCTTGGGGTACATCTCCAGCGGAGAAAGGGTCCCAGAAGTGACAATGACAGAACTAAACCTGTCAAAAACAGGTTTAATAGCAATAGCCGCATCCAAACATGTGAAATGGAGTATTGGATTCGGAACGGTCGCTGTTTCTGATTCGAAAGGCTCAAGTATAAGGAGAAACCCTTTCTCGTATGTAGCTGCTAAGGTTGCAAAAGCAGCGACTTGCTGGAGAGGCTGGTAGTCTTCGAGGTTCATAAGCTCCAACGTCCGGACGAGCGATGTTAGTCGTTCCGCACAAAACCGTAGTGGCTTTCGCTCAATGGAGGTCAAATCTTTCAGGTGAGCCAAGAAAGAGAGTGGCGTTTCGGATATGGTGTGGGTGATTTTCATTCGAGTTTTTAAATACTCAATAAATCGTTTCAGAAAGGCTACGAAGTGTTCCGCTCTACGGATATTCCCTGGGACCGCTTCTTTTAGCAGATCGTCTGGAAGCGCAGGATTTGCCATTAATTGTTCCTCTTGTCGAGCTTCGTCAGCTTCTCTCAATCCCTCCACTAACTTTTGGTATTCATTTTGTAACTTTTCTGCGTCAGATCTCTTCATTTCTTCAATTTTACGTTCAAGATTGTTTGCCCCACGGCTTGCTTTTCGTAGCGAATCTTCAGTCAAGTCGATGCTCAGAGACTCAATACAAACGTTGTCAATGTTATGTGCCTCATCAAAGACGACGATACTATCTTTGGACAACTCTTGTGAAACTCTCTCTGCAATTTTTGGGTCGAGAAGATAGTGATATGAGTATATTATGACTTTACAGAAAGGCATCTAGTGGTAGTTAGCACAGGGGGTGGATTTTATATTAAAGATCAGGTAAGCCCTACCATACGTCGAACGGAGAAATAGGGGCATTGTTTATGCTGTTCTCCATATTTGGTTATATCGTCAAGTGTAAAAACGCCCGGCGGGACAAGATTACTTGGTTCAAGGAGGTCAAGATTCTATATAGGTGAGCGTAGCCAAAAATCAAGTAGGGAGAGACAAACCTCATGATATATACACAACTCAACATCCCCTCCTTTTTCTTTCTTCTCTTTTACAAAGCCTGCTGTCAAACTTCGGCATCGAGCGTCCACAACGGCCCCACTCTTCTCTCTTTTCACGGATGGATGAAGACATAAATTCTTTCGACTTGTTAGACCAAGGCCGCGGAAGTCTTCAACAAACCCTAATTGTTGAGCACGGTATTTCATGAGAGCTTTTAACTCCGCCAAAGCCTTTTCGATTTCAGACATTGTTCGGGAGCAATATATGAGTTTTCGCTGCTCAGGTTGATGTTGTTGATATGCGACAATAAGAGAGAGAAGGGAGACGGTTTTCCCCGTTCCTGATGGCATTTCGAGAACGCAATGTCCGCCGGCATCCAACGTCTTTTTGAGATCGCACATGTAGGCATACTGCTCCGGATAGATACGAGGATAGGGGAAGAGAACGGGAAGGTCACTACTTTTCAGTTAGTAATCGGGACCAAACCTGCAGCAAACATGGGGAAGGTTATTATGGAGAATGTTACTCGATGAAGAATTTCATATTGGGCGCTGGAGGATAGGCCTCCTCAAAGTATGCCACTGGCGCCTTGGAGGAATGAATAGATAGAGGCGTTTAGCCGGCTGCAATGAGATGCAACCATTGACAAGTTTTAATTCGTGCTTGAGTATCCTGAGGAAACCGCAAAGTCGCGTTTGAGCCTCCATTGGGAGCTCGGCCAAGTACGTAATTGGGCAGGAGACAACAGGTCACATGATATGGCTTAGAAACTGTTATATTCTTCAGGCAACAAACATCGGGCTGAGGTTTTATTATTTGTTGTTGTTGATGCTCGTTAATAAGACGTCAATTAGGATCTCTTTGCTCATGGGATAACTGATATATGCATATATATATTTCAAAAAATTCCGGTATTTCATCATTTGAAAGGCTGAGGATTTCATCTGGCTTAGCTATATCCCTGTTTGCTACCTCCATAAAGCCATGTATAAAAAATTCAAGTCTCAAGCATCCAGCAGCAGAGCTGCCTCGGGGGGATTTGGGAGCTCTGCGGGAGCGTTTGGGAGCTTTTCAACTGACTCTATGACTCAACGAGTCTCTTCTTCTTTGTCATACATCGCGGAGCCGCCAGATCTCTCCAAAATTTCCGAACCACAGTTGGTTGTCTCGTTCAAAAACCTCCTGAAAAAGGATGCTACCACGAAAACGAAGGCTCTAGAGGACCTGCAAGGCCTCCTAGGTGCGCAAGATACCCGAAGTGGGAGTTTGGAAGATGGTCTCATTGAAGTTTGGGTATGTGTTGCTATGTATACTGGAAGTAATATTTGCTTATCTCCTGATCCTCTGATTAGATAAAAATATATCCACGTATGTCAATAGATATTTGTCGCCGGGTTCGACAACTTGCCCATGTCATTCAAGGTCTTTTTGTATCATTATGCGGGAGGCGAATAGCTCCGTATATTTCAAGGGTAATTGGCGCATGGCTCGCCGGCCTCTACGATAGCGACAAACTAGTGTTCAGAGCTGCTCAAGAATCAATTGTCAGAGCTTTTCCTACGGAAGAGAAGAGGCAAAGCCTGTGGAGAGTCTACCGATCATCAATTTTCGAATTTGTTATCGATGCTGTCCTAGAGCAAAGCCCCCAGACTCTAAGCGATCAGCGGACTGTTAGGCCAGATGAAGCCGAAGCAAAGCATGCCCGGGTTGTCTCAACGGCACTACAGGTTCTCAATCAACTTCTCGGTAAGTTTCGTGGCTGGTGGTGGTCTCCGTAACCTGACAGGGGAACTAAGATTGTAATAGCTAAATCATCGACTGTCCAACTGGACAAGGATTCCGATTTTATCACGACTCTTATTACCAGCAAGTCGCTTTGGTCATTTTCATATCATGAAGATCCATTTGTTCGCCGATCTACCTATGATTTGCTTCGGACTTTGCTTTCAGTGGAGAGAGATTTGATCGAATGGAGAACTGTTAGCAATTGTTTTTTGTCAAAGGCTCTTCCGAAGAACCAACTAGGCTCTGCTATTGACTTCTCTAATGTTCTGTTAACTTTGACTAAAGAGCGTCCACAATTATGGACGTCAGACTATTCTGGGAAAGTCTCTGCAACAAAACGACTCTACCAGTATATCAAAAAGGGCTCGGAAGGGGCTAATGCTGCTTATTGGGAAAACCTGCATATACTGCTAAAGTCTATTCCCTTCGAAATCTTGATTAGGCAACCAGTCAGCGATGACAGCACTATACAAGATGCAAACCAGTTAATGGAAACCATCCACGATTCAGTTCTAAGCCGGGAAGAGCAAGGAGGTAATCTCGGAGCTGCCTGGTCATGTTTTATTGACACAGGATTTTGGATATCTTCTTTTGTCTCAGATAAAGTCGCTCTCCAAAAATTCCTCAAAAGCCAAATTTCTCCTATTTTAGAACAGTATATCCTTGGCCTGCCTGATAACTGCCGGTGGTCGCTCAATGGCAAATTCGCGGTAGAGTTGTGCGCAAAAACATTCATTCTTTTGGCGGAACACACTGGAGCAGAGATCCTCCATGGCCTATGGATGAGTCTGTCCGACAGGTTGATCCAAACAGTCAAATTGTCGTCCCCGGAAAAAGCCAGCGGCTTTAAGGATTCCCAAGATTCAATTTGTGCCCAAGCGAAGCGTCTCTTTGAACTGGAAGGGCAGGTTTTGACCCAAATAACACAAACCAGCAGTCTGTCGTTCATTCCAAGCATTTTCCAGGATGCTGGCACTCCGTTACTCCAAGCTTCGCTGGAGCTTTTGAGATCTCGCAATGGAAAACCGTATGGAGCTGCTTCAATGATTGATGAGGCTCTCTCTAGAGTCCCTGATATTGCCACCCAGGTCGAGGGACTAGGAACATTTCTCATTGAAGATATTGCGCAACTTCTGTTCTCCCCCGCAGCGGATCGTCTAATTTCTGTTCTATTTGGATCTCGTGGCAAGAAAGGCTTTGAAGGTGGCCTCAAAAATTCCATAGATGCTTTCCTGGATACGGACCTTGGAAGCTCAGCATTACCTGGACTCCAAAAATTATTTTCATGCATCACTTCCCCCGATATTGAAGCACACCCAAACTTGGAACTTTTAATCATGAAGGATTTAAACAGAGCATTACATAATACCCGCGAAGCATGGATGGAAATCATTGTTCTGATCAAAAACCGAGCCTCACGAAATGAGATCGCCCATCGGATTTTGAATTCCTTAGTCTATAGTCTGTCATCCCAGAAGAACATCCGGGAGGTTTTGTACGGTCTTTTCCAGATAGCCTTAGAGTGCCCTGAGGTTATTAGAGAATTTGTGAATAGTCCTGATGGCTCACAGATGGTTTCCAAAATATTGTATATCGCTGAGTCTTCAACCGATGAAGTTGCTCAACTTGCTGGTTCCTTGCAAACACATATTAGAGATATAATAAAAGGAGAGAGTGCGACCAGGTCGTCTATTGACATCGTCCAGCAGAACTTTAACAATGTTGGAATGGAATCGCTATCGTAAGTTACCTTCCATACATAATTAGCGGCCAAAAATGCTTTTTGCTAATTAGTTCAATCAGCATTGATGCTTTGGTCGATGTTGCAGGTGAGGTCCTTGCAAAATCGTCTGTGGAGGACAAACCTAGGATATTATCTCGTTTACTGCCAACTCGAGATCAATGGGAACAAGCGTTAGATCCATTCCTTCGGAGACCACTGAAGGCGTCTGCTTCCATAAGTAAGGTGCTTGCGGGAGCAGTGTTTCTGGCCGATACGTCATTTCCTGAAGGCTTCTCCCAGGATATCGATTCGGTTCCCCGCGACTCCTACCGTTTCTCTTCTGGGTTTCGCCTGACATTCTACGTTACCAAAGTGCTGTCGTCAACTAGCCTGGAATTTATCGAGCAAGCTTCCCGTGAAATATTGTTCTTCTACTTACCTCTTGCAACCCAACTGGTTAATGATGATGTAAGCCTGGAAGGCCCGAAGGGCTTTTTTGACCGTGACATGCCAGATATTCGAGATGAGTCTGCAGAGTTAGTTTCAGAAGCTCGACTGATAATTAAAGGCTGGCTTCTATCTGCCACGCTGGTAACTGGGCAAGAAAAGCCCGCTCCTTCAAATATTTTTGATTTATGGGAAAAGCAGTTCGGGTCAATGCAAGGGACGTCTCCGAAATCATACAATATAGCAGAGACTTTTGCAAGGATCGTCGCCGAACGTGATTCTTCAGGGACTGCGCGATCTGCCGAATCTTTCTTGACGCGGGCAAAACAGATAGAAGGACCTTCGAACCCCTTCGTTTTAGCTTCAGTTGTTGCAGCGTTCAGAGACTTTATAGCAGCCACTCCATCTGGCGTTCGATTGTGCAATGAACTGATTTCCGATTCCACTGGGTTTAAATCTGAGAATGCGTCTGAAGGTGAGATTTACAACCCTACATACCAAATTGATATTCTAATATTGTATAGGACTTCGTAAGATCGTAACCCTCAACCTTCTCATCAGCGGAGAGAGTAATATTGCTCAGAGCGTTCAAAAGCCTCGGCTTGTGTTTCTGGTGAAGCACTTGGTCGATTGCTTACAGTCGCAATCCCCACCACAGGGTTTGGTTTCGGAAATCCTCAAATTGCTTGTTAACATTTTGCCATTGATCAGAGAGATATACGGATCTCACTGGTCAGATGTATTTGACTTCCTCCAAAATTTATGGGATGACATTGAAATAGTTGACGAATCTCTTCCTGTGCTATACTCCTCGTTACGACTTTTCGCTTGCTTAAAGTCTCTAGCGACAGGAGAAAGCAACGATGACTTGGTGGATGCATGGACTGCCTCCCGGAAGATACATTCACCGGCATTGATCAGGTTACTCGCAGAGTTTGGTGAGCGATTCTCCATTTAATTTTATCTATCAACCTATTCATCTATTCATTTCTTTTTTGATAATTCATATTGACAGGAAGTATAGACTCTTCATTGAGCTATGACGAGCCCCTCAAAATCACAGCCAATATTCTTGCCCGTCAAATATCAGGACTACCCATTGACCACGTCGAGGATATCAATGACCTTTTCTCCATCCTCTCAGCGCCTAATAGAGATATCCAACGTGCTGCGTACGACGTCCTGCATCGGGCGATCCCAAAATTGCAGGAGGCAGTGACCCTGAATGTTGCGTTGTCAGACGCCGTAGCCAGTCTCCCGGATGAATTGATTTCTCTCCTTTTGGAAGTCCCTGCCATAAATATTATAACTCAGGCTAAAGATGATGACCGAGTATGGATCGGGCTTCGATGCTACTTGCTAAGCTGGAAAACGGTCTTCGATCACTTTAATAATGCTGTACGCCCTCCCCCCACAAAGCAATGAAAAAAATATTACTAGGTGGCTGGAAATAACTTATGTCATGGTTTTTAGTCACTGCCCGTCCAAGAGAGTTATGTGTCTAATATCAAAGAAAATGACTGCTTGAATCCATTTCTCGAATTTACGTTTGACTTCCTACAGTATCCACACGGAAAGTTGATTGACGCATCAAAGTTCGATATCCGGTCTTTCAGCCTTGATGAGTCTGATCCAGCACAGAAAGAGACGCAGTGTTTGCTAGTGCATTTGTATTATCTATGTTTGAAGTATCTGCCTAATTTGACAAAAGTTTGGTGGATCGATAGCAAGAAACGTGTGAAAGGGCAGGTTGAAACGTGGACAGAAAAATATGTAAGTTCGTGATATCCTGAGCACGTACCGCGATATCCGGCTAATTCTGATTTAGATATCACCTCTCATTATTGAGGACTCGCTTCGGAATGTCAACGAGTGGTTCTCGGCCCAAAATTTTACTAACGAAGATCAGCCGCTGCAGGTGAAAGTATCTCGTCGGGCCGCTGAAATAATTGCGAGCGTTGAAGTGGATGAAGATTCGCCACCGACTTCAGTTGCTATATATTTACCATCAACATATCCATTACAGCAAGCTGTAGTAGAAGGCCGCGCCCGCGTTGCGGTGGACGAAAAGAAATGGCGGAGCTGGCTTCTAACGATCCAAGGGGTTATTATGTTTTCCAACGGCAACCTTGTCGATGGCTTGCTTGCATTCCGCAGGAATGTCCAAGGCGCGTTGAAGGGACAGAGCGAATGTGCTATTTGCTATTCGGTCATCTCTGCAAACATGCAAACGCCCAACAAGAGGTGCGCGACATGCAAGAATACGTTTCATTCCGATTGCCTCTTCCGTTGGTTTAAAAGCAGTAACGCTAGTAGTTGCCCTCTATGCCGGAACAACTTCCCTTATTCATAACGTAGCGATGTTTGGTTTTATAATACTCTTAGGATAGAAATGGATTGAAAACTTACCCGTACTGTTCTCAAAGGCGTGATTGCGAGGTTTTGACAAAGACGCCATACTCTCCATGAATAGAAAAATTCAAAGAGTTTAATATGTTTATTATTATTATTATTATTATTATTATTTAATAGTATTTTATTTTATTTGCTTCCATCCTTTTGCCGATTAAAGACTGGATTGATGACATCTGTTACCCTTGATGATATCAGCAGGGAACAAAAAACCCCACCAGTACCTAAAACATCAAGTTCCAGAACCCTCACACAGCGTCCATGTCAGCACCTCAGATCCCCAACTTAAACACTCTTCGACGGGGAGCTGGTAGAGGCCGCTTTAGGGGCCGCGAGAGATATGAGGCAACTACCAGCCATTCGGGAGACACGATGGCAAAGGATCGGATCATTCAGCGAACGGACAATGATGCCAGTGTTTCTAGGCTCAGCGCAGTGGAGCTAGGATATCTCCATGATCCTTTTGCACATGCTCTAGTGAACAGTGAGGCAATAGGTTCAAAAAGATATCCGATAATCAATAGAGGTACTTGCTCCTACTTTTAATCTATATCCTTATTTGAATTGTTGCACGTCGCTTGGATCTTGAATTGCTTGCGCAATATTTTGCTGAAACGGTTCCCCGCAGGAACCTACGTGCGAACAACCGCCTTGGACTCCCTTGTATACCGTTTCCTAAACACAAACGAGAAACCAACTCGAAAGAGGCAGATCATATCACTTGGTGCAGGCTCAGATACGCGTGTATTCCGCTTACTCTCCAAAGACCCGACCCTTGAACTGCTATACCACGAGCTAGATTTCCCAACCAACACAACTGCGAAAATAAAAGCCATCCGCTCCTCGCCGCTCCTACGCAAAACCATAGGGATACATGGGCCAGACGATGCAAATGTATCGGCCAATGGCGATGCTCTGCATTCGAGATACCTTCACGTCCATCCAGTCGATCTACGGACGCTGTCGCCTTCCAGCTCACCCAACTTACTGCAAGGCTTAGATAGGACCCTGCCAACGTTACTTATATCCGAATGTTGTCTGATTTATCTTTCACCCACCAATGCCATCGATGTGCTCTCCTACTTTACGCAGACAGTTTTTCCACCTTCCGAAACGTTGGCGACTGTTACATCCACACCAGCACTCGACTCCCCACCAACACTCTCAGCCTCTTCGATACCCCTAGCCTTGATACTCTACGAGCCGATACGGCCCGACGACCCGTTTGGGAGAACGATGGTGGCCAACCTTGCAACGAGGGGTATCCATCTGCAAACTCTACATCGCTATGCGTCATTATCGGCCGAGCGAGAAAGGCTGCTCGAGCATGGGTTTGTGAGCGGCCAGGGGGCGGCAGATGTGGATTTCATATGGGAACGATGGATCAGCGAGGAGGAAAAGGAGAGAGTGGCTGGGTTGGAGATGCTTGATGAATTCGAGGAGTGGAAATTGTTAGCCAGCCACTATTGTGTGGCATGGGGTTGGAGGGATGGGAAGGGGGCTAGCTCAGAAGGAGAGGTGTTTGAAGGGTGGAAGACACTGGAGGGGCAGTGATTAGAGCTGAGAGATGCAAGGAGGATCTGGATGAAGTCCTCGAGCGCTATTGATTTATAACTATATGTTTGATTTGGGATCTTGTGCGCTCTTTTGCCAGGCGTACAGAACGGACATGCGATTTCCCCTTTCATATACTTTGTGCTAAATGCAACCTTATTGTCGAGTCCTTGGATCTGGTGATTACGAATGCACTGTCCGTTTTCCGGTGGCACAGCTTGCTGGATATGACAAATATCCGAGTTAGAGTTCCTTCCAGTTGCTGTCATTTGGAAATGAATATACATCAACCATACAGCCAGTCAAGGCTAGATCACAACCATGAACAAGAAGGCCCAGAGGCATGCATCCACGAGATCCACCTGCTGCTAGTTGAATCGCATGGTTTCACCAAATAACCCGAGGGGTTTTTTTTTTCTTCTAACAGGTGACTTAGTTGAACCATTCAAATTCCCGATGAAGCGAAGGGAAGTGTTGGTGTTTGTTTCTGGCGCCAAAGCTGCCCTCAAGATAATGGATGGAAATGAGCCTATAAATGGGGGTTATTATTTAATTTTACTACATGTCCAACTCTTCGAAAGAAAGCGACTTCTATGGGATCTGTTTTCAGGGAACTGTTCCTTTTCGCTTCTTTTGATTTAGCAAATATCTATATGTTGCATCCTTGCTCTAGCGTATCAACGCGATGCGTGAGGTTGTCCGTTACATAAAGGGTTATTGCGCCGCCGAATCCACGACGAGGCGACCAAAAATGACACTTTGGCTGATTCAAACATATCGCGCACAGGCAACGGCAACTGGTCGAAGAGCATCTAAATGTCAATCCCTCTCGTTCATTCAATTTAGACAAACCAGCAGTTTCCCAGATTTGAAGTTGGCAGGAGACGCCGACGCACACGAAGTGGCCCATATATTGCCATGTGAACTATATTAGCATCCTTTTTTCTCACCCTGTTTAGCCTTGCACTCGTGCGTCCGCATGGCATGTGTCTGTGCAGCCAACGGCCGACAGGAGCGGGTAGAGACACCACCGACAGTAAATTTTACTGATAATCCCCCGTTCTTGTGTGGCTAGTGACAGGTGAAGTTGTTTTAAGGTTTGGTCCCAGAACACCCGGGAACAGTGACGCAATGCGCTATCCCCTATTCGGGCAACCCGCCACAGTCACCCGCGTCTCTGCGTCTTGACCTCGAAAGGCAATCAATCTCGCGCTGCTCTTAAGCCCCAGCCAACTCCGCCTGGGCCAAGTATCCATTCGGTTGACACCATCACATCTTGGTTGAACTCGCTCGAGAAGCTGTGTCTCCCAGTTCAACATGGAGCGTGATCAGCAATCAGCACCTGCGCCCCGCCCACGCCTCCACCCAAGCCAAGTCGACTGTTGGTGGTGGAAAAAGGGCCATTGTTTCCGTGGCGACCAATGTTATTTCCGGCATGACGATGCTCTGGCCGGGGTGGACCAGCTCCTCCGAGGCCCCGCAGCAGCCGCGTCAAATATCCGCACTGAAGCAGCCGTAGCCGGTGGGTGTTTGATACTCGCAGTCGCTTCTTCGGGGCCCTCCACAGGGCAGGCTCCTCCTGTTATGGCTAACCTTCCTAATGCAGAGACCTCTGAGGAACAATGCGGAATTTGTATGGAGAATCCTACTATCTTTGGCTTGCTCGTCAATTGCGATCACGTCTTCTGCCTCGGTACGTATTCGCTGCGCTATAGCAGTTTCTGTCCTTCCTCGATATCAGGTGGTTGACTGGGATAGACTGTATACGAAGCTGGCGCTCCTCATCTGTAGGGACTTCTGCCGAAGATGTGATCAGTATGCCCAATTCTCATGTCCCAAGAGAGATAACAAAGACATGCCCGCTCTGTCGGACTAAAAGTGAATATGTCGTGCCGAGTTCCGTATTTCCCACCCCGCCACAGGCTGCCACCGATACTGCTGGTACTACCAGCGGTGGGACTGGAACCGATGACTCTGCCCGAAAAATGGAACCTGGTGGCGTGAATGGAGCAGGCAACCCGGCCAAGGCTAAAATCATTGACAAGTACCTCGCGCGCTTGAAGGCAACCCCTTGCCGCTACTTTGAAGACAGCATCAAACGATGGCGAGAGTTGCCTGTGATCGAGAACCCTGACCCGGCAGTCGGCGGTCTCCTTCATCCCGCATTCTCGGGGGAGTGCCTCTTCGGAAACGAATGTCATTTCGCTCACATCCACCCCATTACGAACGCTCCTTATACCTTCACTAAGAAGGAAATAGCCTCAATGAAGCGTGCAAACCATGCGAGGAGAGCACGAGCTATGCGCAGGGCAATTCGTGGGCAAACGCGACGCATGGAGTTGGAAGGAATGCTTGAGACTCTTAGCGTCGAAGATGGATATGAAAGCAGTGCCACATCTCTCACTTTGGAAAGGAGTGGCCTTGGGGGTATGCTAAGCGTCGGGTTTGTTTTATACGGTACAACTGAAGGTATCCCGTGGCTGCCTGCGGATCATGACGGTGACGATGACGATGATGACGGGATTTTCGATTTATTATAACCTCCAGTTAACTAGCCTTTGGGTGTGATGTGTAAGCAGGCCGTAGCATCTTTTTTGTCCTTTGCTTTTTTTTTCGTTGTCTACCCGGTACAAGATATTTATTGAGGGCTGCTTTCACATTTTGCATTCCCGTTTCACATGGCGTTGATTCCACCACTTGTGGCAGTGCTTTTGTGGCGTCCGTGATCAGGCACAGGTTTTTCTCTTTTATACCCTTTTAATCTATATTTTCTCACAAACGATGGCTGGATCTCCTCCTTAGAGATCAGTAAAGATCCAAAGCAATGATGCACCCAAGAAAAGAATGGGCTCGCAGGTACAGTGACCATCAAAGAAATCCGAACTCATTTTAAAGATGTGATTCCTTACCATTTTTGATTTTCACACTCGCTGGCAGATAGATGCTGGATACGCGGGGTTGGCTTATCGATAAGCGCGATAGTTACTTCCACATCCCACACCACCTCAACGTTTCATCCACCAAAAACATCGGGTATTATCAAATCCCCGGATTCGACAAATTGTGACAACAATAAGATCCGGTATAAATGGGCTTATAAAGGAATTCATTTGAGAAGGTTATCGTCTTTTCGACAAGGATATGAAACTATGATAGAAAATGCCCGTGGCAAAGCAGACTGTACGTGGCCTCGCTCCCAACTCAATCCCGACATATCGCATCTCAGCCATAACCCTGCGCAGCAGGCAAGCTAAACATATAGAAACTCTAGACCGAACTCATTTTTTCCCTCCGCGCTCTCATCTACCGAATCCGCCAATTGAAAAAAGAGCGCCACGGCTACTCCAAGGCCAAGCACCGCGAGCTCGCGAAGCTGCTCAAGGACGGTCGTGACGATCTGGCCCGCATAAAAACCGAAGATGTCATTGGAAATGATAATGTGATAGCTGCGCTGGAGATTCTGGAGCTGTATTGTGAACAGCTTCATGTGCGCGCGAACATAGTGGACCATATAGCGCTAGAACACAAGCGGACTGGGCCAAAGAAGAAGCGACAATCGAGTGTGGATGTGAAAGGGGCAAGTAATGCGTCTTCTGATGAGTCTTCCGCTGGAAGCGGTGGCTGGAGGATATGGAAGGCTTTGGGACTTGGACCATCTCAACCTCCACCATCACCATCATCGACACGAACAGCGCAACGACAGCCCGAAAACGAGCAGGGACCGTTATCGACAGATCAGGGTGAAAGGGCGACAATGATAGAGACACGAGCTAAAGACGAACATCAACAAGAAACCCCATCTGCTTCCGCACCAGAAATGGACGTGTATCTAGACCCAGACCTAGACAAAGCCGCTGCGGTCATTTTCTACTGCTACGTCCGCTTGCCGCGTGACATCCCTGGCCTTCCAGAACTGCGCGCAAAGCTTATTCAGAGATGGGGTATTGAGTTTGCGAATAAGGCGCAGGAAGCAGACCCGTCCATCCCGCTTCCGAACGAGTTGATTGATCGGTTGAGAATCCAGAATCCACCGGAGTCGCTGGTGGAGAATTATTTGAAGGAGATTGCTAAGGCGCATGGGATTTCATGGCACCAAGAAGATGACGACGAGGCTGATGGTGGAGGTGGACGAGAGGGGGAAAGAGAAGGAGAAGGAGTTGATGTGGAAGATCAACGGCAGGATAATCCGCCTTCTTATGAGCAGACAAAACATGGTGATGATGATAAATCATATGGTTTGGATGGTGGTAAAAAGGACTCCCTTCCAAAAGATACGCATGCACATGGACATGCAGAAACAGAACCACAGAAAAAACCACCGCCTGGGAGTATTGTGCGACCTAATCGCACATCTAACGAGGCGGCTACGTACAACACATCTTCATCGAAGCTCCAGGCGCAGGCCCCTGCTGCCGGGATGGAGAGTAAGAGAAGCGGCATCCCCGACGTCGACGACTTAGCTAGGAGGTTTGCTGCGTTAAAGAAGTAAAAGGGCCTTCTTGTCGAAGAATGCTGATACGATTTGCCGGCCTGAAAGAGAACTAGTTCGGTTCTCACTTACGATTTATCTTCCTTTTGGATATCACATTTCCTTGTTGATTAAATTTACTTTCGCAAGCGAGGCCGTATGTGATTTATTCTCCTTTTTGATGCATTAAGCTTCTGGCTCATTCCTCCCTCCTCTGTCAATCTGATGGTGGACTTAAGTATATTCTGACACCATATATGATAATCTTAGATATTTAGATGTTCACCCTCACTCCGAATGAGAGAGTTTATCCTTTCGCCGTTAGATTTAGCAACTGCCATATATATTTGGATCGATCGTTATTTAGACTAAATTTACCGGAAGGGAAGCAGAGGAGAGCAGTTGAAATTTGCCTTCATAACTAAAATACCTGTCCTTGATAACTGCACCAGATTTGCGCAATTACCAGCAGCTAACTATCCTAAGCATCCATGGATGACTAACTGTCTTCTTCCCCATTTGTGCCCATCCAGCGCTCTATAGAAGCAAAATAATTCAACAACCTGTTTTCTGCGTTTGAATTCTCCTTTTCTGCCGCCTGATGTGGCTCGTTGAGCAGTCTTCTTCTTTTAGCCCCGATCTATCAATCACCTTTTGAGCATCATTTGAGTCTCAAGTTTAGCAGACAATTCATGGCAGTCGGCGGAATTAGGATGGATCAAATCACCCACCCTCCCCCACCACCCCCAATTCCCGTTCAAGATTATAGTAGTTTTCCATTAAAATGTGATTTTAACCAAATTAACCAAATCAATAAGCATAACAAAGGACGCCCTCATTCGCCTGTTTGATCTTTTTGTTTCTCTTCACGAGGACAATTCGCATTCCCCATGCAACCGCTGCAGTTGCAATGGATAACCCAATGCTGGAAGACATGGCGATTAAATACCGTGGTTTGTCGGAACTGGGCCAAAGATACTGTCACGCAGTGGGAAATGATATGGCTATGAGTGGAGAGCTTCGAAGAAATAGAGGGAAGGCAATCTTGCAAGAAAGCTGTAGAAGGAGAACCAGTGAACAGGGAACTCACAGGAGTCCATATGAAGGACACATTAGAAATAGTATTGACTAGCGCGAGCGACGTCGATTTCTTCTCCTTCGTTTGGCCGCATGTGGAACCTACCCAGCCCAGGATAATCGAATTGACTGCATAGGTGCCGGTGGTAAAAATGATCATCCCCGCATATCGCGCCCCTACGTTTAACGTGCCGCATGCGATTGCGAAGCCAACTACCGCAACAGCCTTCGCGGTTATTATATGCCATGTTCGCTCGTTGGATCGCCCGGAGCTGATCGACCAGAAGATACAGATAAAACCGGCGATTATGTACGGCGGGCATGTTAAAACTAGGGTTATGAGTCTGCTAAAGCCGAGTGTCTGGACAACTGTAGGGAAGAAATACTTGAACCCATTTGCAGCAAGATGGAGGTGTTGCATCAAGGCAAATATCCATAGGCGATAGTCCTTGATGGCCTCTTTGAGCCCTGTCCAAATTGTAATTTGGGATTGTTGGTCAACAGTATCGCTGACAATGCGACGGTGAGCAAGCTCGCGTTCCTTCAGTGTCAGCCATTTGGTATTTAGTGGGTCATCTGGGAGTGTGAATGCTGATCCAAAAGCAACCAGAAAGGTGGTGATTCCAAGTAAAATGAAGAGCCACTGCCACCCTTTGATGCCAGACCGTCCATCCATTCCTGCAAATATTCCAGCAGCGATTAAACCAGCAAATGCGGTGGCTAGTATGTTGCCAGTGTAAAGTATGCAAATCCGGGTGGCAATCTCCTTACGTGTGTAGAAGATTGATAGCAAATATAGCGCACCAGGGTAATACGGAGCCTCCAGGACACCAAGAAAGAAGCGTGTCAGTAAAAGCCCTTTGAAATCCTTTGCTAAAGCTGTCAGGCCAGAAGCAATGGCCCAGAGAGCCATGAAGAATGATATGTAATACGACGGCTTAGTCCGTGTGAGGTACATGTTCGATGGTATCTGCCCAATCAAGTATCCCACGGTGAGGATAGAAATGCATGTATTGTATTCTGGGAAAATCTGTGAGCCAATGTTACGATATAATGGAACTAGCCGTCTTACCGCTCCCCTTGAGATTGAGATCCTGTTCGAGATCATCTATGCGGGCGAGGGCTATCGCGTGGCAACGTAAGTCTAAGTTCTACCAGGGGCGATCTATCGTCCAAACCCTCTTGCTTCTGAGCTTGATACTAAGGATCAAAAAACTTGCCAATTGCGTTTCGATCGAGGTAGTTAAGCCAGTACATAACCCAAAGAGTCGGCTGAGATGTAAGATAGATTAGCAGTTTTTGTGTGTTGCAGCCAAGATATGTGTTTATTACCATTATCCATTTGTCTAGTTTCCTGACAAGGTCGACTTCTTCCTGGCTTAATGTTGTTCTTGCGCCAGAATAGTCGATATTGACGATTTCCAATTCATGTATAAGGGTATTATCGGCAATATACCCTTGTTGCCCTCTCGGGGACCCTTTCTCAACGTCTGCGTCTTTTGCCATCTCAAAAAAAAAAAAAAAAAAAAAAAAAAAGGATGGAACTTATTTTAATACGAACAAAGTTCATGAATTCAATAGCCGACAGGATTGCTCAAAGATTTGGCGATTCCAGGAATATGTAGGCATATTCAGCGCATAAAAGCCCTGAATGGATGCTCGTCACTTATCGTTTGCTTTCCGGGCACTCCATAAGTATGAATGCATTTTGCATAAGAACATAAGAGAATAGGACACAAAAATATAATATTTTCCATTGCGGAACGAACAAATGTTTGTAGAAATCATAATTGGAACGCATTAAGCTCCACCGTGATACAGATTGGAGTTAAGCCGTTGATGGATGGAGTGCGAGGGGTCCGGAACACAATTGATTTGAACCGAAGGCCAGAATGAGTGTAGTGTAATTATTGCCAGAACAGTTTTTGTCACACATAAATAGTGGCACAACGAGAGATATTCCTAATTCGACAGAGCCACGGAAACAAATCGTCCGGAAAATAGCGCCAATGCAGGCAACCAAGAATATGTCCTAAGTAATAAATTCCGTGTTTCTGTGGCACCAGTTGTGAGGATAAAGCGTGGCCGAATTTTCTGGAAGGTCTTTGAGCCATGAAAGTATATGTAAGGTGATTTTCGCCTTGAGGTAGGTAGGATAGATAGAGCATGCCAAATTGTATTAGAGAAGCATCCGAGCGCGGATGGTTCTAGGTCCATCCGGGTACATCCGGCGTTTTTTCTGACTTGGAAACAATTTCATTACAATATCTTCGTAACCAACTGGAGGGACCAGTGAACATCTGATGCAAGCTTTGGAGTGAAGTTTGGTATATCCAGCCTGCCACAATTCATTGGAAAGTGAACCGGTGCGCGCATCGGAAAGGCTTCCGAATATGCTACGCACCTGTGGAACGCATGGGAAGTTGCCAAAATAGGTGACACCCAAAGTGATATTGTCATAATATCATTCCCATGAGTCCCTGTGCGCAATGAGATAATTGTTGACAAATTGCTTTGAGGGCTGTCTAGGGTGAATGCTAATGGACCGTTGTTGTTCTACACCAATGTTTCGTGGCAGATGCAGAGCGAATCGGTTAGCTATGATCCCCTTACGCTCACTGAGGGGGTGGGATTGTCAGGGGCGCGGGCGCTGACAGAAATTTTTCGCGATTGGAAGAGTCGATTCAGAAATAGCGCAATGAGAGGAACGCCATTCGTGCGCAATGAGTGCATGGTGTAATTCCTTGCGGGAAATTTGCTGCAGCTGCCTGTTTCGTACGCCAACACGACATCTTGGATATAAAGACCAGGAATATTGCTAATCAATAACGAGGTTTCGGTTCTAAGATATTTGAATCATGGATTGATGCAGCCCTCGTTTGGCTCACGGGGGGCTGGGCCTGCTATCGATTTCATTCCTAGACCAAGGCAAAAGCCGAAATGGTATAGATAAGTTTTCGGAGGCTGCGGGGTGGGCCTGATATCGAAATGATCCTTGCCAAATGGCATAGTAAAATGAAGCATTGGCAACAACGCTTGAGCAGACAATTTCAATGGATGCCCACTGCAGTCTCGCCAAATTATAGTTCCTTCCGTTAGCATCTGATACGTCCTAATGTCCAATTCTCCGAACAGATGGAATACGTACTAGAGAACGTGTTGACTGAGCCACCGATTGACTTAATATAAGAGGCAGCCGCGTAACCGTAATTGCAACAACCAATATTCCGACTAGGAACAAAAGGGTTAATTGCAACTTTCTATACAGGAATTAGAAAAATTAAACGATATTGGAGTTCTTCAATAGGCCATGGACTTCAGTACCTACGCTTGAAAATCAAGGGATGTCATTCTCCAGAGCATTGGGATGGGGAAAAGAATCAAAGCAAGATCGGTTGCGATGTTCAAGGTGCCCATTGTGAGCAAATTAGCCATGCCTTTCCGACATGGATCTAAATTGGGGTAACAGGTTTAGATATGACCTAAAATGGGCCAGATCCGATGATATCAATTTCGAGACCACTTACGGTGCAGGTGTTCATGACTCCAAAACCTATATGGAAACTATTATCAGTATGGTTTATCCAATAACTGAGAAAGTGGGCGTCTTACATGTACAATGGCTGACATTCAAACAATGTCGCTACCAGGGTAGCAAAGAAAGTTGACACAATGAAAGCCCGCAGGAACTGGAGAGAGTAATGGACTTTGTTGGATCCAGTTTCCAGTCGCTTATAGAATCGTAGCAAGCAAAGTTTCATGGACCAGAGACTGAAATAAGACAAACATTAGATGATATAAATAGAATTTAAACCATCTTTCCACCGACTAATATCTTGCCCAGGTCCAGTAAATTCAATATCCTGCTAGATGAAGAGGAAGAGAAAGAAAACTCACAAAAGAGCATAGAATACGCGACCGACCAAGAGGAGTTTTTGTGATAACGCTTGGTCATCTCTTGACGGAGAGAGTCTCAGATCAAAAACCCTGATCATAGCAACAGTACGGCATATGAGGGGGAATAATGCGAATGCCATCCAGCTATCGTCGGGGCCCCATGATCGATTTGAAGACTTGATCATATCGCACTTTGCGAGCAATCGGTAGCCACCTCGAAATAGAATTTGAAGAGAACTGAGCACAGCACAAACGACTATCTGTGTGGCTTCTGAAGTCCATCTCATTGACGTTGCTGGCAAGAGGCTAGAGAAGCAAGAAAAACTGATATCTGACTCTGTGCATTGCCTTGGACAAGCTTCAGTTCAGCACCCAACAACTCGAGAATGAATGAATAATGGATATCTGAGTACGCAAAACAGGGCACATCGGAAACAGAAAATGGTTGGATTTTTCAAGAGCTGGGGTTTTCTATTGTTTTTTCAACCCGGGTATAGCCCTGCACTTGGTGTATTCGTTTCCACAAGGGCAGAACAGAAACGCGATTGGTAATCGGCAGGTTGTATGAAGGGACCATTGACAGTACTCATGTCGAAAACGATGTGGGACCTTGTATGATGGTGAATTTCTCCCTTTAAAGGTCCCGCGACAGTTTCGGTTGAACATCTTGGAGGACACCCAACGAGTCGCCATCTCTCAAACAAGTCTTCGTTCAATGTATTCACGGGGTTGGAGACAATTTTAGCTTACTCCCGCAAAGCAAAGTACAGGCGCATATAAAATGTGCTGCCACATCCCGAACTTGACCACGAAGCGTTGTAATTTCGCGAGGAACAACCCCGAAGCTGCATTGGAGGGTTGCTGTCCAACATGGCTGGCTGCCGACGGGTGTTATATTGTGGTGCAAAACCAGGGTTCACCGTACCAAAACACTGCGTACTGCCGCAAAATCAAATCCATGTATATCATCATTTTATCATCAAATTCGAGTTTACTATTTAATATGGCGCCCCAACTCAGTGATCTCACCCTCAAATGAGATTATATGTTTTGGGAGAACGGTTTCAAATCATACCGTCTGTGGAATATTATCCGATCATGGTATTGAATTAATAAAAATATTCGTCTCTATGCAACGCTTTAGTTGGAGCTAGAAGTTTATATTGTACGCGTGTTACATACCAGTTGGCAACAGATTGGGTGAGTTTAGGGGCTTACTACCTAAAGCTTAGCTGTTATGTTAGGCATCAAGACCCTATAATCTATGGTTGCAAGGACCGGGTTTATTTGGGCTTGGGTATTGAGGTTTCCATTGAAATTTTCTAGTGCGTGCAAAGACCTCTATTCTATATATCATACGGAGTATGCAGAACTTCTTTCCGGGTGAACATACAGTGTATTATAATGAAACTGTTATGACATTCGAGGCGGCTCTTACGCAATACCGCACACCATTTCAACTACACGCAGGTATTCCAGCATTTTCATTGATTCACTTAAATATTAGTGCCGCTAACTCAAGATTATCCTGATGTGAATGCGAAATTTTTGTATGATTAATACCAATCTCTATATCAACCTACGCGGCGTTTCCAAGAACACTTTCAGGCACCATCACATTACACAGTCCGTCCGCAACCCAGCTTATATGCTAGGATAGTCCTTTCGACCCTGGAACAGCCCCATCCAGAGCTCACCGACCACAACTTTAATCACCGCATATGTGAATAAATTAGCACGAGGTAGATATTTCTATATCCGCGTATGTAGCGTAAAGGTGGACATGCATGCAATACGCCCCAAAACAAAAATATTGGGCCAAATCGCTGCAGGACCCATGGACCACCCGTATGGAACGGCTTCTGTACCCGAGCGGCCGAAGCCAATGGAGTGAGCATGCAGGAGCCCCTGCTGTTCTTCCGCAAGAAGGATTATTCCATGGTCTGTCCCCTCACAAAGCCGTAACGTTGCTGCACATCCAAGACATGACAAAAATGCCACTCGCCACCACGCCAATCCTACCATACTAATTTCGAGCCCTAGACCGTACTATGACCAAGCAAAACCCGGCCCAGTCGTGCGAGATGCGGATGGCACTGATTGCGCAATGCCATGGACTGTAGCCAGTACTGATGGATGTGGCGAACAATTGTTCAGCAGAATAATGGATGCCGGGAGCGTGAAGGTTCGTGATAAGACCTGCAAGAATAGCACTACAACAACCGAGATCCACACGAAATGCCAGTGCCTTGCACTGGTGGTGGAGATGTAGATTGACTTGACGAGATGAAAGGCACCCCTGCATAGGCGAGAGAGAATATCGAGAATTGTACCGCCCTGCCAATGATCCCTATAATCTATAATCAATGTTGCGAGGCCTACACTTTGTAGTAGCATTCCAGAGCCTCCTGTGAAAATGAACGGAAATTTCCGCGATGGACTCGAGAGATCTGCCGTGTCTAGCGTGGTGTGGATAGATAAAGAAGCCAGCGATTGTTAAATACTCTATGGGGTAGAAAATTTCCAGCTAGAATCAACAAGTCCAATCGGTTCGTTTCTCCTTTTTCCCCAACTCACGCCATCTGGATATCGAAAAAGGCTTACGCCAATGGCGTCCACAAAACGTTCGACGCCCAGATTCTGCAAGACGGGAGTACGTCCCTATGCTGGTGTGTTTTGTTCATACTCTCCTCAGGTTCATATTCGTGAGTATTTTCCGCTAGGTCTTCAGGCAAATCCACAGAACATTCTGAATCTTGGAAAGCAGGCCCGGAATCTTGATATGAAGGATGAGAAGAAGCCCAGTGGCCGGGAGATTACCCCCAGGAGCTGGCATATGAGCCCTAGCTTTCGCCGACTTCGTGCTCGAGTAATCGTTCCTTCTGGGCAAGGTTGCGTACCCCTCCAACATGGTTCAGGTAGACCTGTTTCCCCTTGTTGGGAAAATCGCCTGTGAAGCATATGTCGAAGAATTTCTGAAGCATGGGGTAGTACATGCCGGCTGCCCAGCTGTAGTTGGAAATGAGCAGATGTTCCAGATCGGTGACACGCCACCAGATACTTTTCATGACGGAGGTATGCCATGAATCAACGCCCCGAGTGATGAGGATAGCTTTGGCGTTTGAATGTACCTCCATGAGCTCCTTTGCAAAGGCGAAGGCAAGTCAGTCGCAGACAGCTTGTTGTTGAATTACCTGAGTTTTCGATATCGTGTATCTATGGCCCTGGAGGCGTGAGGAGGTCATATCTGGCAATGCTCCAGCAGCTGATCCCATTCGGGTGTTTGTTTCAACTGTTGAACCAATTGTTGTTTCAAGTTCGGGGAAAAAGGAGCATAACCAAGGCCCCAAGTAAGTAGTATGGAGGAAACCACAGACATATGAAGCGCCAGCTCTGTGTGTTAGTTATGTCATTGAAATCCCACATGATCTTCATGGCAATCTTGGATCCAGAGTGGACGACCTTGTGGTGGCTACAGAAGTTTGTTGTGTGCCAGTTCCCGACCACATCGGGATGGCGGAAACACGGTGCCGTAAAAAGGTGGAATAGAAGGGACGGGATAAAGAGGAAAAGATGAATTATAGGCATCTATGTCATTTTCGCTGCGTTTAAAAGGACAGTGAAGAGATTCAAGAGGAGAATGTACACGAAAATCGGGGTATTCTAAGCGAAGTCTTTGAAATTACATCAACCAGAAGCAGTGGAGGTAAGGGAAATGCAAACAAGAAGTATATACCCATTTATTCATTCAAGCTTATCCAGGTGCTCCAATCTTGTTAGCACAACCTGCTTGCTCGTTTCCTCAATCTCGCCAGCGAGAAATACCTCGTCGAGAATAGCATAGACCTAGAAGTATGTAAATTAATTAAAGATTAGCAACTCACTAATTCAGACCAGCAGACCGTTTTGCTCAAGGGCCTTGAACTATCTCAAAGTCCCAAACACGCAACGCGGACGTGTATGCCGATCTTGGCGCTATACCAACTAGCGGAACGAAAAACGCACCTTGTAGAAGTTGAAAACCAAATCAAGCTCACAGACATTGCCGAAAAACTGGTCTAAGACCTCCACGAAAAAGTGGATAGCTTCCAAGTATGCTAGTTCATTGTCGTTCGCATCGACACAGACACAGAAGAATAGACCGGCATATCTCCTATAAACGATCTTTGTGCTGCGACGGAACTCGACGAAGTTGGATTGATATTTTTGATCTCGAGGGGCAATGAGGCGGTGGACCTGCGAATAATGAGGATTTCAGATATGGAACTACGCTGGATGTTCGGGTTTGAGGTAAACGCGGCAAATTTGTTGGTGTGGGAAAATAAAAACGAACCTCTCCCTTTAATTTCACTTTCTCATCGTCCTAGTATCGGTTAGTTATAAATCAATATATGGGCTATTATGGATCGTGAAATCACTTACATTGTATGGCGCATACCACTTTGCCAGGCGAGTTTTGCCTCTTTGCTATGTCAGCGCAGTCCTTCATATAACGGTGACCTCCTGTCAAATTGAAAGGCCTACATACTGCCTGTTCTGGATAAGAATAAAAGAAAGAACCATGCCGCAAATAGATAGCTTGGTACCAAGCCTTTCCTTGGTTAATGCTTCATGGAGGTGCGCATGAGATATTGAGGTGTTGATTTCTCGGGTTGTTGAGAGCTTCAAATAAACATTCCATGGTTCGTGTCATTCTGCTAGAACTCTCCGCCTTTCTCCGCCTTTCAAATCTGGTTGAGCAAACATAAGCAAAACAATATCCGATTCTTAGGAATAAGCACCACGAAACAAAATATTCTCTCAAAAACTCCCAAGACATGAATCGATATCGTCCAAACTACACGTGCGCCCGTACAGAAAGTACACTTCATCCTCAGCAATCTATCATACAACTGACATATTTAAGCACATCCAAAAATACGCCGATATATTCGCCTTACAGTGTAGTTATCCGATAGGTGAGCATCCCATCCGCTGCCAGAAATTCTCTGCTTACCTTCCAAAATTAAAAATACCTGTAGTTTGTCAGATGCACACACGCCGCCCTTGACATTTTTTCGCGGGCGTGCCTGGTTCCTTGATTAAGTCTGAACATAGTAACGAAACAAAATAAGAAACAGGAATATATCGTGGATCCGACAGCGGAATCAGCAGAAACTTCGTCCCCACGGCTACCCATCACTCTCCACAGCCGAATCCCCATAGAAACTTCCATATGAACGCTCCGGATCTCCATTGTAAACAACAAACCAGCCAATCTCCGAATCAGGCGCAAGTTCGTCCCTAAGCTTTTTAAATACATCTGTCCCGGCAGTTGACAAGCCCGGGTCCTGCTGTAGGATGTCTTGCAGGCTCAATCCTAGGCCCGCACCAGATAGGGCGTTTGCGCCCATGGTCATTGTCTTTGCCGCGACATATGCATATGGCTGGCTCACGGCATCAGCGCTAAGATCCTCGGGATCGTACTGTTCAATAAGTTCGAGATCAGGGAGGTGAGTGAGGATATTAGAGTCAATGAGTTTGAATGAATTGAGTACTGCTGTCGTTGTGCTCGGATGCTGGAGATATTCGGCAGCGGCGTCGAGGATGTTGCAGAGGGTGATGTATGCACGTATGCCTGGGGCTAAGGGGTTGGCCGCTCTATTCCAACGGAAGCCATAGAGGATGTATGTGACCATCCTTATATGGAGTTGGTTAAGGGAAATAGAACTCGAAGCAAGGAGTTTTGGAGAGGTTAAGATGCCTTTGACAGGAGGTTCATCGAATTTTCGTTGAGGAAATTGTCTGCGAGGCTTGTTTCTTCATGTCGGCAGAGGGAGAGCAAGTAATGGTCATGTCAGGGATGGCAGTCCTGTCTCTTGGTGCGAAAGACTGTCCTCAAACTTGCATGATGTCTGAAATACAAGCGCGCCTCAATGGTGTGACATTTCTGTGCAAGTGAGCTGGAGATGATGGCGTAGAGGTGAGGTCACATGACTCCCTTGATACCCTTAAAATTGCGGGGTTCATGATCTGGGAAGATAATATCTATGCAGAATCCCCAGTTTTTAATAATATACGCCTGCTAAAAAGGATTGTCAATTTTTCATACATTAAAAAGTTAGGCATATTATGGCCACGAAATTGAACTTTAGGGAATTAGTGAGAGTGTAGCATATGACTGTCCATGTGTTCTGTAAGAGAGCCACTCAAAAGCCTGCCTTTATATGTAGTAGCTAGATTCAGTGTTCTTCATACATTCATAGAGCAGTAGAGTCTATGTTTGTTGGAGAATGAGCTTAGGAATCTCAATGGAGAAAGTCTCAAGACAGCTCTAGTTTCTATATTCAAATTGAAGATTAAAGTAGCTGGTTGATTTCACTCAGATAATTGTTCTATGAAGAGCTTTACGGAGAGCTCTAAGAAGGATGAAGAATGAAGAATCCGTGAAGATAGTCTTAATTGATGGAAAATCTATTACCAGGTTATTCCTGATATAGTTATTTTTTAATAATGGTATCATCAAAAATTGGGTGTCTACACACATTGCCGCATTTTCCACCGAGAATTTAGATCCAAGGTAATTCAGTATTATTCATATTTGTAGGGCGTTCGCAGCTATATGCTCTTTGTCCGCTGCAATTTCATGAATGTCATCAACAATTATGAGTAATTATATACACCATTGGCGGTAGCCTCTCCTTCCCTGAGGCCTTAACTGTTGGGAGTGTGGATCCGTTCGGCCCCTCTACTACCAGTATGACGCTGGTGGTGATCGAGCGTTTTTGGCCCAGTGGCCAAACATTAGCAAGCTCAAGGACTTTGCTCACGTTGTTCCTTGATATTTCGTGGACAAGCGTTAACGTAAGGCTAGAGTCAAGCGGATTCATATAGCTGGAAACTTTTGTACTCTTCCGGGTAGATATCGTCATCGTGATTTCCTATCTTCGGCTTCTCCGGTTCCAATGGTGGAAAGACTGTCAACCACGACAATATCGTCATCTGAATCGCCGTCTCCTCTAGTGCGCGGTTCCGATTTCTTTTGTCCGGAGTCCCTGATCCGCCTGTTCACCTCATCCAGATTATCATCCGTCATCGTAGACAAGGGTTTTTAAAAACGTATCGTGGAGAAAAGAACCAAAGCTGTTGGATCGCTTTACACTGCCGCGACTCTCACTTCTACTCCTGCTACTCGAATGGCTAGGGGGCATGCTTTTTAGTCGAGACGTATAGGAATCATCAGTAGGATTCTCATGAACAAGCTTTTCCGATTCGAAATTTGATAGGATTTCAGGACCGAAGGTATCAATTACCTCTATAACTTGGGTAGCCAGCGCTTGGCGCTCCGCTCGCAATTGAGTCAATGAGGAAGCTGATCTTGGGTTCAAAGCAACCAGCAGTGGAGGTAGAGATTTCAGGTCAACGCCTGTCTCGCCAATCCGTAGACCGGTGAGGGAGACTAAAAGCATAAGTCCGAAGAACAATATCGAAAATAACCACAGCGGAATGAAGTCGGGAATATAGTTCCTCGGATCAATCCACCAACCCACAACAAAACAGTAATACCCATCATGGGACAATAATTCAACCAAACAGTGGCGATAGCAGTATGCAAGGTATACAAACTTGGTGCTAGCCCCATTTCCACAATAATCTTCCAACTTCCGACAACGTCACGTCCTTCTAACTTAACAACGGAGGCTGCTAACGCACTACGTTGCTTTTTAAGGGACACGATTTTTGTAATGACAAAAACCGGCCAGAATAAAGCAATTGACGGAAGAGTGCCCACTGCTAGTGCGAGAAATTCACCGATTCGAAGAAGCAAGATGCCGAATACTACCCACCACGGCCGTTGCTCAACATCCCCCCACTCGACCTGGTGATCCCGTATACCTAAGGCCTTCAGTCGATCATTATAATCCGATACAGCTTTTTTTAAATGGACGACCTTGGGTTCATCCCTGAATCGTGTATAGCCTTTCAGAAGATTTCGGTTGAGTTCAATAACGACGGCTAAGGGGAGTTTCATACGTAGTGGCTTGTACAGTCTTCTTGTCGCTTGAATGACCATAAGGGTTTCACGATCAGGAGCTTGTTGAGTGACAGCAGCAAGTGAGCCATTAATTGTTTCCAGTAGTGACCCCACAGCATTGCGTTTGAGGTGTCCACCCATCTTGAACGCTTCGATTTGATCCGGGTGAACTTGAACTGGATTACCAAACTCTATAACGGCGCGGGAGCGAAATTTATTTGGATGGAAGTAATTCAAGCCGCAGGGGATTATAGAGAGGCCGCAGTCAGGTTGTCGTGCTAAAGTGCCTAGGGCAATTAAAGCCACACCAGCTTTCAACGGAAGTAAATTAGGACGATCATGGCTTCCTCCTTCGGGGAAGATTCCGACGCAACCGCCGTCGCAAAGTTCACGATACACAAGAGTCGAACATTCGACTTTGGTCAACAAACGGTGCAACATTAAATGGGGTCCCGTTGCGCAATCCATCGTAGAGAGGGTGGTCATTATCAAAGTCTTTGAATGGTCTTCGGAGCCGTAGCTCCTCGGGCCCAAGGATCTCAGCAATTACCTGCTGTTCGACATTCATTCTGCCCACCCTAGGTAAAACAATTAGACCCCCCTCCATGAACCGAGTGTTGGTGAAGTTCGTTCCTTGCCCGCGGACCAAAGTTGGATCATTTTCTGGATCAGATAGGCAAATCGTACCCTCTGCAGGCTTGACAAGATCCGTAGGCCTGACCACAGATACTGCTCCCATAAGGCGAGTCATGGTGCCAATATATGGGTCACGCATAGTTTTGTCTGCGGTGAGAAAAGAAGTGCAGCGGCCAGCATAGCACCTCACGTTGCGCATGAGCACAGCGGAATCGACGAATTGGTTGGCATGAGGGGCAGCGACAATTACCACCGGCCCGCTTTTGGGGATGCGCCATGCGCCTCGGGAGCAGATTTCGCGGGAGAAGATATCGAGACATAGAGCAAAAATCCATATCCCGAGGTCATAAACCCAAGGTACCCTGTAACTCTGGGTCATGACGAACAGGAAGGCTAGGGCACTTAGCACCTAGCTGGAGGACAAATGGAACGGCCAGCTGCAATATTAGATCTGCGCTCAGAATACAATTAGGGCGAGGAGTTGGCGATGCTTCTTATGGTTGCCCCCTCCCCCACACCCAGGCTTGTTGGAGGCTCAACAATCTAAAATAATAATATGTCCCTTGAAAACGTCCACAGGAAGGATAAGACTAAGCAATCCGCTAGATAGGCGCTAGGCCAGATATCTAACGAATCACAGTCTGGTGGAGAAGCCTGCAAGCATTTGCGGCAAGGGCATGAACTCCTGCGTCACATCACCCATGATGGAGGCAACGTCCCGCACGAAAGTAAGAATTGGTCAAACCTCAGTTCCGAGGTGGGCGTGCAAAAGAAATACATGAGGACACATTCGCGATAATTAAAACAGCATGGTGCTTTCCTGACATTATTCTAAAAGGGAAAAAAAATCTTCAAAAGAAAAGGGTTATATTATGCTGCTGGGGATTTTTGTATCAGGAGTTCATGGACTCGTTCCGTAATAAGCTTTCCAAATCTCGTCAAATGTCGCTTTGTTGATGGCAAACTGCCGAATATAAGCTCTTTCTAGATCATGGGTCTTTTTCCCAAGTAGAACCAAACTGTGCAAGGGTTTGCCCATATCAACATCACATAGCTCTTTCAAAGTCCCAACGGCAAGATGTTGGTCAGACGCACCAACACGCGCAGCACCTATAGCAAGGCTAGTCGGACCATACACACATTCTTTCCTCTCTTCCTCTATTTCCAGCATCTGCCTCGCACACTGCGCAACGGTCATGTATCTTGGTGGTTCGTATATTTTCCTCCCACGTGCCATATTCTCTAGTGACTGTTCTTTAACTTTGATATCGAGAAGCATCAAGGTATGAAACCCTAATTGAACGTTTTCCTTCACTCGGTCATAGAACGAAGATGGCTTCCATGTCTCTGTGAAAAATACCATACTAACGGTCTGGCCAAAATTATAAAGTTGGAGACCGGTGCAGCCTATCGCGGAGATAATCGAGGCATTTGGTATAGTTGACGTTTTGATGCCGAGTTCGCGGGCTCGCAAAACGAGGTCAGTGTGCGTTGTAGCCCTAATGTTTGAAATAAGTATTTTTAGCTCTCCACCGATAGCTTAAGATTTATGAAAGTGCAATTTTGAAGTGCGGCTGTACCCAAATGGATCCCCGACTACCAGAAACGCGACATCTACTTTATCAGCATCTTGCAGTATATCATCGCTTCCAGTCTCGACCAATTCGCGATCTGCTACAATGACAGAACGCCCATAAAAAGCTTCCTACTAATCAATCGCGTGCGTGTGTTAGTGCGTTAAACATCTCACTATTGTTTATTAAGGATAAAACATCACGCACTAGTTTTTCTTTATCAACAAGTAGGATGCTCGTATAAGCTTCAAGATACACTCGTTCGGCTTTTTTGACGATCTCTAATCCCCGGACAGTGATATCGGTCTCATCCGCCAGACCAAGCCCGACCAGATACAGCATGGTGACGGTGCTCTGAAACTGTGTTTGATGTGCTCGAACAGGAATGAAATTTGATATGCTTTTTGTTTAGCGTTGATCTTCAAGCGGGGCCAGCTGCTGAGATAATCAGATCCATGACGCCACATGGCGAGTTAGTTATCAATTCCCCAACCGCTGCGTGTTCTACGCTCTTCCTCATCTACCTTTTTATTGCACTGCAGTATCAGTTATTGGGGCCATGACCCAGAGACATCGACAGCTTGCTCTATCTGTTATCTTCCCCTCCCGAGTACTAAATTTGCGAACCTGTGAAGATGACGGAACGATCACCAAAGTACCGGCAGGAGATCCAACAGGTAAGACTTTAAATCCCTTCTGTGCTAGCTATCTGTGATGGCTTGGTGAAATGTCCAATATGGCCTGGTCCGCCGGTTTCACGGATGATATAGTCCTTCCAGTTTCGAGGAGTTGATTCCTGAGAGGATGCCCGGTGCCACAGCCCCTCGAGCTGAAAGACTAATCATCTGTGAAGAATCCCCGTTGCGACCTACCAGAGAAGTTTAGGGGTAGGGATCGGATAAGGGACGGATTCTAGAGCTATATTGTAAGGTGTATTGGAGCCATGGACTTTCGGTTCACTGGCTATTTCGTCTCTACGACCGAAGCCGGTCTATTTTTCCCCCAAGCAGTGCGCGGAGCTACCAACTTCCAGCTGAGCCTACAATCATTTGCTTGGTAATAGGCAGTTATAATACTTCCTTTTCTTATAAGCATGGGAAATGCGCTCAATTGGGGCCGTGACCATATTAGCAAAATTGGGAGACTTTCCCGACATTGTTTAGACACATTGTTGGCCACGACGTTTATAGGAATCGGGCCCGGACTAGGACCAAGATCAGAGCCAAGACGAAATTTTTCTTGATGGGTCAAAGAAAATCTACTAACATATTGGGCCAGATGATGTTTGTGTCCGGTGAGACAGCGGAACCGTCAGCTGAAACAACGACTCTCATTGAAGAAATTGTACGACAACAGGTTATTGAAATGGTGAGTGTTTGTTTCTCACACTTCTTCTTACTAGGTATTAAGCTCACCGATTTTAAGCTTAGTCGAAGTACTGCCCTCGCAGCGCGACGGGGCGTTCGTTCTATCTCTACGGATGATCTCATTTTTCTAATTCGCCACGACAAAGCTAAAGTATCACGGCTAAAGACTTTTTTGTCCTGGAAAGATGTCCGAAAAAATGTGAAAGACTCGGATGACAAGGGTGGTGCTGATGCAGCAGATTTTGGGGCCGGAGACGACCCTTTGGCTGGAGCAGGTGTTGCGGGTCCATCGGATGTTGCGGCCAAACCGAAAAATAAAAGGGCCAAAGTTGGTTTGCCTTGGGATCTCAACAACCTGTATTCGGTCCAAGTTCCTGAGCGTGAAGATGAAGAAGACGAAGAGGAGGAGGAACAAAATTATGCCACTCTGCAGCGCCTCGCAAACGCAGATGAACGGACAAAAAATATGACCCGCGAAGAGTATGTTTTCTGGTCGGATTGTCGACAGGCCTCATTTACATTTCGCAAAGCAAAGAGGTTTCGAGAATGGGCAGGTTTTGGAATCGTGACGGACTTTAGACCCAACGATGACATCGTCGACATTCTTGGCTTCCTCACTTTCGAAATTGTGCAAACATTGACGGAAGAGGCGCTGAAGGTGAAGGAGCAGGAGGATCGGGGTAAGAAAGGCCGTGGAGCCTCGGATGATGGTGAAAAGACCAAGAAGCGGAAACAAGAGACGGGGCTTTTCGACCCTCCAGAGGAGGGGAGGACTCCCATAGAGCCAAGACACATTCATGAGGCGTATCGCAAACTTCAGGCGATTCCGAATAAGGCGGTTGCGATGCTATTGCGCGGAGGACGAGCGCCGATGCGTACTCCTTTGCGACTTGTATGTTGCCCATTCTTGACGCTGGTGTTAATTGCTGATCGTTCTTGTGGACCTCGATGCTAATCATTCCCCCGTCTCACAGATTTGAAATCATTGCCCGAAAATTGCACGACACTGAAGATCTGTTAACACTGTATACTATTTTGGAGGCGTTCTTTGGAGCACGTGGTTTGCTAAGTTCTTGGGCCTCTGTGAGGTGGGAATTATACCCGGAAATTTGACGTTTCTACCTTGTTTGAGATGTGAATTTAACTGGGTGGTGCATTATTCGCTATATAGAGCAGATATGTTTAATTATCATCGTTATACCCGCTTGTGATTTACATCATGTTCGCTGTCTTACGAAAGACCACAATCGGAACGTAGATTTATCGTGTTGAGTATATGGGTATCTAACAAAACAGAGTTCCCTTGAATGCAATCGCCATTACATGTCTATAGCCGGAAAAGCAAGAGAGATAGTTAGCAAAATCTACATCCACCGTAACTCCCATTTCATTTTAATCCCTTGGTGGCATAGATATCAGACAACACGACCTGTATCTCCCGCAAGAATTTCGACACTTCCGTTTCCGTTCCAACAGTGATCCTTAGACATCCCTTACAGCCATCCTCATTCCCTCGAAACCGGACAACAACACCTTTCTTCTCGGCAAGAGCCTTATAGACCGCCAGGGCCATATCATTGCACGGCTTCCCTCCCTCTTCCGCTGGCCTATCAAGAACCTCAACGAGCAGGAAATTCGAATCCATGCCGCCTAGAAACCTTCCAATTCCAGGGACTTTCGGCAACTCTGAAATCAGCCTATCCCGCTGTGCTAGAATCTTTTTCTTGTTCCTATTCATGAGTGCAACATTCTCCGTCGCCAGCGCAGCCTTTGCCAACGCACTGGTGGGACTGGAGATGTTATATGGAGCCTTCAAACTATTCAACAGCCGCGCGATTTCAGGACTCGTAAACGCCGCGCCCAGTCTGATGCCCGCAAGTCCAAATGCTTTGCTCAGTGTCTGCATTACAACTAAATTAGGCCACTCCGCCACCCACTCCGCGAGGCTTGAGCCCTCAGGAGCAAAGTCGATGTAAGCTTCGTCAACCACAACCACACCATTCCATGTTGGGTGCTCGAGGACCTTTTGGATATCATCTTTTCGGATTAGATTTGCTGTGGGATTGCCGGGAGAACAAATGTACACCAGTTTTATGGAAGGGGTGGACGATAATACTTCGTTGATGGCTTCAGGGCGGAGACGAAAGTTGTTGGAAGTGTCAAGGGGAACTTTGACGATGCTGATGTCGTTTATTTGCGCACTGACTGAATACATGCCATATGTTGGCGGGCACGTGAGGATCTGGTCATGGCCTGGTGTGCAGAAGCAGCGGAGAAGGGCATCAATGACTTCATCGGAGCCCACGCCGACAAAAAGCCTATCCGGAGTCAAAGTATTTTGTGTATGAACGTGTGTGTTTCGCAAATTGCACAGGAGTTGTTTGAGTTCGATTTGATGGCTATTGTAGAAAAATTTTGTCAGAATTGGAGAGGAATTGTGAAATATGGGATCGGATGGGAAATGCGCACGGATCAGGATATCGGTTTAGACCCAAGAAGTCGATATCTGGGAAAGATGAATTCTCGCTGGCCGTCGCTGTTGCCGCCGACAATCCCTTCTGAATTCTTCCCTCAGAATTCAAGACTAGACCTGGGCCATACGCATTCTCATTCGCATCTAAGAGTACATTTGTTCCATCGTCTTTGTAGTCACTGACTCATTCGCAGGTTAGCTGTTTATGAGCTTCATGGCCTTGGATCTGGAGGATGAGGTTGGATAGCTTACTCTCTTGCGCAACGATATGGCCGCAATTGAAGGATATTAGGCCTTGCACATTTTGAGAGGTCAAACGGGAGATTCTTGGCTGTCATGGTTGATGCTGGTGGAGTTGTTAGATAGTGAGGAAGGGGAAAATATTTATTCTTATCCGGAGTGGCGGGGTGAAGATTGAGTTTCTGAACGCAAATCGATGACTCGAAGAGGGGCAGGATAAAACACCCGTGAGGCCAAAACTAGTAAACTGTTGGGGTCATCATGGAGAAAGCAAATATGAGATAGGCACTCTGATATCTATTTTTATCATCGAACAATGGCTCTACTATGTCTATCTTAATAGATTTCTAGTATCTTTATCCATATCCCAAGCTACAAACGCCAAACTCCTTTGAGTATGCACATTCAGGGCCAAATTAATAGTAACATATAGGTATATAGTCTTCAAAAAGAAATTGCCTAGCTCACTCCTTTTTAGAATGACTGGCTGTAGCTTCTTCCGTCTCCTGTTTGGCGGAGGCGTACTTTTGTTGTTTCTCTTTCATATAACGCCATCCTCTTCCGAGGCCGGCGGTGAATAAGCTCTTTATGCTCTGGTTTGTACTAGGCCACGATATGGTCTTCCTGATGGACTTAGTTGCTTCGTCCTTGAGGTGTTCGTCAGCAGCAATCCTTTGCTCGAATACGCCTCCTACTCGACGATGGACACGTTCGGGGTCTTCGTCGTTGCTTTTCTCCATCATTTTCTCAAATTCCACTCTCGGAATTTGGTATCTTGACTGGAATTGGAAGTACAGCTTCTCACGGAAGGACTGAGGAAGTCTTCGAACCATATTTCCTCGTTTGAACGGGTCCATATCTTGAGCTAGCCAAGCGTCTACCTCCGGGTTATCCACCCAATCTAAGCGGGCGCATTGTGGGTCATTGAAAGCAACATTTGGCAACGTCTCGATCAAGGGAGCATATAAACGTCGAAAGTTGGTCATCTGCGAGGTTACAATGTTATTGACCTTACGCGGATCCTCCGAGGCAAAAGACATCCGTGGGTCACCCAGATAACTAATGCCCGCGATGGTGCTATACAGCTGCTGTTCGGTAAATTTCGGTGGTAGTAAAAGCAGTGCCACGCGGACTGCTGAAAGAAGGTTCACTTGGTTCGCAAGACGGACTTTTGGGTGGTCTCTGAGGATTTTCACCGGCTTCTGAAGCCGTCCCGCGAGGTAGAGTGAGTCCCAGTCACTAAGATCTTTACACAATGTGTCAATGTTAACAACCCCATATTTTATAAGAGTGCCATTCACAGTAACATAAGGATTGAAGTAAACGCCGGCTCCCCATTTTTCTTGGATCTGGGAGACAACATATGACCCTAGCGATCCTAGGCTAGAATAGTGGTCGCGATGCTGGTTCAAATTGAGGGCATGCCAATGCTGGCTATACGAGACACCAAATATAAAATCAATCATCTTCCCGCTGTTCCCTTGGCCTGTTTGAATGGCTTGTGGAGCAGCCGGATGGGAACTTTCAGCTGGAGTCGCAGATCTGTTGGACTGCGGGAATACGCCTGAACCGTATGCGAATGCATATCGGATTGGAGCTTTGAACTGCCACAATATCTGTCGTAGTGCCTCTTTAAACTCCTCGTTGATAATCATGTGCTGATTTACTCCGAAGTTTTTAGAAGGTAGCTCCGAAAATGTCGAGATTGTGAAGTCCGGATTGTCATACCAATTAGTGCCCGACTCAGACAGTGGAATGGATTGTCCGGAATTTGATGAGGCCGGAGCGACATTCGATGGCGAATTCAAATCTTTATGCGCAGCAGTATTGAATCCAGGAAGTGGTCCGCTATCGCGATCATGTGGGCTGGGGGACGACTCTGTGGAGAGAGGTCGGTAACATTTATAGCTGTATTGATCTGACGAAAGGGGTGGAATGAAGATGTGGAGGCGGGATGGTGCTGTAAGTCGCGGCCGTATCAGGAGGAACTATTGGGGGCCAGTTAAACCGTTAGTTTACGGGGGTACAATTATAATGGGGGTGGGACAGGGAAGTTATACCGGAAGATGGGATACGGCCATGTTGGGGAGACGATGGGGGGGACAGCACGAGCTGTAACAGTTCAAGCGAGAGCTACCATGGGCTTTCGATTTCGGTGAGTCACGGTCAAATAGAGCAAGGTAGAACTAAGCTGCAAAAGACAAGTCCAATATGGTATTTTCAGGTGAGAAAAAAGGACTGGAGGAGCAAAATGACTATCGGCTTCGGCGAACATCAACCCGTAGAAATGCTGACATAATTTGGTAATCATGTGATTATCCATCACCTGACTAGACCGCGTCGGCGCGACAACTCCCAAACAAGTCCTTGGGCAGAAGAATAAACAAACAGGATCCAAGCTTAATTATCCCCTTATTGCCTTCAAACTCTAGATCGATCATCCTCCCATAGAATTGAACGCACCCATGTTTGTCTATTAAAAAAAAAAAAAAAAAAAAATTTCGCCATGAGTACAATCGGAATGGAGACCGTCGCTGCTCGGCTCGCCACCTTTTATGCCACTCACGAATCGGCACCGAAGGGTAGAGTATCAAATGCAAAGGCTACAACGCACAGCGTCTGGCCCCATGAAAGACCATCACCCGAAGAGGTAGGTTTTAAAAGAAATTTCTCTTCCACAATTCCTTCTCTACTTCCCAACTAACTGAACCAAATTCCAGCTCGCACATGCCGGATTCTACTACAAGCCCACTCCTCTTAGCCCAGATAATGCCGCTTGCTTCCTTTGTGAAAGAGCCCTGGATGGTTGGGAAGAAGAAGATGACCCAGTCACAGAGCATCTAAGACACTCGAGTGAATGTGGATGGGCAATTATGATGGATATCGTGCGGCGGTCTTCGAACCCAGCAGAAATAGAAGATCCTACAAGCGCTAGAATCGTAGAGGCAAGGAGAGCGACTTTTTCGTCAATGTGGCCTCATGATGGGAAAAGGGGTTGGGTATGCAAAACGGAAAAGGTGCGTATCCATTTGAGAGGAGCCCTGGCTTTGTAGTTGCTAACATGGTATTCTTTTCCGCAGATGGTTGAAGCAGGCTGGTACTTTTGCGCCCATGAAGAGAGTGATGATTTCGTAAGCTGCGCTTACTGCAAGTTATCACTGGATGGCTGGGAGCCAAAAGATGATCCTTTGTGAGCAACTTGCGATCTAGCTGCACACGTCTTGAATTACTAACAGTAAAGCAGTGATGAGCACTATCGTAGATCTTCAGACTGTTCATTTTTTCATTTTGCGCTGAATAAACCAGTGAAAGCCACTCGTGCGAAGAAGACACGATCATCGAAGGCATCACGCCTGTCGACTCAATCAGTCGCTACAACCGCATCTGAGGCACCTGAGGTTGATTATGATGACGAAATGGATAACAGTAACATCTCTCATTCAGCTAACAAAACTTCAAAAATGACGAGAAAGACAACGAAATTGAAAGGGAAGAAAACAAAGACCAAAAAGGGAGATTTTGTTGAACCAAATCTGCAGGCAGATATGGAAGATAATAATGATGAAGCTCCGGAAACGTCCAGACCGAAAAGAGCAGCGAGGGGAAAGAAGAGAAATAGTGATGCAATGAATGAAGTTGAAGAAGGGCCAAATGAAAAGGATGATACGATTGGATCAGAGCCACCTTCTAAAAGACGAGCCACGAGGTCAGAGAATATTGTGGCGAACCATGTTGTGAACTCGGACATCAAAACAGTGGAATTGCCAGTTGCTGATGAGAAGTCTATGCATGGAGAAAAACAACCCTCGCGAAAACCACGAAAATCAAAGCGAGCTTCCTCAACAACAAGGAAACCACCTACAGCTCCTAAAGGTTTAAGATCTAGGATTCCCGACGATGACGAGATTGACGCCCAACTAGAGGCGGATCTCGTCGCGGGCATTGAAGCTGATGAAAGAGCAGTATCTGAACCTGAGCAAACAGACGGACACTCCGCGAGCAAACAGAATCGTTCAACAGCACCTGTTGCATCGGTTCAGCCAGCGGCATCTTCGATTATTAATACCAGTGATTTTGAAGAAGAGCCGGATACTAAGACCCAGAGAATCCAACGTAAAAAGAACTTGGGCAAGAAGAAGCCCGCAGCTCGGAAAAACTCCCGTGCCCAAGTTCAACAAGAACCTGCCAACCCAGATATTCACGAAGCTAAGATTAAACATAAACCTATAGCTGATGCTATATGGGGTGGCCTCGAGCAGCAGACAGGAGGCAATGTGGAGATGGAAGACGCACTTATCCCCAAGGATCAGGAGGATGAGAGCTTTGAAAATCACCAACCGAAACCTGTCCCTAAAAGACCTGGGCGACCTAAGGGCTCCACCGGGAATTCGAAGAAGCAAAATCAGCAACTGCAAAATGAGATTCCAGTTTCTGAAGAGACTACTCCTATCCCATCTTACCTCCACGAACCTCCCGTCCAAAACAAAACGATAAATGAAAGTCACAATAAGGCGCTTAAAATATCGGGTACAAGCCCTAGCGGCAAGGAACCGCAAGCAGGTCCAGAAACTCAAACGTCAACCAATGTACCACGGAAGGTCGCGTTTAAAGCATCCGGAAATAATGATACATCATTAAAGCGGAGTGGTACCCAACAACGATTGAATAACCCAGGAATGTTTGAGCGCGCATCGGACCGGATAGTTCAAGTCTCTCATAACCCAATTTCGCCAAGTGCACGGGTGAATGAGTCCACGCCGTCTCCATCCCCGCAATCGTCCGATGCAGAGAACAGGCCACCCTCAAGCCGACCAAATACCCGACCCACCTCGTCATGTGTTTCCAAACCACAGGCAACTTTTGTTGTGCCCCTTGCGACAAGCACACCTATCACTTCACCGTCAAAAACATATGCACAGTCTGGTCAGCTAATTACCTCCCATCCTTGGAGTCCCGTTGACCCAGATGAAATTTTCCTCTCGGATTCGATCAGTAAAGAGAATGTGAATATCAATGATATTCTTCACGCCGTTAGAGGGGACCTAACAAGCCCAGAGAAACAGATGACCGTGGAAGAATGGATCATGTGGAATGCAAAAAATGGAGAAGCTAAGCTGCGAAGTGAATGCGAAAGATTGGTTGGAATTTTTGAGCGAGAAGGGGGAAAGGCTATGATGGCTCTTGAAGGGATCGAATGCACTGAATGAGTTCAATGTCATCAATGCGGCGTTTTTCGGCGCAGATTTTGGGCCAGAAACACTGAGCCAATATTCCTTTTGCTCTTTTGTTCGTTTAGTTCATTTCCAAGCAAAGCGTCATGGAGTTCAAAATGTTCCCCTATTTTTTCATCCTTTACCCGCCGGGTATACGTCCATGTATATAGAGCATAACAAGTTAAGCAACCACAACGCCGGGGTATAAATAAACACGATTGAGAAATCCTAGTCCCAAAAAATGAGAAAGAAAGATACTACCCTCACTCCACTTTACGAAATAATTCCAAGTCTACCCTCCCAACTATCCTCCTGTTTAACTCCCCCCTTCCTCCGCTTTTCATTCCGTTTCCTTCTCCGCTCCTCCCTTTCCCTGGCCTCCTCCTCCTCTCTCGTCTTCAGCCTCTCCCCAAGGTCTAATTGGCCCGCTTTCCGGTCCTCCTCCTCTTGCATCCTCTTTTTATGGGACAGCCACCTCAGCCTATTCCGCACGTCCTCCAGAGTAGCTACCACAACCTCCCCACTCTGGCCCGTCGCAATGAGATGCTGCTTGCTATTCAAATGCTCAACAAATTGTATATTATCCTTGTAGGTCAGGTTGCATTCCGGGCAGTAGAAGCCTGCTCCACGCCCTCTTTTGCCTATGGCGGACCCTGCGGGAATAATAGTGGTCTTGCCGACCATTGACGCGACATTTAGTCGGTCGGATCGGGAGCTTGTTGCTTCGAGAGCGCTGAAGTCGACGGGCGCATGATATTTCTTCCCCGCTAGTTTGGCATCGTAGCGAGCTTTGGACTCTTCTTTCTTCCTGGCTTCTTCGGCAGCGGCCTTTTTGGTATATTCTTCGCGATCCCACGTTTTGCGGAAGGAGGTGTCTGAGGAAGGGGTTCCGTATGCGGATTCCTTCCTAGGAGGGTCTGGCATTGTGAGCGAGATGGAGATGTGGCGAAGAGGAGATGAAATTATGGGTGGCTCTGGAATTATTTCCTCTTTTTCCCTCAATAGAAAATATGGCTCTGAGGGTGTTTCAGATTTCAACAGGGCCTTTTAGGGGTGTGGTGATTCTCGCAGACCTTTCCAAAATTACCAGGCTAGGGCAAAAGAGCTCAATCACCACCAGCGCCATGATGTTATGGATGGATATCTCTCGAGGTCCATCCCACGTGACCTACGCATTTCCATGTTTCCACTAGTTCGATAGCCAGATAAAAGCAACAATACATTTTACGATTGAACGGTGCTCAAAATATCTTAACAGAGCTCAAGTTTTTGTCAAGAAACTTTGAACCGTGTTCAGCTCAAAATTTGAGTTCTATCAGAGCTTCAAACTAGATTTTTTTTATAACGAGTAACTACTAGTAACCATGCACTGGCAGGCAAGTTAACCTCTTGACCAACAAGCTCATACACAATAACATCCGCTGCTGTTATTGGAGCCCGTACCCTATAGTTATATAGTTAATGCGAAACTGTCCTTACTATATAACCCTCCTAGTATTGTCCTCCTACTTCACCAAGATTACCGCGCATTAGGGATGGAAAAGTGCAGGATGAGTAGGGGCAGATAAGTAGTATACTATGATACATTAAAATTAAGCTCCATGCTTCATCTGCAAATGCTGAGAAATCTTGATCGATTCGAGTATTCTTTCAGGGCAGCCTGGCCTTCGATGCTGTGAATGCGATGAGCCTGATGACATCTGCAACCACTTGGTTGTAAACTGTCCACAATTGCGCACCTCTCTGAGTGCAAATGTGGGCAGTTTCTGATTGGGGCTGCCTAACGTGGCCGAATCCTCAACATAGGCAACAAAATACACAGCCAGCGCACGATATATTTAAGCCGTCGGGTTCCTGAATTCGCAATTGTGTTCTAGATCTAACATTTGGATATTGAGGACCTTCCATTTATCGCCATTATCATTCGCTCACGATAGTATTCCTGGATAATAATCACTTCACCACTTCTACGAGATGGCAACATTATCAAGATCACCGTTCATGGATCTGCCGACTGAACTTCATGCACATGTCGCATCATTCTTATCATACCCGGACGCATTAGCACTGAAACATACAAACACATACTTCTATTCTCTTGTTCAAACTGGTCTCGTCCTTAAAGTCAATTGGATTCTTGAGCGTTGCCGGCTCAACCTTCGAATCCCATTTACGAGTTGTGAGTTTCGCACAGATCAGACGTTTTGCAATTCAGAAATTCGAGAAATCATGGAGATACGACGGCGGCATCAGGAATGCAAACCTGGGGCAAGGGGTTGCGTAGTTGTGGAGGGTTCGAACTGTGGCGGACGAACCGCTTTCTGGCTGTTACGGCGTCGTGGACTATTTCGTTGGCAACGAAAGCGACTTGAGCTCGATTTTTTCGGTGAGATTCCTGCGTTTGCGTGAGCTTTGGCGAAGATGGAACAATACTCTTCGGTCGAAAACCATGCTAACCGTTAAACAGCTTTAGTAATTGGAATTCTTGTGTGCTTTGTTGCCATAATATGTATTCCCGCATTGAGGTAAGTCTCTCTGGACAGCATCAGCTTTGTGTTTGTGTCTCTTTTTATGAGGCTAAGTAATTCTAGGTTTTTTACTAAGAATTGATATTGGCTCATGGTGGATTCTACAAGTGTCCGATATATTGTCCCCGTTATACCAAACACACTTTGACACATACACATAATTATATTCCTTGGATTCTTTTCTCGGATTTGGATAATCTTCGTTTTCCTATCACAAATCCCTGGATTGGAGAAACGATATCCAGCTTCCTTGTCTCTTTTGATTCAAGAGATTAGGTCTTCGGTGCACACGGTCGTTTGATCAGATCTCTAAGAAAATGAAATACCATTTCGCCATACGCTATCTTAAAGTTGGTCGTTCCAATTCATTCCAAAGAATAAGGGTGGCCTATCCAATGGCTATCTGTAAAAGCGTCTTGTCCATTCGGGTGCGAGGGAACTTACCTGGAATCTCAAAAGCCCGAGGCTACGGGAGTTTGATTTACACCCTAAAATATGCCGAAATCGGCTTCTCCCAATCCGAAGGTCGAAATTGATGCATGTAACTCCGAGGTGTAATGAAACGACATACTCGTGCATTTTCCTCGCAATTCAAATATTATCAAATATTTCGAAATAGGAAGATATATATATCTTGTTGTCCTTGTCTCCCCAGAAATGCACAGGTATTGACGGGAAAAAGGTGCGGCAAATCAATTCTCCTGATTTAGCAGTCTACCGATGTAATGGGTAGGGCCCTGATCACGGTATGTAATGCTGCCTGTGCACATCCATGTTTTATTGTTTCTCATGTCGTAAGATCTGCGACGTCCACATCCATCGCCGAGGCAAGAATTGCCATCTCTCCAGCATGTACAGGGCTGGATAGGCCGGATGCCAGCCCGATAAATGCCGAATTAGTACAGTGTATTGCAAAAGTTTACCCTGGGGATCAAGCCTATAGGACAAGGCGGTGCAACACTGCTAACGCGAATGTAAAGAAAGCCTCGACAAAGCCATCGGCATTGGTCCGCCGTAAGTGTTGCGCCTGTGGTAGTGACCATATTAAAGGTACCGAGATCAGAGGCACCCTGTGGCATGAGCTTGTAAGCCTAGACTTAGAGAAAATATCGAGGGGAAATTCCCCAATATATCACCCTGTCACGCGTTGTTAACTATGATCTTATTCAAACAAGGAACTGGATTGGCGCCTGAATCGCTCGAGTATTTTGATGTGTGGCTACCGCATCCGGCCACAGGAAGAACCATTCTAACAGACAGTGGTGGCTCCAACTAAAAGGTATCCATTCATAATATTGAACAAAGCCCACGAGATGCTCGAACATTGAAAGACAGTATCTTGGGGACAAGGGAGTTGTGCAGCACTGAAACTTTTTAGCTGGAGAATAACACTGTGTTGATGAACTAAACAAGATATCTCTGCATGTGTTGCTGAGATGCAACGGGGAGGCATTACACCCACTCGAAAATGTGATGGCATTATTTTTCAAAACCTTGCTGCAAATTTGGGGAGTGTTTCGTGCTGTTGAAATGTGAGCAACTCATATTTGCCATTATTGTTCACCACTATTTCATTACCCATAAATTTTGCAAGATCAATAAACACCATATATAATCCCGCTGCTAGTAGGAACGAACATGTACACACAATTAATAATAAACATCAAGACGTGAAAACCTGAACAGACTGGCAAGGTATCAATCATTAAGTTTTTTCTTTTGTCTGAAATCGTTGTATACCGTAACTCGGTGAACATAGCCAGGCTAAGTAAATCATGGGCAATCAGGCTCGCGGGCTTTCAAAGGTTCGATCTCTGGTGCTCTGGATTTTAGTAAGTTTCCCAGATCCTTGATTTGCACCGGCCCAGTCTTCATCTCCACGTACTGGTCGACTAGGTCCGGGTCCTTGACGTTGGTCTTCCAGACATGAGTTAATGATGCCCGTTCGGCGCGAAGTCATAGAGTCAGAATTCCCTTGGGATTGGTGACAGTAAATTGGTGACTGCTTCAAGAAAATTACGGTTTCGATATCCATCATGTGGTCTTGTGAGTCGGGGTTCAGGGGCTGAGAAGAAAGCAGCCCATACGCAGTCAAATGGGAGTAGCTGTTCCTGATGGCTTGCTTGCTACTAACCCCTCTTTTGCGTACTTGTTCCGATGATACATTCACCTATGGTATCTGAAGCTATAAATTCAGGAGCACCTTGGGCGGGCCTAATTGGATCACAAGTAGAAAGCTCTTGCGAACCTCGATCAGCCTTAATACCTCATCGTATTCTGGCTGATGATGTGGAGCCACTTTGGGTTATGTAAAGTCGTTCTCTTTGGGGTTTCTTTTATTCACATGAGCTATGGGAGCTGGCCAGACTTCCTGGTAAGTTGGCATTTTTACTTCTAGGTCAAGGCGAAGTCCAATATCAGTTGCAAGATCAGCGTCGCTGCCCCATTCGTGATTTGTAATTGTAGCCCGGCGAGAGAATTTTTGGTCACTGGCTTCACTGACAGAACCGATTTTGTACTTCTGCTTCTTCACACCCCGATCTCGCATAAATGAACCAATAACAATTGCATTAGAGATTGCCGTGGCGACTACGATTTCGAGAGAGGCAAATAGGGAGCGGTATTGTTGGTTTCCCTGACGTTGAATCACTGCTGGTACACGATAACAGGTAATTACAACAAGGATGAGGGGTAAGGCGAAGAGGAGAGTGAGAGCTAATTTCCGAAAGATAGACATCGTCGAAACAACGATGATAGGAATTGGGAAAGCGACAAGCAGCATATCTGTTGCGGCATCGCAGGCACCCATGGCCACCAGGTGCGCATATCCCTGCCGGCATTTGGGTTCGGGCAATGGATTGACCTGCCAGTAGTTGTGGAATGGTTGGCATTCCGCTAACGTGGAGATTGCCACTACAGCAAATGTAGCCACAAGAAAAAGGCGGATAAAATTCAACATCAACTGAAAGGAACGTCGCCAAGTCTGCGCGGTGAGTCGCGTAAGGAATTCAGTAATGGTATATTTGGCAGTCCAGATGCTGGGAACTTGGAAATTAGCTGAGAAACTACTTTTTGAAGCGGAATTGAATTTGCAGGAGTAGCGGCGAAGAAATGCTCATGAGAGATTGCTGAGATCTTACAAGAGTGAATAGAATATCCTTGCTCCCAAAACCAGCCCGCTTCCAATCTCCCGCTGGCGAATCTGAATGTCTGAAAGATTTGTGGCAATTACGTTGTTCGTGCCGTAAATCAGAACCAAATGGACTAGTCCCATACGAATAAGCAATGGAATGACACTCGCGAGCATAATCCAGTCTTCTGGGAAAAGGACCTGAGTTCGAAGATACCGGCCGATGACTCGGACAAAAATAATAGCGAGGGAACATCCAGTACACCACCAGCTAACCAGGAGAGTGGGTATCACATCCCATCTGGTCAGCTCGTCAGGCGCACTGCTCGAATACATTCGAGTAACGATCCTCGGTATAGCATCCGTCAGCACCAGATCTTGTCGACAGAAGATCAGAGCGCCAATGGTATTTTAAGCCTCACCCTGATCCGCTTCACGAAGCGGCACCAAGATTAGTGCGCGTTACGGGGTTTTCCTTCCCGCAAAAAATGATTTTTCAGTAGTTGTCCTCAAATATCTCCCAAAACCCCTTGGCCCAGTGTAGTGTGGGCATTTGAGATATTTCAGCTTGAGAAATGAACAAGCCGCATAGATTATTCAAAGGACATGCCCAGTCAAAAAAGGTGACACCGTTTCACATTGCCCGTGAGTTATGTTTCACAGGAAATAACATATATTGGGAAAGCATAGGGAGAACCAAACGAAGGGTGGGGAAACTTAAGGCGAAACCGAGCGGGTTAGGGAAAGTATTGAAGTAAAATTTATGTACCACTTGAAAGTTCCAACGTTAAGGCGACGAAAGAAAGCCCTGTTAAACTGGAAAGGAAAGAAGTCCTGAGGATACGGAATTTGTTGACATAATGCACGTCATCCCAGCTGCATAGAATGCCGAAACTTTTCCAGGGCATGTTTTTTTTTAGCATGATAAATTCCATGATCACAGTAATGCGATTTCCTAAATTATTGCAGTTGACAACCAGGATTCATGTTCATGAGAGTTACCCAGGGCAAACCAGAGTAGCTTGTCGAATTGAACTGTTTCTCATGCCAGAAATTGGCCTGTTCCCAAAACCATTCAAATCAGCAAGTAAGGGGTGTTCTTGAGGTAATTGAGCTTTGCGATATTTTATCAATTTGCCGCTTGTAAACGCTGAATTTTGGTATGTGACGGTGGGGTAACAGTGTGATGACCTCTGATAGGTTGATTATATAGCAGGACGAATAAGTTGATACTCATCGTTATACAACAGTGCTTGCTCCTTTGTTACTTGGTGCCAGTCGGTTATTTCCCATCCAGAGCGGCTGAGATAGGTATTAGTATAATGCATGAGTCGTAATATGCAGCAATGAATCAGACAAGTCGACAGTTCCGGAAGGAAAGGCTTTGCAAAGGAGAGCATTGTATTTTTCAATTCCGGAGCCGCTATAAATGCCAACAAAGATGAGAGCGCGGATTGCCCAGAGATAATATTATCGATATTTATCCTGTTGATAGAAGGGTTTGAAATGGAACGCGTGCCACATAGCGGCCCTTATAAAGCTCTTTGACATCACGTAATTCCCATGCACAATGTAGCGGCATATTGCCATTTGATGTAGCTGTGAAGGACAGTTCGGTCGTCGATCGACATTGTTGGCAGCAAGTGACAATGTATTTAACTTAGGCAGGCATTTTTCACCTGTCAGCAGACAATTTAAACTTCTCAACCTTGATGCCACACATCTTTGCCTTATTGTCAAAGTGGACAGCTTCAATAGATATTTGCCCTCTCTGAAGCTGTTTATATAGCAGGCAGCATTACGGATCTTCAAGGAAGAGTTGCTTAAGCTGGAGAGGCTCGAGGCTTTCAATGGGTCGTTCGCTTTGTTGTAGCAGCATAATGCAGGAGATTGTTGTTGCCAACCAACTACGGCCTGTTTGACAGCCGTAACAAACAGACAAAGAGACCATATTTGATATCACTGTGAGATGGTGGGCAGTCGAAATCGCGAGGACTTGACCAAAAATATCGACTCCAGCGCGTGAGGTGATGGTGTATATTCAGCACACAACGAAACCAAGCGGAAAACCTCCCTTTTACGGTAAAGCCCATTTCTTCTAGAGCCGAAAGAGAACGCTCCCCGCGCAGAGAGAGTTGGGCTTTAAGTAGAATCCCAAACTGCGAATGTGCCCGTTGAAAACCACTAGTCAGGTCAAGGTTATGTATAGCCTGCATGGCATTCTGTGCCGCTGCCAGCGCTCTGGAAGAAATTAGGAAAACATACCAAGGTTGTGCTCCCTCTTATGCCGATGCAAGGCGTAGGGGCAAGTTCGCAGCTCAATTCCTCATTGAAGGTTGAGGAGAGATCTATATTTAGGATGAATCCGGTTAGTGTAGTTTAAGGTAAGGTTCGGCCACATCGCGTATCGCTTTGATCCTGCCTCAGCGAACTGGTAATTCTTTGGAACTATGAAGGGTATTCAAATCTAATCGACTACATGCAATGGATTGCTTGTAAATATGCTCAAACTGATTGCTTCAGGTTTTAATTGTGTTTTTCTAGGTGAAGTAGTAGCGAACAAAGAACACAACTGCGAAGGATGACAACCATCTGTGTCCCATTTTCCTGTTATTCTCCGTAATTATTTCTTCTTTTTTCAACCTGCCTTGGATCCGCGTAATCCGTTGCATCCATTCATTGTCACTGCCAGAAATCAGAATCAGGAAGCCCTTTGCAGGCCTTCGTTTTTGTGTAAAACACCCAGTGTCAATCGAGGCAATCTGACAATCCGAAAACTGAGCCAAAAGAAACAGAAATAGTGTAGCTTACACGCCCAAACGTTAGAAATATAACTAAGAACAAAAACTCAAGGAAAATATATCAAAAAAGGCTTCCTTGCCTGAACCGTACGCCATTCTGCTCACCGTAAATAAAATTGAGAATAAAGCAAGAAGATCACCGAAGTGAGGAGGAACTTGCAACTGCGGCCAAGGGATCGATGGTATACAGTGATTTGACAGTGGGTAAAAGGGTGATGTTTCGTGGGACGGTCCATCTACTCTCCCCTCCTAATGATTCTTTATCATTGAGCTGTAGGGAGCAAGTAGCAAGGTCCGCATATTTAGCTGTCCCGTTCATCCTTAAGAATAGCTGAATAATTTTGTCACAGAGAAAGCAATCTTGTTTTGTATGAATATAGTGAATATGATACGAATTCATATATTAATCCCACATCAAGACATGGATTCGCCGTTTAAGTAACCCAGCGATAACTGGCATATCGTCCAGCGGTTTCACTCCTTCTGATAATCTTCACAACTTGTCCTCGTCGCAAACCTAGGTATTTCGCCACGGGGTCTCCGCTCTGGATACGCGGAAGCTGGGATTCTTTTAACCGGTATCGCTGCAGGAGCCGTTTCTTCTCCTCCGCGCTAAGAAGAACATGCTTCGGTACTAGTTCGTGATGTGTAATATTGACTAGAAGTTCCTGTTCCTGAAAGTGTTCACAGAAACGGCCCGGTATGCTATTGAGTACTCGCATGGCAGACGGAGATATTGGCGTTTGGCTAACGAAGATACCAGTGTGATAGTTTTGTTCGTCGATGAAATGGTTAAATGCACGAATCTGTTTTGTTCCGACGCTCTGCATATCGGCGCAGAACTCGACGTAGATAGTGCCGCATTCGGGGACTGGGTTTGGTTTTGAAGCTGTGGGGAGGGGAGTGTATTTGTCCATCATTGTCTGTGAAGGGCGGGCGCTGATTTTCATCTTATTGCGACTGTCCACCACAACCGAGGCGATCAGTACCATGTGCAGGAATAGCCAAAAGTTAACATAGCGCGGGGACATATGTTTCACATACTCAGGAAATCCAAGAGCGTCTGAATATCTCGTCCTGAACTCGTCGAGAGGAATTTTTATCTCTTCTTCGGTCACCTCATAGCCCTGAAACACAACGCCCCGAAATAGATCAGCAGCTGCATATATGGCCACGCGAGATAAGAATAAGCTATACCCGATCTGCCAGCATCTCAAAAACCGTTCTCCATGTGCGCCAGAGCCTCGTCATCTCACGATCCGCGTCGGCAGACGCCCTCGAGTATTCTTCATCCGCCATCCGAGCTACACTTGTTGAATGAGTTGCGCAGGAAGCTGCTTAGCCCGGGAGGAAATGGAAAATTACAGAGAATGTGCGGCTGCAAATCGCAGGGAGAAGGCAAGCAATGAAATTTTAAGTCGAGTGCGATGTTGTTGGAAATTGTCGCTCTCTCTGATTTTTTTTTTCCCGTGGTTGGTAAGTTCGAAAAACAGATTGGAGTTGTTTGGCTAAACGCACGGACCACCCTGCACTGAGATTCGCCGGCGTCGATATTTTTCTTCCACAAGTTCTCCAATCGGCCACCCTGTCATTAATATCGCCTGTTGCGCTCTCATTTCATTGTTCGTTTCCAGGCTTGCCCTCTCTTCTTTTATACTCCAATCCACCTAGCTATCGGAAAACCGTACTTTGTTCTACGGAATCCATTGGGGCGCGATCTACCTCGGTTGTGTCCATCACATTTGTCCACAATGGCCGCCGACACCAAATCCTCAGCTAAGTCGGATGGGCACAAGACAAGGCCTGAGAACCCCAGCGAAGAGGCCTACAAGGCTGATCTGGCTCGTGCGGAGAATGAATTGGCCGCTATCCAGAAAAGAATGGTATGTATTGGTTTGGACCTCGTCTAACCTCCTATTTAGTACACAGCTGCACATTCTCCAGATTGATACTGACGATGAACGATTCAATAAAGGAAGAGGTGAAGGCCAAAATCAACTCGGCCAAACCAAACAACCAAGATTCCCCAACCGCTAAGAGGGCTCAAGAATTACGAGCTGAACTTTCTTCAATTCGTCAGCAACAGCAGGGTTTCAAAGCTTCTCGAAACAGTCTTCAGGAAAAAATCAACGCACTTGAGGCTAGTATCAAATCCCGTGTTGCTGAACAAAAGGCGTCGCGTTCCCGTATCTCCTTTAAAAATGTTGATGAAATCGACAAGGAAATCCAAAGGCTTGAAAAGCAGGTCGATTCAGGCGTCATGAAGTTGGTTGACGAAAAGAAAAACCTTGCTGAGATTTCGAACCTCAGGAAGCAGCGAAAAGGCTTCTCTGGATTTGAAGAGTCTCAAAAATTCATCGATAACTTGAAGTCACAGCTTCATGAATTAAAGAAGTCCCTGGACAACCCGGAGGCCAAGGCTTTGAGTGATAGATACTCCGCGATCCAACAAGAACTAGATGCCATGAAGGCTGAGCAAGACTCTGCTTTTAAGAACTTGAACGCTCTTCGGGACGAGCGCACCAAGATTTATGGCGAGCAGCAAAAGGCGTACAGTGCAGTCAGAGAAATCAAAGATAACTACTACAAAGCCCGCAGAGCATATAAGGAGTACGAAGACGAACTTTACCGCATTCGTCGAGAACGCCAAAAGGCTGAACGAGAGTCATATGAGCGGGAGAAAAGGAAGAAGATTGCTGATAAAAAGCTAGAAGAAGCTTCCCGACCAGCCTACACGGATGAGATCCTAATTGCCCAGGGCCTCATCCGCCACTTCGATCCCTCGTACGATTTCTCTGCTCTTGGCCTGGAAAAAGACAAGAAGGGACAACTTAGTGGCTACCGTGCCGAAGTGGGACGCACTGTCGACGCATCTGATCTTAAGGGTGTCAAGATCATAAGGAAAGATGATCGAGAAGAAAATTATTTCATGGGAGGCACTGGCGGAAAGAAGGGCAAGAAAGGCAAGAAGAATTTGGCGGCGAGCTCTCCATCTCCTGCTCAATTCAATCTTTCCTTTGGTGTTATCGAAGATTTGGCAAGCGTCAAAGCAGACCCCCCAATGAGCCAGGCAGATGTTCCGGCCCTTATTACAAAACTAGCCGAGAAAATCACTAACTGGAAGGCCCAGCAGGCCTCAAAGACTGCGGAGGTAAGGTTTTGGAACATTTTCAGTGATACACCCATCATGCGGCGAAAAACTAACTTTTAACTTTTCTTTTCGCTAGAACATCAAGAAAGCCCAGGAAGAAATCGACCGCCTCGATGAGGAGGATACAAGCGTAAAAGAGAAGCGAACGACAGATACTGCACGCAAGCCTGCTCTCCAGAACGAAGGTGCCAATGGAAAGGTGTCCGCAACTGCAGAGCTTAAGCAGGAAAAGGACGCGGTTGCCGATGCAGCTGAAGAGCTTCAGAAAACGTCCTTGGAGGCTTAAGCGACGCAAACATCATACCTGGACCAGACCGTGGAACAGTCCCCGATTCGAACTTAATGGACACAGTTCGTCCTTGGAATTTTCCTTCCAATTCTTGGATATGTATATGTTCCGCCACTAGCCATTTTTTTTTTCAACCCCCAAAATAATAAAATTAGCTCGGTCTACTATTTTGACGGTCTTCATTTCATGCAAAGGGAAAAAATAGTAAGATGGAAGTGATGGATTGTTGACTCTTTCCTGGTTTCGTCATTATTTTCTTTCTGACGATCTCGATACCTACGTTGATATATTTCCCCGAAGGCTCTGTCTATATACACTTTATATATGTAGATAGATTTTATTTTCCTCAGCTTTCTTGACGTGATCAAGGAGCCTACTTCTGTTTCCACTGATCTATCATTTCTTTCCTTCTCCTCTCTTTATTTAGCATCTTGTATTATCTTTTTTTTCTAATATAAGCGTATATATAAAATTTTTATCCATTATTATTTCCAAGTTGTTTTAATATTGGTCTCGTTGCTCCTTTCTCTCGGATTATTTTAATAAACAGAATATACCCAGTTACAGCCTTTACCCTCCAGGCCATTTCTCCCGTGTTCGTTCCGTAGCGTGGCCCCTATAACCAACATGAACTACTGCTGGTGAATCCCCTTCCCAACAGATATAGACAACCTCTGTTTCTCACGAGGCGGCTACTTCGGTGCTAATTCCGTTAATTTCTCGGTTATTCAACGGAAACGTTGCAATGTATTATTATTAGTAGTAGCCTCTCAAACCATATTGCAAATTATCAATAACTCTGACTATGGACACTGGTGAGTCACGAAGTGATTTCAAGTGCCAATGGAATAGTAAAGCAAAAATACGAATGGACATTGGCCCATTAGGATTGACGCTGTTCAGTGAAAGTTAGGCAAAGGGAAGGCAATTCACTAAGTTTTCTGAACAGAACTCTATAGAGGATAAATGGCAGAAGGAGTGTATACAGCCATGTATCAAGAGCAGGAGGATCTTGGTTATAATTTGGGGAGCAATTTGGAGAGCTGGCCATGCAGAAATAAATCCTCTTTACAGAGATGTGACTTCTCAGCAGCCGGGCAACTCTGCACCGTCCTATTTTCAATATTGAAGGATAATTTACTTACTATATGGAAGACAGATATGGAGTTCATCGAGGATAATGCTCCTATTCATTCAGCTTATATATTTACTCAATTCTTGACCTTGACAATCGTGGAATTTATGATATGAAATGGCTCCCCAATTCTTCTGACATAAATATTACAGAACATGCATTAATTAGCAAAGTCTAGAGGGAAAAAATATATAAGTTGGATCCAGAGGTTTGGAAACTTTGAAGAAAGAGAGAATAACCTCAAAGCATATTTTAGTGAGTTTATTGAGAGACTGTGAGGGGATTGAGGAGACAACTGGTATTTACTAGTACTTTCACGAGTTAATACAATGAGGGGAAAACGGAGTTGATACTTTATAGCAGAAAATGGATAGTATACTTTTTAATATAGATCATGAGAGCAGAACATCTTGTTAATAACTACTACTTGTTGGCATCCCTATTGCTCGCTGAGATGCCACGTGACCACACCTATTTAAGCAGAGCTGCGCCCGCTAGATAGTTGCAATCAACAAACCTTCCACCTCCATCACATCAAGGATTTTTTCAGTCAGCATTTTAAAATCCGTTGTTCTGGATACGAAAAAAGGGCAATTGGAGAGTAAAAGCAGCATTCTGACATAACTGAGTTTGGGTTAACTAACTAGTGATATATTGGCATCACAGGGGGGGGTTTCAAACTTCATACCTGAGACTCTAGGGGGTCCCTGGAAAATAACTCCTTACACAAACCCGAAGCTAGTGCTGCTAGTCTCCGATTTATTGGGATTTCGATGTAGATCTCTAGTGTTAAAGGAGTAATTATCCACGCCTCCGTCTATCTGCTCTCAACCACCCCGCAAGTGTGCAACCAATGAGCAATGTGCTGTCATATGAAATACCGCTTCAAGCAGAACCATAGGGTATTAAACCGTCCAATGTTCCGCTTCCTGGGATCGACGGGTTTAGAAACTGCTTCTGTTAAACAACCTTAACACACTCCTATCTTCGAGCAGCAAAGGAATCATCATTCATAATATTCGAAAACATACTAATCAAACAACCGGCCAAAGACGAGCGATGTTGGGGGAATTTCCTCTAAAGGACAAAATCGTGGCAATTACAGGCGGTGGATCAGGTATTTTATATTTACTTTTGAACCACCGAATAAATAAGTTAGCTATCCAAGGAGCATTAACCATCAGCAAAACAATATACACAATCAAGGAATCGGCCTCGCCTTCGTCAAATATGCACTATCTCTGGACGCCAGAGTTCTCATCGGCGATCTAAGCCTTACCACAGACGCTGAAAAGCTCATTGCCCAACAAAACAAGGACAGCGACAAAAGGAATGGTAGTGGTGGTGGTGGTGGTGGTGGTGATGCGGTGTGCCATTCCGTATCGGTAGCATTTATACCATGCGACGTAGCGAAATGGGATCAACTACAAAATCTGATCGACAAAGCGAAGGAAGTCTTTGGAGATGTACCAGATGTATATGTGCCATGTGCGGGAATCTTTGAACCGGTATAGTATCCTCCCTACCCAGTGATTCTCCCGGCCCATTTTCCCATTCCATATTTCTCTTGGGACCCCAAGGGATCAAAGTTGCTGGCCCAAAAAAGAAAAAGAAAAAGAAACGGGTGGAGGGAAAGGGGTTGTGAATAGGGGATTGTTTATATCTATCAAACGGACCAACAAACAAGCAACTATAACATAACTTACATAGTATATATATATTAGCCACGCTCCAATTTTTGGCTCGACCGCGAGCAGGAAGAAGACCGCTACGCAACGCTGGACATCAACGTAACGCATCCAATAAAATTCACGCGCATGGCGATGCGCGCGCTGCTGGGACATAAGAAAAAGGGTGTTGTGCTGCTCATATCCTCCATTGCCGGATTGGATGGAGTGTATGGTAAGCCGTTGTATGCTGCGGCGAAGCATGCCATTGTGGGGTTTGTGAGATCCATGAGCGTTGCAGAGCAGCAGTTTGGGATCAAGGTTGTGGGGATCTGTCCAGGGTATGTATATATTTAAATATTTATATTTCTTTGCTATCTTTTTTTCACTTTTTTGCTCGTCCTTTTTTCTGATTGCTAACTTGGACTTGGAAAACAAAGCATCGTCGATACCCCTATCTGGAACGATGAGGGTGAATTGCTATCATGCTACCAGCCTGACAGGGCGCAGATGCTGAGACCCGAGCTCATTGCAGCATCAATGATGAAGCTAATTCAGAAAGGTGAATATACCGGCGGCACCGTGTATTTGGAGACTGGGGAGGTTAGCAAAGTGGTTTATAAGGGATTTGAGAATGACCCTGGCAATATCACGGCGATAGAGACGTTGCCAGGCGTGCGGCTGGTTGGGAAGCAGATGAGGAAGCAGATGGAAATGCTATGATGGTGGATTATTTTAATCAGTTTGTTCATTTTTTGATTTATTTTGGCTTTGCGTTTCTCGTTCCTTTCCGTTAGTTTAGTTTTATATTTTCCTTTCATAATTCGACAGGGATATATGCATTGATTGATTAAACTTGAGACGTAAATTTGGTTTGCATAATGGCGAAGAGGATGTGTCGGTGACGTTCGACTGGGAGAGATGGACAAGTTCTACTTGTTGACATAATGCTTGGACTGTATCTATTTGCCTGTCCTGGAATTGTGGGCAACAGGGGCGACACTTCCAAGGTTGGGGTAGGGGAGTGTCACATCATGTGGCGTTTCTGAGGCATGCATGGTTTCCTTGTCTCAGCTATGCCTCATAAACACAAAATGGAGGTGGTTTCGAGCTATAGAACTTAGATATATATTCACAAAGCAATTAAACTATGTCAAAAATATACAGTTAACAATTCATGAAACGAGGTATTATCATACGAAAAGAAATTCAACCAAAAGAAAAAATTGCTCGAAGCAAAGTAATAAAATTGTATTGATAAAAGATACAGGGTGGGGACGCAATGGACAGATAAAAAGCGAAGAGAGACGTAGAGATAAGAACAAAAAGAAGAGGGGGGAAATAGAAAATAGAATATAAACAGGACAACCAATGCATATGAACCATTTCTGCGCCTAGAAACAAATCAAACAAGACACAAAGGGAATAAGCGTAACAGGAAAGTCTCCAATGATGGTACGAGAGGGAGCTATACGAGCTGCATCCGAATGGATCCCGCACCGCTCTCAAGAGTTCTATCTTGTGACGGATATAATTAAAACCCAGCAAGACAAAAACCTCCAAATATACACGTATCGATTTGTATACCGTCTGGGATTCTTCTTAGGAAATATTTAAAAGAGAATATCCAAGCAGCAGCAGCAGGCCAGGCCAGCTAATATACCGGCACAGATGCCGCCTCCCGTGCCCCGACTGCTGTCTCTGTTGTCAACATAGTGGCCTTGAGGCTGGGGTGCATAATACATGGGTTGTTGCGGGTAACCCTGTTGCGGGTAACCTTGTTGTGGTGGATAATATTGACCTGGTGGTGGACCGTATTGTTGGGGTTGATTGTAGTAGTCTGCAGCTGCGGAGGGCTGGCCATACTGGCCTTGCGGGGGTGCATAAGGCCCTGCATCTTGGTGGGCAGGCGGTGGGTAGGAGGGAGGAGCGTTTTTCTGGATTCATTTCAGTGTAAGCATGGTAAGTATTGTGGTGGGTGGGGGGAGCGGTTGGCTTTCGGAATGCAGTTTACGAACATCACTCATGTTTATTTTTTAGTATTTGCCGACTGATGCCTTGTAGCGTTGTTTCCCCCTTTTCTGCGTATATATTTAGCGAGAGCGGTGGCCTGGATAACTTGAGTTCGTGATTCGATATCGGCTACGGAGCAGAGTAGATCTGGATTCTCGATCTGGCGGAGGTGCCGGACTTGGGGGGTTTAATCGGTTGAAAGCAAACCAAGGAAAGTTCGATGTAAAGGATGTTATGATCCCGCAGATGGGATGACGGAGAAGGAAGATAGACGACGCGAGATTGAAAACGGAGTATGGTCGAGTCGAAAAATTTGGACGGATTGAAGATATCTGAGGCATAAGGGCATGACTAAGTCGAGGGCCATAAGGTTGAACGCCAAGCCACATCCTCACAGCCACGCCGCCCATGTTCAGCCGCGTCATCATTGGTGGCCCAGAAACTTTGGCGAATGCGATCCACGGGCAGATCTTTGTTGGCAAAGTAGATGACAGATATTTTTCATCGCAACCTACTAGTTATAATTGAGATAGCGTGGTTAACTAACACCACTACAAAATCCTCGGCCGTAAGAGAGAGTTCACATTTGCATTGACCCTGCCCCAGATAGAGAACATGAAGGCATATCCAATTTCTATCCCATGCGAGACCTACCAGCGCACGCCATACGACACTATATATACTAGTGCTGTCGAAAAATTTGAAAGAAATATACATAAAATCACCATGGACAGTCTAATTTTCCGAACCAAAAACAAAAGAACCACCCGAACATGCATAGAACGACGAGCTACTGCTCGAGAAAGCGCGCTTGGATATCATGATAAACCGAACAAAGAGAGAATAGCGTACCACGATCAACATCAGGGGAAACCAACATAGTTTAACTTGGGTATGAATGAATAAATGAAGAATGAAATTGACGAAAAGAGGAAGACAATTCAAAACAGCAGCACCGAGAAAATCCCGGTTTCCTAACCAAAGGAGGTGGAAAGTTGTTTAGAGGTGTGTCTCGAGAGCCTAACCATTCTCCCGCATAGTCGATCTGGAGGAAAGCGCGAGATATTGAATATAGCACGAATTTGGAGTGCATTCTCGTCACACTGTGGTTGGTTGCGTTCAGGCTTTGCCGATGCATTTCCCTGGACATCGGATTTTGTTGAAAGGGAATATGCGAATAATCGACTCCGCTTAAAAAACAGTAGCTGCCGTGTAACGCAGAACTACTAAAAATGCTATAATCCCCCAAAATATGCAAATGGAAAATCTTCATCAATGTCGTACCCGTCTGCTGGAACCTCTCCCGCCTCCATATTCGCTCGGATCAACTGTTCGGTAAGATCCAGTGCGTTTACTATAAGACTTCCTCTCCGATTGTGGCGGCGTTGACAATTCCTCAAACACCTCCACAACGTCCTCTGACCGCGAAGATGTACTTTCGGTCATGACCTCTATCACCTCCGGTCGTCGTCGATGTGATGCAGAGCGGCGGGGCAGTCTGCTGTCGTCCGTCACTGTAGTCATGTCATCGACAACAGTAGTGCTGCGGCCAAAAATGAGGAGTAGGACCCAGACAAGAAGGACGAAGCCGCCTACTGTGCCAACGACTATACCAACGACTGTGCCCGGGGAGGAGGTGAAGGAGGAGTAGGTCGACGGGATCGAAATCATGCGGTCGCGACGCTGGAGGTGTGAGGAAGTATGGGAAATTGACCGTGTTATGTTT